GGATCGTCTACTGAGGGAGGGAACCCCAGCGTACTTCCTTCATATATCGCCAACGAAGGAGGATTCCCCTACTGAAGAAATGCGGAAAGGGATAAGGAACAACGGGAAACGAACTTATAAACGGAAAAAGTCGAGTCACGTGGAAAGCACATGACGGCAACAGGAACCTCCTCGGAGGCTCGGAGGAGTAGAGGGGGGGGTAATGTCATGCCTCACCCCAAGTTCCTTAGCCCATAAGCTCTCTAGCATAGCTCCCGATCTCCTCAGACCCCTTCCTTGAATCCCTGAGAACACTTCAAACGTCCCACAGACCTCCTTACCGCTAGAACCACCTCCGCAACCCTTAGCTCCCCTCCATTCAACCGAATCATTCCACGACAGGGTCCTGGAACCCCGTACATGCGTCCATCATTCCATCCTCACGTACTTAGAATCCCCATTAAGTGCTCGCTTCATATCATGTCTCCTTGTTAACTTCCCCATACGTATTTAATCAGTCCAGGAGCGTTCAGAAGCCCAGCTTGGTATATTTTGAACACACACCCTTTTGCATAGGTCCAGTCCCTGTCCCTTTGTACCTGCTAACCATACGGATTTCTCTTTACTCTCTGTTTCTCTACCTCTGTTTCTCTCTACTTCTGTCTATTGTCTCTCTGATCGTCTGTACGATCGAATATACGCTTTTACTTCAAGTTTAAGCCTTCCGAGTGAGTCCCCGAGCTCCCTCGAACATTACTAAAGCTCCCCAACGCCTACCCGCTTGGTGAGCTACTCTTCCCCAAACCTCCCAGAGCTCCCTAGCTACTTCGTAAGCTTCGGGACCTCGATCTAGGTAACGTCGAAGCTATCCCTCACGTCGAACTACGTATTGCTTCTCCGTTACCACCTCCCACACTCGAGGACGACCATCCTCCAACCCAGTCCCCAGGGACCTACCCTCCCTGGCATATCCCTTCTCGGGAGCTTACACCCTCGAGACCCCGTTGCATAAACTACCTAACCGACTCTATATTGACGTTCTAGCGAGTACAACTCCTACTACGCAATATCTTACGGTCCCGCACTCGTCCCGAACCTCCCTACGCATTAGGGACCTCCCTGGACCTCCTAGGAACCCCTCAAGGGTCACCATCTCGTCGTTCCAACCACTACTAGGTCATTCCCGTCCTCGGTCGCGGTTCTCGTAGCTCCCTTCGAGCTCCAGCCTGCTCCTAGCACGCTACAACATAAACCTCCACATACCAAAACCTACCCTAAGACCTATTTTGACCCAGGTCTTACAGGATCAGCGGTGCAATGGCCTGCAATCGCATGTATAAAACCTAGTCCTCTATCATTTGGTGTGACAAAATTCAGGGACATGGGCCACTAGCACAGATCTTGATTAGTATTACATAACACCACAGATGTATCAAGGACTCTGCCAAGTCCATGCCTCGGTGCCCCGCTCTGCCGCTTGGTGTTCCGAGATCTACTGTTGATTGTAATCTCATCCTTATTGTTCTTTCTTGCTACACATTCCCTTTCTATTAGGCTCTCCCTTTGCTCCTCATTGTTGGCAACACCGCCACTCCAGCTTGGCTGCTTCTGACTCTCTTCCTTCTTTACTCTCAATCTCTGGGGACTAGCGGCGTAACGGCGGTGTTGTTAATAACTTCACTACTGTCCCACTCAACCTTCTGCTCTTAGACACCTTGTGGCCTCTGGCACGGCTTCCCAGTGTACATGATCTTAACAGACTCCAAAACCATGACAATTACCCTTAATACAATTTGATTCGTAATTAATCAAAATTTGTCCTTTAGCATTGATTATAGTGAGCTTATCTTAATATACTATACTTTGATTCTAGATACTTAAATTTGAGACATTGTAAAATAAGAAAGAGTCACAAGCAAAACTTGATGTTTTGTATCAAGGACTCCAAGATCACTGTATACATTATACCACTAGAATATATCTTACAAAATGACTTTTCTTTCTGTACTTCATTCTCAACCTATCAATTGTCCATTTTACAAGCTCAAAATGTTGAACCCTTTCAGAGTCGGGGATTGCCGCATTTGCGGCGCTAAAGGATAATGTAAGGTCCTTTTTCAATTGAGTGGATGACTCCTTCTAACTCATTCTACGCACGGTCCGCCAATTTTGGAAAGTGTTGTACTGTGTGGGTCCCTTATTGTACTCACCTGCTGTGCTATTGTCCTTCTCAGTGATCGAACTGGGGCTAGTAGAGACTGGTTCAGTTCAGAAGAGCAGACAACTCGAACTTGCAGTGTAGCCGATGTGTCCTTTGAGGGTCACCAACAGCCATGTACATCGCTTCTTCGATATTTCCTTCTTCATCTGTTTCTTATTGTTCTTTCACTTAACCGCCATTCCTTCTGTGTGTGCTGATCACCCTCCCTTGCCTGCAACGACTGGAAAAGGACAAGTCAACAAAAATGATGGTTTCTTCTCAATAGACGCCGGATGAAGCTGTTGCGCATGAATCGTCCTGCCGGCTTGATAGCCCGACATTTCTATATGTGGATGTACATCAATAAACCCACTGTCACCCACTAGGTCCTGTCAACTCTGGGATCGCTCTGTCTCGCATTTGAATGACATCCTTCGTAGTCATCGATCCTCTAGGCTCTGTGATATTGAGGACTCAAACAGTCCACCGGAGGTTCAATGCCACCCCCTTCAAAATCTGGCGTGCTAAGTTAGCTCGGTACTGGCTTGGTAGGAGAATGATCATAGGAGAATAATTAATGATTAATGATCATTGATCAAAATTCGCCCATATTCTGTGTAGGTCATCCCATCAGACATCTCGGAGTTCCTTCTGGCCGCTGTGGATATACAATTGCGAACTGAGTCGACACCCACCTCCTCGTTCAGAACGGGAAATGGGACAAGCCCTGACTTCGGAAGCAAGAGATTGCCGTGCTCTGAATTCGTGGAAGTGTAAACTTGTGCTATGGTAGGATTTCTTGCCTCAAACATTCGATAGCTGTCATAACAGCAGCGGGAAGGAGCGCAAGCTTTTCGAAGATCCTGCGCGGCACATACATCGACTCGGAACGCTTCGTGTGCTGTTATCCACCATTTTGACCAGCATCAGAGCCCCTCGCAATGATATTGATTTCACTCATCATTGACCCCTCGATAGTGTTCACCGTAATGAGCCGTCTAGGAATCAATATCCTCGGAAATACCGACCCGGTCCCTACTCCGATTGCTTCAATCACTTCTTCGGTTTTCTAACTTGTAGTATCGCGATGATTTTCGGTCTTCTTCAAGAGCGCGCTTCACGGATGAGAACCTCAAATCTAGAACAGGACCGACACAGTCGGTGCTCAATTATCCGAGCTCACATATCTCTCTACGGCGAACATGTCCGGTGTGGACTTGTGGTGGAATTCGAAGCTGAAAGTCCATCGACGACGGTGGTGTGCAGTGCGTCTTTTCGAAAATGTTTTGTTCGACATCGTCATCATACTTGAATCATGTATCACTATCGCCGTCTTTCTATTCCTTGAGTTGTCATTGCACGAGAAAACGACATACATTTTGAATGCTTCAACTTTCCACGCTTGGCAGTGAATGATTCCAAACACCTCGCGACCTCGTTCTAAAATTCCGGCAATCCTTTTGATTACCGTAAGTGCCTTTACCCTCAGAAACAAACCTAATATCTACCTCTACTATCTGCCTAATGTTCAAGCACCAGACCGGTTCAGTCTGGGTTCAGTGGCTGTCAAATCGGCGTCTTACCCATTACCCATTGCATGAGTCCCTCCGACGTTCCTGGTTCTGTCCCCTACGAGCCGGTGAATGCTGCAAATCCAAGCGTAACCTATCACCATCATCAGAAGGTTATCCGAAACATGCGATTGCAGGCCACTGCACCACCGTGCATGGCAAAAACTCGGCTCCTTTCTTGGGGTTTATTATATATTATGGAATCAAAAAAACAGGGCGCCTTTCAGGCGCCAACATCGAATGTTTTTTGGGAACAAAATAAAAGCAAATTTACATAAACTACAGTATCTATGGAGTAATAGGGAGTAACTGAGTGAGATGCTGTGAGACGAGAAAAAATAATTGTGACAGAGTCACAGTCCCGTGATATCCCGTGCCGGTCACAAAAAATCAATTCAATTCAACTCAGTGTTACTTTTGTCCAAACAAGGAGAAACTCCTACCATAAAAGGAAATTAATTTTGTATGGAGTGCCGTATATAAGGACGATACTTCCGTAAACTACAGCCTCGTAATATCAGTGTCAAATCCAACCTGTTCTGATCATCAGGTTGCTCTGGAATTTGGTATGTCGATGGATACTAGTTGTTCAGATCTTCTGTGTGAGTTTGGTGGCAAGATATTGTATCTTGCACCTTGCACGTCGAGTCCCATGGTGCCGGTGAACGCTCACTGGCTAATTCCCAGGACCGGACTATTCCGGACCTTATTGCGTGTGTATGAAGATAATGTTCGCCCCTGGTGTTCTCTTTCGAATAGTTTGCGCGTAGCGAGTGAGTGTCCACTGATGGCTTGAAGGTAATGCCACCAATGCTTGGTCTAATTAGCCCGAGAATGTGGAGACACTGCACTGATTCACAGCGAAGACTATGTTGAATCGATATGATGTCCTCGGGTGATGTATTGGTGAGCAAAGGCCTTGCGTTGTAATTGCATCAGTGGGGCGTCATGTTGTCGTGCATGTCATTTCGTGTATACTGTGTGCACGCAGGAGCTTTTGAGGGGGCTTTTTCCACTCCATATGCATTTCTCATCAGGCATGAAGTGTACATTGGGACCCCCGTAGTCAGACTGTGTTGGGAATATGTGTTCCATAGAAGAGTATGAAATTGTACAGTTTGGGATCGGACCTTGCCAGTAGAATTTATTATCATAATTTATATCCTATCCTATCCTATCTTACCAAAGTTGAGGGAACTGGTGATAAATCCTTGAGACTACCGCGGAGTAGGTTAAACACGGTACATTTCTTGACAGCAACCGCGGGGGAAATGAACACCCTCTACAACATCAGATAATAAACAGTAAAACACCCTCCTCGTCTTTATCAATGAAGCCCAATTTACTCTACTGGATGTGACAACCAGGACACACTCGCGCCCAATTTCCCTCGCGCGCAAATGAGCTGGGAATTACATGCGGATTGTGATGCCAATTGGGTACCACATTGAACTGTTGAACCCTCGAGATTCTGACAACACTAAGCCAATCAGAACGAACGATAGCATATTGCCACATTGGTTGTCCCGTTATCGCGCTTGTTGCTGGTACATATTGGTCGCCTGAAAAATGATACTACGTTAATATCTGCAGTTGTTTGTTGAGTATTTACGCACGAATTATTTGAGAAAGAGGTCCTTCGACTAAAGGACACGACGGAGGATTGGGTGGAGGATGGGCTTGATTACTATGTACAAACTAGTGGTCCAGATGCATTCAGAATTCTTGAAAGATGTCAGTGAAGAACCAAGCGTACCCGCTGCCAATTAATGTCTCCAGACGGATACCTAGAATGGCGTAAGATTAAAGAGCAAAGACAACAAGTAACAGTGGGCTAACGAGCAGATTGTGTTAGGATGGACTAACGCTTGTGCATGATATGTTAGCTCAACAATCATGAACTTCCGTCCTGAACTGAGTGCAGCAAACGAGTTGCCCCAGTACAAAGCTTCCTCTACAAAGAACGTGTCAGAAAGATATGATTCGTAATGACTTGAGTGGGGAGTAGGCCTGACCGCGAGACTGCGATGAGAGAAAAAAATTAGCATTTTGTGGAAGGACGAAAAGAGCAGAAGACAGACAGCGAACATATAGTAACCACCATGCGCAGAAAAGTCCCCCGCTATTTGAGGGAAAGGCGGGGGATGGGAACCGACAATTTGGGGATGAGTCATTTGATTCATTTCCTGCGGATGAGTGACAGCGCGATAGAACGTCAAAGGCCTGGTGCTACGGAATGAAACTGGGAGATTCCTCTTCTCCAAATTCGTCGACGTTGGAAGCGCCAGAGCCGAACTCAAGATAAACAATCCAATTACTGCAGCTCTGAGAAGAGGTGAAAGAAAAGCCATGATAACGAAGTCGTGCAGAAGGGGAGGCGGGTTATGATATGCGTGTGCTGTTGGTTTATGCTCGAAAAATGAACTTGGCCAGCAAGTTCAAGAGATGAGAGACCGGCTTCTTAGAAATCAAGGCTGAGACGCGATGCTTTTTATACGTCTGTGACAATCTAGCTAGTTAGCCATACACGGAATAGCCGAGTATTCTTGAATCTGAGCAAGCTCGGTAAACAGTGAGAATGGGAGTCTGTATAGTCACTATATATCACACAACAAGATTTAAATGGAAGCTAATAGGGTGCTTCAGAGAAGGGGCGATAAAGTCTACCAGGGTAAGCCGAACAGAATGGTGCAAGTTTGTTTGAATTGTAGAGTCAAAGCCTGGACAGAACTTGAGGTGTGAGCAAGCATATTCAAATTGAAATTGATTTGACGAGCGTTGAACGAACATTCACTTTCAGCGTCAAGATTATCCAAGAGCGGACTTCCTGTATTAGTCATTACCGGGGGCTAAAGCGACACCCTTGCTCACAGGCATCCACCGTCATGCTCAGCAAATGTAACTGCATATCCGCCGCACGATGGCACAGCTATATCGAAGTTCGCATAAAGATGAACCATTCTGTCAACTTTCGAATAAGCAGCTACACTCCAGAAGACTTACGAAAGCTGTTATGCGATCGCTGAGTGGGCAGGGTTATTTAGACGATTCCGGATGGGTATGGCTGCGGACAGCGTAGAAGGGGGAAAGAGAGAAGAAAACGAAGAAGGATAAAAAGGATAAGAAGAACACCTTTGCGTTTCTAGTCATAGTCGCCAAAACGATCATTCTCTCTTCTACCGTTCACATATATGTAAAGCCTTCAACGCTCGGTGCATCTAGAAAGAGCTGCTTGGTTGATCTCGGCACTGGTAGAGCCTCAAGCTCAAAGTTTCTGCTGAAAAAAAAATACTTCGTTCGATTTGAATCAACTCAACGACCCGGAGCAAGAAGAGCTCGAGAATCTTCGCGGAGGAAGTGGTCAATTTTGAGAGGCAGGAGTCGGAAGGACAGGCATACCCTTTTGGTGCCCGAAATGGAAGGCAGCGGGTTGGCAAGATCACAGCTATCACTGCATAGAAGCAAGTTGAACCTACAAGCACACACCACGGAAGCATGTCCGTTTCGGTAGGAAATCGGTTTTGGACAGGGAGCCGGCTGCTCACCCCGCTCTGTCGAAGGCTTGTACATAATTAATTTTTCAGCGTCGGAATTATATGAACGGCCTTGCTGTATTAGTCATTACCGAGCGCTAAAGCATTTAAGGAACGAAGATAGCTTTTGCGTCAGATACTGTAGTAAGTGTCCAATCCTGCGCAATCTGTATCTCACATTCGACAAAGGAGAGTTAGATGGGCTTGATACTGGCTTATGAGAATAACATACTTCTCGAGCGGTGGTCCCGGTATGCAATCTATCGATACTCCTCTGTCTTTTTCCTGTTGAACTATTTTTCCTCGAAAATAATCGCGGAACCCCAGATTGTTATGCAATGCACCGATGGATATTGCTCGAACTATTCTAGAATTTGCTGCGCATCTTGACAAAACTACTGCTCGTTCGATTGCACTTGTATCAAAGGATGCCAATGCCTGGGTCACACCCATTTTGTATCAAACTGTCGTACTCCTCACAGATACTCACATCAAGCTCGTTGAATCAGGCCTGTCCTCATTTGAACATACTAAAACGCTAATTCTGTCTACTTCCTCTATTCCCGACCCTTGTCTATTGAAGCTGTCATGCCCGACACTGCGCCAGCTACATATCCACAAGGATATCGCATGGGAAATTTCTAAAAAGTATCCTATTGATATTCTTCCTGCATGCCTGCACGAGCTAGTCGTCAATTCATTCACCCAGCCAGCTTATGCATTCATGCCCCTGTACTCTGTTCTCACCCATCTTGCTTTCGTGCACGACATCCCGCGCCATTTTCCTGAGACCCCGGCCGAGGTTTTTCCTAACTTGACACATTTTGCCTGTCCGTATTTTGTGGTCAGTGGTCGGAGCTTGATCCCAGTGCATGAAACGTCTGCAATGCTTGCATCGGAGCTTGCGTACACCTTAGACAAGGTTCTTCGGATTCCATCTCTGCGTATCGCCGTCGTACTGGTCAAAGATTTTTCTCAGAATGTCACTGATTCGCTGGCAACGATGTCGGACGATGAGCGGGAAGCCCACATGCATGCTCTTTTAAGAGATGTTCCTCAAAAGGATGCACCCAAGGTTGTGCTTATCGCTCGCAAAGGAAGTATGCTCTATGACGATGGGCGAGAACCCGCAGAGGCATGGGACACTACCAGTGGCATATCTTATTGGGCAGAAGCGGAGGCTGCGCTTGGGTCGAAGAACAAGTAACATAGGTAGTCCGACATATGATGGTGGTCAAGTATAGTCCAATACTCCTACTACCTAATCTCTTTACTCCGAACCTACGCTTCTTTCACTAGCGTCGCATTGTCAGTCAAAATTTTATTCAGTCCTTCCCTTTTCTCGCACTCTTCAAACAAGAAACTCTTCGCCAGTTCATCTAGCTGCGCTTCGTCCATTCCAACGAAGTGCGCTGCCCATTCGTTCACCAGGAATTCTGCAACCAGGATATTCCTCGCCAACCTGCCCACACGATCACTCAGTTTCCACACTGGTGCAGGATAGAGGTCACGGAATCTCTCTGGAATTTCCTCCAGGACGTGGTTAATGAGGGGTTGATATACATGCTGTACAGCCGAGACATCTGCACCCCAAGCATCGACTGCGAGTCGGTGCTTCTTGGCCAGGAAATCGGCGAATTTTGTCATATACGCAGATTTGGTGGAAACATAGACCATGCCCTGGAATCCAATGTCTTTGTAAAGCCTAACATAAACATGAGCGAATAAGATTTGCGATGTCTCAGGATAAACATACCATATCGACCAACTCAAACGATCCTGAATAGCAGGAAAGAGGAGAACGTTAAACGAGCTGCATGTACATTCCACAAGAAACACCCACCTTGTTGTAGATCGATAGCTGGTCCTTCAACACATGATACCTAACCTCATTGATTTTCTCCGTGGCCTCTCCCTCGTATTGTTTTCTAGCGTAAACAGGACCCCATTCGCCGTTCCAAACACATAAACCCCTTGCGTCCATCCACTCCCTCTTCTTCTCGTAGCTTCGTCTGAGCCTGCGCTGCTGGGATTCTGTACCAACGTAATCCTCAGGAGCTGCTGGAAATCCGAAAGTACTGTAATCATGGATGGAGTAAGCAGTGTTCTCCCACTTCTTGTGAGAGTCGCCGAAATGGGAAAAGTCCGAGGCAAAAGTATTACCATCGAAGAAGATGGCGTGCTCTGGATCGACTGCACGAATGGCCGTATATACTCTGTCATAGAAGGCTATTACGCGAATGTGGTATGGATCAGTAGGCCTGGCAGATAGGCGTCAGTAAATGAGTAAAGAACTCCGAGCGACGAAGGGGGAGGGGACTCTTACTCATTCAACGGATTATATCCAGCGATCCATTTGTTTCCTTTGTAATGAACAGCGAGTTGCTCCCACAGCCAGATTGTACGATCTTGGAAATCTTTCTGGTTCCAGACTATCGAGATGTATCAGCGGGCCCAGTGGTAGACATTACAGAGATGATACTTGCAATTCGCAATGTGGCCTCCGTGATCGCTGTGCCAATCAGTATTCTGACCTCCAGGTGCAGTATGCAAATCCAGTATAGTGTAGATGTTGTACTGAGAACAGAGGTCGATGACTCGGTCTAGATGCTTGAAACCCGATTCCTTGAGTATACGAGGATTCATGTCGTCTTTGTGGAAGGAAACGGTCAGGGAGGGGATCAAGGGTATTTAATTGCTATCCACCTTCAAAGTGATGGTAATTAAATGGAAGTCGAATACAGTTCAGGCCAAGGCTGCTGAAGAACTTTGCATCCGATTCTTGAAAAAAGTATTCGAGGAACTGCAAATGCTCAGCACAAGATAATAAAGCGTGTGAGGTGACGTACTTTGTCAAAGAAAAATTCGGATTTTTCTGCTCCTATGGTCTCAGCCAACGCAGCGCGGATCTGATACTCACATCCAGGATATCCTATGGAGAATGGGAACGTATCAAGTCACTAAACAGAACCCCACAGATGTATGTTGATGTAGGACCTGATATGAAATTCTCCATACTGGAGAATAAAAACGACTTCAGTAGTACGGATTAGAACACTTTAGGTAAAAGGCTCACTTCATCCATCCTCCAAGTCCCGCTCCTCGGAGAATGACCTCTTCACCTTTCTCATCCACGATTTTCGTTCCGGAAACTTTGAGTAGAGACATCTGGGAAAGGACACAACCAAGAACAAAAAGTCAAGCCTAACTTCAGCCACTTTAAATCGACTAACGGGACGCGGACCGAAAGTTAAACGATGAGCAGCTGAGCATTTCGCCGAGGTTACTCCACACCGACTATTGTGTACGTGCATCGAGCATTTGAGTGCAGGAGTTTATTTCATCGATCCTTAATCAGGATTCCGGAATAACACCGACCGCTGGACACACAAATTGTTATCGAGGAAGGGAGCCGACAAGTCTTTGTAGACGACAACATCATCTATTACCTCCGCTACTTAGAGCTGCTGTACCTCCCTCATGAAGCCGGACTGAAGGAAACCAAGGCGTTTTAAACGCACTATTTGGAGAACTCCGCGTCCAATCGAGTTTTGTCACCGAGATCTGCGAAGTATCTCCAGCGTCTGAGGAACTTTCATCCAAGTAGGGACGCAGCTCCTGACATGCTTCCGACATTCCTCGCAGCAACTAATATTACAAGGGGTCTGGGAATTAGTATAGGAGAATGGACTGAATGTTATGTGTCCACCTTCATCCGATCGTGGCCCCAATTTCCGTTTAGCGTACCAGTGTTGTTTGTCGAGATCAAACTTCGAAGCAGCCTTTGAGCAAGTTCAAAGTACTCCGAAGGAGAGCGCAAAGAGTATCTCTGCTGTGTATTTGCTGCTGAGCATACGGACGAAGGTTAAAGCCAGGTACACGTACAGCATTACCCTTTATGTCCCTTGCATTATCTGCAATCTCCTCATTTTGGCCACGTTCTCGTCCAAGATCCTGAATTACATGAACCTCTCTCAAGAACTGTGTGAAATCTGGCTCTAATACGACCGGTTCAAATTCGCACATATCGTAAGCGGTCTTGAATGACCATTTATATCGTCGATGTAGGTTGGCTCGAAGCTGTTCCCATTGATCAAATATCGTGTTGGGATGCAAGCTACGGATGAGGGACTGTAAGGAACGCAAGTAAGTCAACGTGGAGGGGAAAAGGGGGATCAGTGATGGAAAAGGGATAAAATATACAATTCATACCACGAACATTGCCATACTCATGGCCTGTAACGCAACAAGGAAATGCTGTTGAAATTGCATCTCTTTACGACTTGGACTTTCTATAGAATAGGTGTACGTTGATACAACCCATATCAATAGAAGACGCACGATTGACTCACCTTGTGGAACTACCCCCGCCATCCCTTTCAACAGCACATCCAGGTAATTAAGATGAACATCAGTGACCTGCGCAGCGAACCAATACGCAAAAGGACGCTCCAAGGGATGATACAGCTCTAACTGAAATCCCGATAGAATTACCTCTGTTATTGAGGCGAGACGCCAAGGGACGACAGCTTGAGAAAATTGGTTTAGGGTACGAAATGTTACTGGGTCGATGTCGTCCTATAAAGGAAAATGAACCAACAAACCGACCAGTCAATTTCGGTAATAGAAAAAAGACAACTAAAGCTTACAGAAACATCTAAACCTTCGATGAGAACACAGAGGGTGTCATAGATGATATGCCAATCATATATCGATTTAACCAAGAAACGTCTTCGACGAGCCGGATTGTTCCATAGCCCTCGTACATGAGGTATTATAGTCTGAAAGAGCGGTCTGAGCATTAAGCATCATGAAGAGCCACAAAACGTACATGAATTATTTTTCTTTCTAGGTCAAGTAACGATGCAGATCCCTGTCCACCCCAATGTTGTGCAAAGACATGGTATGATACTCCGATTGTCTCTTCGAAAAGACGGTCAACGAGCCAGCTCTGGGGTTGATTGTGTATAATTTGGATCCCGTCGTAGAATAAGGTCTACACAACAGGAGAAGCACGATCTATCAAAGAGGCAGAAAAGTGGAGGATTAATTTACCTGAGCGCAAGATCGAATGTAAGCAGGTTGAGCAGCAGGAGCACCAAACCACGATTGATGGAATCCAACTTGCTGTCAACATCCTAGCACAATCAATACATGTATCACAAATGCATAAAGCTCAAAATCTTACATACATTCCATGTGGATAGCTGATATGTATTTGACAGCTTAGCAAGATCCTCCCATCCATTCAGAAGGCGCTCGTAAGCGTCGCAAGTTTGTTCTAGACTGGGCACGTCAATGACCCGGACGGGTAGAAAGGTGTTAAGTTGGCGAGCAATGTATGGATCGAACGCTGCATGGGCTGGTGAAGAGGACGAGATCGATTCACAGGGATGAGCGCGGATGACAGACAGTGAATGTCTCGCAGATTGGAGAAGCTCATTGAAGTCTTCAGGACCTCGAGGGAGAGATTCGGTTGAGTTCAGTAACAGGAGTATAGTCCGACGGAACTGGACTCTTATTTTGAGGGCTTCTTGCCATGATGGTGGCACTAGAAACGCACGTCGTGAGTCTCACTGAACGGACACAATTTTGAAACCCTTAGACGAACGAGCCTTTAGTAGTTGTGGATAACCAAGCCAGCGCAGTATCTAAACGAGCAATGGCAGCTCTTACAGGCCAGCCTTCTAAGAGTGACACATCGCTCTTGTCGCTCTGCCAGTCTTCAGTCTGAAAATTTGTTGTTAGAATCGCGCGAAGAAAATAATCCTGACGTACATCTAATAAGGATCCCTTGGACAGTTCATTCCATGCTAGACTGCACGATTTGAGGAGGCCAGAAGTGTAAGCCCGTAATATGACTGTGATGAGTTCCAGAGGTCGAGATGAATCCAAGTCAATCATTGGAAGAAATGGAAGAACATCCGGGTCCACGTCGTTCAGACAATGGACATAAAGCAAGGTAAATACTGTATGGGCTAGCGGATTAGATGCGTGCCATTCTGTCTGCAACTTGAATTTTAGACCAAGAGGTAAAAAGATGCATCAAGGTTACCCACTTCGTAGGCCATAGATCGGTCTATTATCCAGCATATTTCTTCTGGTAATAAGGGAGTCAATGGGTCAAACTGCGGCCGTTCGGTGTTCTCCAATTGTATTCCAGTGTCCAACCGGGGTTCACCTATCTTGATAGAGAGAAAAATCAGCCAAAATTCCATTGATAGAATATACACTGACCTCTGTTGCGGTCATTGCATCGCTTAAAGAGAATGCGTCGATAGCCACTATTGAACCTGGATCCATCTCTAGAAAAAAGTTACTATTGAACAGCAAAAACAAACACTGATACACACCTTGTGAAGCCAAAGCGAAAACGCTTGTTACATCGCGGAAACTGCTCCCTCCAGGGGCCGTGTAGTCAGCATCCATATCCATCGTTTATTAAAGTTAAGGCGAGGATGGAAAAATAGGCTGAGGCTCTGGCGCTTGGTCGCATCACGTGTAACACATTTGAATTATTCCGAGCCGCAATCTGCCGCAATTCCTCCCGCTTCCTCGACGCCAATGGAAGAATCGAGCTTGGGTTCAAAAATTTCTTGTTCTCTTTCATTATCAGAGGTAGATTACATTAAAACAAGAAGCACGAGAAACCCTTGCTCTTGCCTCATCACGGTTACGGATTGCTATTGTTATCTCTCTTGACTTGCTACTCCATCAAGCCAGAGATTGATGAACACAGAGACCCCATGAAATGCGACTTTCAGGACCAATTCTACTCAACCTTCCACCGCCCTTTGAATTCCGTTTCCCGATCGAAAGATACGGAAGTTTTTTGAGGTCTATACTTTTTCAAGACGGGCCCTTCAAAATGCACTGCGTGTATGTACATTGATCAAATTCACCCGTACTTACGATAACTAGCTTTGACATCTCGAATCTGTATTACAGACAAGACATTATTTCTTGGACTTTTTCTGCTTCTTTGGACTAGGCATCACTGCTTCTTCCGCTGTTTTTCGCTTTTTTGTCTGCTTCGACAACTTCTTCTCTGTTGATTTCTTGGCTTTTACTGACTTTGGCAGAACGTCTTCCATTTCAACATCACCATCGTCACCACCGCCATTACCATGAGCACTGCCAGCCTCATCATCGTAATCCACGGCCACCTTGGTCGACCCGAACGCAACAAACCGATGTTTGAGAAGCTCTTGCGGATATGAAAATCGAGGGAGATTCTGAGTGGGCATCGAATAATCTTCGGATGAAGACGGTTTTGGAATTTGGGCAGAAATCAGAAGATGTCGTGTAATCGGCGTAGGCGCTGAGTAAGATAGATTGTAGTATGTCAGAAAGGAAAATGCATAATGGCTCAAGTGAACGAACCAATATACAATTCTCCGTGCTTCTTCTTCCTAGGAAGCAAACACGACAAGCCTCTCATTTCCTCTCCGCCTCCAGCAGTGCCCTCTTCGTCTAAACGCCCAACCTCTACCCCACCAATATCACCGTTGCCAGATGTTGATGAAGAACATACGTTCCATACATCATAACTCTCTTGTTTGCGATTGAGAACACCAACTTTGGTGTTTTGATTTGAGGACGAACCAGGCAGGCTTATAGTCATGTTTTCCAGGTGTTTTGGTTTGACCTGAGGTGAACATGAACATTGATACGAGTTGGAAAGAATTCATTACACAATTTATTACACCCTCCATCCTACCAGATGAGAAGATTTTACTCACCCCATTGGGCACTCTGATGACCCACAATTCTAGCTCTGGGTCCTTTTTAAACGTATCCCAATCCCATTCATCATGAGTTTCTGCATTTTCAACCAAAGCCATTCCTTCTGGTGGTTGATAAGCCCAAGTAGGATCATCCTCGGGAGTCGGCTTTGTTGAACTAATTTTTTTGGGTTTACTCCTAATGCTTTTTGGTTTCGGTTTCACGTAGACGTTAGATAGAAGAGAGCTCGAAGACGAATCCGATTCTGACATGGTGAACCTTGGAGTTAATCTGGACTTGCGTACTGTCGGGAGAAAAAGCGGAGGCGCATTGTTGGTCTATTCCTTGAGAGCCAAACAAAGTCGGCATTCTGTCCGATCCGGCGGTCTTCCGACTTAGGCTTAATTATGGGATCCCGTCTTTAGACAGAGCCGTGTATCACAATCAATCTATCTATCTTGCTTTCAGTTATGACCGAACCAACGACCCATCCAGCAATTCTAACCATCGCCGGGTCGGACTCAAGTGGAGGTGCAGGCATTCAAGTGCGCATCTGATGTCAAAAGATCTTTATGGAAATTTTACTCAGTATTAAATTCAAGGCCGATTTGAAGACTTTTGCTGCCCATGGATGCTATGGAACCAGTGCGATAACAGCGTTGACGGCGCAAAATACAACTGGAGTACAGGATGTGCTCCCTTCTCCTCCAGAATTCTTGCAGAAACAAGTTAGACCTTTCGCGTCGATTCAAAATACTGTTTTTTCCAGACCTTTGACTTTAATCTCAGGTCACTTCGGTCCTCTCTGACATTAATATAAAAGCTATTAAAACTGGCATGCTTTTCGACGGCAACAACGTTCGAGCCGCAATATCTGCACTCAAATCCCATTACTCTAATTCATCCGACGTTGCTGGGAATATCCCACCGCTCGTATGCGACCCAGTATGTGTGAGCACTTCAGGACATACACTGCTAGATCCAAGTGCCATCGACGTCATTATCGAAGAGCTCTTTCCCCTCACCGTGCTCGTAACACCCAACAAAGCGGAAGCAGAACTAATTCTTTCCCGTCGTCAGTCCTCTGCTGCAACGTCGCGAAGCATTGAGAGTCTTGAGGACATGCTCTTTGCAGCGGAAGACCTGCTGTGCCTTGCTTCGAAAGCTGTCCTGCTCAAAGGTGGCCATCTGACGGTATCAGCAGAGGATGTCAGCAGAGTGGCCTCAAGCTATCCAAACCTGGAGATAGTCCGAGATGGCATCATACCAAATGGGGAGAACATGGAAATTCTGAAGGTCAACTCAAGCCTGGCTGGAGCTCAACTCGTTGTGGACGTTTTACACGAAATCTTAGCGAATGGACAGAAGAAAACAACAATACTATGCCGTCCTCGTATTGAATCTACCAACACTCACGGAACAGGTTGTACGTTGAGTGCAGCGATTGCCGCTGAGCTAGCCTTGGGCTCTACTCGTACGTGTATCTTCTCTGCTCATCAATTCATCTCGATTTGCTCATCCACCTGCAGTCACAAATGCTGTTCGACGCGCAGTGCAATATACTTACCGTGGTATAGCAACCGCGAATTCTGCTATTGGGCACGGTCATGGGCCACTCAATCATTTTCATTCGATGAGGGAAATCGTTGTGCCCAAGTAAGTATTCATCGGCTCACAATATTCGTCATCAACGGCGTAATCACCTTTCCTTCTTTAGAATCACTCCCACAAACCCTTACCCTCTCACAACTCTCCTTATACGTAGGAGTGCTCGCGTTTGGAAGGCTTACGTCGAGCACGAGTTCGTCAAGCTTCTTGGGAAAGGGACCCTTCCACAGAAGAATTTTATTCATTTTATCAAGTACGTATATCTCTACCTTATCTATTGCAACTAACATTTATGTTCGGTGCAGGCAGGACTACCTGTATCTCAAGTACTACGGCCGAGCCTACGCGCGAGTGATATCTTACTTTCTGTTAAAATTGTGCTATCTTGACTCCGGTGCAGCCTACTCGCCGCAAAATCCAACTCTTTCCCCGCGATCGACTCTGCCACACAGATCGTCCTTAACGTTCTCCGAGAGGTCAACACGCATGAAACTTTCTGTGCCTCCTTCGGTATAACCAAAGACGAATTAGCGAGGACCCCAGAATCCCCAGCCACAGCAGCGTACGGAGGCTATCTCATTGATGTTGCCTTGAGAGGTACTTCCCTTACTGTTTTATGAAATTGATTCGATTTAACCTCTTTTTGACTCAGGTGATGCAACGCTGCTCCTAATGGCCCTTCTCGCCTGTCTTTTGGGATATGGTGAAGTTGGGCTTTGGCTGGAAAAGAACGCGAAACCTGGAAATGGTGGATGGGTCATTCTGCAGGGTAATCCGTATCTACGATGGATAGAAGATTATGCTGGCGAGAATTATCAGCGTGCTGTCGCATTAGGCTTAGGTCTGTATCTTACGCTGTTCCTGTTCCTATCATAGGGTTTCCTGACGATCTAGCCTTTGCGATTTTATAGAAACAATTGAAGCCCGAGCCACAATGGACCCTCCGTCACTGAGCCGTTTCGCGGAGTGGTACGCGGTATGGGAGAGATGCACAGAGCTGGAGAAGGGATTCTGGGATATGGCCATGAACTTGTCGTGAAAACGCTGCCGCTCAGGCAAGGATGTACCTCATTGGTGAAGTGAGTCGTCATCCATTCAAACATTTTTGCTGTCGTCGATATTGTGGCTGTTCCTTGTTCTACGAGCTTAGTCTAAATAGGTGTTCAATTTATATCTCATCATCGTTATGGAGCACGGGTAATTGAGGCTTTCAACGAACACACGGGGGCGCACTACTCTCAATTCTGAACCTTTGAACAGTGGCGTAATAAGATTGTGAGGATATCTTTCCAAACCTAATACCTTGGTCTGTTTTAACCATTGACTTTTTTTGAACGAATGATTCGATGAGGACTTGTATGAGATGAGAAGATATCGTCTCCTTCCATTTATCGTCGACATCATGATGAGGCTTCCAAGTCATTTGTATCCGTATACAACTATAATACAGTCAGACATCAACTTTCCGATACTCATCCGGTGATTGACAAGAGGAATTGCAAAATGTCATAACTATGCCTACATAGCACTAGCCTTAAATAGTCTGAAGTTGAATGCGTTCCGCCAGGTTCTGTCTTCTTGCTCCCTTGAGTTCATCGCTCAATGACCCCCGAAGAAAGTGATCTACTTTCACACATAGGAACGCTCATTTATTATGGAATTGTCGTCCTGATTGTCGATTGTACGCTTTATGGTAGGGAATCTGTTCATCTTGAAGCCTATTCAGCCATGGAGTTTGTGTTGTCGATTGTTTTTCTCACAGGCTTCTATCTTCTCGCTGAATTCATTGCCTTGTACCTCTTCATGTGAGTTTGTTACTGGCATCTTCTTTGGACTTCGTTCACGTTGAAACTCCATCAGAAAATATGGGCTCAGACAACGTATTCAAAAGATTCTGTTTATTTGCTCTCTGACTACGATGGCCACTGCTACATGGGACTTCGTGAACCAATGTGCCCTAAATCTGATTCAGATCAAGGTTTCGCTCATGGAACCTCTGGAAGCGGGTCTTCAAGCTCAAGTTGACGCTGCTCATAGCGCTGTCCTCCCGTGGTATTCGATGATGGTCTGGCCAATAAGCATAAACGTGCGTGCCCCCGAAGAATTCTCGAAGTGTCTGAGCGTTAAATTATGTGGATAGATCATCATTGGGAATGGTATCGTCCTTTGGCGAACTTGCGCAGTTTGGGAAAACGATAGGCTCATCGGATCGGCTTTGCTCGTGATGATGCTTGTGAATACAGGTACGCGCGCCAGGGATTCCTGAGCCCGACCCTTCTTCTCAAAAGTGCTCTCTTCAGGGATCTGCTGTTCGGACGCCATTGTTGGGACTATCGTTAGATCTCAAGGTGTGAAGAGTGGGAATTCTTCCCTGGAGACAGCTCAGATGTTCATCTGTTTGGCCATAAATTTCATTGCGACTAGCCTTATTGGGGTCAAAGCAAAGTGACTAGCCCACACTTTCGTCTGTTATATTTAATAACGAATGTATTGCAGGCAAAGGCCTCAGCTGGTGAAAGAGTACTTTAGCCTATCCAGAAAGCGCCGAGAAATTGTTGAAAGGACAGTCTTGGTGCTTACGGAGTCAGGCGTTGTCCTTCTCTTATTCCAGGTTCGTTATCATATTTTTCGAAATGTGTTTATGCATGATCAGCGATCCTTAGCTGCTATATGCGATATTCGGGCAGCTAAATATCAGCGCCGCTCAATTTTCGGGCGTCAATATTGCTTGGAGTATTATCGCTACGATGTTCAACGCAATCACGGTCAGTGGCGTTATGTATGTATTGTCCGCAGAATATTCCAGCTAACATGCAGATATCAGGTCCTTTATGCGGTGGCCGTCATTATCATGATAATCGTCGATCGCTCAGCATTGGACAAGTTGTTTGAACTTAAAACAACCATCAACATTTCAGTGAGCGAGAAGAACGGCCAAACAACCAAGATCTCGACGTTGCGTTTTGCGGAAGGAGGGCACCAAGCCACATATTCTACAGGATTGGGCAGTGCTGATCTGGAGGTAATCCAAGAAGCAAGCTCTAGGATAGATCGTCTCGCATCATCGAACGGTGATATCAAAGACAAAAGTCCCAACGAGTCCGAAATCACAGTGCAGTGATCCATTGCTACTACATATGTATAAATTTTATTCTTGTATTATTTTGTTTTGTTGGTAAAAATGACTATGTTTCACTTTTCTATCTTCGTGTTACTTGTTTTAAATCCACATCGATTCTCATCTTGTATATATTACTCAAATATAATAATCCTCGCTATGCAGTCATCAAGAATAACCGCCAGTGGAAAGAGACGGGGGTAAAGATTCGTCACCCGACCCGCAAGTTACATTCGGGTCATCGGTAAGCGCAAGCTCGACAACTGAACCATTAACGAACACATCCCAGTCCAGAAAACAGTTAGATTTGTATAACTCTCCATTCACAGTAACGTTCTAAAGATGAATTCTGTAAGTTGGAAGTCGTACTCGAGGGATGAAATGGGCCTACCTGCACAAACACCTTCCCCCCTGTCCCATCGGCAGGGTTGCCTTCGAATCCGTTTGCTTTGATAGTGGTGGTAGAGTTATACAAGGGATTGAAAAAGGAGATAGAGCGAAAGAATGGCGAAGAAAGGAGCATTTGACGAGTTGCGGGGAGGGGATACAACCCAGCGAGATAGAAGGCAGTGTAGCTTGCCATTGCACCTTTTATACAAATCATTGAACACATGATTCCTAGTAGAATGTACATAGATAGAGAGCATACCAGAATCTGCCAAAGTGTGAATTCAAGCAATCATTACTGTGAGCAATAGACTTACCATCATTTCCTGGGAGGCCACTGACCGAGGTGTTGAAAGATTCTGCAATGACCTGCCGAGATTTCTGAGTGCTCTTTCCTGGAAGATTTGCATAATGATACATGAAAGGTATTTGCATCGAGGGCTCGTCCGTAACGTCGAAGTAGCTTTGGTTAAAGATGAAGTCAAGACGAGAAACAAAACTGTCTTTGCCTCCTTGCAGTTGAAGGAGCTGCGCGGTGTCATGGGGTACGTACTGTCAGATATGTAGAGCGTTAGGGAAATCAAGGTGATCAGCACGTTATACATAATCGTACTTGAGAGTACTAAACGTCCTGTTAGCAATCGTTCAAGCATAGGGAAGTAACAATGAAACGTACAACTATCGGAGACGATTCATAGAACCCATCTCGATTTGCGGCGTTCAAAAAACAGGTCGCCATTTCTGGGTCGTGTATACTGCAATGTCTTGGATCTGTGAAGTTGAATGTTCCATTTTTGAATCGCGGCTGTAGAAGTATTACTTAAGAGATAGACGGGCCAGAAAATTTGCAGAAGTCTGACCTGCATCATACCAGCGACACTTGGGGTACCCGGTACTGAAACGTCTGGATTCCATACATTGAACGAGTTGTTGGCACGTTGAGAGTACTGGATAGGCAAGTACAAAGGAGGTCAGCTAGAAGAAATTGACCCAAATTTTCTGAATTTTCTGACTTTGGCAGCATCGTCTGTCTTTCCAAGTATTTTCGCCACTTGAGATATCGCAAAGTCGCCGAATGCATGCTGGGAGCACATTCTCAAGCACCTTTTCTATAGTAACTAGGGTAACTTACTTCCAGAGTACGAGAGACCTGCTTGGTATTTGCACCACCAGCATCGAACATATCTTGTGGGATGTAATCTATTTCAATGAATATGAAATCAGAATGCGCCACACTCTTGATTGTGGAACTGCAAGGCGAACTGAATTGCTTCCAAGCATCAGCTTGTCTCCCTTGGAGATTCCAATTAGGTGGTTGTAACTCTGCGTCAGCGAGTAAAGCAGTATAGAGATCGTCGGCGGAAACGTTGAGTGCCGCTGCTTGGTCGCTGAACCTACAGAAAAATTGAGTATTGGACCAACGACGAATTTGAATTGGAAGCATACTTGACGAAAAATTCTCCTAGAATAGGATCACCGTCTAGGGAAAAACATCTGGTTGTATAGCAAGATCCAAAAAAGAAACAATGTGTGGGCACTTACTGCTACCGCCTTGAATGAACTGCATTACTGTAGCACCACGGCATTCAGGCAACCACCCTGTTCAAGAATAGTGATTAAATATATGCTACACTCGGTGAAAAAGACAAGGTAACCTTCATGTTTCTGGATATCAATCATACCACGGACGATACGAGAAAATGTGACAGGGTCGTGTAACGCCATGAAAGAGTACAGGGTACGGTACGTGTCCCAATTACAGTAGTAGGAGTCATAATATGGCTCTGTTGAATTCCACCTGGGATTTTCGCCGGTGTCTAAGGTTGAAGATGAGTCACAAAAAAAGAGACAAATGGAGTATAACACACAATCTGCGGGGGAGATATGGGTTCTGTATATCTGCAGGATAGTCAACGACTAAGAAAAAAAGAAAATAGCAAGGTGTGCGCCGTCGACTTACTGCGGAATAAAAAAGTTGAATCGTCTCCGTAGACACATTAGCCGTATCTACTTGAACACGACCCAGGAGCTCGTTCCAGGTTGCGCGATTTTCAGTTTGGACGCGATTGAAATCAAAGTCGGGAATTTCCTCTTCGGCGTTGGCACAGGCCTGTTCACTCGAAATAAACGAGACGCCGGCTCGTGCAAGTATAACGGTTGGTGTTCCATCTGGTGCTGGAGGAAACGTGAACAGTGCGCCTAGTTCGTCGATGAAACCTGTACTGGAGGTGAGCGTTGAGCCTCATTCAGGCTTTTGTCAGATCAACGCACCAAAATACAATTGATTGATATCCGTCTGGCCCTGCACAGGAAAGTTCCCCAACCATGTCCCAAACTCAGTAGGTTGTCCCAGCTCGAATCCTTCTCCAGCAAAATCAACACAGGTAAATGCGGTGTATCTTCCTGGGCCGAAAGAAGCAGCGAATTGAGCTCCACCCACTACACGTGCGGTTGCAGGGTCCAATGTCATGACAGGGTTTGTACTGGTACGAGGTCCATCGTTTGTGATATCGACAACCATCCGTGGTTGCACAGTGCCCTCCGGGAAAGTGTATCGATGAATGGCTGTTCTTCTAGTAGAAGTCAGTTCGACACGGATTCCGGTAGAGAGGTTAGTGGAAAAGTATCCTGGGGAAGCAAAATCGTCTGGAGAGCCTGCAGACTAGAGTTCGTAAGGTATTCAAATTGGATTGAAAGACATAGTGAGGTTCACCATCAGGAAGAACCTTGCGCAGCGCTTTACGGCTTTCCAGGGAAGTGGGACAATCTTCGAATGACGTGCAGTTGGAAAAAGCCCATAATTTGAAATTGGATAGGGATATTGCCTTGAATGAACATCAACGTTAACAGATGTACGAATCACAAAATCGATGAAGCGTACCCCACCCGTGCCGGTGTCATGTAGCTGAGAGAAGCCGGTCGCGTTGAAAGTAGAGTTGGCGTCGTAGCCAGCTTGCTAAATTGACCCTCGAAACAGATCCTTTGTACGATCTGAGAGATTCAACTCACGTTCCCTGGTGAGTCGGTATCCATTCCCACTTTTACCATTCCATGAGGAAGGGTAGCACCTGAAAGCATGTCGTCGTCAGTTTTGGTCGATACAGGGATAGATCATCCTCACCTGGAAATACATGCCCTCCATTCGTGGTGCCTATGAATGGGAGAACAAAGCTCGCGGGGTCGGTAATTGGAGTAGGTGCTTGCGTTTTCACACTGGATTGGTCTTAGTAGGGACGACTGTGTTGGAGAGAAATTGAGAATGCCATGCACCTTGCAAGCGACGCGCTTAACATAGTTAAAAGACTCACTGTCCTCATCTTTGAAGACAGAAAAGAGATGAGATAACTTCGAACTGAGATAGCTTCGTCCTCATATGTAGGCTTCTAGGTCAGCTGGGACGCAAGTTCCATCAATACCTAGGACAGCGAAGAAAATGCTTCTGCAATTAGAATTCCAAGTCGACCGCGGGACCAACATATGACAAGGGTCCGGTGACTTTCTTTTTTCGCTGCAGTAGAATAAAAGCATGCTACAGGGGAAGGATGAGGAGGCCGAGGAGGACCGGCACGGTCTCATTTATGTAAGAATCATCATTTTACCCTTTTCCAACATCCCACTACGATTAGGATAAACAAGGTTAGTCAACCACGGGAGGCCGCACATCCTAGCATGCTCTGGAATTCTTTAACAAAGTTGATTATATTCTGGGGCTTTTCGGAGCCTTTTCCTCATCAAAATATCAAATCGCGTACGACTGCAATCGGATAATGAATTAGGGCGCGAGCTCTAGCAGGCTCTAGCCTGCCACATTGGAAAGGGACCTTCGCCTTTTTGCAATCGACAGTCATTCTTTCGGCAATTTCCGGCGTCGGTTGACCGTCGTTCTCCGAGTGTTGCTCTCAACCATGAAGTATATCGCAGGAATTCATCTTTCTCATGCACAAGGCATTGAGTCTATAGTGACTGCGTCCACTCTAGCAGCTCTGGCGTTGATCGGTGAGCACTTGCAACTCAATACCGACTACCGATGCTCATTAGCACCCCTAGCCAGGGACCAGCGAAAAACTTTCAAAAAAGCTTCCACAGAGGGCGGAAATCTCACAGCTGGCGCGACAACCCTCTTGGAACGACTTATTACTCCTATACACGGCGGCGCCCAGCTGATTGCCCCACTTTCATATCTCGTTGGTGTCTTTTCCAATCGAATGGAGCAACCGGAATGGTATGAGCAAACTTCTTTCGACTATCCCCTCAGCGTCGGAGCGATGGCTTGGACTCGCACTGCCGCTGCAATATCCCTTCTTGGGACTGCCTGGGTGACCCGAACGATCTTCAAGACATTAGGAAAGCAATTGCACTTCATTGGAGTGCGTTCGCATATTTCTTTGTGTATTATTGTTACTGATCAGCACGAAGACCAGGGAAAAGGGTGAAATTGTATCCGTTGGGCCCTATCGTTTTGTCCGTCACCCGTTGTACAGGTAGGAGGCTGATTTTGTAAAACAATATGTCATAACATGTCCGATCTTTCAGTGTCGTCCTTGGGCAGCTTGTCATTGCTTCTGTGGCATACTGGTCGTGGATTCCTCTGGCGAGCTGTGGCATCTGCTTAGGTGCATTTGTTTATAAGATTCCTGTCGAGGTGCGCGCGCGCGTATGAGTTAATTCTTGTACTGCAGCTACTAATTCAAAATTAAGGAACGATTAATGGAAGGCGATTCCTCGATGGGACCAGCTTATCTGGAATATAAACGGAAGGTACCTTACAGAATCCTCCCTTATATCTGGTGATGTGCATTTGTTCTATCATCAATATTTCTCGATACATATACACCTTCTCTTCATCTCAGAATTGTACTTGTATTCTCTCATTAGTATAACATCACTCCTCTATGTACTCGAAACAACAAATACAACGTCAGTATCTGCCGTAGTTTGAGTATACATGCTGTAAATGTCACCTTCCCGCCATTTCGAATTATTACTGACCCCGCTCAAGCATAAATTTGAATGGTCAGTACCGGTCAGTCAAAGACAAGAAAGCAAGGTTAATCATAGAGGTGCAGCATGCTCCGATCATCGTCAGTAAAGGTCAGGGTAATCCTATATGATCCAACTCTTCGTCGTTTGTGGATTATTTTTCTTTGGAACCTCAAACCCAATTTCGAGATAGCTAACTGAATCGAGAAATGCATAATTCACATATCGAGAAGTGTATACAATGAGACGTGAGTATATACGAATGGTACTAATAGCTATGTGATGGGCTTGGGCATGGAAAGTTTTTTCAGTGACCTAGATGAGAGGCTGGATAAACTTTCGCTCCGGGGTCGCGACATTGTGTTCACTCGAATTATACCATTCATCCCAAACACATCCACCCAGATCCACCCTCTCCTCAACTTCATGCAATATTATCGGTGCAATTTGAACTGGATCATAGTCACATAGCCGTACCGATGCAGGAGATTGTAAGTGCGATGCGCAGGGGAAATGCAAGGTCGTTTTGTAATTGACACAAATGTTTTGCGGTTTCGAAGGATAAGAGGACCTGCGCGCGCTTCCAACCTTCGGACATCCGTGGAGATTTTTGCATCCACAAAGGGGGAAAGGATGGGAAGTCCAGATATGAAATCGGATCAAAGTCAATGACACTGTTCTCCAGCCAAAAAATTAGAAATTCTCACGATCTAAACTCATAACTTACATGAACGGCGTCGAGCTCAATGCTCTTCGGAACGGGAACCAGCAATCTCCTGTCCTTGAATCCGGCCTCAAGTCTTCTTTCATTAACGACGGCCACGACGACGAAGATGCTTTTTCGGAAAACGGTGATGACGAAGAGGCACTCTTGAGCACTTCCTATGAACATCGAAGAAATGACAGGTCAGTTGTCAAGGCTGGGCGATGGCCTCAGGTCAAGGATATCGTTATAGAGGTAACGACGATATAACATCTGTGTCGTCTGGCGCTCAGAAACAACTTTCAGGCCGCTCCCACACTTCTATTCACGACGATAGGTCTTCTATTCACTGGTGAACTGTTGGACCATGTTTCGGTGAGTCTTCAGGCGTCTGAATCTCTGTTTAGTAGCTAACATTCACCAAAGCGATGGAGAGCAATGCGGGAAGTTGACCAGCTTATAATGATCATTCCAGTCATCCTCAACCTGAAAGGCAACCTCGAAATGAATCTTTCCGCTCGATTGGGAACTGCAGCAAACGTCGGGGAATTAGACGACCCTCATATAATGCGGAAAATTATCTTCGGGAATCTCTCGCTACTGCAAGTACAAGCCACAGTCGTTTCGTTCGTCGCAGCATGTGTGTCCTTCGTTCTTGGATTCATTATACCGCGCGCAGAAATTCCGGCTACACAACCATCGGAATCCACATTGGCTACGCGTCAATTGCTCGGCCTACTTCCACGGAGACCTCGACCCACTTTGCCACCTGTGGACACGTCCCGCAAGTTCGGAATCCACTCGTATGTCTTTATTCCTTTTATGGAAACTTGGATGTTTAATCACGGCTTAGATTTTTTATGGTGGTCTCTACCGCAATGAGTGCTGCATGCCTTTCTAGTCTAATCTTGGGATCATTTATGTGCACTCTCATCGTTATATGTAAACGATACGGTCGTAATCCAGGTACGTTCATGTGCCTTGCACCAACGTATGTCTATCTGACTTTCCGTTAATCAGATAATATCGCCCCACCTATCGCTTCGTGTCTGGGGGATCTGGTAACCTTACTTCTCATCGGCGTCGTCTCCACCCTACTCATTCCCTTCCTCAATGGTTTTATCCCGATCCTTGTCGTCATCGTCGTGCTCCTCTCATTTCTCTTTTCCTTCGCGGCAACATATCGCAATTTATACGTCAAAGATCTCATCAAGCAGGGCTGGGTACCACTTTTCGGCGCTATGATAATTAGCTCTACAACTGGTATCGTTCTCGACCTATTTGTCAGTCGTTACGAAGGATTCGCATTGTTGGCTGTGGTAATTAGTGGTGAGTGGAACTCCGTACCACTTTTGTGTCGGTCTAGATTAGAGGACTCAAATGCTCTTTGTCTTGCAGGTTTACCGGGAAGCGTGGGCTCCATATTCATCTCTCGACTTTCGACCACCCTTCACGCGGTAGCACTCTCTGCTGCCCCTAGCGGAACATTCCGACCGTCCAAAAACTCTGCTGAACCCAGCTCGAACCTCGTCATGATAGTCTTAATACTCATCACCATCCCGGTGGAAATTATTTTTCTTTCCGTGCTTCATGGTCTCGGATGGCTCCACCCTCCATTCCTCTTCATCGCCTTTTCAGTGGTTTTCTTCTGTTGCGCGGCAAGTCACTTACTATCCCTCTCCACTGTTTTGATTTATGAAATCTTCTTTTCTAGGTTACCGCCTCACTATTCATTGCCCGGTCATTAACCCACTTTCTGTGGTCAAGAAATTTGGATCCCGATACATATGCTCTGCCAATACATTCTGCTCTCATGGACCTCATAGGACAACTACTGCTTGTCTTATGTTTTGAAATTGTGACTCTACTTGGTGCTGTCCCTCACACAAAAGCAACCTCGGAGGCCAATTAGCCTATAACTACCTCTTTGTTGTCTCGATAGACTTGCATTATTGTTTTAAATTATCTGCTTTGCTTTACCTACCTACCTTTACAACCTACATTGCACTGCCTGTATCATCACATAAATTATTTATTCAACGACAACGATATTGAAAAGATTAAGTGGATTCTACCATATATACCGTGTCTTGGGGCGTCAAGAAAGATATCGAAACAAGGTACTTAGCAGTGACGGGATAGCAATGATGTCAATGAATCCGATGCATTCATAATACGTATCTAAACTGCCGATTTTGAACGTCGGTCAAATCCAAGAATTCCTATTACACAGGAGTCAACACAAATCAAGCATCTGATAAGGTTGGTGAAATTGTACCTTTTCTACTTTGACCTTCTCCATCACACCGTCTGATCCCATAAGTTCTGTGTACACGTCGTCGTAAGTCGTGTCGAGGGGTTCAACATCCCGACGCCTATTTTCATTCGCAAGATATGCCTGAAGGAGACCCAAGTTACACAAACAAAATGTGAGTCAAGCTGGATACGCACTCGAATGATCATTAGTAGAATGATGGAAACAACATAGCAAACGCCGATGACTATCCATGGAACATGGTTTCTATGAAAAGGATTCGTCAAGCTTCAATAGGATAGCGGAGGGTTATCTGTACCGAGGCTTGTACTTCTCTTGCCACATGAAAGGCCCAACGGCATTACCAATGCAATATCCGCAAAGCATCACTGCATTCATTGTGACTTTCTTGGTGTGTCCTGCAGTCGTCGCCGAAACCCATGCAAGGGACATAACTAGCAGAAGACGTCCATAAGAATGGCGTGACAGGAAATCTTGCATTCAACATACCGAACGCAGTTATCTGGATTGTACCTAACCACACCGAAAACAGCAACCCGACTTGGTCAGACCACGGCAAGAGGTTGACCAAAAATACACCAAGGAGACTAGGCAGGAAGTATACCGCGCCCACATACGCACGACTGTTTGGTATGCGTGAAGAGATTTCGACGCCTGACCAGATGGTGGCAATCTCAATGACACCGCTGACGCACCCAAGGAGAGTGGTCTGCAACGTCGTGAACCCGAACGAGGTGATGATGATGGTGCCTTGGTTGGTGAGCGAATTAGGGATGTTGTCTACTATGGAGAAGATGAAGAATAGCCATGTCTTAGGTTCGAGGAACACTTCAATCATCTGTTCTTTTTTGAAGTGTTTGTTCTCCACTCCAGTTTGGTTGGACTGAAAATCTTGTGAGACTCGTAGTATGGTCATCATTGACATAACTCACTTTGATGCGATTAACCGCAAGAGCACGTTCTTTCGGTGTCAAGAACCTGAGTACAGTAAGCTTTTAGTCAACATTGAAACTTAGCATCTCTCATACCATGCGTTTGTGGGAGAGTCAGGGAAGAAAAGCCTAACGATGAAATCATTCAAAAGACTACACCCTACCTTGATCTTGATCAAACTCACCAAAAGCATACTGAAAGCACAAGCGTCAGCAGTCCGGTAATAATCATTAGCCTAAGAGATCCAAATATAAAAACCTCTGTTGAAAGGAAGTGCAAACGGCTCACCATTGCCATGGCTCTAGTTTACCCTTCGTGATGTTCAGAGAACCGTAGGCAACAAAGGCAAGTATTATTTGAGCTGAGGAAAGTGGTGAACTTCGACTCGGATAGATAAGTAGTAATGCCATCCACCTGTTCCATTCATAAGGACTTTTACCAATAGCCAATGAGTCCCATATCATTGAAGTCGCAGTAAAATATACTTACACCAATACCCTACTCGCAGTGTTTGCTCTTTCCGAGTGTAGAACATTGAGCTGACGATCATGAAGCCCGCAGTGATAGAACCCTCGCATATGCCAAGTATGAAACGGGCGGCGAAAAGACCCCCGAAACTTTTGCAAGCAGCGTGACTGCAAAGAGCCACCGACCTGGACCATGCTTAGATATATCAAACATTGACCAATTGTACTCACCACACAAAGATGTTGATACTATTGAGTGAATTTGAGTAAGAATGAAGGCGAGCAAGAGAGAGGACGTACCTCATCCATTTCCCGACAGGAAAACGCTGTAGGGCAAGATTTTGAGGATATTCAAAGACAAGGTAACTGAGATAGAATATGGTGCCAAGCCTGTGTCGGGGAGCTGAGTTTCATACAAGGACCTAGGCCATATCACGCACCAGTTGTACCTGTCAGCAGCGATTCGTATTAGGAAAACTTTGCCAGATAGACAAATGATATCTTACTGATCAGTGGTGAGATGGGCCTCCTGGCTAGAACGAGATCGTTCAGTTTGAGGGGTGAGAGTAAATTCTTTGAAACGTACTTCATCCCAAGAATAGCGGCATAACCAAGAGTGGTCTTGTCCATGAACTGAACCCTGGATAGCTGGTGGTTTGATTTAAATATCATCGATTCATGTGACGCTTACAAGTAAAGAACTGCAATTGTCCAAGGTGTTAGTCGCCATATACACGAACTTTGGAGAAAGTAGAGACGCACGGCACATCATCGGCAAGATATTTCTATCTATTTTCCGTCTGTAGGTGCAAATAAGCCAAGTGGGTTGAGACACTGATGAAATTTCAAAGAATTCACCGAATGCGAATGGCCTCGCTAGGATCGATGGTCTCTTCAGCTCCAGTCGCGAATTGAGCACCTGTGTCGACTGCAGACGCTGCAATCTCAACATGACGGCTGGGGATGTCGGAATCCTCATCCCGCTTCTCACTATAGGACGAAGAATCCATCTTGCGAGGTTGCAGAAGGGCAGGAAGGAAAGCAGCCTTCTTTGCAGGCTGATGATTTGCCCTATTTATATCATATATGCGAATGAATGGTAAGCGATCATGTTCTCAGCCCTCAGTGGGTTGAATGATATCCGTCATGCCGGTTCCTTGTTGGTTCTCGTCAGAATTCTTCTTTATCTGAATTGTCCGTATGTGTCGCCTGTTTCGTAACTTCTTATGCTCCAACTAAGTAAGGACTGCAGTCCTTTGTCATTGGACGGAAAACCAGCTGCAACACAGTGCAACACACACCTTGATTCCGACTCCGAAGCTGGTACTCTTTCGAATTTGGTGCTATAATTATCACTCGGTCCTACACTGCAATAATCAAGAAATCTTGCGAGTTTTGGCCAGTTCTTCCCAGACTGGATAATACTGTGTGCTGAGCTGTGCTGAGGCGAAACCGGGGTCATCGGTGGTCCAAATCTTGGTATGACGAGGACATTCTTCGATTTTGAAAGTTCTTCACCAGAAAAATTGTCTTTGTGTGGACCTGGTAGATGCGGCGGAAGAGATAAACCATGGGTACATGATCATCATAAGTGGGACCCACAATTCAGGACCCACATTTTCTGCACAGAGATAGCCAGAGATTCAAAATGTCCTCGGAGCCGTTGGGCACACGGTCACTTGACACTCCAACTTGAACGACCGACGCGTTCTGAACTTGGCAAGCCCAGGTCGTATGGTTGCCCTCAGAGATACGAAAAACTACATAAAAACAAGTTGGCTACACTGTACTTGATAAGAATACACGTTCCTATACTCATTACATCGATCATTTATGCATAGGCAACCAAGTTACAGTACATATCGGAAGTCCCGGTTTTGCTTATCCGTTAGATCCAGGAATTCCTATAAAATTTCGGATAGATTTCAATGAGTATAGTAGGAGATAGACCAAAAGAGGGACAAACCTTTTCAACTTTGATCTCGTCTATAGTCCCATCTTCGTTTAGACGCTCTATGTAGACATTGTCATATTGATCGTCGTAAGGTTCAACCTCGCGTAATCTGTTCTGACGATGTAAATAGGACTAGAAATAGTCTATGACAACCTGTTACTGGAATCAAAAGAGAATCAAGAAAACCAACCCGAATGGCCAGAAGCAATAGCATACAAATCCCATAGCAGATGCCGATAATAGTCCAGGGAACGTGGTTTCTACTCGCAGAAGTGAGTCTTCCATCTAGTTGAGAAGGTACGAAGTACATGCCGAGGTTTGTATTTGGCTTGCCACATGAATGGAGCAGCCGCATTTCCAATGCAATACGCACCAAGCATAATGGCATTAGTAGTGATTCTTTTTGTGTGCCCGGCAGTGACACTTGAAAGCCACGAGAGCGACAATACTAAGTGGCCGTCGACGTTAGTCTTCCCGCGCGTGCAGTAGCCAAAAGGTCCAACAAACTTACCGAAGCCAGTAGTCCCAACACCTGTACAAATTTGATGAACAAGTTCACACATCAGACTCTTTGAGATTTACGCTAAAACACCTACCTGTCAGCCATTGTCCGAACAGTAAACCGACTTTGTCAGACCACGGCAAGGTGTTGATCACGATGACCCCGACGACGTTGGGGATGAAATAGACAAAACCAACATACGCGCGGCTGTTGGGAAATCGAGCGGCGATGTTCACTCCGGTCCAAATGGTGACTATTTCGATCAACCCGTCCACACAACCGAGCAGAGTTGTTTGAAGATATGTAAAGCCAAACGAGGAAACAATGAGCGATCGTTGATTGGTGAGAGAGTTCGGCACATTGTCTAAAGCGGAGAACAGCGCGAACATCCATGTCTTTGGATCCAAGAGAGCCTCAATCATTCTACGAAGAGCGAAATCTTGTAAAATGAATATTGATTATTCGTCGAGGGGACGCACTGTTCCTTTTTGAAATGCTTGTTCTCGACACCCGTCTGATTTTCCTTGATACGAATGACCGCTAGAGCACGTTCTTCGGGTGTTAAAAACCACGCATTGGTAGGACTGTCAGGGAAAAAGAGACTAAAGGAGGGATACTAGTCAAATGGAAGCTCGGACGACGATCGATTCATAGACGCACAAGAAGCAGATCGCGGTAATGAAGGTGATTGCCCCAGTAATAACCATAAGCCTGTAAAGATAGATAGGCGCGACGGTTGCATATGGAAATGGCAGTCAAATAGCATACCATTGCCATGGTTCGAATTTTGGCGTATGAATGTGTAAGGAGCCAAAGCTGAGAAACCCAGAGATAATCTGAGCTATATAGATGGAGATAAGGGACCAAGAACGACACTGGGAATTTGATGAGACGTACCCGTTCCATTCATCAAAACTGTAAGATAATGGTGAATGATCAGAATGGTGTTGTTTACAAACAAGACGATCGTCAATTAAGACATACACCAGTAACCGACTCTCAACGTCTGTTCATTTCTAGTGTAGAACATTGAACTGACGATCATGAAACCGGCGGTGATAGAGCCTTCGCACATCCCAAGAATAAGTCGGACAACGAAAAGTCCCGCGAAATTTGTGCATGCAGCATGGCAGCACAAAGCGATAGACCACACTAATATATTAGCACTGAATGCATGTGAGTGATAGATTAGAACCAGGGACTATTATTACTTGCCTCATCCATTTTCCAACGGGAAATCTTTGCAGCGCTAAGTTCTGAGGATACTCGAAAACGAGATAGCTCAGATAGAATATAGTACCAAGCCTAACGTCAACAACGATGCTTAGATGGTTGCTCTCGTGACCCAACCAGCATTTCATACCAGTTATACCTATGGAGTGTGAACTTTTGCTGTGCGCAATGGGGAAAATACGCACTGATTCGTAGTCAGATGAGTAGCGGTAGTAATACCCAAGATTGCTGAGCTTCCCAGTGTCGTCTTATCCATGAATTGTACCCTGTGCATGCAGCATCAGCGGTATTGTTGTAATCATCCCAAAACTTGAGTCCTTCATACCAATAGAGCACACACATCAAGGGCAGTATATGTCTGTCGATTTTCTTTCTATAAATGCAACCTTGGTATCATCAAGCAGTGATTCAAACTCTAGGACCCACCGAATCCTGATTGCCTCTGCAGGATCAATATCACCAGCGTCACCAATAAGCGCGGCTGCGGTATCAACTTCCTTCGTCGAGACCTCCACATGATGTCCAGTCTCCGGTTTTGACCCCGAGGAGACCTTTTCGTCGTACTCTGAAGAGCCCATAGCAAAACGCAGAGAGTGAGGCGTTAAGGATGATCATTGTAGTGGTGCTTCTTATTTAAACTAATGCGCCAAGGTTAACGCCATAGTGCACATAGGTGGGAAACTTGATTTGGGGCCCATTATCAGGCAAAGATAAGAGTTAATAGAGGACCGTCCACATGACGAAGTCAAGGATAAAAGTCAGTTGGCGATAAGTGAGTAATTCATGGTGCGGAACACGGAATCTATTCTGGAATCATGGCTTTCTATCAAGCCCAGGAGGACATTGTCTATCGCACGATTCTTGTCACTTCGTGCATAAAAAGGTGGCATTGATTCAGTATCTTGCGAATAAGGATACGGAAATACAATACGTACTGCCAGTCAGAATTCGACGTCGAAGTAAAGCGTAAAATGCTTCAGATTGCCCCGGGATTACCCGGAGAATGCTTCAGGCGCCTCTGTAGTCGACCACGGGCTCCCGATCTGAAAAGACCTTAGGACCGCGAACTTGGAAATTGACATTAATTAACGATGCTGAACATAACTGTGACACCTGTAATACCCAGGACAATAACCAGACAATAACGAACTTTGTAATCCATTTCCAATTGATGGTGTCTTCAGGAATGGTTGTTTGTTGAGATGTTTGAATGGGGGAATGCGTATTGTAGTATTCTAATTTGTGGAGTCTTTCGTGGAAGCGAAATCATGATACAGCACAAGATGAAGACAGTGCAAAAGGTGTTATATTTGAGGCTACCCAGCTGTAAGCAGCTTAAACAAAATACATTCGCAGCGTCGAGATACCCTCCATACCATGTGAATCACAGAATAATATGAGATAGGATTCATGGAATTCCCTGCTCATTCACGTAGCGTTGATTAAGTCGTTCGTCGATTGAACGTCGTCTATGCACTAAAGTAAGCTTAGAAAGTAACAATGTTTGTGAGACACGTACCTTAAGTTCGTTGAGGCAATCACATTCTAGTTCCTCAAAGTCAAAGTTCCATGACGAAAGGACACTTCCGCAGGATCTGTCGTATGATGACAGTTCGTGAGTCGTAGACTCGTTCCCCAAAATACTTGGATCAACCAATGGTCATAGATGTCGCTCCACGTAGCGTTAATAAAGTCGCTCGCAACGGACATTCCTTCTGCAAAGCCAAAAAAAATGAAGACTCAGTATTATAACCTATCGAAAGAGACTAAATATCACGCACCTTGGATGATACAGAACCAGTCGGTTCGATTTCATAAAACCGCAAATTTGCGGTCAATTGTCATCAATGAGTCGATAATAGCTCATTCAACTTGCACTGAGGGTGTTTCATTGTACGAGACCCCAGGGGAGTAATACCCGCCACACCTAGCACTTGGGTAAAATATCATGAATCCGTCCAGGGGAACATGATGGATGAAGGTTCAGTGAATCAAGAAATGAAGGACGAGCCCTTGATTATTCCCACGCGCCATATTCGGCCCTCCTTGGGTTCGAGTCCAACAGCTGCACCCCGGAATAACTTATGACTGTTTCTCTGTGAAAATATGTGTTTCTTAACATGAATATTATGTATGAGTTCATTTTCATGCGTCCTTGTAATGGTGCGACGCATACAGATGAAGATATCGAGTACGAATGATGGCGTAAAAAGTTAAGGCGGTAAAATAAATGAGCGAATGTAGAGTAATGGATGATGATATCGGTAACATCAGTTAAAATTGAGCAAATTTTATTAAACAGTTTCGTATTTTTAAAGTGGAATTATCGTGCTTATATAGTGTTATTGGTATGTTTACAACGATCGAGTTAGCTTTTATTAACAAACAGTGAGATCGACTCTTCGTAATTGTGAAGAGACTCCTAATTTACGGCAAGTTGGACAGCCATGTCCATGTTCAAAGGCATGCGTGATACAACTGATCGGCATAGAGGTCAGATTTAACGCGAGCGGCGAAGGAAAAATTTGATACTCACGTTGAACAGAACATATGCCCGCAGCGGGTAGCACACATTTTCCTCGGAACAAGTAGACAGATCGGACAAGTTTGCTTCAACACTTTCGAGTCCAACTGCTTGTGATTACGCATTCGGGTTTTAAGCTCCAAAATTCTTTTGCCAACTGTTACTTGCGAGAGTGTCTCCGAATCATCAACGAGTATTTCGTCCTCGACATTTTCTCGACGTGTCATTTCCGCAGCGACTCTATTTTCCCAACCTTTGTGACGACGTTCAACAACATACAGTGTGTCTTCATCTTCGTTACGCTCGTCGCGATGGTACGTGGCGTGTGCATTGTGGATTCTAAGTGCTAAGGCACTATCGAAAGATTTATCGCAGGTAGCGCAGTACTGATGACGATTGGATAAGAGGTAATGCTGTATGGAATGATTAATGAGCGGAATTTGTACAGGGGTAGAATGCACCTACACGTCTTAATGAGTTCATGTTCAAGAAACTTTTGGAACAAAGTTCGCATCGAGGGTGGTTATTGGAAGACTCCATATGTTGGCGAAGGAGATTCTTCGAGTACGCATACACGTCGCAAAGAGAACAGTAAAGCTGCTGGTACTCATCACCCGTGCCCTGGAGAGACAAATGGTGGGGTTTACTTTCGCCACGAGCCATTGCTGACAGCGCTGAAGTAGGGGCAGATGCAGTGGACATTGTGCACAGAGGTAGATAGCGAGAGATGATGCAAATTGGTTTGTGTGACTTTGCGAAGAATTGGTTCAAGTGCAAGATCGATTTGGAGTCTGTTCGTGAACTTGGAAGGATTATATACTCTTCAGGATAGGGGCCATTTGGGTAAACGATCGGTGAGTTACATCCGGTGAAACATTGGCAGACTATGTAGTCTCAGACCTCCAATAGCCTCCCCTTACAAGCCTATCCTACGACCGAGAGCCGGAATGGAACTGGGTCATAAGCTGGGGATACACCTAGCTGTTCGTCTCTTGTCGTGAGCAATTCTTAGCCTGAAAAATTATCCGAAGCAATATAATCATCAAAATCTCATGTGGTATCGCCGTAAATTGTTCATACAGTAGAATGGGGGATGTCGGTGAGTCAGAGTCAGGATTCAGTGAAGGTCATTTCCTTAATTACCCTCCTGAATTACCCTCCTGATCCTCCTCGACCAGTGACGACAAGATTGGTCGTCTAAGTCATAGACAATGGCCGTTCTACTATTTGTGTCGGCTTCCTCTCCGAGCTGGAATTTAAGAGTGCCGAGACCGACGTGGAGCTCGAGTTAACTCCGAGGACAGAGGAGAAGAACGTTCCTTCTCGTGGAATGAATGAAATTGCAATGGGCTATGAAGGCTTGAAGTACCAAAGCAAGCTGGAGCGCTCGCTGAAAGATCAGGTCAGTCACTTTGTAACCATGAAAATCATGTTGCGAGTAAAATACAAGATGCATGGTCATACATGGATGTGACATAAGTACTGTATATAAGTGCGTGCAAGCGTTCCACAAGATCTAAGAACTCCAGAAAGTGACAAGAAAATGATTACTATAGAATAACTGAAAGAAAAAAATGTTCGTACGCTCTCAACGTACCTCGTAACTGCGAGTGGTCCAACATGATAGTTGAAAACTCGACTACTGCTGTAAGCTCGGATTACATCACACAACATGATTCAGGACAAAGATCAGGACAAAGTTGTTCGAACCAACTTTCAGAATTGAGGGACTCGTTCGTCTTGATGGCGCCACCTGTCCTTCGAATTTCCATTGTGTACTCCCGGTCAACCTCCCCGACCTGCGGTACTTCATACCACCAGTTGATAGTCTGGCCTTGCACTGACCATCGACCAGCGCTAACAGTGACCTCGATATCCAGAACATCGGGCTGCTCGGTCAGTCCCTCCCAGCCTACAGATGCGTTCGTGATAGTAGGAGTGGTACTTGTGCTGATTTCAGATGGGGAGGGTGCAATTCGAACTTCCCCTCCATCCAAAGTATCGTCCTCGGAAGGGGTCTGTTCGTTTTCCCTGGAAGGCAGCAACCTCGGATGTGCGTAGTGCACCAAAGGTACGTATACCTCTGTAGCCAGGTCCTTATCGTCTATGCCTTCTTCGTTCAACTTGTCTTCTGAGCGTACGAGGACAGTCAACTTGAAGCCAGTCGATGCAATGTCAAACTGGATATTTGAAGGCTTGCCGACGACTTTGGTTGGCCAAGGCCGAGCAAACGCTTTGACGGCTCTAGCACCATCTGTCAAGAAATCAAAAGGGTTTTCTTTCCATCTTGACGTGATCTCACTCCACACTTCTAAAGGACCAAGTGTAGCTAATGATAATGCAGAGGAATCAGCAGCTGATGGTTGACGGAAAATCCGCCCTTGTGAGGCTTCGACCTTCTTCCGTAGAAGAACTGCTTGAGAGTCGTCCCGACCCATACCGTACATGCTGGCCTCATCCCCTTGCTGATTCAGCAGATCTCCGATGGTTGGTGTACGACCAGTAAGGCCAATGTCGTCCGCGCTCCATAAGCTGAGATCTTCCATATTCCACCCGTCTCCCCATTGGTGAGTGCTATCAGGGCAGTATGTCCATATCGTGTAGTTGATAGCATTGGGTCCATCTGCACCGTTTAAGCTAGCGTCCAGCGCACGCTCTTGACGCGAATAGTCCCCTCGATATTTTCCGTCATCCGTCCACCCATAACTCCGTTTATCATCCATGTCGAACGGAGTACCAATTTCACCGATGATTGTCGGATAAGGTCCTAGAGTCAAAGTATCACTCTTGAGTATGCCGAGCTGCTCCTGCAGGCTCTTCCGGATTGCACGTTCGCCGATTTTAACTGCCTGTATGGGCGATGAGTATCTTCCTCGTATCACGCCGAGGGCATCAGCGTTGAACCAGTTCCAATGCCGTGTTATTAAAGTTAGTCCGTCGTAGTAGTGACCGGCGAATGCACAGCGTCCGTTCAGACCGTCAATACCGGTTTCTTCGATGGGTGGGGGAGCAGCAAACACAGGAGGTTGGATGAACATGATGGCTTCAGGATGTGATGCACGTATACGAATAGCAAATAACCGCCAGTGAGAACGCCAGTAATGTTCAACAAATTCGACGACAGGTGTGTTCGGTGATGATAATTCTTCTTCCGAAAGAGCACGACCGTCGATAGGTTTTCGGTCCTTGGGGAGATAGCGAAAGTAGTCTGACCGAAGGATATCGCCTGTCTCGAGGTCCCATACACCATGCTGAGCCCATATACACGTCCCCAGCTTCCATCCCGAATCTCTCTGCCAACCCCATCTCGGATGGATACCATCGGTATCTTCGATATCAGGATCAGCCCACATCTTGTCACCGTTGGGGTCAATGGTAACAAGCCCGTTTTTAGACGGGCCAAACGTGCCGAAGTTCCAATTGTCGACGGTCTGAGCGGTGCCCATTCCAAGGCGGAATGATTGAGCAGGAGTAGGCGAAGAACCCTTCTTCAAGGTGGACCCTTGCTTTGTAGGGTTTGCATTGAGGTCTTCCCAACCACAAAAGCCCTCGAAGGGTTCGTTCATGCTATCCCATCCAATGACACATTCTTCGAGCAGATCCCCGGCATCACGTATACGGTCGGCCATTTGTCCCATAGCCTCTATGTAATGCTCCTGTAGGTAATCTTGAATGTTCTTCCCGTCTATGATACATTTTGGAGCGAAATCGCGGCCTGCGAAGAACAAGGTAAAAATAGTTTGGGATAAGAGTCGACCATAGTTTGTCGACCAGACCATGGCAGGCAAAGATGCGGGTGTTGTTGCAGAAGGTATAGGGTATTCGGAATGTATGATGGCAGCCTGAGTAGATGTAATATTTCGCGGATTTATGCCGCAGGCAGCGAGCGTCCAAAAAGGTGCGCCGGAACCACCTGAGAATCTCGACCACTGGCGATGAAAAATAAGCACTGCTATTGAAGAATCTCTGAAGGAGCTTACAGTGTCTTGGTGAGGATCAATGTATACTTTGAATCCATATTCTTTGCATTTGCGCAATACGCGCACAGTGTAGTCCATGAATTCATAGTCGTACGTTCCGCTACAGGAGCAGTCAGGGTATATCCTGGATACCTGATAAGGGAACATACGGTCCTTCATGTTCCAAGGCTTCCCAGGTGATAGGAAACCGGAGCATGTTGAATCCCCAGCCTCTCAGGCGCGCCAGATGCACATCCGCAGAGCCATCGTCAAGGTCGAGCGGTCTACCTATGAAAGTTTTGCCGCCATGTTCTGCGCTTTCCCAGAAATTATCCAAAATATATGAAGGCTGGTCTACAGGCGCTTTTGATGACCCAGAAAGATTTACACCTCTGAGTAATAGTGTTCGGCCAGCGTTATCGACGAAGTTGGAGTCTAATGTATGAATGAATGAGGAGGTCGTGGGGTTACCAGTAGCAGGAGATATTGAAGGAACTGGGGGCATTTTCCCTTCAAGCCGAATATCGTGGAAGTCAACAACCAGGAAGAGGTGCTTACAATAAAATGGTGAAGGACGAATTGTGGCACCACCTCTACTTACTAGTATGCGGCCCGGTTTTTTGCGATGACATCAGGTCATTTTGAAGCACCCATTTTCCGAAGTACAACCGCACAACAAAGATTTTTCATACAACAAAGTTTAAGTACAGCCCGACACACGTATCATACATAGCACATTCATACGACTATATAACCAGCAACAGAAGAACAACTCCGAGTCCGTCCCTTGAGAAATTCAACAAAATTAACAAAATTGTTCGAAATCAATCATACATTACCTGAATTAATTGGGTGGAAGTTGGATTGAGCTCGTTGATTAGTCCAGATCATGACTACGCTCTTGACTGTCACCGTGCCTACGAGTAGCAAGACGCACGCGACTGTCACCTCTTCCTCTTTCTTGGCTGTCTCCATGTTTGCGAGCAGAAAGGCGCGTACGGCTGTCCCCTCGTTCCCCACTGTCTCCATGTCTGCGAGCAGCAAGACGAGTACGACTGTCACCTCTTCCGCGCTCTTGACTGTCACCGTGACGTCGAGCAGCAAGACGGGTGCGACTGTCTCCTCGCTCCCCGCTGTCTCCGTGTCTGCGAGCAGCAAGACGAGTACGACTTTCACCTCTTCCACGTTCTTGGCTGTCTCCGTGACGTCGAGCAGCAAGACGGGTACGACTGTTACCTCGCTCTTGGCTGTCGCCATGCTTACGGGCAGTAAGGCGGGTGCGACTTTCTCCTCGTTCCCCACTGTCTCCGTGTCGGCGAGCAGCAAGACGAACACGACTTTCACCTCTTCCACGTTCTTGACTGTCTCCGTGACGTCGAGCAACAAGACGGGTGCGACTGTCACCTCGCTCTTGGCTATCGCCATGTTTGCGAACAGCGAGGCGAGTACGACTATTCCCTCGCTCCCCACTGTCTCCGTGTCTGCGAGCAGCAAGGCGGGTACGGTTATCACCTCTTCCGCGCTCCTGGCTGTCGCCGTGCTTGCGAGTAGCGAGACGTACGCGACTGTCTCCTCGCTCTTGGCTATCACCGTGGCGGCGAGTACTCAAGCTCAAGGCCCTTCCACGCTCCTGGCTGTCTCCGTGTCGCCTCTTCTAAAAATGATACAAGTTGAGAATTCCAGTGATTACAAGTGGGATCCAATGAAGAGAAAAATACTGACATCGACTACAAGGGAACGCCCAACACGTTCGTCTTCATTAGCACTGATCTCGCGAGTGCTAGTATTGACCTGTAGAATTTTGATAAATGAGAACGGGAGGGTGACTAGTTTGAAAAATAAGTGCACTCACTGGAATAGCTGTAGTGGTAGAGAGCACAGCAGCAAGAACGAAAATGACAAAGTTCTTCTTGAACAACATGGTGATAAATCGAAGATGTTAGTGGCTGAATGTAGAACCTCTGGAATGAGATGCTGGGGGAAGATCGAGAACAAGGCAAAGTATTTATACTGATTTTCGTCGAGAGTTAACGCAATTCTTCGCAGATGGGGACGCCAAGGTGAAAGAAACCATTGAACTTCGAGGTCTCGTCAAGAAAGATAGGATAAATGAGGAAGTCGATGCTTAAGAAGGCACCTACCCTGTTTTACCGGAAATTATTAGCACTCAAAAAGTGCAACCAGTGCAATAAGCATAGAGGAATGGTCACTCGTATATTCAATTGTACACCGATTTGTTGATCGACGATGTCTGTTAACCGCGAGAAGGGAAGCTATTCTGTATCAGGTTGATAGAAGCTGATCTCGAGGAGCCACAAAAACGCCAAGTAGTGGATCCAGAGAAAAGACCACCCTTTAAGGTGAAGCCAAGGTAACAACATTGGGAAAATCACTCCTAGGAGTTCCCAGTCCAACTCGAGTCGTGGAAATGAATTCCGGTCTGCTGAGGATAATCGAAAGCCTTGTCTTCTCAACGCCCTACCCTATAGACATTCCGCTGAGAACTTTGACGCGCTCTAAAAGAACCGGTGCTGCGCAAGAACTTTAAGGAAGGTCGGTTGGTAAACAAAATTAGCAGCTTTGGCTGCGCTTGAATCATGGTCGGAATTTCTCAACTGCTGACTGGACCCGTATTGGACCCGTAAGACTTTTGTTTCCTTCAGGTTTCCTTGCTTTCCTCGGTCAAGTCCAGGTCAAGTCCTGGTCAAGTCTATAATGAAGACAGAATGAAGATAATGTCGTACGTTAGGCGGAATTGTGGGAATAATTCTCTTTAGGGAGTCAAGGATTGTAACAGTGTGCCACTGCCAGAGTCTAGAACACTTCTCTGACTTCGATTTAATTTCAGAGCTTCGTAGAAGTACTCTGGAAGTACTGAAAGTCAGACGATGTATTATTTCCGGCCCACGTGGCCTATCGATTTCCGCTGACATATAGTGGTGTCCAACAGAGTTCAACTCGAACGCGTGTTTTCCGTTCCTTCGACAACGTTTCTGGGCATCTTTGATTTCTGTCCCTCTTGGGACGCTCTGTATCTCTTACTGGCAAATATCAATGACCTCCAACGGTGGTAGGAATCCAAATGCCGGTTTCAACGGTGCCCCACCGAAGTCTGTGACCAACTTTTATCCCCGAATATCGCACTAACATTATTTCGAACTGTCTAGGTATCTCAATGATTTCAGTAAAGCTCTAGCGGGTGAAGTCCGTATATTGCTCGAGGAGGTCGGCAAGCTGAGAGATGAGCGGAGGCAATTGCAATTGTACGTTCAGCTGTGGTCTGTGAACTTTCTCATCCTAACCCGTACCTCTCAGTGAGATTGCTGAACTGATGGCTGTGAAATCCAAGCATAGTCTTGGTGGCCAATATGCACCCCCAGAATGGATTGCAAAAGTTCGTTACAAGTCTTGGGTGACTAGTTGACAGCTCACATCCTTCAACAGCAACTCGAGCCTCCTCCGGCGCCTCAACCCGAAGAAGCGCCTCCTCCTGCTCCTTCCCAACCTGCACCTCCAGGTTGGCGAACAGTTCACAAACGTCCTGAGCGGCGTCCAAAATCCACCAAGGCGATCGAACCACAAGTACCACAAGCACCTGTATTGCCTGCTCCGCATCCACATATGGCAAGTGGGCCTAGTGTACCCGCGTGGGCTCAGTGGAGACGTATGTTGAAGATCTTGGTCCTTTGTTTTCATGGTACTAATCAAATCATCATATCCACATATAGCGAACCCAATACTATCTCCCGCGCCAAGGCAGGGTACTCCTGCTCCGTTCCCTGGTGTCGCTGCGCCAGCTCCCTCTTCGAGAGGTGGCCTTTTCGGTATGTAAGAATTATACTTTCCAGCGGTTATTAAATGCGATACTTGTATTCAGGGCCCCCTTCGCCTCCTCCAAAGTAACGGCATTACTTACGCCTACAATGTTTCATGAATGTCTCCATAAAAGTTCTATGTGTATTCCCAATGTATGTATGTATTCCTAACCCTGTTCGATTATGATAGATGCGGTATCTGTCTTGAACACACAATGACCGAGGACCTGCTATATCCTACACAACCCTACACCCAGCTCTAAGGGCGTGCAGGTCCCGCGTGCAGGACAGTCGGGCGTAGTAGGGCATGGTCAACTTTGAGATATATTATGTCCGCCGACGGACCTTTTTCACAACCGTATATTTATTGGATATGCCTGGTGAGGACCAGTGAAGACCATGCTCTACGATGTTGGACCATACTGGTGGAAACCCACCCTCATCGGCGCAGATCGATGTCCACCTTATATCAGGGGGTCCGAGGCTGGCATCAGAAGGTTGTGAGGTAAGGGACGCTTAAATCCCCTATACCGTGTACGTTCCTGATTTCACTCAAGATACTACATGAAGACTACATGTGAACTGAGGCAATTTTTCGCTCCCCACTAATTACCAGTCTATAGCAGCTTGCTGACTCTCGCCGAGTTAAACAAGCTGTGCCAAGAAGGATTGACTCAGGGGAACAATCGGATTTTTCCTGTTTGCAAATTTGGTCCCCTGTGTCATCGGTCTCAGACAAATTCAACGAACTGTCGCTCTAGTAAAAACCGTATAAGTAGTTACTGCTCAACCTTAAGTGTCAACACAGTATTCCTTCCAACATGCCTACCATTAAAATTGACCAGCTCGCCGGAGGGCCTATCACTTTCCGTTACACAATCTCCACCCCTACATCGAACTCGGCCAAAAAAATCGACCCCAAACTTCCAACCGTGCTTTTCTTTCATCCTGTATTCGTGCCACAAGAGGTCTTCACATGTACGTTGTTGTCTTTCTGCAGCTTTTGTCAGGTTTGCTCATTCCTTCATTTTCGTAGTCCAATTTAGCAACCCTAATCTTCGACAGTTTAACTTAGTAGCTGTAGACATGAGGTCCCATGGCGAGTCCAAAGGCAAGATACCACAAGACTTTGATCAGAAAATGGCTGCAGAAGATATGTCGGCCTTCATGGTAAATCCCGACGTTTCGAACCATTTCCTCACAACTCAACGTTTGTCTTAGAGAAAAATGAAGCTTCCTCCCTGTCATATCTTCGCACTCTCGTTGGGGACAATCATCGCGGTGCAATTAGCGATCTCTCACCCTGAACAAATATTGTCGCTATTTCTCATTTCTCCTCTCGGATTGGAAGAGGTACGATTCATCTTATATCGTTTTGAAAGCGCTTCTGAACAATTCTCAATGTCCAATTAGCCACAAGACGCTGCGGAAGGAAGACAGGCCATTCATGACGCATGGGTTGAGGGATGGCGGGATGGTGTCCCAAATGAGGAGGAGTTAGCCTATTCCGTGCGCGGTGCTATAGAACTAGCTTTCTTTGACCCTACGAATTCAATGGTTCAAGCGTGAGTTACTCATTCGTGGTTCAACATTGGCTCTAATCCTCCGTAGTCTCTGTTCCCTAATCATTCCCAGTTGCATGAAAAATTGGAATGCCTCGCATTTGGATGACTATCGTATTACTACTTTGGACATATTCTTAGATCGTCGGCCTCATCCTATAGAAGAGCTTCGGAAAATAAAGGTCCCGGTCAAATTAGTGCACGGACTGGCCGATGTTGCGTATCCCTTAGAATACTCGAAAGATTTCCTCAATCACCTTCGAGATGCCGATGTAGACGTTAGTTTGGAAGCTATCGATGGTGCGTCACACTTTGGCTGCGTCGAGCATCATGCGATGTAAGTTTAATCACACGTTTTTCATGCCTATAAATGTCTGAATGGTATCCAGTGTGAATCCAATGTTCCATGATTTCATCACCCAGCAGACCGAAGGTTGTGTTCAATCGACCACGAAGGAGATTGTCTCTCCTTGGGAGGTATGCGCCAAATGATTTCGTACATGTTCCACCTTTAATCGTGCTCATATGCAGTGCACACTCAAAAAGCACGGCTGGGTCGACGCTGAAAACATGCTTGATGATTCAGACGACGAATAGAGCTTCATTGGGAAGACACTGTATTTCTCCATGTCATACATATATCCTCTTCTGCATTCTATTGCTTAGGTACCGACGTTTTTATTTCACATAGTTTACGAGTTCCTTGTGAGGTTATAGATTAATATTTACATTGAAACACTTGAATGGATCCTTCATGAGCGAAGTCGAAATTTGACATACGATTTCTTTCTGTCATGTTAGCAACTGCATCCTGCTACATCGAAAAAATCGCACTAAAATAGAAGAATTATTATCATTTCCACAAAAAAAATGCCAAACCCGGCAACAAATGTTTTGGGATCTCCGCGACGCGTTGTAACTACGCGCGATCAGTCACAGTACGTTTTATATCACGCGTCCACTTATTGCGTGACAAATTCTTCCTTTTACCTGTAACACTCACCTCATCAGCGATGGCTGAGGCGTTATGTGACATATGCTATCAAGTATTTTCCCTGGACGGATTCTGGTTCTCAACTTGCGGTAGGTTGAAGCTCCAAGGCCTGCTGGGCTCAACGAAAGTTCGACATTTTGATGACATCGACAGGCCATGGATTTTGTGAAACCTGCACTACATCACTGGACAAGACTCGGACCTGTCCTACTTGCCGCGAACCGAGGAAAAAGGCAAACATCCACAAGATATATTTCACATTGCCTGAGGAACAGGAAAACGCCATCGATGTTCAATCTCAGGCTCAGGCATTGGCCCGCTCAATGGCCAATATTCATTCATCTTCAACATCATCTTCAATAGACAGAGTTGTCGACGGGCTCAAGAAATTTTCTGGGAGGCTCGAGGTTGATGCAGAGACTGCGGTGTGTGAGATTATATCAGTCTTAAACAAATCAGAAACTCATGCCCCTATTCAGAGTAAGCTACTCGGAGTGGCGAAGGATATGAAGGATAGATTACAACCAATTTTCTTCCAATTGCAACTCGAACGGGACGAGAAGCGCAATCTTCAACAGAAGGTCAATCTATGGCAACACAGGGTTACTCAAGTTGAAGCGTCAGAAGTTGAAGTGGCAAGATTGAAGAAAGAACTTGAAAACGCCAAGCGCGCTAAACTAGGAATGGTAGCCGAAAATTGCCGACTTACAAAACGGCTTGAAGCAGAGGTGACCGAATCTGAGAAGCTACGGAAGGATGTCATTGACGAGCGACGGTTAACCAAAGAACGGGATGAACTAGTGCAACAGCTCGAGCGAGAGTTGGAGAACGCTGGTAAACAGGTACGTTATAAACAGTCTCGTTTTTTCGATCTCTAATTTCCGAGCAGGCTGGTTTAACGAACAAGAAGCTGAAGGTCCTAGCTCGTAGTTCAAATCGGATGCCTGCTGCAAACAGTGCCGACGACTCTCTGATAGTTGAGCCAGCCGTTTTGGAATGCTCATCCTCCGTACCACCTTATGGGAATGATCTTGATCAACAAGGGTCATTCCATGAAATGGGAAACATTCTTGAAGGTTGTTAATCTTGCACTGTTGATGGACTTAGGCTCGACTTAATCTACTGTCGTTAGACGATGGCGAAACAAGGTTTCGCGTACGATCGTAACAGTTTAGGCTCAAGCGTTTGTTTCGTACCTCTCGACTCCACGAAGCGCGTGAGTTGACTATTTCAGTGTTCTCCTTTTCTCAAACTTAAAATTCTTCATAGTCCATTGATTTCCATAAGCGTATGTACCCCTACCTACCTCGATGCGTACTGAAGATCATTTTCACAGCCCACCCAGACAATATCATTGGACCTGTCCTCCTCAAAGAATTTAACAGAAAGTTTCGCAAGTATTACGGACGGGACTTGGTTAATTGTCAATGATGAGATTCAGTGCTCAGCCTGAGCATTGCTACAGAAGTAGATTGTACAGTACGTGACTACGAGACAAATAAATTTTGCTTCTCGAGTGTGAACATTCTTTCCTTGGTAGCTATTGGGCTATAGAATTAGGATCACATGTATCCGTCGAACTATCAGCGTGTCCCCGAAGAACGACAGTGCACCATCTCATTAACCACAAAGTTCTTCAACTCGCAGTTTCGCTTTAGCAGAGTCGATTATCAAACCCATCTATAGTACATTCGTCTATAGTACATTCGGTTATTTGTAAGTATGCAATCCCCTCGTGTTCTAAATATTACATGTTGGGATTCCTCACGGACCCATAGCCCTGGACTCTGGGTTCAAACGGTGGCTTGCTTCAATGTCCAACCTTCGTATCCTTTAGCTACCGAGTCACTGATTGCCTTGTAATACGCAGGCACACCGCCAGGGAACTGAAGAATTTCAACTTTTTTACTGAAAAGAACATCAGGATGATAGCGTATCGAAGGCAGATTGCTACTTGCCCTTCAATATTGCTTCCCATATACCAGGAGTGCTTCGCTCCCATCCAAAGGCCCATCGATGCGATTTGTTGCAGTTGCTCACTCCACGCGTCTTGTGCTTCTTTACTGCTCAAACAATCATTAGTCATGTGTTGTGTCGGATGGAGTGCTACTCACGACGGTACAATATGTGATATTTTGTTCTCTCGGCAGTGCTTAATGCAATCAGCAATCCACTCGCTGGTGAACTCCTATTTGAATATGCCGTTCAAACTCATTTCAGGATACGAAACCCTAAGTAATCACTCACAATAGTACTTGGACCGTTGCTAAAGGCAGCGGGGGATTGCGGTCCATAAATCCAGAACATGTTGGGGTACGTCGCGCTGCCTAATCCGAGGTAAGAACGAACACCGTTGACCCATTTCTCTTTAATAGGGACGCCATCTTGACCACGAATGTCGATAGAGGTGATACCCCCGGTGACCATGTCAAAGCCGGTAGCAAAAACCAGTACATCAAGTTTATGTTCAATCCCATCGCTGGTTTTAATGCCATCTGGAGTGATTTCGGCGATCGGAGTCTTGTTGACATCAACAAGCGCAACATTGGGCTGGTTGTAGACCTCAAAGTAGTTCTGAAAGCCAGTCAGAGGTTTTCGTAAATGGTAAGATTTGAACTGACCTGCTCCAAACTTGGACGTTTCACTCCGAAAGGATGCGGAGACTTCATTGGCGCTAATTTGTCCTTCATTTCGGGATCGTTGATACGCGCTCTAGTTTTGTCTCTCCAGAAAGCGTAGGCCACGTCATTGGCGTCCTGGTTGAAGAAGATATCGCCATACGATCCGATCCAGAAGTGGAAGCCACCCTTCTCCCACTTGTCCTCGTAATTTAATATACGTTCTTCGAGAGTAGCCTCAAGAGTAGGCTTCATGTCGAGATCATGGAGATAGCCTGAGAACGTCTGGTTTCGTCGACCAAATTGGATAGGGTATAGGTATTCCTTCAGCTTCTTCTGCTCCTCGAAGTCAAGCTTGGTCTGTTTCATAGGCAGGGAGAGATTGGGAGTACGTTGGAAAACTGTAAGGTGCTCTACGACGGGGGCAATCTCTTGGATGAACTGAACACCTGTAGAGCCAGTCCCAATGACCCCGACCTTCTTTCCCTTGAGGTCGTAGTCTGTGGGCCACCGCGATGTGTGGTGCACTTCACCTTTGAAGGAGTCCAATCCTTTGTAGGGAGGAATGTAGTATTTCGAACCGATGCCTGTGCACAAACTGAGCCACTGAACTCGGTACACGTCTCCGGCCTCAGTTGTAAGAGTCCAACGATCAGTGGTATCATCCCAAATCGCGGACACTACGCGCGAGTTGTACGAGACGTCTCTGCTGAGATCGAGCTTCTTGTCGACGTACTCGAAATACTGTTGAATTTCTCGCCAGCCAGGGAATTTCTCTGTGTAATTCCAATCCTTGTAGAGCTCGGGATCCGAGAATTGATAGATGGGATTTTCAGAGTCGACCCTTGCTCCAGGGTAGGTGTTCCAGTACCTATATATGTAAACTGTGAGTAGGTGTAAGCAATCAAAATCTATTCAGTCACTACCAGGTGCCTCCCAAACCACCACCGGCTTCGAGGAGTTTGACTTTGAGTCCCAGTTTCCGGAATTGGATCAGTTGGTGAACACCAGCGAAACCAGCTCCAACGATAATCGCGTCGAATTCCTGTACCTCTGACATATCGGAGGGAATATGGAGGCTAAGATTTTCAGTTTCAAGCTTTTATGGAGGTGCATTGATCCCATTTCCATTTCAACTTGACTCTTACTTTCCCATATTCACGGTACGACTAACCGAAAATGGGGCACGCGGAAAGGTCTGTCTTCAATCTTCTCAGACCAGGGTATAAGTGGATGATCTGATACAACTCTTGGGTATTCCCTAACACCGCTCGTGAATATCGGAGAGACACGTCTAATTATGATGGTGTTGGTGCCCAGATGCTTTCTAAACTGCAAACTTGGAAATCGACATCATGTCAGTAGTGAGGCTGGAATTATTAGAGGCCAATAGAAGGCGCAGCAAAGAAATGATTATTGGAAGTGAGTGCCCATTGTATCAAGCCAAGTTTAAACCCGTTAAGTTTCGGAGTGTTTCGTTGTTTTCATAAAATGGTAGTCTTTCTTCGAAAAAAACAGAGAGGCTGCTCCACGGCGAAACTTTGAGATACATTTTCGCCGCTAACAGGTAGACCAGAGTTAAGAATCAAACGAGGATAGGTGATTCTTCTTCATCATCGAAGGCGAAGCTAGGCGAAGGATGCTCTGATATTATGAAAAAAGAAGCGGGAGCGAACAACAAGTTAAATGATACAAGTCATCTTTCGACAACCGATCAGCTGTCGGACCAGGTAGTTAATCTTAGGCCCACAATTCAAATCCTTTGTCTTTTCACGCTATTTTCACGGTGTGGGTCTCGGGTTCCGCCGCCAGATCTTGCATTCAGCATTGCTGGTTCAAGCGCACATTCTTCTTGATTACATGGACCCCAGTTTTGTTACTGAAATCGAACCCCGGGCACGACCTGCTGACTGGTGGATTTTATAGATTGAAATGCGAAAGCGCAAGGGACAAGTTGGAACTAGGCAAAGATAGATACGAGGAATGATCTACAGTACACCCAAACAGCGGTTATAACCATTCAACAGTCTGGATGGGGATCAGATTTTGATTTCGTCAAGGATGAAGGACATACTGCAGGTGGTTTAGATGAAATGTCATAGGTCACTCGATTGATACCGTTGACTTCGTTGGTAATTCTGGAAGAGATGCGCCGCAGCACTTCAGCTGGAAAGACATACCTTAAAGACGAAGAGTCAGTTCCCCCAAGTAGATAAGATGCTATAGACCCACCAATCGGCCGTCATAAAGTCCTCCGACTGTACTGCACGTAAAGCGATAACCTGGATACGTATATGAGAGTCGGGCGTGATGTATGTCAGCGGAGAACCCTCACCTGCTCGTACGTCCTAGCATCGCCCATCACTCCAACGGCCCGAACTGGAAGGAGAACAGCAAACGCCTGGGATATTTCATTGTACAAACCGGCGTTGCGAATTTCTTCGATGTAGATATTATCAGCTTGCTGCAGGATCTGAACTTGCTCTCGGGTTACGGGACCTAGGATACGTATAGCTAGCCCCGGTCCAGGAAAAGGATGTCGTTGTACCAGTGGAGCAGGAATAGAAAGAAGACGGCCGAGGGCTCGTACTTCATCTACAAAATGGGGAAGTCAATGTCAGCATTCTTAACGTGTTGATTAGAAAGGACAAAACCAACGATACCTTTGAATAACTCGCGGAGAGGTTCTATCAACTTCAACTTCATGTCTTTAAGCAAACCGCCAACGTTATGGTGCGTTTTGATGGTAGCGCTGGGTCCCTTGAAGCTTATACTCTCAATCACATCCGGGTAAAGGGTACCTTGCAGCAACCACTCGATTCTGCCTTTAGCATCAGCACCTTTTTTCTCCGCTTCGTTGGCTGCGGCTTCAATTTTGGTGGCTTCCTCCTCAAACACGTTAATGAACGTGTTGCCAATAATCTTACGCTTTTTCTCGGGGTCCTCGACGTCCTGGAGGCGCGACAGGAAAAGATCCGACGCGTCTACGACGGTCAAGTTAATACCAAGATTCTTATTCAGCATTTCGTGAACCTGTTTAGCTTCGTTCAAGCGAAGGACGCCATTGTCTACCATTATCGCATGGAACCTAACAAATCGAAGTAAAGTCAGAAGGACGCGACACGATAAAACATCTACAAATGGTACCTGTCCCCAATGGCTTCATGCATGAGCTTGGCTGCAACTGTGCTGTCGACACCACCACTTACTGCTCCAATGACACGTCCTTTAGGCCCGCAGATTTCGCGAATGCGAGCAATTTCTTTGCCGATAAATTCTTCCTGTAATTCAGCTCATTAACATCATTAATAAGGTCAAAAATTTCCACAAACGAACCATAGTCCAATTGGATCGACAACCACAGACATTGAGGATGAACCGACCGATGACCTCTTTGCCCCTAAGAGAATGTGTTACTTCGGGATGGAACTGGATGCCGTAAAAAGGCTTGGAGTTGTGAGCTACAGCAGCGAAAGGGGCTGTTTTGGTGTGTGCAATGATGTGGAAATCAGGAGGGATTTCGCATAGTTGATCACCGTGCGACATCCAGACCTAAACCACAAGAGGATCAACGCCGATCTGCGAATGAAGCTAGAGCATTGAGTAACCTGCATTTCTTCCCCAAGTCCTTGGAACAATGCATCAACTGGAGAGTCTCCTTCATGGATTTTATTGATCTGTAATTGAGCAAAACCGTATTCTCGATGTTCACTTCTTTCCACTTTTCCTTTCAGTGCCCAGGCCATTTCCTGTGATCTCAATGAAAACAGTATAACTACCCCGACGAATGATCGCACCTGGAGCCCATAACAGATACCCAAGATAGGAACTCCGAGATCGAACACAGCGGGATCGACATGAGGAGAATCCTTATCGTAAACAGAGTAAGGCGAACCAGAGAGGATTATTCCTGAAAACAGATCGTTAGCGTCATTTTACAAATAATCCAAGGAAGCGCACCTTTCGGCTTGAAATGTAGATCTACTATTTTCAAAGTACACGGTTGTAATTCGGCATAAATGTTGTGTTCACGACATCTCCGTGTAATCAGATGACTGTACTGAAGTTCTGAGTCAGATATATCACAATAATAGCTAACGATGTGAGCTGACCTGGGAGCCAAAGTCGAGAATGAGTATGGTATCGAACTGGTGGTGAATCTCTGCCATTTAACTTGACGAACAAAATTATCTATCCTAAGCGCCCGAAGAAACTACAACACGTGGTCACCCTGTAGCCACTTGAAAAACGGTTATCGTTATGTAATATGTATCGATCTGCAGTTAGTTCCCGCTCTTCTGAGTCTTTAAGCTAAGCTTCATACATAACCGACCCCTTGCGCACATTATAACATGGAAGGTTCCAAGAATCACATCTTCTTTAAGAGCAATAATCAGTGTGGACTAGTCACAGGACCAGTCACCGAGCAGCGAGCGCTCTGTTCATGTACTGATAATCATTGCAACGATCTCCGAAGGTATTCCTAATCACAAGGTTTGCGTCGGGTCTGCTCTCTGGCGGGAGGGCCGAAAGAATACAGAGGAAATAGTGTCATCTTCCTCGACTGAGCAAGGTCCAAAGCTAACCAAATGCCGATCTGGACTACGACGGAGTCGGTCAAACTCCTAAGACCCACGACCAGTGACAGGGACATTGAACACAAGATACGTCCACATTCGGTGTATTACATGATATGTCCCAATTTGGAAGAGTATTAGGAGATAATGGCAATAAATAATGTAAAAAAGAATGAACAACCCCATCAAGGATTGAACCCAAGAATTCCAGCAAAAAAAAACACGATGAAAGCGTTGGAACCACCTACACCATATAGACATAATGATTCAAAATCATTACATATTATTATCAGGAATTAATTTACTATGTATATGCACCAAATATTCCGCTCTCCTCAGGGTCCCCCGAACCGGAAAACGTCGGCAGGCACACTAAAGCTCCATTTGGTGTTTTGAAATATCCGCCAGCGCCTGCGGCGCACCTAACCCCCTAACTGCGCTTCGCGCAAGCCGCCTTCGGCGGCACCTATCCCCCTAACGAAGTGTGCTGATTGTGTGGCAAGTAGACCCACTCCTTCATGTTGCTATGCTAACCCCAACCGGAGTGGGCCTTTACATTGCAGAGTGTTAGTGACTGTAGTCTCACTGTCATTGTCACTAAAATTCAATTTTACAACCACTTACTATTGCCAGTGAAATCAAAAAACCTAAAAAACTGGTAGTGCAGTTGATTATCAATTATATCTAGTTACAACTTCTCCGAATGTTCTGATGTTTATCGCTTACCCGAGGTTATCTCACGTCTACATCTTGACCAACAGCTACAAATGAACGCCGCAGAAAGAAGATTTTGCAAACGCTTTTCCCTCCATGTCTCCTCCTCTTCCAGATCTTGACTCACCCGTCAGCATACCGGAAATTCTCCAATACTATCTCGATAACAATCCCTCTTTCGCAGCCTACGTATATCCAGAGCATGGGACTGGAGACCTCGCCGAAATATCGATGCTTGAATTTATTCGAGCTGTTTATCGGGCTGGAAATGCGGTTTGTAGAGACTCTAAGCCTGGTGAGGTAGTCGCCATCATTGCCAATCTTGATAATCTAGTGTATATGGCACTAATCGCGGGCCTTATGAATGTGGGCCTTGTGGTAGGTAAATCGACTTATTCAAACCTCCTTAATCTGATATGCGCCAGCCTTTCCCTATATCACCGCGGAATTCATCACTCGGTATCGTTGATCTACTACGTAAAAGCTCTGCACACCGACTGCTCGCTACGCACGCTACCCTGAGCGGGCTAATCGATGAACTCAAATCAGAGATTCAATCAGGCGGACCGTACGTGCTCAACATCGAGGAGGCTCCGAACCTACAACAGGTGTTTCCATATTTAGCAAAAGAGACCTTGGAACATCCGTTCATGCCTCCATTTCGCACTTTTACCCCGAAAGATACTGATACTGTGCTTTATCTGCACTCGTCGGGTTCTACTGGTTTTCCCAAACCTGTCCGGCTTTCTTATCTCAACCTCAAAGACTACATTTCTGTTCGTAAGTTCTGATACCATTATCAATGTATCGAATTTCACTCGATTGCTTAATTTAGTGTGCATGGAAGAGATGCGGAGTCTTGGGTTCAAGCGCTACGGTGCGGCCGGTTTACCACCTTTCCATGTAATGGCAGTGTTCAACCAGCTCTTCGTCGCATTATATGCCCAAATCACCGTCTGTTTATTACCTCCGGTGGTAACAAAACCTGATGCCCTTCCTGTGATGATGTCTGCCGACAATATACTCGAAAATGCGAGGCTTACACAGGCTTCTGCTATCCTTACTATCCCCACATTCCTGACCATCTGGTCTCATTCAGAAGAAGCCGTTCGGCAGTTGACTCAATACACCCTCGTGGTACGGCGTCGTATCCTTTGAGAGCCACTTTCTGATTTCAGCTTCGTAGTTCTATGGTGGTGGACCGCTCCCACCAAGCACCGGCGATTATCTAGTGTCCCGCGGGGTCAAGGTTGTCACAGCGTATGGCGGTACTGAAATGGGGTTGCTAATCAAAGCTACTATTGATCCGAAAAACTGGTCGTATGCGGAGTTTTCGGACAAGTGCAAAATTCGATGGATGCCTCAAGGCGATGGAACTTTTGAAGCCCAGTTTTTAGTGTGTACTTTTCCCTACAAATTGTTGTATTTATTTCTACTGTTCTTACCTCCCTTGAAGACGACAAATCTCCATCACCCTGCAGTCGAAAACATTTCTGATGTAAAAGGTTATGCCACTTCCGACCTATTTGTACCCCATCCCACTAACCCTAACAAGTGGAAGATGTGAGTTTTCTCGTCCTTCTTTCCGACGTCTACGGCGACCCACGATGATATACAGCGTTGGCCGTGTCGACGACGTGATCATTCATTCGTCCGGCGAAAAAACGGTAGGTCCACGCGGAAAGCGAATGCATTCTAAGTACCAGTAAATTTGATGTACGATATGCGTTTAGGTACCCGGACCTATGGAATCCATTATCACAGCAACTCCCTTGTAAGGGTTCTTCTACGAAACCTGTAGAAGTGAAGTCTACACTGATCTCTTGATAGAATTCAAGGAGCCGTCATATTCGGACGGGAGCGCGACCAAACAGGTCTCCTCGTAGAACCGTCGATGACTCATGAAATAGATGTGACAGATCCTGCCCAAATTTCTGCATTTCGAAATTCCATATGGCATGTTCATTGTTTCATCTTCTGATAACAATTCATACTGATGACCTGTACTGGCTACTAGGAATCTGGTGGAAGACGCAAATCGAATCGCTCCCGCTTTCAGCAGAATTTTCAAAGAATTGATCTTAGTTGCTTCGCCCGACAAGCCTCTTCCTCGAGTAGGAAAGGGTACCGTTGCTCGAAAAGCTGCGTTAGCATTGTACGAACCTGAAATCAATCAGCTGTCAGTGCATTTCCTTTCCCGTGCTAGTCACATTTCCTCAGTTTTGTTTCAGGTATGCAATCGTGGAATCAAACTCTGGTGGTGATTCGGTCGATCCTCCCAAATCATGGACAGTGGTGGACGTTGAATCGTGGCTTGTTGCTCAAATAACGGATATTCTGTCCAGTGGGATCAACGTAAACCCCAAGCTTGACCTTTTCGAACAAGGCTTCGACAGGTATCTGCAGATTTGATCCAGTGATGTATGATGTATACTGAAGGCTTTTCAAGTCTGGTATCTACCATATTGCGATTGCATATCGTGAGCGCATTGCGGAAAACTAATGCTGTTTTTGCGAGAGAGGTCCCTCAAGGTGTTGTATATTCGCATCCTACGGTGGAGCGTCTTGCGCGGTACATAATCAGTCTTGTCAACAACCTTGACGCAGATGCCTCTTTGGCTAAAACACGACCACAGCTTATTGAAGAGATGATTGAAATGTACTCTCAGGGATTGGATGCTCCTTTTCCTCCTCCAAAAATTCCTCTCAACACTGAGAAACACAACGTTCTTCTGACGGGATCCACAGGAAACTTGGGCGCTGAATTGCTTGCCGGGCTGCTCTCGAATGAGTCGGTTCACCGAGTCTACGCGCTCAATCGTCTATCGTCCAAAGCTTCAATGCTCGATCGACACTCTGCACGGTTTGAAGATAAAGGCTTAGATACTTCATTGTTGTTATCTCCCAAGCTGGTTTTTCTAGAAGGAGAGTCGTCCAGCGACAATTTAGGTCTCCCAGAAAATATGCTCGATGAGGTGACATCTCTCGATTCTTAGTGCTTCATCGTTTTAACTGACGCTAGTTACGTAAAAATTTAACTCTGGTGATCCACAATGCCTGGAGGTTGGATTTCAATCTATCACTTTCATCCTTCGAATCGCATATCAAGGGCGCCCGTTCATTGATAAATCTTGCGCGTTCGAGCCAACACTCGTCCGACATTAGAATTCTTTTCACTTCTTCGATAGCATCTACCCAATCATGGGATGTAGGAAAGGGACTCTATCCTGAGGAAGTTGTCATGGACTCGAGTTATGCTATGGGAGGAGGTTATGGTGAAAGTAAATATGTCACTGAACGCGTGAGTCTTCGTTTACGCTCAACACTTGTGTCCTTACATTTCCCTCGGCTCAGATACTTGTTCAAAGTGGCTTGCAAGTAACATCGTTCCGGATCGGTCAAATATGTGGTGGAGAACCCAATGGGGCATGGGCAATGACTGATTGGCTGCCAATTCTAATCAAGTCCGGCCTTACCCTAAACAAGCTTCCCGATGCACATGGGGTATGTTTTCAACCATTTTGTCATCGCCGAAAGATAACAAATGATAACCGAAATCATTATCGTGTAAATTACCAGGTTGTCTCTTGGGTCCCTATGGATGCCGTAACTTCTACAGTGCTGGATACTGCGTTCCTCAAAGATCGCGCTCCTATCGCTGTCAATGTTGTGCACCCACGACCAATTAGTTGGTCTGTCGTAATGCGAAACATACGACACGCTCTTATTCGCGAGAAATCCCTTTCCCCCGAAGATTTAACTCTGATCCCCTTCCAACAATGGGTATTAGAGTTAGAGAAGCACGTCGATAGTTCTTCCGATGACCTTGTGAGTTACGCTTAGGTCTATTCTAATCACTGTTTCCTTATTCAATATCATCCTAGCCGGCCTTGAAATTATTGAATTTCTTTCAACTTCAAGCCTCTGCTGATGACCGTATCAAAGAAACCCAGGCAGGTGAAAGCCTTGGACTTACTCCATTGAAAATAGAAAATGCGGAAAGGATAAGTCAAACAATGAAGAATCTTGAAGCGCTCGAAGCTTCCATCGCAGAAAAGTGGGTCAAGTACTGGGTTCGGTCTGGTATGTAACATTATGTGAGCGTGTAGTTTTGATATGTAGATGACTCGACGAGACTGTTTAAACATGGCATCATACAAATTTAGAAACGTCAAAGCTGTTCTATCGTTACGGTACACTCCGACATCTTCCGGCTCTTTTTGGTGAGACTTGTTACTGTGCGCCGTAGCGGCATTACCACTTGTACGGCTTGTACGTGTCGGTAATCCAGTTCTATTCAAGTGTCCCTCGGTCACTCCAACGGTGTACAGTAATACAACGAAGTTGGAATGTACGAGCACAAGCGAACGATCGGCGACCATCTCAAATGTACAAAACAATGCGTATTTTTATCGTTCCGACAATCTTCGCAGTGGGTTTGTGATGGGTTCATTTGTCATTGGAAGCGTTTGCAGAAAATTCCACCTGTTCTTACTTGCATCACTCTGATAGGCTGTATCAAGGCTGTATACATGGAACTGCTATTCTCAGCTTCACCGCCATCTGCTCGGCTTCTCAATCTGATACATTGCGATTTTGGCATTGCCTTGAGGTCAACTCAATTCAATTGAGACGAAAAATGTTTTTAAGATTGAAAAATATTGTACGCATACTTCAATTTCCCCGATGTCTCCTTCTGCATATGTTGCTCCCATTGTCGACTCTACCTCCTCCTTCAAAAGCGATATTTTTGCAGGGAAGGTTCTCTTCTGTACTGGGGGGGCGTCCGGGATATGTCGAGGAATGACTGAGGCGATAGTAAGCAATCAGTACTTGTTATACTCCCTCTGTTTGACATCGATCTGCAGATGCGCCATGGAGCCAACGCAGTTATAATCGGACGAAGGTAATTTTCGTCCAGCGCTACCTTTCGCGAATGCTGATTTCCTGGAATCAACAGGCTGGATCGACTCGAACAAACATCTAAAGAGCTGTCTGCCGCAACTGGCAGGACTTGTATACCAGCTCAAGCGGACGTCAGACAACCCAATTCCCTGAAAGAGGCCGCCCAAAAGGCGATCAATGTGTTTGGAAGGATTGACTTCGTTATATGCGGTATGACAGGCCCGGGATTGACATCTTACGATTATTGCGATTGATTGGCCTCAATACAGGTGCTGCTGGCAATTTCATGGCTCCGATATCTGGGCTTTCAGAAAATGCATTCAAGACCGTAATCGAGATTGACACTGTGCGAAACGTCCTGAATCCCTGATGCTTCAACGTAGTCTGACCTGAATTTGGTTGATAGCTTGGTACCTATAACACCGTTAAGGCGACGATCCCGCATGTTCGTGTGACTAAAGGGGCATACATCTCAGTTAGTGCCACTCTCCATTACAATGGTCAGTTCCTATCACTGTTCATGTAAATGATCAATGGAGGTTCAACATATTTCATCTCAGCCACTCCGTACCAGGTACACGTCTCTGCCGCGAAAGCTGCAGTAGATGCATTATCGAATGTCCTAGCCGTTGAGGAAGGACCTCACGGGGTACGATCAAATGTGATTGCTCCCGGCTTCATAGCGGGCACAGAGGGATTTGATAGATTGTCAAACAAGAAGGACAAATCCCATGGCTTCTCTGCTCCCCTAGGTCGATTTGGAGATGTGAAAGATGTTGCCAATGCAGCCGTTTTTTTGTTTAGTGATGCGGCTTCATACGTTACGGGCCAAGTGATTCCCGTCGATGGGGGATCAGAGCATCTCAGGGGTACGTTCTTCCCTTATCCACAATCTGTTCTTGATCCCACGAGCATGCAAAAACTCATGAAAGGGAAGCTATGAATAACGATGTAGAACAATATAGAGTTGACGAGAAATAAATTTGTATCGATATTCCTACCTGAAACCTATGCGCGCGCGCAAGCCAGAGAAGAGCCGAGTCAAATCTTGAATTCAATCACGGATAGAATCACACGTACACATAATGAGATTTTTCACTGTCATGAGATGGAACTATAACTGAGCAGAATTTTTCATCTCGCGATAATGAAAGTTCAGCAACATGCGGAAAGGGCATGATAATACATAGATATGAACAGGACGGCGGAAGTTGGTTGATCATGATTGTTGATCCATATAATGGAATCCCCAGCTTGCTTGGAAGTTTTCATTCCCGATGTCCACGATATCGAGACCATGGTATACCATAGGTCATATTCTGAGAAGAACACTAAGAACACTGACTAGCCGGAATAACTGTGGCCTGGGGTTTCTCCTGCTGAATGTTTGCGTATGCGACGATATATTAAGGTTACGGTCAATGACCAACGTCGGCATGCACCAGGAATAGAGGCCCCGGTTGTACATCGGCCAGGAAAAGTCTGACGATTGTCCGTAATTAGGCCTGACACGGGTTCCCGTTCTCATAGGAGAGGAAAATATTATTATGTCCTAGTTGTGAGCCTACCGTAGACACCAGGTAGAAAATGGTCAGATTATCGGAAGGTCAACTCTTGGATCATTCCGCTAATCAAACCCACTGGTACAAGATAGTAGAGATGTACGGGTATCACTCGATGAACTTGGCAACAATGATGTTCCGGCCAAAGAGTCCCAAGAGTCTTGGAACGAACTGTGTAATAAACTTTCCCTGCCCAGAAAGTCCCAAAATCAAAGTCGCAGTACCCTATACCGAAGTCCGAAGGAGATGGTTTGAACGTGACTGACACTGATGTGAACATCGGTCCTGTCTCAAGACAGGTCTCCCCAAAAATTGAGGTGCCACGCATCTGATTCTCGAATAGCGATGAGCATTTGACGACCACGGTTTAATTAAGGCTGGGCGGTCATATTTCGAATTAGGAAGCCGCATATCTTCGACATAGATATCGAATGTCTTCGACGTGGCGAGAGCTATAGTCTTACAAGTAGAGCGCTGAATCGTTTCATGTCCAAGGACGAGCTAAATTGCGACTCACCACTGGAGAGGATGGCTCTAAACCAATTATCGCGCCTCTGTGCTCGTCCCCTACATCCTTATACGCGTATTCAAGCTAGCAGTCTGTAATCGTGTCATAAATCAGAGTTGTAGTCTTCTGAAAGAATTTTATGACTTTGATTACATAATCAACGACGACCGTGGACAAAGAGTGAGCACCGAGTACTCGGCAGTCAGGTAAGATATGCTGACGCCATGCTGAATCTCTTTGTCACGGTACTTTATGGCGCCACCCGTTGCATGAAATCCGACGGAGACAATTTTTGAAAGGAATGATGAGTATCAGAGCTGTACTGTCCACAGTGACAGTCAAGCGCACCAAACAACTAGAGGCTGAGGCTCTTGTGAAACTTTTTCAATGTCACGTTTGAACTGCCATGGCTTCTTTCCGTGCAAATCTGTTCGCCACTTTTTACTTCGTTCCCATCGTAACTCTTTAGACTACTATCCAGAATAATGGAACTGCAACTTGTATACCGTATCCTACGCAAAATCTCCGACTGGGCTGTTACAGGATATTACTCGGAAATTCTTATCGACGGACCCGAAAACGCTCTCAATATTCAGCATGGCGTAGACGGAAAGAGCGCTAAAAGGACCAATGGCCCAGTCATTCTCTGCTCTTCTCACCATAATGAAATGATCGACATCGCTACGCTGGCTATGACTATGCCTAAATATCAAGGAGAACGCCGGCATGTGTCCTTTTGGGCAAAGGACTCCATGTTCAAAAACGCTGTAGGAGGTTGGGTCATGCGTTCGAGTGGGGCGATTCCTGTGAAGCGCAATCCAAATAAATCCGAATCGGCAGAGTTGAACAGGAAAGTAAAGCTAGGAAAGGAGGACAACAGATCTGAAAGTCTCTTTGCCAGCACCACTGGTACTTTGGCTCTGGGCAAAGTAGTCGGTGTCTTTCCCGAAGGCACAAGCTATACCCAACCGGGAATCGTCCAAGTCATGCCTGGTGCGGCAAGGGCTGCGGTAGAGTATGAAATTTGGCGTCGACGAAACCAAGGGGAAGATATCGTGATCATTCCGGTTGGCATTGTATACACTGACAAGTCGCGTTATCAAAGTCGGCTCAAGGTGCAGTACGGATCGCCAATCAGTGTAAAGGAATACCTGGATGAATCATTCTCTTCTTCGAGTTCATCGTCATCATCATCATCGTCTCTATATTCTTCCAATGCCTCGATAAGTTCATCGATGTCTTATCCAGAATCTTCGGCTACCACATATTCTTTCTCTAACACGGAAGATACATCCATTGCTCGCACACGCGCCGCGACAAAGGCCGTTGCACTTCGAATCGAGAAAGCGCTTTTTGGACTGACCATCAATGCTCCTGACTGGGAGACGCTATATGCCGCAGGAATAATGAGAGATATCATTTTCGAAGGTGAAGAGGTGCCTCTTAACTACTGGGTTTCTGTTTCCCAACTGTGAGTTTCATCGGCCGAAGTGTCGCACATCTACTAATGCCCTTTCTTTTCCAGTTTCGTGGATTACCTCGCGACCTCCACCCCCTCGATTCCATCGAAGGCAGCTGACGAAAACAAGCACGCATTGACCAGATATTTCGCCTTGCTGCACCACACAGGACTCAGTCACGCCGTGCTACAAGGTCTTTTCCCTCTTCCTGTTATACTAGGATCTACCGCGAGCTCTTCGAGCACGAAGACTCCCCCGAAGGATGTGAGGTTCTGGACAGACAAAGAATGGAAGTGGTATCATACTGTAACCTTTTCTGAAAATCTTCATTGTCTCTTTTCAACTTCGACTGCATTGAACATAGCACAATCCCTTGCGATACTTCCTGTCCTTCCGCCGTACCTATGCGCCTTCCTCGTTTCACGTCTTACCGCGCGTATTCTCGCCACCCCCGGCGAAGAAGAGGGCGAAGCGCAGTTCAGGTCCGTCGGAGGCGGTGTCGGCCTGGGTGTGGGGTTAGCTTTCGGCAAAGTTTTAGTCAGTCAGATTTGGAAAAGGAGAGGAGCAGGGATATCAGAGAGTCTATCGAGAAAGGTTGGGCTAGTCGGGAAAGGATTTCAAGTGTTATTGGTTCGATGCGTAGAATCTCTGGGGACACGCATCAATACAAAAACCACTACCGGACTCCTTCGCAAGCACATATTTGGCCTTCCGCAAAATTCAGGCTTTAAAATCATCTCGGAGTTCTCGTCGAACGTTACCCAGAGTCAGATCGTGAAGACATTGATGAGCAGGATACTGAAAGGAACTGGTTGGCTGATAGCAGCGTGGTGTGTGATAAAGTGGTACAACATGTGTATCAAACGTATGTTTGCCTCACATCTTTTCAGTGTTATTGATTGAAGTTTCTCTTTAGGAGCACACACAACGTATACATACACTTTTGCACCCCCAGCGCGTAAATTGTGGATACACCATCTCTCTGTCCTCCTTGTTCTTCGCCGCACTCTGCCCCACACACATATCTTCGAGGACCCGGATATCGTTCCATACCTCACTCTTCCATCGCCACCGACAAATGCATTCATACGAAGGAGAGAGCAAGCACGAACTGATTCGGAAGGCGCAAGTGGATCGACTTCGAAGCCCGAACGACGTACGATTGCTACCTCCAAACTTTTTATGGCTCTGTTGTGTGCAAAAGGAGAGGCACGGAGAGCCGCGCTTTCAGTGGTAGCTTCCAATAAAACTCCGAAACCACTATGATCGTGTCATACAAGGGGTTCTGAGATTTACAGCTTCGTGTTCGGTGTTTTGTTTGTTACTAATGCAGCACATTTGGATACTAATATCGTTCATAGGTTCCAACAAGTGGTTATTACATTGGGTATAATTAAGAAGTGCTTAAAAATCAGTATGGTGCCCAACTATCATCAACTCGTGGTTAGGAAGGGCTAATCTTCTTCGTCGCTGGACTCTGAAGACGCAAGTTTTCTTGACTTGCTGATGTTATGGGTGGTTATTACCGACTTTGTGGAAGCGCGTCTTCTGCGCGGCAAACCACCAGCCTTTGGTTCAAGCTGTCCCTTGGCAGGCATCGAAACGGCGAATGCAGTCCGAGGAGTAATTTGGATGAACTCAATAAAGCCACGGCGCTCTCGGAGGGGTAGTTCGGGTAAGATGAGAGGAGGGGGGACTCGGATGTTAGGAGTATAAGGGAATGCGGGTACGAGAGAAGGTAGAGGATCAGAGGAGGACGAGAGCGCGGGCGGCGACGATAATTGGTTGTCCATGTTGTAAGACGAGTATAGAGTTCGGTAGACGAATAGATTTGGCAACCAGCCTTAAAAACCAAAGGCAGGGATGGTGGTTGTAAAAGTTCGAGTTGCTTTGTCTTTCATTCAGGCGAGAGGTAGAGCAATTTATATCTACATCTTCGGTAATAGGGGTATTGACCTAAACCTGGTCTTAAGACGGATGGAATCCCTCAAGTAAGATAAGTAAAAGTAGCGCGGAGTACTGTACTGGCGAGGGCTAGAGATACAAACACTAATCAAAGTCAGCAAGCATAGAGCTTTTGGAATATACCCACTGCAGGAGAGCGTTCACCCTACGCTTCAGTGAGCACCCTTAGTGTTATTATTATCGTTAAGCTGGTAGTAGCAGCACGGAGCCCGGATGGAAAGTGAGAGCAACATCGGATAGGGCAACGTGTATTCGAACGGGTAGAGGAAGAAGAAGAATCTGAAGGGAGTGTGCCAAACCGTGATGTTGTCACGTTGCCGCGGTTGCGCGCCTATCCTGAGAATAACAATCAAATTCCCTTTGGATTCCCCCAGGATTCCCCTCCTCTGCCCCTTGTCGCGTTGTTCTCTACGCATTTCAAGCCACCAAAAAGCAAAGATTATACGACACTTTATTATCAGTCGTTAAACAAGAATCTCCACGGGCTGGACCGTTTTGGTAGTAGCTCGTTTCCGCCCCCGGAACCTTCCCAAACGTTCAAAGTAAACGTTGGATTCCGATGCTGGTCTTGAACTTGATGTCTTGTTCTATAGCAAAAGTGCTATGCATCTCAATGCCTTCGGTCTTCTCGTCCTCCTATTCGGACAATGTCAACCGGGCCCAGTCTTTGGAAACGGCTTGATGATCATTCCGCCGCTGATCCTTTGTTTTACTGCCAGAGCCAATGCAAAGATCGTGAAGCATAGATGGCGGGACAAACGCTTCCGAGAATTAGTAGCAGACTAGTGCGCATCTTTATCATATCTATCCACTCGATGCACTTATCCACTTTTTGTAGAGAAACCATTGTTATATGAGAATTAGAATATGTCCAAATACGCCATATATTCCCTAGCACCCTTTTCTTGTCATCACCGTCGGATTTCACCGTATCCTTGAGTTCAAGTGAAAACACTCTCAGCCTCACACCATTCTTACCTAGTCGCAAAAATCTTCGAGGCGAGCAAGCTCTGATCGGTTCCAAACTGTGCTACAGTCCCCTGATATTTCCCCGTACAGTGCTTGAAGCGATCTTGTTGACGTTGTTCCCAATTCACGCTCAACTATAATGCTTTCAGCGGGAGCATACTCAGTATCTGTACGAAGATTTACACTGCGATATGTCGGCATCGCATGATCGTCAAGGTCACGATGATTTTGTTGAAGGGGCGACACAGCTGTACAGCAAACTCAACTCGGTTTGAGTGGACAATGGAATGTGAATGTACGGTTTGTTTTATTGCGTATACTATCTATCTGTCTGTCTGTCTACGTACTCCCATATCCCAATAGCTTTAGTCAACTTCAGTCTTTCGTTTTCATCTCTCATTCGGAATTACCGGTGTTGCCAGATTTCTCCGCGGAGCTTCAGTTTTTTGACATCGCACAAATCAATGGTTTACCTGATTGTGCGCCCGGAGTGCAAGGGATTACACCGCAAAATGTCGGTTAAAATTGTATAAGTATCGCACTAGTGCTTTCTCCATTTTTGAGCCTTTTCATTGATGCACTACCTAAAGATTATGAATCCTGCAGGTAAGATCATTCCCCGCATCGCAAGGCCTCTTCATCGGCTTCATCTGCAAGGAATTGACGCAGTCGACTAGTAAAATCAGCCTATTTTTGCTTTCACTGGATGCCTCACAATTTGATTGACATCTCCTAGTCCAATGTCCAACGTCCCACGACGACGGTATTTCACGTCATTTAGTCAACATGGCATAATCCAATGGGAGCTAGTACAAAACAGTATCTTGTGTAGTTTCCAGTATATAGTCTCCGGGTCCGCCTGCGTAAGTCTTTGTGGTTTTTCTCGCTTTTCTTCATTTCTGCTAACATGCCTTCCTTACAAATCCAGACGTACACACTTTCTAAAGGAATCGAACTATCCTTCACTGACAGTGGTGTGCCTCCCGGGTCTGCTGACTACACTACAGTCGTCTTCTTACACGGCGGGATATTCAACGCATGTTTGTACCGTTTTGCAATTCAAGATTCCATCATCTGAGGTACCTTCAACGCAATCATTTCTAGATCAGTTCCACAAAGTTCACGCTCACGCTCACGCCCAGAACCTTCGCACCGTGCTCCTCCATCGGAGAGATTATGCTGGATCCACGTCATATTCCGCAACAGAAATTGAAGAACTTGAGCAGGGAAGCGTGTCATTTTGGGAAAGATTGAGCGCTCAGGTGGCGCAATTTTTGGAGATCTTTATCGAGCGAGAGAGAATTCCAAAGTTGACTCGAAAGCTGTCGAGTTCTCGCGAAACCACTTGCTCGTTCACAGCAACGTCCGTCAAAGAGAATAGAGGAGGAAACGGAGGTATAGCCATCTTTGCGTGGTCTGCTGGATGCTCCACAGCTTTATCATTCCTTGGTGGAACTCAGAATCCTCTAATCTCGAAAGAATTGTATCAGCTTCTGCAGCAGTACGTCGGAAATTGTATACTTTATGGTTAGCGTTTCATAGTATTCTTCAAAGCACGATTAACAAAATGTCACGTTCCAAAAGATCCAACCTATCTCTGTTTCGGATACCCGCTCCCTTCCGACAATCGAAACTACATTCCATGGGATGACCCTATGGTCTCGACTGATGAACTTCCTCAACTCGTTGCGGAATGGGTTAGCTCGTACTATGATCATCCTTGCTACGATCCCGTTACTCGAAGTCTCCCATCGACGGCGACCATAAACGAACTCGATGGAATTCGACTCAAAAGTGATAGAATTTCGATATCCTCTTGGACCGACGAAGAATTGGTCAAGGGCCTCGAAGGAAGTTCAGCCAAAAATGAGACCTTAGCGTTAGTAGGTTCACTCCTAGATTCTGATTACCTTTCATTGTTTCTGTCAGATTTCAACCTTCAGTGCAAAAGACCCTTCGTCAGCTGTCGGAACAAGCACTTTTCAACGAAACCAGTGTGAGTAATTGGTTCCCGGGTGTAGGGGTATCATATATCGGAGGCACAAGATCGAACTGGATGTGCGCCTGGGCAATCATTGAAACAAAGAGAAGATATCTTCGGACATTGTTTACGGGTATCGAAAAGAATGGCCGGTCATATAATATTCGAAAGATACGATTCGTTGACATGGACGGCTTGAACCACGTTGTAAGTTGGTCTTTCTGCTCAACGTTCCGAACTGATTCCACATCTTCCACTGAAGGCGCACTGGGATCAAACCCGAGAGTTCATGGAAGTCATCGCGAAGGAGATCCAACTGCTTTGACAACAACACCTTTCACGTCATGTCATATACTCGTGATTTAGTGACGTCACGCGCTCAATTGGCCAGCTTGTAATGTGTAATGCAAGAGAACAAATGCCTACCAATGCTCTAACCCGCTCTGCCTGCTTTCGCTTACTGTACTTACATCCTTGTCTCCATCTTCGCCGCAGGAATCTTCTTAGAACGTAATCCGTATGGTCCAAATCCTGGTTTTCGAATCACTAATCCAAATCTAGTTTCTGGGGTTTATAACTTACGATACTCTAATTGAGGTGTGCATGCCTTGAGGCTTGGCTCGTGTAAACCAGAACTATGCTGCGCTACAGTTTCTCTGCAGCGCAAAATTCACACAGTAACTGTAGCCGCTTCGGCGCTGCGCATACTTATGGTTCGAAGTATCTTCTCAAAGGCCCGGGCGAACCATTTTCCTTAATCAATATCTATGTATGTAACTTACTAGGATTTCTGAAGGATCATAGCGTAACGTCGTTTTTTGTACGTGAGTCCCTAGGTCCGTTTGGTGTATAAAAAGGTGTACTGTCTACCTCGCACTAATACATCCATTTGCAGCCTTTCGATGCCCGTTGGACTTCCAAGCCTTCGCAATACTGTATGGGCTCCAACATCTATCTTGACTACCGTATCGGAACTGATATTATCTTACACAGGTGTTCTTTCCTACATTCCTTGACCTTCCTCATGATCATTATTTCACTGATTCAGAATGCTCGTACTACGCCGTTTCAAAGGACTCGACCGATATGTGTACTGTTAGACCAAGCAGACACTGGTGTCTCCTTGCCGAAATTGTCGCAGTGCAATCATGGCCCCTTCGACCTATGTACCTCGTAAAGGACACCACCGGCCAAACCTTTCTCGCCGCGTTTCACTACAATGATCGAACGCTGTTTTCGGAAGTCTGGAAGAAAGGCTTGGTGGGGTCGACGATCTGCGTAATGTATGCAAACTTTCATCAATTCGTGGATGGGCAGGTAGGGGTGAGGCTAGAGGAGCCTGAGAGTGTCAAGGTGCGTAATTTGACTCCCTGAGTGTATTCGAGTTTCAGATGTCCAGACCACACTGGTAGATTCTTCCGTTTGGCTTAGAGGAGCTGATTACAGCAAGTGAACTCTTCCGAGCTCCTTGTTCTAGTCCTGTTACTTGTGCTTTCTGTGGAGGGGGTGCATCTAAAAGATGTTCCCGTTGCTCGACTGTTTTTTACTGCAGCCAAGTACGTGTGTCCATCAACTATATCATGAGCAGAGATGCAAAACTCACTATCGTTGAAAGATTTGTCAGGCTCGAGATTGGAAAGCGAAACATAAGAACGAATGTACGGTCATTCAACAGATGAAGAAATGGAGCGAGTTCAGCTGGGATCAATACGATGCTTATAGGGGCTTTACTGGTAACGCTACAAACCTTCAAGCAACATCGTTCATGTTAATCCAATCTTCTCTTCAGACTTCGGCTCAAATCACTAGGGCTTTGCATCAGCAAGCTTTCCCCTTTCACTTTTTGCAACGTACTAGTGGCAGTCACTAGCTATCTCAGCCCCCCCTGTTACTATACAATGTGTATGTTCAATCGTAGTCGTATATACAATTGAAACAAGAAAAGCATCCCAAACAACTGGAGACAATGACGGAAGCTCGATACAGATTGTACAATATTGTTCACAATTTTCAGGCGACTGCTTACTCATTCAAAGAGACGATTCAAAGTTACATATCAGGGGGATTGTGAAATGCGTGAGGACTCCTTTGGCGAGCCTGCGCAAAAGCATCGATACCCTTTAAATTTGTCCATACGCATCAGATAGATGATCTACACCCGAAGTACTCTGGACAGAGCCTAGGTGGACATTCAGATGTTGCTACATTACTGGGTTTTCAATTATAACTGCCTTGTATAATTCCGAATTCTGACATTGCTTTGCGAAGGGAAATACTGATCATGACAGGAAACCTCTATACAACGACGTGACAGGGTAAGCTTGATTTACTATCTTGATGCGTCTGAATCACGGGGTTCGAATACTATGTGCAACAACTCGTAAAAACTCTGCTGGCCGGTCCCAATGCGCCTATGGTGCAGTTGGCTTAGTCACCACTAGTTTTGAACAAGCGGACTGACACACTCAAATTTCAGTATTTTTCTTATCTCTCTTACAGAAAGGCTTATAATAGATACAGAAAGAGAACTGTAAGAGCAATTTCTCTCAAAGTAAAAATTGCCAAAGTAAGCTACACACGAATGGCGCACTTCCTAATTGGGAAGTGATTAGGGTTAGGGTTACCACACTCTACTGCACTAAGGGTCAGCTAAGGGTGTCTCAATGTCAGCTCAATGCTCCCTTTTGTCCATTCTGATAACAGGATATATCATCTATACATTGCATCGGGGTGCCAGGGACTCTAGAATACATCAATGAGCTTTATTCCTCTCGGAAATGCACATAAAACACCTAAATCGCATCTATAATTTTCAAAATTTTTTCCAAACCCCGAATGGCGCCTGTCCCAAATAGGTGGTGACTAAGCCAACTGCACCATAGAAACATCATTGTTAGTTCGGGAGCTCAAAGAGATCATGTCATGATACGTTCACTCACAAAGTGATTCGCGCCATCCATGTCAAAGAATCGTATCCGACGACATCCATGTCCCGTTTTTGGATCTAAGTCTTCGCTTTCACTCCCGTGTGTGCGAGAATGTTGAAGATATCGTTTCTTTGTCTCAATCATTGTCCAAGCACATATCCAACCTGTCCTCGTGCCTCCGATATGTGTTATTCCTACATCCGGGAACCAAGACCGTGTACAGTACGGGTCGAACAAAGCCTGGTTGGTCAGTACACGGAGGGTTTCCTGGACTGGAGGTAAAAATCTCGAGAAAAAGGAGATCAGATGAGCGCCTCACAAAAAATTCATTACATACTCCGAAGACTCACGTAGCAATTTCATTCCTGGCTGGCCTCTCCTCAGTCCCTTTGGCAATTTCTTCAGCTGTCCAAGAGGATACGGATGTTTCATCGCTCTTTCGCCTGCTACCGTCGAGATCATGTATGGTAGCTGTCGCTGGTAGGGATCGAGTGATGTGGTCGTAACAAGGGTGATCATAGTAAGAGCTAACCCAGTTCGAGAAGGCCTGCAGGAAGTCTTCCGAGGAGTTTGCAGTATCTTCCCATGGAATATAATTCCGATTATCTGGAGGAAGTGGGTATCCGAAGCAGTTATAGGAAGGGTCTACAAGGGCCAGTCATCGTTTTGTTGAGGAGGAAGAGAACGTCACTCACCATAGAATATACATTCTCCAATGTACTCTACCAAGAAGCCGTATAGCTCTTCTGAAAACATTCGATTCTGGGTCGCACCAAGAAACGAAACGATTGGCAAACGTCCCCCAGACCACCCTAGAATCGCTACACCTCCACTTCCCCCTTTTCCAAGACCATTCGCCTGGGGAGACAGAGCCCGCTTTTGGCGAGCGGCCAACTTTGGAATTCCTTCCCGTTCTATGAACATTTTCAAGAACTCCCCCATTTGCGCAGCCAACCGTTCCCAAAATATAACATTTCCTCGTTCGAGCTCCTGTATCTCCGAGGATGAATACGGAGTCGAGCCGGCGTAGTCTCTGCGATGGAGAAGGACGGTGCGAAGGTTGAGGCTATGCGCGTATGCATGTAACTTGTGGAATTGATCTGAGGTGTAGGAGGTTAGTTTCCACCCGGATGACTAGGATAGAAGATAAGAGACGCACATGCATTGAATACTCCACCATGTAAAAGGAGGACAGTGGTGTAGTTTAATTGATTGAGAGGGGCACCGCTATCCGTGAAAGATAACTTTATACCTCCAGAGAGGGAGAACGTCTGTGTTGGTTGGATCATCCGGGAGGGAACACAACTGAAAGAGACTTTGTTTATATGCTAGCATTGATGAGTGCAGATGGGCACTGTGGAATAAGGCCCGAAATTTTGAATTGTCGAAACTCGATTGTCTACAATCAACGAGAGGTCAAAAGTCATGGGACGCCGTTATGTTCCTGGCAGAATTCTACATATAGGGATTGCCTGCCTCAAATTTGTAGGACTTACGAAAGAGATGCTGTGGATTGCACGATATATTGAGATGGTTTATTTTACGGACCACACGTTGGAGTCCCGTAAACTGAACTTTGGAGCTTCGGAAATTCTTGCAAAAAGTATGAATGGGTCAAGGCGGAGAGAAAGGAAACTACCTACTGTAAGTTTTCTGCAAGTTCAGCCGAAAGAGCCTTCCTCACTGTACTAGTATATGGTATTGCAGTTCATATAGTTCACTGTTTTAAAAGACTGGAATAGTTGGAACGTGGGCTGGAACAGAATACATACAGTTCACCCAAAGCGGATGCGGACGCCAGAACCACGTGGTTGGTCGATGGGCGTTAAATGATTTCGCAGTGTTCCTCAGTCTCAAGGAGTCGGGGACTTGTCATCAGAACTTAACTCATCTGGCAGTACAATCCACTACAATCCGGGACACAGATACCGTCCAGATATTTCCAAGTTTTATCGTAAGTACTTTGAGCAGCAAATCTATAGTGGATTCATATGTGGGTATCGTCAAGGAAACTACGGAATATCTAATCTCCAAAGAACGAATCGTTTCTCTTTCCCACATACAACCATACATAACCCAGAAAATATCACCTTTTCCTTCTTTCGCATTACCTCCTGCCACATTGAAGAAGGAACATTTTCTGCGAGACCGAAATGCCAACGACTCTTCGTAGTTCGGAATCCTCCGTGCAAAGCGCCGCGACCAGTCCTGCTACTGTCTCGTCTATCAGCGTATCGGAAGGTCCGCAAACACCACCTTTTCCTCCGTCTCCAATTCCTATCTCTACTGCGGCTACCAGGAGGACCAGTGGTCATCGGGCATCTGTACTGAGAGCTTCAGTGTTCGATGCGTTTGCTGAGCTCGGAGCCTTTGATGAGAACAGTCAAATCGCGGAATGGATATTCAATCCCGATGTAGACGACGCTTCATTTTCCAATTCGTCGACGGGACCCAGAAAGCACAATGTCCATTTCTTAGAAAAGTCAGGAAGTAGGTTCAGGGAAAGATTGAATAGCAATGCGTCAGGGAATTTGCTTAATGGTTTTTCGAGCTCAGCGAAGCCGCCTGCTTTACCATCGTCGTATTCCACGTCGCCCATACCAACTCGTCGTCCAACGAGAAGATTTTTCAATGGTCTTAGGACTAGATCTGCCTCGAGGCACAAAACGGATAAGAGAAGAACGTCAGACGAGACCATAATGGAAGAGACTCCTGTCGCTGTTTCTCCTTCAAAGAAGCGACCGTTTTTGCAGTTTAGGTCTAAATCCTCACGGACTATCCCGACGTCCTCTTCTCATCCTCCATCGTCCTCTTTAGATCTCCCTCGACCTAATTTCTTAGGTGAGATCAAGTCCATATCGTCACCTGTCACAGTTGAGCTTGGACACGCTTCTTCGCCTAGCATTGCGACTAATGCAAGTTGGGAACATATCCAAGGCTCAACATCCCTCGATCTCCTACGTTCTACCGATAATCCTCCTGTCAATACATTTCTCCATGGGAAACACTCTCCTGCCCCTGGGATACCCTTCCCAAGTCAAAGAGAGTCCAGAGGAGGCTCTCTCTTTCTGAAGCTTTCTACCGCTGTCGCTCGCCCATTCTCGGCCGGGAGTATTCATCCTGATTTGGATGCATGCTCTTCCGCTGCAGGTTCTACCACGAACTCCATACGCCGTACACAGTCGCGGCCACCAGAAGCGACAGAAGCGTTGAAGGTGACGCCTCTTCGTACGAATTTTCCTTCATCATTCTCATCGCCGTCATCACCGATTGGTGCCAACCCGACTACACGTGCGCTGGCTGCGATGGAGGTGCTTTGAGGTAATACACTTCCCGCACTAGAGCCTCAGCCTCGTTTTCATTCACAACGCGTTGAATATTTCTATCTATCTATGCGTTACTTTAGGATTTGGCTATACTACAGGGGTAGACTTCGTTACTGTTACTAGTTCACAAATCCTTGGGATCTTCTCTCTCATCGAGGGCACTTTAGACTTTTGGTCTTAGCTTTTAATGCTTCATACTTCCTTTTGCGGATGGATACACGCTGCACCAAGTGGGTGTATCATATACAAGCCCGCAATATTATGTTGTCCTATCTTTATGTGTTTAACTTTTTTTGCCTTAATTGTGTACTAGTACATACTAGACTCAAAATACTTACAAACTGTAGAACCGTATCGTATGTACTCCATAGTGAGATATATAAACTCATATAGCCTCCTCAGATTCTATGACTGGTGGTTAATCAATTATCACGCATCTCTACGGGTGGCCTGAGTTACGCTGCTCAATCATGTCAATGATGGCCGATGTGGATTGATTACTAGGATAGGATAGGATATGAATTATACTAGTAAACCTTTTTCACAGCTACAGGTTGACCTGCGTAAAATTGTCAAGTCATGATGAATTTGATCTAAGCCTTCATGTCTTCGCTTTGGATTCATAAAAAGCAAAGTCGAAAGGCATGCACGGTAGATCAGGAAAGCGACATTGAACTCATCGAGAGTTCGTAGATGCAGCTTTGACCGGTCCGTGCGCACATTTCTACACCTGCTTTCCTACCGCCACGGTCTTGATGACCTCGCTCATCCTCGCAACGCTGGGCGTTTTTATTGTAATCTCATGTCCTCCTTCTCTTTCTGCTCCGATTATCGGTTCTTATCCTATATCTAATCTGTCCGCTGAAACTGTCTATGAAACCGCCACGATCTTTACAACGGAGACTGTACAAAATACTATGTTTTCTCCGACGCCGACAAGTTTTCCAACATATCCTGCCCCAACTGTCGAAATCATAGATGGGAAGATTCTCGCACTCCCACCAGAAACGACTTCAACGGTTACGGAATTCGTTACAGCGATAGTTACTGTGCTGCCAATCTCTACTTCCACATCTACAGTCGAAGTTGTCGTTACTGATACCGTAACACCAAGTACTGCCATTCAAGCGACCACCACCGTAGACACTGTCACTGTCGTTCCTTCCCCTTCAAAGCCGACAACCTGGACGGCACCTGCGCAAATGACCGATCTTTCAGCATTCAACATAACCAATTTCGCTGGTGGCTCACAGAACCTTCGCATCGTAGATAATCTTTCAACGAACTCAAGTACAGAGCTCAGTAACTCTTCTGCACCCACCGAAGTTGTCACTTTCGAAGTCTCCAGCGATCACAGCTCGAACAATGATTCTTCGACCGTCTGGACCAATGCAACGTCGGCTTTGCAAATCTTGTATCCCGAAAACTCAATTGACCCGGCGCGAAAACCTCAAGGAGGAGCTGAATTCTACGCCGCTCCATTGGAATTGAAGAATGCGAAGAACGTCACCCTGGAGTATAGTGTGTTTTTCCCCCAAGCTTTCGATTGGGTTTTGGGGGGCAAGCTACCCGGTCTGTATGGCGGTCGCCAGGGATGTTCAGGTGGGGATGCGGCGGTTGACTGCTTCAGCACTCGACTCATGTGGAGGAAAGATGGTCTAGGAGAGTTATATCTAGTACGTATTATCGTATTTGATTTGCATGGTACATGATCTAACCCTCTATGTACATAGTATGCTCCGAAAGACAAACAAACTGATTCGTTATGCAATGATCCTAAATCCGTATGCGATGCTGACTATGGGCTTTCCATTGGACGTGGATCTTTCGTATTCGCCCCGGGAAGCTGGACGCATGTACGACAGACTGTGACGTTGAATACCCCTGGCCAACAAGATGGTTGCTTCACGCTTGAAGTTAACGGCAATACGGTTATTGACCGTAATGATGTGTACTATCGAGGAGCACCGCTTTCATCTTCCCTTCCTTCATCCGTTCCAAGTAATGTTGATTCCAGAAAGACAACCCCCAAAACGACTGGTAGTCACACTAGTGCAACTTCCGCCACCTCACCTGCACGCATACACCAGCCTCAACCTTCTGATTCCGGTGACCTGTTTGGTCCCGGGGGTCTTTTAGGTGGAATACTCAAACGAGCAAACCAAGAAGTGGTCATCTCAGAGGAAATAAATGGCAAACAGCAATCTCTTCGCTTGAAAACTTCCAACGCAGATACAGTACCTGACGGCAATGCGGATAACGACGATAACGACGATCCGGAAAATCCGAGCCTTCCTTTACTTGGAAATACGTTACAAGGACATTCTACCGCATCAGATCAACCACCTGGTTTCATTGGACTATTCTTCAGGTATACATTTTTCTTTGTGTGTTGTTATCGCTTATCACGACTGACGGAACATTGTATAGTACCTTCTTTGGTGGCCACGAAAAGCAATATGCTTCTCCAGAGGACCAATTGGTGTGGTTCAAGGATTTCGCGATGTCGAACAACGGATGATAAAGTTGTACTTGTGTGCTATGACAATGATTGAGGATAAGACGGACATTTCTATACCTACTTTCGCTTGCCTTCTCAAAGCTAAAACCAAGCTAAAACATCTTTAGTCCCTGTTCGCTCTCTACTCATACGTGGACGTCTTTGCCCTGAATCTCGGGTGCTTGTATCCCTCAACCAAACATGTCAATTCAACTGGTTTTCCTTGACACTTTTACTGACTTACAGGGTTTTCAGAAAATAATGTCAGTTGCAAAAAAAGAACGAAAAAATAAAATCCAAAAGGTATGCGAGTGATCATGATTCGGCGAGCCCACAAGTAAATCGGGGCAGTCCCAGTGAGGTTACACACAAAAGTTCCCATCGCACGTAGATAGATAGGTAGGTTAACCGACACAGTCCCATTGAGGAACAGCCGGGGCCCATGCTGCACACATTGCGCTTAGATGCGTGCCACGGACATCCAGCACTTACACTAATTTCTCTTGATCATCAGTTGGCAGCGATAAATGTCTCCAACCAGTCTCTAACCTTCCGACGGCCAGGGCAAGATCGAGGGATCCTTGCTGAACGTTCCGAAACAAAAGATGGGTACCAATACTTCAGCATGACTTTCACTGAAGTACTTTCACCCTCTTTTGCATCTTGACTTCTACTACCATCCCAGCGCTGGTTCGGTATGACAATGCGCACATTTGCATTTTTACTCGCTGACCCCGGTTCTTTATAGCTAGTTCCAAGTATAATTGCTGGTCAAATCACTACCGCTGGAATAAAACCACTTTGACCCACCCTTCGTCGCTGTCAGTCTCGAGAACGTCTGGCGAAGGTCCATTTCAACCTCCGTCACAGATTTCGAAAATGTTTCTTCGGTCTACCTCCCTATCCTGTGGCTCTCAAAGCTTGTTCGTCCTCCTCTGGATTTGGACCAGCTTCCTGGCTGGTGCTGTCTCTGCATCCCCTTTGCCTTTAGGCGACGGAATGAATAAAATCGAAATCAGGAATGCCCCTGACCAATTCCCCAGTCATGAAAGTATCCACAGTACTCGAATGGGCATTTACACCCCAAGAGGTAGTACCAGTTCCGCTCGAAATCCTCCTTAATTTTACTAATCCTCCTACAATGAACACAAGAGCCTACGAAATACACAGTTGACGTCGGTTACAGCATCAGATTTGAGGGGGATAGATTGGAGTACTGGTCTCTCTACTTCGGCAAAGATATCCTCGAAGCTATTCCTGGAAAGGACTCTCGAACTTGGGATCCCCGCACACAGGCCTTGGTACCCAACCATCGACATTCCGATCTGGAACAGATGGGAGATTTAGGAAGCAGCTACCAACACCATTGGCTCGGGAAAGCGAATTTCGAGAACGAGTCAGAAGCGCTAGGCATCTTCCAGAAGCTGGGCAGTAAGGAGGGTAACGAACTGATTAAAATGCCTCCTGCGAGTACGATAGGAGGGCTCAGTTTGGACTATGGAAGGCTTGTGCTAGAGCATTTGAAGAAGGAGGGGCATATTGAGGATGATGTGATGAAAAGATATATGGAGAGTTATAAGGTGGGTTATAGGCGGGTCTCGGAGAATCGTTTCGGTGTAGTTTGGGATCCTCCAGCATGACCTAGGTTGCCCCTAATTCCATTCTTTCCTCGTAATATAAATCAGTTTCATTGATTTTGAGACGATGACCAAAAAATGTGTGCCATTACGGTTATTATACACAGAACATAACCACCCCCCTGTATTAGATATGTGTGTTCCATTATTGTACAACATTTTGTAATATTGTACAGTACATGGTAAACTGGTTGTTCGGGAATCGGACCTCGGCAGTATAATTGATATCCTATCCTATCCTATCACGGTGACAATAGTGGATCACTGTTTTTGCATACAAAGGACCAACTATTGCACGCTAGAAAATGGCGACATATAAACTAATAGCACGTCTAGGGAGTGCTTCGCTCGTATTCTGTATGATGGCTGTCATATGAGCTTTAGATCAAAGCTTGGGCGTGTGGACCCGCGCAGAATAAATCACAAAGGTGGAACATTTATACTACGCAGAAAAGTTGGTCCGACAAAGCTTCAAAAATTTGACAAATTACAATATTGGGTCAAAAGCTGACTGTGGTGCATTTTTCTACTGGTTATTCATACAACAAACAGTCCATGATCTTCAAAATAATACAAGATATGTATGATACAGTAGTTTTTTTCGATTTGATGATGAATGTTTGGCTTCTAATAGTTATTGCCTTCGGTCTGTAATTCAAAAGGAGTTAAGTATCATCGAAACTCTTGAGTTAAGACAATGGATGGATAACAAACCTTTCTGTCCTGGCCACGCTCGACCATACCAGGGTTCTTCGTCATCTTGCCGGCTGCAACTTCAGCAGTACCTAATAATACAGATAGTCATGAGCACAACAAAAACTTTGCAGTCTGGTCCAGGAAACCCACTGCACGTACCTTTCATTTTATCACCAAAGCTGGGCTTGTTATTGCTATTGTTATTTCCAGACCCATACGAAGAATCGTCATTTCGATCGCCAGAAAAATCGTTGCCGGTGCCATAAGCACTCCCGGTGTTGCCTGTACCATAACCAGTGGAGCGATTGCTCTCAGTGCCGTTTCCAGCTCCTTTTGGAAGAAAGAGATTGGTTAGATCGTGGTAAATGAGTGAGTATTAGTGAGGGTGACTGACCATAGCTATCGCCGCCATAACTTCGCTCGTTCTTTAACTCAGATCGACCAGTTTGTGATTGTGATTGTGGTCCGAAAGAATCATCGTTGTAACCACTTGTGGAGAATTCTAACGGGAGAAATCAGGGAAATGCAACACGCTTTTGTGTAATCAAGATTGAACGTACGGTCACGACCAGGAGTTTGTTGGTCGAAGCCTCCTCCTCCCATCGAGTTGGAGTTATCGAATCGCGAGGCCTGTTGGTCATATCCGCCGCCAGGCTGGCCAGTAAATTCGCGTCGGCGGTTTTGCGATTCGTATGAGGAGTTGTTGTTGGTGTTGTCGAAGTTGTTGGGGTCAGAGTCGAAAGAAGACATGATAATGATTATATATGGATGAAGTTGTTGAGTTCAAGTGAGTATTGGGGTTGAATATGTTAGAATTGGATCGTTTTTGCGAAATTATATACCAAATGTTGGAGACCGATGACGATGCACATGACGCGCGGGGCCCCAATGGTGGTGGAGATAGTAAATGAGTGTGACGTTGAGGGAGCAGAGCAAGAGGAGCAAGATTCAAATTGATGGGCAAATACTCCACCACACCACACTTACTTGAGGGCTTAATTATCTGCACAACGGATGGTTCAGAACTTCAAGGTCTTATAGATATATGGTACATATGGACAGAGGACGGATACGTATAGTACAGCGGCTTGAGCTCATTGACTTTATCAAAAGTTGTTGCCTTCAACCTGTGTCAAGCCCATGAATATCGCGACCATGAAAACCGGAGATAGAAGGAACAAACCTTTCTCTCCTGGCCTCTCTCTACCATGCCACTGTTCCTTGTGACTTTACCAGCTGCAACTTCAGCAGTACCTGGAAGAATAAGGAGAGATCATTAGTGTTCGAGTGTAGTACAGGAGGGGATGAAGGTACCTTTCATTTTGTCCCCAAAACTAGGCTTGGTATTCTCAGAACCGTACGAGTTATCATTTCGATTACCAGAAAAATCATCGCTGGTGCCATATCCACTTGAGGTGTTATCATTTCCAGAACCATAGTTACCAGCCGAATGGTTGTTGTTTTCGAATTCGTTTACAGATCCGTTTCCGTTGCCTTAGATAGCAAGAGGAATATTAACGAACTATTACAAAGATGAGATTGAAGAGTGACTAGAGTCAGCTCACCTGTCCCCTGCGATCCTTGTTGAGAACCAGTGGTATCGCCATAGCTCTGCGCGTAGTCAGATTGGTTGGTACTAGCGCCGTATCCTTGACCAGTTTGAGAGTCGGCCCCGAACGAGTCATCATTGTTCGCGCTACTCGAAAATTCTGTTGGGAAACGATTGAGGAATCTCAATGATATATGTATATATATAGAGAGATGCACGTACGGTCACGGCCTGAAGTCTGGTTCTGTTGGTCGTTGTACCCTCCGGCGCCGACGCCAGCCATTCCAGAACTAACGGTGTCGGACTGGCCGAACTGAACTTGACGATTCCGAGAGGCAGGTCCAGTACTGTCAAATTTGTCGTTTGAATTGGAGTCGAAGGAAGCCATTATAATTTTTAAAGGTTGTGTCGATGTGCAGAGTTGAATAGGATTTGTTGGTAAAAGCGAGCCCTTGACCCCAGAATAAATACCAGACTGTTACGAGTCGAACGATGACGGCGAATTATTGATGACGCGCCATGACGAGTTGTCCCTCCACATGTAGATAGCGTGAAATCTGGGGCGGAACCTGAGAGTGTAAGTAGCCAGATGCGGTAAAGCCACTCTGCGATCTTCCGCAATTTTTGGACGTTCCTGGTTGGAGTTTGTTCACATACTGTGATGCCCCTCTCTTCCGAGTCGGACCGACGACGAGGAAGCTGTACATAACAATGCAAGGCAGTACCTGCCAATTGCTGTTTTGTTCCTTCAGTAGAAGAAGAACGGACTACGTGAAACCACTCCCGCAGAACTCGCATTTCTTCAACAGGAATCTTATTATGACTCGAATCTGATTCTGGACGTTGATAGAGCGTGATATATTAATTGAACCAGACTATAAACCCACAATTAGACTCAGAACTAATGGTGGAATACACATATAGCGTCGTACCAATCCCGTTCGCCCCGCTACCCCAAAGCCACGTCGATAAACATGCTTTTCTTCGTCTGCTCGCCCTCAAGACAAATCCAGAATGTTTTTCGTCAACTCTAGATGATGAAAGCCGACTTTCTGCCGAACAATGGCGCGGGAGGATTGATACAGAGGATAGAGTAACTTTCATCGCAGTGGCATCCGAAATACAGTATGCACCTTTCGATGCACCTCTCGATCCGACTCCTTCTTCTTCGTCTTCTTCCTTCGCCGACACCTCAGATTCATCGAAATTGCTGGACGACGACACAGCGAAATGGGTTGGACTGGTTACTGTTCTCACACCAGAGTTCCTGCAGGAACGATGGGACGATTTACCACGAAAGTTCCGGAAATTCGCGATGCGAAGCGGAAAGCCTGCTCACGTCTTAGTGAGTATGTGGGTACACCCGGAGCACCGTCACAAGGGATTGGGAAGGCGGTTGATTTCACAGGCGGTTGATTGGGTGAAGAATAGGGTTGAAAAGCCGGGTGTGGAAGATAAACGAGGCGATGTAGTCCTGGAGGTATTCAAACAGAATACGGGAGCGGTGATGTTGTATCGTGCAATGGGGTTCGAGGATATTGAAGAAGTTTCTCCTTCAATTTGGATGGGAAGAAAGATAGCCTAGCGTGACCCTCTGTACGTCTGTGAACTTTTCGGTGTTCGCGCAACTCGGTGCGAATTAGATAGTTTTAGATGTGCGTCCTTTTGTCATTTGGGATTGCATCGCTTTGAGCGCATAGGACAAAACCGTCTGAGTCCATGTAATCCTTCCTATCGATTTCCTTCTGTTTGTGAGAGCTCCGGAAAAATCAAAAGTCGCTGGTGCCTAAGGCCGACGCCGGACGGGAGATAAATGATACGTGATGAAGCAGGATGAAGCTTAGAGAGGGGACTGGATCAGGAACTATCAAGAACCGCCATTGCGCATACAACGCCTACATACCAGAATAGTGCATGCATGCGCATGCTGCCTTCTAGTACCTCCCAGTACCCAGAGTCATTTGAGCCATCGATAATCTTCAGGCACTGATAGCGAAACAAGCGACGATTCTACTGATTGGTTACTTCAGTATATGTAATTGGGCTTAACTCTGTTCAATTTACCTGAATGCAAGATGAGACGTTTTGGTCTCTGGAGTTCTGGGGACCCGGTAAACCCTGGTAAACCTGGTTAAGGAAGACAAGGGGGCTATGAGAGGGGAAAAGCACAGCCACACTGTGAGTTTACAGTGTGGCTGTGCGGCTAACTTCTTTGCCAGTGCGCGCGCAAAATTCATCTTCATCCTTCCCGGCGATTTCCTTTGGATAACTGAATAAATAAACTTGTCTGCAAGTCCCGACGCTTCCCGACGATACTGCTTCCCTCCTGGCTTAACAAAGGGTATCTCCTACTTTATTTGGTTCATATGCTGAAGACAAGTTCAATCGATGAATGCGTATTGAAGGCGAAACTCATTTCGAATGGTGTCTGACAAAGGAAGGAAACCAAGATAATACCAGATATTATAATGCACTAGTCAATGTCCCCTCTTTGGAGGAATCAAGCCTTACTAATTTTGAAGCCTTGAGAGAAGAGAAGGACAATTAGAGACTTCGTTCAAAAACCAAAAGATGTCCTGGTATTGTGTTTTTCACTCCCATTCTAAAAGTACAGGAACGGCAACAAAAGAGGGACAGAGATGAAGATTAGGAGATTTCGGTGTAGCGTACGGTCGGTGAAGTTGCCCTGCTTGCTATGTCTGGGGAGTTCTGCTAATTATGATTCTAGTCGTTACACCTACTGAGGCTTTAAAGCGACGTGCTTCATTTGATGCAATTTTTCGGGAAAAGTTTTGTATCCCATCTCATATATAACATTACATATTTAATCCTCGTTGACTGGTAGTTTTGCGATGTCTGATACACAGGTCAACGCCGAACGCCCACCACCGCTCACCCCCCCTCCACAGCGACACCCAAGCGAACACTTCCTCTTCCATGTGGTGGCTTATCAGCACTCCATTAAGACCCGCCGATGGCTGCGAAGGCCCGAGGAGGCTGTATAAGGCTGTATACTGGTGTATTATACACTCTGCAGGGGCGTGTTTCGACATTATCCTGTCAAACGATCACAAACGATCCTGCCAAGATGCGTTATTTTGAGAGTGTCTGAGGGCCATTGATAGTGTCTGGAGGCCTCTGGAGTCTGACCCTGGCTGACCACGACATGGCTGCAGCCGACCCGTATACAGCCCGTATAAGAGGAAGGACCTGAGATCAGCTCGCCTCCCCAAGAACTGCTGGCCAGTTCCATCGCTTTGTGAATTTTTTGTGCACTTCGTCCTTTCTGGAGCTTTCCCCTTGAATAATTCACAACTCGTCTGATGCTGCTTCTCCCCATCTACTTTATCTTGGGTCTTCTTTCCACTGTTTACAGTGCACCCTTCGCTGTAAGTCACCTGGCAATGCACGCATTTTGTGAAGGCTGACTGACCGCGACTGCTTTGTGTATAATCAGGCCATTTCGAATCGAGGAGCTCCGAATCTTCGGGCACGCGGGACCATCCTCGTTGATGTGAAATTCAGACATCATATAGGAAAGGGAGAAAGTTATGCGTCGGTTGAGCCTTACACTTGGAAAGCGCCACCTGAGGACGTTCAACGACGGGTAGCTCTCGCATTGTTTGGTGACACTGCCATAGACAAAGTTTCAGCCATTCGTTGGACGAACACGTATCTGGCAAGCGATGAGTCTTTTGAATGGCGTCAGTTAAACACACAAAACACATATCAGTCTGGATATTCTGATCCAGTCGCTATTCCCGCTACGGAGGAACCTAGCAAGACACATATCCTTGTTGATTTTGAATATTTGAGAGCACAGAAAAATAAACCCCCCCAGAAGCAACCACAAAATGTCTTCGTAAGTAGAATTATTCTAGTTTTCATCGGCTTTCGAGGTTCACAAAAACCTTGTATAGGACTTACTACAAGAGCAGGAAAGACTTAGAAAAGAAGGGAAGGGAAAGTAGGAGATTAGTATCACACTAGACTCGGTCTCACCTGTCGTTGAAGCCACCTTGTTTCCGGTAAAAAATGACCTAACTTTCGAGAACTTGCCGGATGCCTGCCAAAAGGGGCGCTTATCTGCTTCTTAACATTGCCCAACATTTTAGAGGCCACCTTTCAGCCAAACCACTCTCGCTAATTACAAAAAGGATCATGGCGGCGCATAACTCTGACCGTCCGCTGAGGTCCTCCGAGATCCCAGAAATTCAATCTGGCATTCCATATTTTGAGCGTCACGATACCATTTGTTCCTATTCGATTGTCATCTGATGCTTGAATATCATTTATCCTATTGGTTGGTACACACCGGTACATGGCCCAGTTAATTGTGCGTAGGAGGCATTGTTATCTGACGGGAACATCTCTACAAATCTGGTCGTCCGGGTTATGTCGTTATATCGTTCCCGGATGTCTTCACAACCCCTCACACGCTGTCGTGAATTGTTTTCGACCCTTCTCAATTCCCTCTCTATCTACCCCTCTTCAATCACTGAAAGCTTGAACCTAACGTCTAAATCGCCACTATGTTGGCCAAGGTGCTAATATTGTCTGCATCACTCGCCGGTCTCTACGTGATCCAAAAATATGTCGAGTTCAGTAGGATGGTCAAATCGTTGCAGTGAGTGACGAGCTTTTCTTCACTCTGCATACAGTGACCAAACGTATTATCTTACCAGGGCTCATTCGCGATTTACAACAGTATTTTCGCAACGCACAATCATTGGCAATATTCTTCCTCGAATCCCAGGTGTTTCACGAGGCAGACACGCTACATGGTTGGAGAAACACCGACGTGAGCTATATGCACCTCGCCCATAAAAAGTTTGCTCAGTAAAATTTCTATCTTAGCGTATGCTATGGCTGGTTGGGATGCTACACTAAATGTATGTCAGGAAGAGTGTAACAAGAATCCCTCTCAACCTCTCTTTCAGATAACTCTCCTACCTCGTACTTCTGCTGCCCTATCTCTTGTAGATGCTGCTGCAATCAAGGTCTGTCCTCTACCTCGATCTTCGTGGACACACGAACTCATCCATCCATCTACAGGAAGTAACCACTGCCCGGGTCAGATTCCCGAAGCCTGTGGAACAATACAAAGTACTATCGTTCTTTGGAGATAATATTGTCGCTTCAGAAGGCGAAGATTGGAAGAGATATAGGAAAATTGCTGCACCCGCATTCAGCGATGTATGATGCTATTGCGCGTTCCTTTTCGTTTGATTTGCTTTGACTGAAACGAGGTCTTTAGCGAAATAACAAGCTTATTTGGGACGAAACGGTCAGGATCATTCTCGATCTCTTTGACAACGTTTGGGGGTCTCAAGAATCTATTGTGATTGACCATGCATTGAGCATCACTCTTCCTGTAAGGTCTCTCCTCGGTCCGCTTCTGCTGCAGGATTTATTCATATATGTACCAGATTGCCTTGTTCGTTCTCGGTGCTGCTGGTAGGTTTGGACCTGGCTGTTTGATGGTCATATACTAAACAATGAGTACTTAGCTTTCGGCCGGAGGATCTCTTGGAAGGACGACGAGGGGATACCGCCAAATCATCAAATGTCATTCAAAGATGCCATACACGAGGTATCCATGAACTGCTTCATCAAGGTTATTTTCCCAGATTGGGCTATGGGGTTGACTGAGCATACCCGTCGGGTCCGGCTTGCATTCGAGGAGTTAGATGTCAGTCATATTCCTTTTCATCCGCGTTAGCTTCTGTTAACACTGGTTTGACGATGATTCAGAGTCATATGCTCGAAATGATTTCGAAACGACGGAATGCGGAGAAGAAAGAAGAAAGACACGATCTACTTAGTAGTCTTCTCGACGCCAGTGCAGACGACCCGACGTTCACAGACAGAGACTTGACGGGAAACATCTTTATATTTCTTGTTGCTGGACATGAAGTAAGCTCCAAATCTAATCATCTTGTCACATATCTAATAGTGTACTGTTACAGACGACTGCTCACACTCTCTGTTTCACGTTTGCACTGCTTGCCTTGTATCCAGACCAGCAAGAGATCCTCTACCAGCACATCAAGTCAGTTCTTGCTGATGGCAGATTGCCTGTAAGTCCGATTGTGTGCAATATCGTGGTATACTTCTTGACTATGTATATTAGACCTACGAGGAAATGCCACTGTTTACTCAATCCATGGCGTATGTCGCTGCCAACCTTTTCTAGTTCAAATCGATAAATTCTAAAGAATGACTTAGCGTGTTTAACGAAACCCTGCGACTGTTTCCTCCGGTAAGAGCCATGTCTGTTATTTCTTATATCTCATCTCACACATTTTCTACAGGTGAACGGTATACCGAAATACAGCGCCGAAGACACGAGCCTAACTGTCGGTAATGCGGCTGGCGACAAACTCGTACTTCCTGTCCCCCGAGGGACTGCTATCACGATTAACACAGTGGGCTTACACTACAATCGTACGCATACGTCGCTCTCGCTTGTCTCCTATATATATCATGAAGTTTATCGCTAGCTCGTTACTGGAAGGACCCGGAGGAGTTCAGACCCTCCCGTTTCTTGGAGCTAGACTGGCCTCGCGATGCATTCCTTCCTTTCAGCGCAGGTAAGAATACCGTGCTCAGTGCTCGGTTCCATGAATAAACTCCCCTCGTAGGTCCGCGAGCTTGCATTGGCCGCAAGTAAGTATTTCACGTACCGCTTTTCCTCACTGATCGAGCGCTTTCCAAGGTTTTTTGAAACGGAAGGAATCGCCATCCTCACGATGTTGATTTCACGTTACAAGATTGAAGTCAAGGAGGAACCACAATTCGCCAGTGAGACGTTTGAACAGAGAAAGGCTCGTGTGTTAGCTTCCAAGCCAGGACTAACTATAACGTGCGTGTATATTCATTCTACAAGCGTTGTAGATGAAGCACTGATATCGTAATGGTCAATTTCAGACCTATCCGAGTTCCATTAGTGTTCAAGCGTCGATAGATTGAAACAATGACTGCATTACATTATCCATCATTTGGTTGGCGAAGCTTGTCCCGGTCCAATATGGGCTGTAGAGTCCGTTCATGATTTTCGGTACTTCCTTCTAATGTTCAACTCGCTGTGATTGAGATCTAAGAATTGACACAACTATGTTGCTGGACATTGGTGGTGCAATTCCGGCGATTAGCATTGTCTATCTAACACCGCACTTTCTAACTACGGCGCTCACGTCGCACGAGAGAAAGCTTATGGCAGATGCATGACGATGCATGACTTTCCTTTCTTCTTCTTACCTCCTACTGTCATCATCCAGTGTGAAACTGGATTATTTACAATGGAGGCTTCGTCTGTGAACATATTGATTACGGGCGCCTCTCTTCTTGCTCTTTATGTAATCCATAAGTATCTGGAGCTGAGGCGAAAAATTCGATCTATTCAGTCAGTTGTTCTTGATTGGAACCGACATACATTGATTAGTTTTTGTCCAGGTTTCTTCCAGGTGCTAGAACACTTCTAGCCCGGAACTCGATAATAGGAGTTTTCCTGCCATCCATTACGGGTGTATCAAAAGGAAGAAATGCTTTCTGGGTTGAAAAACACAAGCGTGAGATATGTGTACTATTCCTTGACAAAACAATGTTCATTTAAAATCTTTCATTGATAGCATATGCTATAGTGGGCTGGGATGCTACTGCAGATGTGAAGACAAATGTTCATGTATTGGCTAATCCTTCCGTTGACTTCAAGTCTGCTTCTAGATAAATTTAATGCCCAAAACAAAAATTGTTCTGACTCTGGTGGATGCTGAAACAATCAAAGTGAGTTAATGACCAAATTCTAGTATCTTGTGCACTTTCATGTTTCAAACACTAGGAAGTTATGGCTTCACGAGCGAGGTTTCCCAAACCTGTTGAATTATATCAACCTCTATCTATCTTTGGTGACAATATTCTTGCTTCAGAAGGAGAAGAATGGAAAAGATTTAGGAAAATAGCTGCCCCTGCCTTCAGTGAAGTGTGTAGTATATTAGTCCCTCTCTCTTCTTGCTATCGAACTAAAATCTTACAATAGCGAAACAACGACCTGATCTGGGAAGAGAGCTTAAGAATAGCACTCGATCTTTTCGACAATGTCTGGAGCTCTGAAAATTCCATTGTGATTGACCACGTTCCAAACCTGACTGTTCCAGTAATGTCGATCTTACATCGATGGTATATCGTATCGACGCTGACAATGATATATTTTGATAGTTTGCACTATTTGTTCTTAGTTCTGCTGGTGAGTACCATTTTCTACGGTAGATTATATATATATCTCATATTTGAGTAGCTTTCGGCAGGAGGATCTCGTGGAGTGACAGCGACACGATCCCCTCGAACCACCGAATGACATTCAAGAGTGCCTTGCACCAAGCCTCTCTCAACTGCTTTACCAAGATCCTTGTTCCGAAGTGGGCTATGTGGATAAATGAACATACTCACAAAGTGGACCTCGCTTTTGAGGAGTTAGAGGTATGTGACCATCAAGTTAAACTTGCGAGGTTATCAAGTCTTGATCATACCGCACTGGCAGATGTATATGCTCGAGATGATCTCAGAACATCGAAACGCAGAAAAGAAGGAAGAGAGACATGATTTATTCAGTAACCTTCTTGACGCCAGTGCTGACGATCCAACGTTCACGGACGGTGATTTGATCAGTAACATTTTTGTATTCCTTATTGCAGGACATGAGGTTCGTCTGATATCTTCAAGTTTCATGGGACAATATTCATTGAACGAGTCTTCATGTTAGACTACTGCCCATACGTTGTGCTATGCTTTCGCATTCCTTGCTCTGTATCCAGAGCAGCAAGAACTACTCTTTACACAGGTGAAGTCAATACTTCCCGATGGTAGAATTCCTGTGAGTTTGTCGCAACAGTCTGTCATGGATGTACATCTATTTGTACATGACTGAAACATCCCAACATCAGATGTATCATGAGATGCCATTATTCACCTATACCATGGCGTATGTCATTACAAACTACTTGTCGCCACAGTTTTCACGCCGGAGTTGTCTAGTGTTATCAATGAAACGTTGCGAATGTGCCCAATGGTAATCATCGCGCCTTTTTCCTTATATGTGGCTTGACATTCATTCCATGTAGGTGACTGGTATACCAAAATACAGCGCTGAAGATACAACTTTCACCATTGGCAATATCTCCGGCGACAAGCTTGTTCTTCCCGTGCCTCGGGGTACAGAAATCGACATCAATACTGTGGGGCTGCATTATAACCGTGAATATGCTTGCAATTGAACATTCACGATACGTCTTGAAATCGTCGTCATAGCTCGCTACTGGCAGGATCCGGAAGAGTTTCGACCTGCCCGTTTCCTGGATCCGGATTGGCCGCGAGATGCCTTCGTTCCCTTCAGTGCTGGTAAAAATAGTCCTGCATTTCATAGGCTCCGCGGATTATTTTAACACTTCCGACAGGCCCTCGAGCATGTATCGGCCGCAAGTTGAGTCTTTCGTCTTTTGTCAGAGCTTTGCCGTAAGCGACATAATCAGGTTCTTCGAAACCGAGGGTGTTGCTGTCATTTCGATGTTGATTTCAAGGTATAAGATTGAGATCAAGGAGGAGCCTCAATTTTCCAATGAAACTTTCAAAGAGAGAACAGCTCGAGTACTGGCTTCTAAGGTTGGGCTTACGACGACGTGAGTACTATCACTGTACGACATAATGAGAGGACACTCATGATTTTCCAAGGCCGATTCGCGTTCCTTTGGTTTTCAAGCCTCGATGAGTGTTTTTTGTAATAGTTAAGAATAGCCATCGTCAATAGTGCTCCGAGTCAATCTCAGTAGTGACGGCGAGATTTGCCGGTGTCATTTGCCGGTGAAGGTTGAGATTTCCACCCATCTTTGAACTTAGCTAGATACAGTTGTAGATTGTGTGAGCCGCGGGCTCGAAGGAATATATATATACATGCTACTATGTGCAGTGAGCGATGAGACTAGAGGGATTGGGGAAGAGGGCCGAAGGTCCTCAGGTCCCAACTGCAGTGATATTCTGTTGGCGCGGTTAGCTGCGATGGGTGGGCGGGCCCATCCAGCTACCACTACTCACTCAGTTCGGACTGGGTTGAAGTTTGAGGGAGATTGGTCTTGAGGGTGTTGATGGCTCAGGTGAGTAGCTGGTTCAAACGGGGGGGTGGGAGTGGAAAGAAAAGAGGTGTTGAAGCGCGGAGACGACTCAACACGATGCAGTACCTGAAAGGAGGAGGGTACTGCATCATGTGCCCGTTCGAAGACTATGGTTTGCCTACGGGTGTCGGCAAACCGGCATCTTTGAACTTAGCTAGATACAGTTGTAGATTGTGTGAGCCGCGGGCTCGAAGGAATATATATATACATGCTACTATGTGCAGTGAGCGATGAGACTAGAGGGATTGGGGAAGAGGGCCGAAGGTCCTCAGGTCCCAACTGCAGTGATATTCTGTTGGCGCGGTTAGCTGCGATTCCCAAATGGAAGGAGTGCGCGACGCATCCAGCGAACCGCGGATACCCATGTGGAAGGAGAGCACTTACATCGAACTGGGGGCATGGAATATTGGATGAGGGATTGATGTAGTTCTGGCTGCATGTAGGGTGCCATGATTTCAGCATGCTTGCGGAGATAAAGGAGGAAGGCATCACTCTTCCAACGCCCGATGACCCGGACAGCATCAAAGGGTACGCCTCGGAGGAGGTACTCCAATGTTGCACCAATTCTGATTCCGTGACCTTGGATTACTGGAAGACCCCTCGCTTGAGCAATTTTTTGGATGCGGCGTATGAAGGCGGATTTGGTTAGAGGTCGGAGTGAGATGTGTCTTCCTGAGAGGTGCTTGTAGGCAAACAAGTGGTCCGAGGGTCCTGGGTTATTTACTCTGAGTTGGTTTTGAAACCACCGATCTGGGTCCGAAGAGCCAAGCTGCTTGGAGAAGTAGATGTCTTCACCATCAGATTGGTTAGATTTGGTGCGAGGGATGTGTAGAATGGTAGTCTTGAAGCCATTTCGATCGGAGGTTTCGTGGACTTGCGAAGGGGTGACATAAGCGTGATTGTTGGCAGAGAAGTCTTTCAGATTGGGAACTGTGAGTTCTCCGACTCTGGCTGCACAGTAGAAACTCGTGGTGAGGCAGCCTCCGCAGGCTGCATCAAAAGGATCGTTAGGGTCCAATCCAGTTAGTATGCTTTCAATATAACTGATGGTGAAGGGAAGCCTTTTCTTCCGCTTAGACCGTTCGGGCTGTAGACGCTCCGCCCCTTGAATCATAGTGTCGATTGGGGCTTTGTCAATTTTCCACTCTATGCCATGTATGATGTGCCAAGCACGTACACCGTAGATGTAGTTCTTCACTGAGGTGCCTGCATAGTGTCCGGCCATGGTTGCGATCCAAGATTGGAGGAGGTCGAGGCTGCAGGGTGCACGTTGAAGTTCGGGAATTTCGCGAGAGTCGCAGAATACATGGAAGGCGAGGAGGCCAGAAGCATATGTTTCGAGAGTGCTTTCGGCAAATCCTGCTGTGAGAACTGATTGGATGCGCTCGGCAAACTCATCTGAAAGGTCAAGAGAGTGACCGGTGGTATCACGGAGGACGCGCTTGGAGGCAGGGCACCATTTTGTTAATCGCTCACGAGCCGGACAATGTGGACGTAGTACAGAATGAATGGGAGTTAAATTGGATGGGTAACTATTCACAGTGGACGTTTGTATGTTACGTAGAGGGGCAGAACTAGCATTGGGGTATTGGGAGGTTGCAGGGCGATTACCAGGCGTTATCGAAAGCGGCAAGGAGTCTGCCTTCTTCTTCGAGTCTCCATTGATTGAATTCGAGCCTTTCGTGGGAGCGCTTCGGCCTAGATGGGAGACCGTCGCTAGGGTGAGGGTCTCGGAGAGCAAGTTCAGCTGGGGAGAGTGGTTCGTCGTAATCAATAATGAAGTCGGAGAGGTATTGTGGGATGGGAATACGAGGGAGGAGGAATTTGAGAGGACCGATTTTCCCTCGTGAGAAGGGATCAGCTGGGTTACTGGCACTTGGGATGTAGCGGGTGTGGACAAAGAAGTTTCTCGATGCAAGGATTTCGTGAGTGCGGCGGAATAATAAATTCGTGGCTCGGTTCCTACTCCTACCACTCCACCACCCTTCGACCACTCCTTCGTTGTCACCCCAGACTTTGTAGTGATGTCCCGCGTTGGTGAGGTCTGCGAATGTGAGAACGAGGAGGTGGAATCCTGCTGCTTCGGCCCATCCAATGTCTCGTTCGTTTTGATGACCTCGCCACCCAGGAAGGAGTCGGTATGACCTCCAGAAACCTTGGATGCATAGGCCGATGCCATAGCCGCTGCTGGCGTCCGAGTATGCATGGATATCGATGAGAGTCGCAGGTCCAGGGATGGGAGAAGAGATGGGAGCAGACAAGGTTAATTTCCACCAACAAAGATCCGCGTGCCAGCCTCGAGGCGCATGATGCTTAGTGAAAGGAGCTGCGTGACTAAGTTCGGCCTCGAATTTCTCGAGTTCTATTAGGTACGATCTGCCAATAGGTAAAACGAGGCTGACGTGGAGAAGCTTGCCGTAAAGTTTCGATACTTGTTGGGTGTTGTGTGAAGGCCGATTTTCCCATTCTTCGAGCTCCTTCAAGTACTTTAGGCGTTTGGAGAGGGGAACTGAGACAAGTCGGGATGAGATATGCCATTGGAAGCCGAAGTATGTGGGGTTGTCACAGAAAGGAACATCTTTGTCCTTAGCCCACTGGTAACCTAGGGGGAGTGTAATCCGGTCGATATCACAGAATGCGTATGTGTATTTTCGATCTACTAATGATCTTGGGGATACGTTTGAGAGATCGCGGATGTCAAAGGTGAAGTCGTCATCAAATTCCTCGAGTTGTCCACTTGGAAGAGTTTGACCTAGGAATAAAAGTCTGCCCTTGTGGTGCTTGAGGCCGCCTGTTTCCCGTATGCGTGTTTTGAGTTGATTTCTGAGCTCATTGTACTGTTTCAGGTGTGAGATTAGGATTCTAATCCAAAAGTGATCATCTACCCATTTGGTTAACGGACCAAGTCCTCTACCTCTGCAGATTTCTACGCCTGCATCTGCAACATGTCCATATGCACCGCCGGCTGAAGAGAGACCAAACATGACCCTGGTGTCGACACAGAATTGGTCAGAGTCAAGCCGGATTACTGCACCTGCCCACTGCGAAGGGTGCAATGGGACCATGCGATAGGCTTCCGACAGGTCTCTGACTGCACCTTGTGCATTTGGTGGCAGAGTCCATAGGAGTCGACAGGTGTTGGCGAATGTTCCCCAAAAGCACGGATAGAGGGATGAGTCGATATTGGAGTTTATGGAGGAGATGGTAGCGAGCGAAGCGGTGGAGATGGGTTGATGAGGGAAAGAGAGGTTTTCAAGCAGACGGAACTTTCCTGGTTTTCCTGATTTGGGGATCATAGATATGGGGGATGTTTGAAAGGGACCTATTATTTCTTCGAGGATATGTCTGGAGAATGGCCCGATCCATCGCTTGAGGCTGATCTCGTTATTTACAATCGATTTGAAGGCTTTTATAGATTCAGGGTCATCTAGTTTATTAGGAGGGGAGAACGTATGGTTGATTGGGGGAATACCGATTTTGAAACCGAAACGAATTGAATTTGATAGAGTTGGGTATTTGGGGAGTAGTCCGAGTTCTGATAGGGCCAGATGCCATGCTTTTGCGTCCAAGGGCGTGCGAATCCGTGTTCTACTGTCCTTCAGGGCAGTTTTCAGCTCCATGACTGGAGTGAGCACAGCCTGAGCAGCGGTGCTTTTCTGGGTGTGTCTTGCCGGTACAGCCATTAGGGCGCTGCCAGTCCGCGCACAGTTCGAGTCCCACATAGTTGCCCCTTGAGATTTCCAGGTAGCCGTTCCTGTTCCAGTTGCAGAGGACCGCTTGCTTTCCGTTCCATAGTGTGGTTCGTGAGCAACGGCGGATGTCGTGTTTGTCTCTGCCAAGGCATCTGTGACACCGCGATAATTTTGGCTGATTGGCTTCACGAAAGGAACGTGGGAAATCGGGTGTATAGTCCTCCTCTTGTTTGAGGTTACTGGCTTTGCGAGGGGACGTGGATGGGTAAGGATTGCGCCTGGACTTCGAGGGCCTTGATTGGTGATGAGGGTCTGAGACCCAGGTGTTATTGGGTTGCGAGGGGGCACTCCGAGAATGGTGCTGGGCGATGACTGCCTGCATCTCTGATTAGCGAAGGTAGCGTAGCAAGGGAACAGAAGTTCAGGTGGTGTTAGCGAAGTTTAGCGGTAGCGAGTTTGTGATAACGGTCAAGGGTTATCAGGTTCGTTAGCAGCAATGCATGCGATTAGCGTTGATAGTGATTAGCAAGAAAGAGATTGTAGAGTTAGCGTTTAGCGGCGGTTTCGGAGAGGTGAGAATTGATAGGGAGTAATAATTAGTAGAGAGTTTATTGGGAGAGGGAGGAGAGAAGACATACCCTTTAAGGCTTTGGCATGGTCTTGACTGCGAATTTCGTTACGACATTCGTCTAAAGTTTCCTCCATGATTACGGCCAGGTCGAAGGGATCCCCTTTTTCATTGTCCTTGTACCAAGAAAGACGTGTTTCGGCTTGATAGAAGGCCATCGTGCGTTCGCCATTGGTTTTCCTTAACTCTGGGTGCATTTCCATGTTGGCGAAGAATCGAGCAAACATGTCGACATGTATGTCGGGGAAAGCACCGAGAGAAAGGGCACCGAGGAAGCCGCTTTTGGCTCGCATGACCTGGTTCCAGGTGAGACGAAGATCAGGGATGGCGTTGGGGGAGGCGCGGACAGAGGTTGTGGAAACAAGAGTGAGAGAGGCATTTGATGCCATCGCGGGGTCGCTCTCGAACTCGAAGCGGTTATTGTCCACCACTTCTCTCATTCGTTCTCTGGCTTCTCTCTCGGCGTCTGGTAGAAAGTACCAAAGCGGTACGTATTTGCGAGCCGTCATGAGCTTTTCGGCGTAAGGGTGGTAGTGGTGCGGAACGGAACGATGGCCAACACCTTGTTTGAAGTTTGGGAGGGGAGTTCGTTTCTTTTCCCTTTCCTTTGCCAGCTCCACTTCTTTCTCTCTTTCTTCTACCTCGCGTTGTCTTGTCGATTCCTCTTCATCAGCTCTCCTTTGTTCGCCAGCTGCATGTTCTTCCTGAAGTTGCACTTGGTATTGAGCCCTCAAATTAGCATTCTCAGTTTCCCATTGACTTCTTAGCTTAAGGATGGCCTGCTCATTGTTTGTTATGTCTGGACTATTTGCGTCTGCTATGAGAGCGTTGCGAATTACATCGTAGAGGTTGTTGCTGAAGTCGGGACAGGGAATTTTAGCTGGGTCGAAGTCTATTCGATTAGCCATTCAATTGGGATGAAGCACAAGTACTACTGAGGAGGTACGAATTGAGGAGTACGAATTCCACCAAAGAAAAGAGGTGTTGAAGCGCGGAGACGACTCAACACGATGCAGTACCTGAAAGGAGGAGGGTACTGCATCATGTGCCCGTTCGAAGACTATGGTTTGCCTACGGGTGTCGGCAAACCGGCAATATACAAGCTCATGTCAACGTGTGATATGACGAATTGCACTCATTCTAAGTTTTGAATTGAGTTCTCAAGAATCGAGGATATTCCAGACGCGTTCGCGCTAAGTTCGCGGAGCGGACATTCACGTGTTGTCGTCCAGACCGCACGTGGTAATTTATTACTTTCAGATTATAAGATTCTGGTGTCGTTCCACTTGTCCGTCCACATTTCCTTCGTCATGTCCAAACGCGTTAGAATCTTCGACGTTGACGAACTCTCCGCTCATACTTCGTCTTCGAGCTGCTGGATCTCCTACAAAGGCAAGGTTTACGATGTTACCGGTTTTCTTCAAGATCATCCCGGAGGCGACGACGTATTACTCAAATACGCTGGGCAGGATGTTGAGAAGGTCATGAAAGACAAGACTGAACATGAACATTCGGAAAGCGCTTACGACATTTTGGACGAATATGTACTCGGAAGGCTTGGAAGCACAGAAAATATCGTTCGAGATGGTACGAGTGTCTTTCTGCCAATCTGAATGAGCTCATGTACTGAAAACTGGGTAGACTGGGAAGCAGATGATGATTTCGACCCAGATGCGACAGATGCTGTCGAGGACCTAAAAAAGCACCATTTTTTGGATCTTCAGCAGCCTTTACTTCCGCAATTGTGGTACGCGAATTTTAGGTTCGTAAAAAGGCCAAACCGTTTTTCGATACTCAAATAACATGCTTGATACATACCTTAGTAAAGCGTATTATCTACGTCAAGTTCATCAGCCTAGGCACTTGAGCGACTCCGCTCGACTATTTGGTCCTGAATACCTTGAAGTATATATGATTTTTTGTCAACGGAAACATGGAGCGAATTGATCATATCTCCGGTCAGGTGTTTACCAAAGCGAAGTGGTTCGTGGTGCCAATATTCTGGCTTCCTATAACCTTCTATCTTTTCCTTCGCTCTGCGCTCCAATTCACTACTCCGCTTCCGCCGTTTTTGGTCGACCCAACTCTGCCCCTGTCTGGCATTGTCAATCTACCTGCAGATTCGATCCTCAAAACGTTGATCTGCTTCTTCATCGGTAATTTCGTCTGGACCCTGTTGGAATATATCTTCCACAGATTTTTGTTCCACGTCGACTATTACCTGCCTGACAAGCCTATCTTTCTGCTCATACATTTCTTATTGCACGGTGTTCACCACTATGTGCCCATGGATCGGTAGGAGATCTTTGTTTGATTTGTCCACACGCTTGCTAATGCTGTCCATAAACAGGCTACGTCTTGTAATGCCACCGCCTTTGTTTGCTATGCTAGAATGGCCAATGACTCGTCTAGCCTACAAACTATTCCCCTTGCCTGTCGCCAATGGTATTATATCAGGAGCTTTTGCGTTATGTCAGTTTCCTGAATGTTTCATGTATGAATGCGAACTCAATGCTTTTTTCCAATAGATGTCCTCTATGATTGCATGCATTATGCGTACGTCGTGTTCATTGTTCGAATCGTAACTAATCTCATACCTATATTCAGGCTACATCACACTCGCCTTCCGGTATACATGAATGAGATGAAGAAATATCACCTTGCCCATCATTACAAGAATTTCGACCTCGGCTTCGGTGTAACCAGTACGTCAATTATTTGCCTCCCCAAAGCACTCACTGAAAGTTGTTCATAGGCAAAATTTGGGATATTGTTTTTAACACAGTTCTTCCGGTTTAAAATATGTAGATGCACCATTTAATGGCATTCTGCCCTTTTTTTTCGCCATTTATGCTGTGAGCCTTGAAACCTGTTGGTAGCAAAACAGTAAATCCATAAATCTGAATGCAGATTAACGTGAACTTGAACTTAGGCACATATTCAAATTTCGACCTCGGAAGTTTGTACGATATGATGAGTATACACATATTCGGTAGATACAGATAGAAGGCTGCAGGCAGGTAGACAACCTGTCATGTATATGCGGGAAATAATCTTGTTTATCCTTGATATTCTTTGAAGGACTTTGTTCCCCATGGAGACCATCGCCCACCCACTTCGAGCAGTAATGCTGCACCCAATGAGCAATATGACTGGATTTGGTAAGGGATGCCCGGGCCTCCCTGCGCCTGACGGCCATGAAGCAGACAAGTTCGGCCACCGATCCAAGCTTGATTCTCATTTCAACTCCGGAATTGGGGAGAAGGCGTTGAACCCTCAGGGAGTCCTTTGTCCGAGCCAGGGAGCGTATCACCAGGAGAGGAATAATGAATATACCCAGCTACATGCGCAGGGTAAGTAGGGTAGTGCAAAGAATCTGGGGCGCTCTTCGACACACGGTCATATCCACCAAATTCGGCGTCCACGCAAGTCTGGCGATTTGTCATGTAAGGTGCCCTTTCATCGTAAGTTATCGACGATTGAGTTGGTTCACTCATTGTTGGGTACGCACGTGGATCATGGCGACTCCAGGTGACTGTAGTGTACTGACTGGGATTTACTGCAGGTGCGATTATATAGTTCAGCACATAGTATAGATGAGACGAATGAAGCGACGGCTTCAGAAACTCACCGGACGACTGAGCACTTGCGGAGCAGGAGTCTTCGTTGGAATCTTGATAAAAGGAATCAGGGGTTCTGTACATAGTGGTCGGAACGAGTAAGCGAGGGGACGGAGAAGGATACGACAACGATGGTGTATAATAAGGAACGGCTGGAGTGAAAAATCTATCCTGGGGTAACCGTTGATTCTGATTCTGAGAGTAAGACGCGGGGGAAGGCTGGGTGGAAATGGGAGTAATTGAAGCCGAAGAGTATTCACGAGGAAAAGAATGTCCATGGGTTACATCGTTTGTGGCAGGGACATTCACTGTCCTATAATCAGTATAGTCGCCGATTTTATGGAATTGTGTGTTAGTCGAGTTTTCGGTTTCGTAAGAATGAGACTCGTTTAACGGAGCAAGAGAGGTCTATTATTGGATCATCGTAAGTCACCGACCCTAGTGGAAAAAGAGGAAGGAAAATAGAAACTTGCATGGGGCAAACGATTCCTGGGAGAAATTATGGAATTCCTCGCCGAGCTCGTTACACTGGCCTGAAACAAAGGTCGGTAAAAGAAATAATTCGGAGGAATAAGGCACGATCTCTCACGGAAGTCAGTTTGAGAGATTCCTTTAAAGGCTCGAGAAGTTCTTCCTCTGCAGTCTTTTTGTACCAAGTAAGTAGCCAATCATATTGCTCTTCGGAGATGTTCATCATATCCAGAACACGAAGTTTCTTGAGAGTTGGTACGCGGGTACATTTGACGTACGGCGGGCAATTTCCGCATTGGAGGGCGGTAGGTCGAATTTCGCATGGCTTGTTTTTGGTTATACACTGTTGACATACCTATTAATCTGACTTTAGTGATTCAAATCGTAGTTGTCATGTCAGAGAACGACACGAACGACGTGGTGGTACTTAATATTGAGATCTCGTCTCTCCTTCAGCGAGCCGTGTTTCCTATATACGGAGTTGAATGTCTTTTTCATGTCATCGGTAACCCACGATGCCAAGCTGTTGTCAGTAGCAGGTACTTTAGCGCTGCCGTGTTCTCCATTCTTTTCATGTAGGGAATCAGAGTGAGACGATTGAGACGAGGCCATATCATGCTGAGAACTAGTACGCCTAGTGCCATAGGGAGCTGCTCGCGATGACTGCTTTCCTCTGCGACAATCAAAGTCTGGATGTTGTTTCATATTGCTGGACACTGTTGGTTGTGGTTGTGGTCGTTGGCGTGTAGGCGCGAAGAAAGCGGGTCCAAGTGGCAGCCGATTTCATGTGTGCGTGCTTGTGACAAATTTGAAGACGATACGATATATTGGCGGAGTTGCGGCCAAGATCTTCTATTTCGTGAACTCAAAAGCTGATGATCGAAATCAAGTTTACATGCAGCACCCCACTGCCTGGGTTCAAGGAACTGCCTGCTTCGAGACAGTGAAAAAAATGATACAGAATCCTCGCCGCATACTTGGGACCTGCAGTTGCGCTTGTCAGAGTCGTCGATCAAACTCATGCCTGTGGCTTATAGATTTTTTTCTTCGATTTTTTCATCAGTGTTTTCATTGCACACATTCTAGTGAAAGCTGACCAGCATTATTGGACACCTTGCTTGGATAATTACCATATTTCAATCTTTGGAAAGCTGCAGGAAATACATCAATCCTCCCACTAGATAAAATGATGTAGTGGCAAAAATATTTTTATACCCTCAGTAATCCTCTCTCTGCATTGTACGTGGATACTATGTGTCGGTAAAAGTAGTTTCACCACTGGAATTGCTCCTCGCATTCTCCTGATGATCCCGTCGCTCTTCTGCTCGCAGTCTAGCTCTGACCTTATCCACCTCGTGTTCCCAATCAGTCATTAAGCATAATATCGTCCCGAGGACTGCACAGTACACAAGCGACACGGTCAAACCAGTCCAGAGCCCTCGCAAACCAGCAGTGGCTTCTGGTAACGACGGGTACACCGGATCATCGAGGTTCAAATTTTGGAGTGGCGAAACAGCGTTTGATCCATTGAAAAGGGGCTGGAAATGAAGTGATGGTAAGGGTGTGGGAGGGTATGCCGACTGAGGCGCTAACATCGTCGTTATTTGCCTGCTGAGTGAGTGGACAACTGAGTGGTCAGGGAGGGATTCGGGCAGACCAATATCTTTGAATGCCAGATAAACACCGAGGGGCACTCCCAGTACGTAGTAGGCACTGTGGGTCCATCAGTGACAATTGCAAAACTCCTAAAGGGAATCTTACCTCAAATTGAGTAGAGCCCCAGTACCTTGTTTTCCTCTGGCCCTCAAAACTCCACCGGTGATTCCTGCATTTCCATCGAACACTTGAAACAAGGCGACAAGAGGCAAAATACTCGCCACCATTTCAGCGACATCTATATTCAGTGTTGGTTCATTATAAATGAGTTTGCCAGTGGTCAATGAAGATTCACCTTCATCATTGTTGAATAAATACGACCATTCTTTGCGCCAGATCCAGAAAATGACGCTAAATATTAGAGAAAGTGCAAACCCTAGGAGAATGGCAGCGTGTGCAGCAAGTTTTGCGAGTCGTGGTTGTGCAAGTCCGAGGAGTTGACCGATCCGGACACTCGTGGCTACGCCTAATGAGAATGGGACTTGATATGTTGTTGAGCATGATACAAGTAAGACAGATTGGGCGGCAAGGGCAGTAGGTCCCAACCTACGGGACAGGTATTGATTATAAACTGGAAACCGAAGGACAGCGAACATACAGTGAGGCAGCAAGGCCAACTAACTCCCAAGCCCACCATTCAGATGCAGTCTGGCCTACACCACCAAGTCCGAGAGTGAGAAGGGTCCCAAGACCCGTGGGATGTAACGCGCGCACGGATAACGGGTGCCACGCAGGTCGCATTTCGTTCTGATACAAGTCTCGATGATTCTGGGCCAGGTGTAACTCGGGAACTGTCAATAATATTTTCATGAATGGAATTTGAAAGCGCGAGCTTCGGAAGGTGCTTACCTGTGCTCACTGACCTCTTTGCAGGCGATACGTCTCTCGAAGTGTTTCTCGAGCTTACCGCGGTACTCGAAGAGCCAGTACCTTCACTTGGCATTTGTGCAGTGTAATAACCTTGATCAGCAACCCGTTCATGCCGGGCTTCCCAAGCTTCACGGCGCAGTCTTCTCGCAACTTCGATTCTCCAGCCCCAAAATACGCTTCCCAGCGCAACTAGATTATATGAGATTGCAGTTGCGAGGGGAGCGCCATCGAATCCTAGGTGTAAATAAGGTGCAAGAGTCCTGGGTAGCGGGTGTGGGTAGTAAACTATATAATGAAGGGTATGATAAGCTAAGAGCTTTGAATAAGCAGAAGAACAGTTGAGGTAAACATACCAAATAATCCTGTGAGCACAAAGTTCACCCCAGCTACGATTGTCCCAATCTTTGTGGGTACGCTGAAGAGACCTTGAGCTTGGAAATACCGCTTTGCGATCGTATTAAAAGAGAATGCTGGAAGGCCAAAAGCAAGCTAAAATACTAAGTTTAGCTCTAACGCTGATTGGGTTTTTAACTCGAAGAAGGGAACCTACCATGGCGAGATATCTACCAGCTAGTCTGGCGACTTCTTTGTCTTGCCGCAACAAAACCAGGATCCCTTCAGCGTTAAGCCATATACAAAGCATTGGGACGAGGAGGAAAAGGTATAGTACACCCATTCGTTGACACCATAGTCCGAAGAGGCGGGAATCAGCGAGTTTTGTATTATCTCGTCCAGATTCTATCTTTAAGGGTTCGGAGTCATGAGAGGCGCCGGCACTTGCTCCCCAAACTCCAGGAAGTACGGTATCCAAAGCTCCTCCCATTCCGATGACGATACTAAACGACGTAACATTTGCGGTCATGGAACCTAGAGTACATGCAGCAAGCTCCAATTTACCTGGATACAGGTTGAGTAAAATTCAAGGATGTAAGATGCGAAAAACGACTGACCCAGATGACCGACAGCAAGAACGCTCGTTATTAGGAGCGCATATTCTAAAAGATGCGTTCCGAATACAGGCAATGAAGATTTAAGAAGGATAATGAATTGATCCAAGAGTAAGGGAAGAGTAGGCAGGTGTTCCTGTGAATTTTGAGCGTCGCCGGTTTCTCTGGAGTGACTCCTTGCACGACTTGAACTGGGATCCGAATTAGGCCTAAGCAGAGGAGTCGTTTCTACTGCATATTCTCCAGCAAGAGGTTCGGATTCAAGATATGCGCCGTGTTGTGTTTCAATCGTCGACATAAAGAGATTCCTTTGGTGATAAGGTCAGTTTCGACGATGTAGCGGGAGAGAAAAGCGGCTTACTATTGAGATAGATAATGTACCCAGTCAATTCTACCTTCTATGAGCGTAAAAATGGATCGTAAATTCTTCAGTTAGAGAGTGATTTGCTTTTCTGATTCTTCGTTAATCGTTCAAATAACGAGAAAGCGACAATGGAGGCGAGAAAGAAAGAAAGAAGCCGTCGAGGATAGGCAGTTTATTGAACGCGGCTCCGCTAGGTTCCGCTGCGTGACCGTCAAAAGCCAGAAATTTCCGTGTTATTTTTTTTGCCGTGATCCTCGGAGTCATTATATCTTGCTCCCCTCACTACATCGCTGGTTCGACGCCTTTTAGTCGGTTGAGAATACTCACCTTCTCTTGTACCTTGATTCACCGTCTGTCACTGGCGGCGACATCAGCGCATGCGAGACGCAAGCAGTTTTCTTCCAGGCAGGCAATTACTTGATATCTGCAAGACTGCAACCTCCGATATTCTTCCATTACCCAATTTGTATCAAGAACATGTTCTACTCAGCCTTTCTGTAACCATCATCATCCTTTGATTCTCTCACGGTAGAACATCTACTGGTGCACAGAGATATCGGGTTTCGATACTGGTGTTAGAGTAAAACCATCCTTGTCAATAACAACAACAACCGGCAAAATAGTACGCTTCGACAACGAGTGATTAGCGATCACCCCCGGATTTGGTGGATTCTGCGCCTCATAGCCTGGACTTGAATAGTAGGACTCGACTTGCGTGACTGAGTGCTTGGAGAGCTTGGTGACTGGACATACAGGAAGGGATCATAGTGCTCACAAAGAGCTTGGACTGTGTGCTCAGGAAGAGCTTGGACTTTTGTGCTCATAAGAGCTTGGTTACTCGCGAAAAATCATCTGGGTGCCCAGGAGGGCTTGGATTCTTGCCCCCTCAACGGTGTTCTCGAAGGACTTGGATCTGGATTTTTAACAAAACAAAGTAGTGCTCAAGAAACTGTACACGGAGTGTACGTGCTGGAGCTCGAACGTAAAACTGCGAGGCAATTCGGGTGCCAGACTGAATCTTGTTACGGCGTGGGATTCGAAACCAAAACAAACTCTACTTGCTACCGAACTACGTGCTCGCTTTTGCAAACGCGTCCTCGAAACTTAACACCCCGTTTATAATCCGAACTCTCTCTTGATTTTGTTAATATGTCTGCATCCACGGGCGAAGCCGAGCTCAGGCAAAACAGTCACTCTGAAAACTCTGCAACCTCACCAGAACACCAATCATCCCCAAACTCTTGGACGTTGGGAGATCGTACATCGAATGACCATTCGCGGGCAAAATCTCCTCACCAAACCGCATCGGAGGAGCCCGAGGGACATGACCGAAGCGATAAGGACAGTTTACAGGGTAGCACCGAGAAAAGTAAACCAAAAGACAAGGTTAAAGCAAATGCGACGGCCGAGAAGTTCAAAGGGAAAGAGAAGGCAATCGAAAAGGAGAAAGTGACCTCTCCTCAGAAGAAGCCCATGCCAAACCGCCGATCCTCCACTCGCTTGCAGACCAACGACAACTCATCCTTGTCCATCCTTTCCGACGACGACGACCCCTCACCACCCTCGTCAGAATGTCTTCCAGATGATCAGGCTGCCATTGCTGACGCATTGAAGGTTCAAATACTGGGGAAGAAGAGGTCGACGGCTGTCGTGGCGTCCGCTCTGAACCGCAACACGCTTGCTCTGGGAGGTCATCAATTAGAGCTGGTAGAAATACAACGCAAGAACGAAGAAAGGGTTCGGGGTGAAATCGGGGAGCTGAGAGTGCGTGTAGATGCACTGGAAGTGTCTGGACTGGGTGCCCACGTAGACGAATCTGTCATCTCTGACGGATCAGGTTCCCCGAAAGTGCCTGCAGCGTCTCTCCTACGTGATATTAGGACGCGTATCAAGGCACTTGAAGGCAACAACCATTTGCTAAAGGACGGTGTAGATTGGAAGCGGACCTTGGACAAGGAATTTCGTACGCTTAAGGACAAAGTAGAGGTTTATGAAGGTTTTCGAAAACTCTCCCCCAGCCAAAGGATGTCATGGAGGTATGCACATACGCCACAAAGGAGTTTACGAGAATAGGATCTCTCATATCCAAAGGGCTTTCGGATCTACGCGAAGAGGTGAGGGTGGACCGAAAAACGTCGATAGCTGACGCCTTCAAAAAGGTCACCACCACCATCAACTCACACAACGACACTCTTCGGGAGGAGAATAGGAAGCTGTGGGCCAAGCTCGATGACGTCTCCACCAAGCTTGAAGCAGCTTTGGCAGATAATGATGGTCTACGTGCTCGACTGCAAGGTATTGGAAATATTTTATGCCACAGAAATTGTCTATGCAACATAATTCAGCATGCACTACTGAATTGGGAAAGGGTGTATCGTCAATGCCAAGGGAGGGCAGGATGACTTCAAGCATACATTACGACCCCCATAATAAGAGTGTGTGTTCCATAGCTGTACAGGAGACATAGACGCATATGTAAATGTACAGTAGTATGGTAAACTGGTTGTTCGAGCAACGGACCTCGCCAGTATAATTTATATCCTATCCTATCCTATCCTCAGCTGGATGTCCCAGGGCGACACTGCACAACAACCTTGATCCGGAGAGAAATACCATTTTTATTAAGAAAGTGCTTCGCAAGGCAAGCTTTTACAGTCGAAGCCGTCCACTGCGCAAAGTGGCTTCAAATCGCAGAGATAGATGGGGATACCTAGTATACATGTACAAGGGAGGTGTGTAGCGTACGCGGACTTTGATAACATATTATAAAGCATCGAAATTGATATGGTGCGAGACTCGTCTTCGTTCTAACTCATCCTCTCGCTACACCAAGCAAGACGTGAGTCTCTTTATCTCGAAGAACAAAAGTCCGCTTACCTTCTCGTTCAGATGCAAAACAAGGACAACGATCGCTAATAACGCAGTTCCTGCTACAACGGTGACCGTAACCCAAGGAATCCAATCTCCCGGCCGTAGAAAAAGTTCACGCTTCCATGCTTCGCCCTCTGTAGCTGACGGTAAAATGACGACTTTTGAATTGGGGATGACTCCCTCCATGTTGATATAGTGGTTTTCTAGATGTATGGTTGAGCCTACAAAAAGGTTCTCGATATAGTTGTTAGTGCGTCCAAGGCCGAAGAAGGAGTACGGCGATTGTAAAGCGTGATATGACGTTTGAGGGAGTTGTCCAACTATCCCTGAAATTGAATAACAAGTTGAGTTCAGTAGACGGATGAGTACCTTGAGCAGCTGAACGACGTCCAGATAAATCAAGCACGGTATATTTGTACGAAGCGCCAGAATAACTAACACCGAATGGCTATAGTGGCAATTTAGTACGATCGTTGACCTATTGGAAATATGGATAGAACGCACATGGTATTTCTGCCCATCTTTAGTGTAACACCAGCCATTGTTGCAAGCGCCATTTAATACTGATGATATAGTTTGCTCCTATCAATGAGACCGTTATATTATTTAAAGCGTACCGATAGCTTTGAGGAAGAATGCGTCATAGTAGAAGTTGTTTTGAACGAACAGAATATTACCCTGACCACTATCGCCAGTTCTGTGAACCATGAGATCAAGAGTTCCCTGAGTAGAACGTGAGAATAGACAGGAAGTTAGGACAATGAAATCAACTTACGTCTTCATCCATGTCCACAAACGAGATGCCCCTTGCATCCTTTACTTCCTCAAGGCTTTCTACGCCTTTCTTAACCGCCTGCCAGCCTCGTTTTCCATTTGCATCGCAGCCTATTATTCCGCGTGCGCAAGGTACTGAATATACCATCTTTGGCGTCCGTCCCTGAGACGTAGATACGACGAGAAGCATATCCGGAAATCCGTCCAGGTTCGCATCTCCTAGTTTGATGGCTACGGGTATCGAAGGGGAGGATGTCGTATCTTGCACGAGTAAAGAAGGGGTAGAAACATCTGGGAATAGAGCAGAAACTTGAAAGCGGACAAAGACATCGGGATCTCCGGAGAACTCAAATTTGAAATTCGGATCCGCCACGCACAGGTTGTCTGGCGGTCTACATGTACGAATGCCTTTTGTGAATGCGGGCTGAGCCGTGCCGCAGAGAGGAAGTTGCTGGTTGAAGGCGATGTTGATATAGCAATTAGAGCCTACACCAGAGGAGCTAGAAACAGAGCTACAGGTTGTAAACACCATATCAATGGTGCCGTCACGATCTAAGGGTTTTGGTCAGTTAAACTTAAGACGAACATATGATTTTATGAGACGCGCCAATGTCAGCAAACGTTATGGATTGAACGCCAGAGGGCAGGCTCCCTTGGTGCGCAAGAGAAAAGCCATCGTCCTTGTTGTTAACCCATATTTGAAAATATTTCATGCCATTGCCATTATCGCAGACGAGAAATACATCTGAGGAAAGGTACTTCATAGATATTATTTCATAGCGAAGAGAAAACGTACCTGCCAGACAATCTCCATCTAAGTCTACGACTGCATTACTATGAGGATTCGAAATGATGCATTGAGAGCCATGAAATGGAGAATCTGCCCTGATGATGAAATGAAGCTCCACCAGAAGATAGACGACGCGATCGAACACGTACACTTCAAATAGCGGAGAGTGCGGCTGCGACGCGTTCCACACATTCTTCCATGTCTGGAAAGTTTCTGAATTATGCTGCGAGGAAGCAGTCATTCCAAGGAGATCTATCTTCATGTCGCCGTTGAGGTCGAGTGGTATGGGTTGCGATTGGGAAGAGGATTCAATATAGAATGGATTTTTCACATCTATCAAACGGAGTAAGTCATTTCTCAGAGTGATAGGTCAAAAGTCCCACCAAAACCCCCATCTGCGCGAGCAGGGTATACAGAGAGATCCAAAGGTCCTGAAGCCCAGCTCCCACTCATTACAAGGAGGTCTAGCTTTCCGGAATGCGTATAATCTCCTGGTACTACATTGTAAATATCACTTGGATGTTTTATGGAAGAAGATTTTTGGAACGTGTATTCCTCTGGATGTCAGTATGAATTTGTATTCGATTCAAAAGAGCATTTCGGCACACCATGGTTCCACAAATACACAGACAGTGTCCGTCGATCATTTCCTAGCATTAGAACATCTAAGCTTAAGGAGATACATTCATTACAAAACACTTTGTGCAAGAAACAAGATACACACAACTGGTCGCCGTTGAAATCTCCAAAAGCAACCACTCTTCCAGGATCATTCAAGCCCAGGGAGCCCGCATTCAGGAGAGAGTTCCCACTAAACCTCTTGGTTTCGAAAGGCCAGATAGCAAAAGTCGTTGGAAGTGCCAAGAGCCAAAAATAGAGGGTGGATTTACATCGCCAACAAGGCATGATGAGCGCAAGAAGTAACTCTTGCTTTGACTAGCACTGCCACATCACACTTCTATTTTATATATCCTAATTCTATCCTATGTAGCAAGTGATACGCAAGGCCGATTATCTGTGTTCTAATTTATACGGCAACAACAACCAGAAACAAGTGAGATTCTTTACACATATGGTATCCCAAATGGTTCATTCAGAGACTGCCACGGCCAATAGTAACGACCTAGAGTAATGCGTCGCATCAGTGAAATGGAATCAGGACGATTGATTCAATTGGTATACGAAGGCCCACCTTGAAACCAATTTTTGTCAGTTTGTCCTCATCGACAAGCAGTCGGCCATCGAACACGAAAGCCGGTTTGTTCATTCCTTGGTATACCGTCTCCCAATCAATCTCTTTGAATTCTTTCCACTCCGTAGCAATGACAATGGCTTCGGCATCCTTACATGCCTCTAAAGAGGAAGAACAAATGTTGACTTGCTTTTTGACTAGAGGATCGATTGAGAGAGAAGGACGTAGGGGTTCATAGTGATACACATACTAGTTTCGAGCGATAGATTAGGACTTGCTTCTGCAAGATCCTGCCAAATCTGATGCTCCTCTACTTGAGGGTCGTAGAGGTTAACATTAGCCTTCTCTTTCAAAAAATCACGAATGAGGGAGATGGCGGCAGATTCTCGAGTATCCCCGGTATCTGCTTTAAAAGCGAAGCCGAGAACAGTGATGCGCTAGTGAATTCATGTGAGTAAGGATAAAGCGGCAGGGTACAAGCGGCCAAAGGCGAACCTTGTTTGTGATGGTGTTGAAGAGCGAATCAACGACCCTTTTGGCAAACCGAGACTTTTGATGCTCATTCATCTCGACTACCTGCCTCCAGTACGCTGCAACTTCTGGCAGATGCAGGCTTTCGCTGAGATACACCAGGTTGAGGATATCTTTTTGGAAGCAGGACCCGCCGAAACCGACACTAGCTTTGAGGAACTTCGGACCGATACGAGAATCATATCCAACGGCATTAGCGACCTCGTCAATGTTCGCTCCGGTTGCTTCACAGATGGCAGAAAGGGCGTTGATGGAAGAGATCCGTTGGGCGAGCATTGCATTCGCAGCGAGCTTGGAAAGTTCCGAGGACCATAAGCCTACTGTGAGGATTTGATCGCGTCTAAAGATAGAGACAGCTTGAATACATTGTTACTACGGCAAAAATTGGTGACTCACGAAACCCAGTGCGCGTACACGTCCGATAGAGACTGGCAAGCGGCGAGGCCTTCCGGAGTTTGCAGAGAACCGATGAGGACACGGTCCGGGTTGTGAAGGTCCTTGATCGCTGTTCCTTCAGCCAAGAATTCGGGGTTGGAGAGAATGTCAAACCGGCAGTTGGGCTTTGCGTTAGCTTCGAGAATTGTGCGCATAGATTCGGCAGTACGACAAGGTACAGTGGATTTCTCAACGACGATCTTGTTGGAAGTCGCGACTGCAGCGATCCGGCGCGTGGCTAGTTCGACGTAGCTGTACCAAAGGCGTTTCAGACTATTGAAGATGGAAGACATATATTTAGTTACACACTTGAGATCTGCAGCAAATCCTGCGCCTACACCACTCTTCTTTGTTGGCGTGTTGACACTGACAAAAATGAGATCGGCCTCCTGAATACCTTTATCGACATCGGTCGAAAAGAAGAGATTCTTTCCTCGGCAAGAACGGACGACTTCCACCAGCCCCGGTTCGTAAATTGGAAGTCGATATTGCTCGTCATTCCAAGCGTTGATCCTTGCTTCGTTAAGGTCGACGATGGTTACAATGATTTCAGGACATTTCTGAGCAATGACAGCACATGTGGGTCCACCTAGGGGAATTATGAAGGACCTGACGCGGTAAGAGCAACTCATGAGTTTACTGACCGACGTATCCAGCGCCTATGCAGACGATTTTTTGAACTTTGACCGGGGACATGGTGGTAGGAGATAAAGACTTAAAGGTTGAGATCTAGACAACTTACGGAATTATTGCTCCTATGTACAGTTTATGGCAGAGCGTGGATTAAATGCGGGTTGGTTTGCCCGATGCGTAAAAGAGCGACCACCTATGCCATAGAGAAAAACTCTCCTTCTTCAACACGAGCTATGTACATATTATTATAATTTCCGACAACCAAGGATTTCAAGCGCTTATTTTGTGATTTGCCGCGGCTGCGTCGCTGCGACCGACATTGACACGTGACGACTTGCCTGCTTCCTGTTTCGAACCCCAGATAACGACGTTCCTTTTACACCAGGAAACTATCATCCTATCTCATACGTTTACACGGAATGTCTGACGACTATCCGAGTCTGCTTCGTGAGCTACATAAATGCCGCTTCTCAGACACCCCAAACCTCATCTTTTCATTCAGGATCGGAGCAGATGAGCTTGGTACAGCTCTTCGTGCCAACTGAAGTTGCCCATGATGCAGTAGCAGAGCTTGGCGAACTGGGAAATGTCCAATTCAAAGATGTATGCTTGAATTTCTTCAGGGTAAACTAGAAAACTTACCTTCATTTTGTCATAGCTGAACCCTAATGTCAACCCTTTCCAACGCTCTTTCGTAGGCGAGATCCGGCGTGTCGACGAAATGGGCCGTCGAGTGCGTTTCTTTTCGACCCAGATTGAGCAGGAGAAAGACGTCGTTCCCATTCGTCCTCTCTATGACTCCGCACCGTTGATTGCAGTTGGTCCTCGCGCACCACAAGCTATGGACGAGTTAGACGTTACCCTGGCTGCTCACGAGCAACGTCTTACTCAGATGAATGAGAGTTATCAGAAACTGAGCGAAAGGACAAAAGAGTTGATTGAAGCTCGCCATGTTCTGCGCGAGACTGCTGTATTCTTCGACAAGGCGCGTCTATCTTTTGTTCTTGCATGACTCTTATCTCAATATAATGCAGGCGCAAGATCACCAGACCGACATAAGGACCTCGTTCGATGACTCTTCCGCCCCGCTGCTTCAGCATGACGACCGCGAAAACCAGTATTCAGTTGGTACTGGTGTACAATTCGACTTGGAGTGAGTATTCGGCTGTCACACTAGTGACGTGATCCTTATTTCTTGTATCTTAGATTCGTCGCTGGCACCATTGAACGAGTTCGAGTTCCAACTTTTGAGCGAGTTCTCTGGCGTGTCTTGCGTGGAAATTTATATATGAATCATACAGACATTGTCGAACCTTTCGTTGACCCAGTGACTGGCGACGAAACTCGCAAGAACGTTTTCATCATCTTTGCGCACGGTGACGCTCTCCTAGCTAAGATCCGTAAGGTCGCTGAATCGATGGGTGCTACATTGTATCCTATCGATGCCAACGCAGACAAACGCTCCGAGTCTTTACGCGAAGTTGAGGGACGACTGGAAGATTTACAGAATGTCCTGTACAATACAGGTTCTAGCCGTAGGACTGAGTTGACAAAAATAGGAGAAAGCTTAAGGAGCTGGCAGGATGTCGTCAGGAAGGAGAAGCTAATATATGAGACGCTTAATCTCTTCAACTTCGATGTGAGGAGAAAGACCCTCATTGCGGAAGGATGGGTGCCTACTAGGGATATCACGACGATACAACTCGCCCTTCGTCATGCTACAGTATGCTGTCTATTTCGGTCTCTCTCGGTTGTCCACTAATGTTTCCTTAGGAAGAGTCGGGCACCAGCGTGCCTCCCATTTTACATGAGCTTCGTACTCAAAAAACCCCACCCACCTTCAACCGTACAAATAAGTTTACTGAGGGGTTTCAGACGATCATGGACAGCTATGGTGTCGCGTCGTACCAAGAAGTCAATCCTGGTCTTTTTGCAGTCATCACATTCCCGTTCTTGTTCGCGGTCATGTTCGGTGATATTGGCCACGGTTTCATCATTTTCGTCGCCGCACTTTACATGATCCTTGCTGAGCGCAAGTTGGCTCGCGTAGATCTTGGGGAGGTTAGTCTTTCATGAGCCATATCGCTGACAATCGACTCTCTCTTACTTTTCTACCATAGATTATGGGTCAATTCTTCTAGTCAGTTCCATTTCTCACTTCGAATGCACACTCATCCTCAAATTTTTCTTTCGTTCAGCGGTCGCTACATCATCCTTCTCATGGGTTTATTCTCCATGTATACTGGTTTGATGTACAACGATATCTTCTCAAAGTCTCTCCATATATGGCACTCTGCTTGGGATTTTCCTAGCAATACTACCGACACCAAGATTGTTGGAATTGACAACGGTCACAGATATTCGTTTGGCCTCGATCCAGGCTGGCATGGCGCTGATAACAACCTCGTTTTTGTAAACTCGTACAAGATGAAGATGTCTGTGGTCCTTGGTGTCATTCACGTATGTTTTCCTTTAGTTTTAGGATGAGCATTTTTTCATCTATTTTTATCAATAGATGACTTTTGCTTTGTGCTTGCAATTCCCGAACCACCTCAAATTCAAGCGCCCGATTGACATTTATGCCAACTTCATTCCCCAAATGATCTTCCTCCAATCAATCTTTGGTTACCTCGTCATTTGCATCCTATACAAATGGTCGGTCGATTGGTCGAAGGCTACAACTCAACCACCGTCTCTACTCAACATGCTCATCTCGATGTTCTTGTCGCCCGGCAAAGTTGACCCTTCGGAACAATTATACGCTGGACAACCTTTCGTGCAAGTCGTATTATTACTTTTAGCAGCGATTTGTGTCCCGTGGTTGTTGGTCACCAAGCCGTATCTCGCCTGGAAGGATATGCATAAAATCAAGGAGCAGGGGTATGTTAGCATATCTGGTGAAGGCGACGGCAACGGCATTCATAGGAATAGTTCAGACGAGGTGTTGGAAGGTGAAGAGGAGGGTAACGGAAGAGCTATCGCAGAGGATGGAGATGACGGAGAACATGTAAGTTTTCCGCCAACCCCATCAGCTTGCAGCTTAATGTTCAAGTTTTAGGAACAGCATGACTTTGGTGAAGTAGTTATCCATCAAGTCATCCACACCATAGAGTTTTGCCTCGGATGTATATCCCACACAGCTTCGTACCTTCGTCTGTGGGCCCTATCGCTTGCACACGCGCAGCTTTCAGAGGTGTTGTGGTCCATGACGCTTGAGGCATGGCTTGAACCTACCGGCGTGTTTGAGTGGATCGTATTGATTGTGATGGGAGTGTTCTGGTTTGTGCTGACAGTTTTCATTTTGTGTCTCATGGAGGTATGTGTTTTGTTCTTCTTTTCTTTTGCCGAAGTGCATGGCGTGATTTTGGAACTTATGTTGCTTGGTGGCGAATGTTTTTATTGACTTGGACTTCTTTTAGGGCCTATCGGCGTTCCTCCACGCCCTGCGTTTACACTGGGTCGAAGCAAACAGCAAGCATTTCGAGGGTGGTGGATATGTATGTGTTGCTCCCAACTCCATTCATGTCATATCCTTACCGAATTCGCAGGCTTTCACTCCTCTAACCTTTGCAAATCCGGATTCCAAAGAATAGATTTGTGTGAATCTACGTTTCTTATCGTTCTGGTTATCGAAGTGCGGGCAAGTCTCAGTGAGTCAGTAACATGCCAATTCTGAAAACCTTGGGTGTAACTTCATGTCGCCACGTACATACTATATGTATGGACGACGCTAATTTAACCGTTTCTTACCTCAAACATCGTTGCGCATACTCCCAGGCTGTTCCTCTGCCATCTGTTTGACAATATCGGGTTGGTATGTACCTGTACGAGCAATTGATAGTTATATAGGTAACGATAGTGGCAATTATACTTATGTAGCACATCATTGGATGTTTGATCAAAGTCACCACCGTTCAAAACCTTTTCCGGAGAAGCAAAAACACTCATAGCAACTTTCGGGTCGATCCGATTTTCAAGCAGTTCGAGCCAGTAGGCATCCGCGCAGAACGGTACAAGGTTGGAGGAAGCTGGATGTCAATCGCTTCTATCACAATGATCAGGTATCAACCCCGCACGTCCAGGACCTAGTCTCGGTATTTTACTAGAGGGCTGTTCAAAGATGATCTGAACGTACCGGATCAATGAAGAGCCTGGGGAAACACAGGATAGGTTCAAGTTGTTGAAAACTGGGGTAAGGGCTGGAGATGATCATGATTGATTTGGACATAAGACGCCTCGAGCCGACCTCGAGGCTCTTCGGTGATTATGTGCTAGTTTTTCGAAGATGTTAGCTTTTCCATGTTGGAAAAACATGTTCGACACGTAGGAAAATGGACTGTTTCAGCGAGGGTGTTGGCATTCAAGATTGAACTCGCAAAATGTAGCGGCCTCATTGAATCGGGCTGGGTCCTGCTTGATGACGGCGACGCACTCAAGGCAAAGCAGGATAATGTTGATTCAAGGAGGAAAGATATTCTGGTTCCCGACTGGTCTCGGCGAAATAGGTCTGGACTTTATGTGCACTGTGACTGTGTACTTGTTGCCCCGGGCGGCGATTTATAGTCAGTCAACAATGGACACCAATTCTAGGTCGTCGTCTTCAATGCGGGTATGTCGAATGAACGCGGTGATTGAAGAGCAAATTTTGAATTAGATTTCCAGCTATTCCCAGTCTCGTCCGGGCCACATTGAGCTCGAAGAATCATTGGAACTTGGACGTCGTTAGATTGCATATGCCCGTGGAATCAGAGTTATGCGGAATGATTCTTTTCTCATGAAAGCATTGATGTGCAGAGTATCTTCATTCGTTGTTACTAAACCTGCCAATACTGTAACCATTATTGAACCCTGTTTCGATGAGCTCACGACCAGTGCGTATATGGTATATTATTCCTCCGATCTCTAAGTCACTTGTGGCACTATACGGAGCTTGAGGATTAAATTGAGAGAGTCAGCTGGACGCAGCGAGAACTTGGAAAAAAAGTCACCTGTTGTCGGAGTTTGAAATCAAACTAGGATAGTACAAAATGGAATGTGTGTCGACCGGCTTCTCCCCCTTCAGTCTTTTTTTCTCCCGCTCCCGTAGAGGTATGATTTTTCTTTGCTGGCCATCTTGCGTTTGTTGCTAGATCCTCATTGTTTGCTTTGCTGGCCAGGCATCTTTCTGCCAAACTTAGAGAATTAGAGCGTTTTTTTATCCTTGTCAGCCTTTGTCTGCAATCACTTTCATCCATCGACATTTTTGACAACTATATCATCCAAGGCAAGTTTTGTGTTCATTTTGTGCTCATTCTTGCTAATCGATCATCATAGATATCACCTTTAGAAATGCCTGCTGCTACCGCTAACGCTACTTCTCCCTCCATACCATCACCTGCTTCACTAAAAGCTGCCGCCGCACCTGTCGAAGGCCAGGTCGATGTCTCAGCACTTTTCGTCGCCGACAAGCCCTCTCGCGAGGCCGCAGTGGCCCATCTGGCTGCAGTAGCCTCAAAGGAAGGTCCTTCTGCTCTTCAGTCTGCTGGATTCCAGGATGCTGTTCTCAAGGCCCTTGCCGACAAAAAGTCTCCCGCTTCCCGTGAAAGTGCTGCTGAGGCTGTCCTTGCGCTCTCCAAAAATGGAGCTGTCAAGGCTCTTGAGCCAACCTTCGTCAATTCTGGTATCTACGCCGCTCTTCTCGAGACGTTCGCCGACAAAATGCCTGCTGTCCGGACAGCTGCAGTCGAAGCCGTCAGGGAGTTTGTTGCTGCTATGAACCCTTGGGCTACCGCCCTTATACTTCCCGCCCTTCTTCATGAAATCAAAACCGCTGGTAAATGGCAACTTAAGACTGGTTCTCTTGTCATTTTGAACCAGCTCGTTGCAAGTGCCCCAATCCAGACTTCACGTCTTATGCCGGAAATCATTCCCGTTCTCTCAGAAGCCATCTGGGACACCAAGGCGGACGTGAAGAAGGCCGCTCGTGATTCGCTCACAAAGGCCACTGCTCTAGTGTCGAACAAGGATATTGAACGCTTTATTCCTGCTCTTATCAAAGCTCTTATTAATCCCGTCGAGGAAGTTCCTAATACTATTATGCTTCTCTCGGCTACCACATTCGTTTCTGAAGTAGATTCCCCCACGCTTTCTCTCATGGTTCCTCTTCTCTCCCGTGGTCTCAACGAGAAGTTGACTTCTACCAAACGAAAGGTCGCGGTGTAAGCATCGCATTTCTTACCTTCATTACTTGTTTCTCACTTATATCTTAGTATCATCGATAACATGTCCAAGCTCGTCGACTCCCCAGTCACTGTTCGTCCTTTCATTCCCAAGCTTCTCCCAGGTTTGATCAAGGTCGAGACCACCATCGGTGACCCTGAGGCCCGTGGCGTCGTTGGAAAGGCCATCGCTACCCTCCGTCAAGTCGGAGAGGTTCCCGCTTCCAGCGACGGCTCTGATCTGCCCGCCCACAAACAGGCCGAAGAGGGTCAACTTGCCCACTCTCTCACTGCGATCTACAAGAAGTTAGGTGGCGAAGCATCGCCTGGGAACGCTGCTCTCATGTACGCTTCTTCTCTCGCTGCAAATCTTGTCAACCTCAAGAACTTCGATGTTCCCGAGTGGGACACCCTTGCTCCCTACCTCGCATTCGTTACATCTACCCCTGAGCCCATTTCTGTTGCTCGTGAGTGGGTCGTCCGATCGGCTACCGAGGACACTGGTGACGAAGAGGTTCCCGAGGACGAAGAGGAGGGTGAAGACCTCTGTAACTGTCAATTCTCTTTGGCTTATGGTGCTAAAATTCTGCTCAACACCGCAACACTCCGTCTTAAGCGTGGCCATCGTTACGGCTTGTGCGGTAAGAACGGTACCGGAAAGTCTACCCTAATGCGTGCTATTACGAACGGGTTAGTATGGTTCACTTCTCTTAAACATGTCCATTTTGACCAATCTATTTGATAGACAAGTTGAAGGTTTCCCATCTCCGGATGAGGTCAGGACCTTCTACGTCGAGCACGACATTGACGGTAGTGAAGAAGACACCAGCGTCCTCACATTCATTCTCTCCGACAAGCGTATCCTGGCCAATGAAGCTGAAGTCATTGAGACTTTAGCCTCTGTCGGTTTCACTGACGAGCGTCAGAAACAGGCGATTGGCTCTCTCTCCGGTGGTTGGAAGATGAAGCTCGCCCTTGCCCGGGCCATGCTTTTCAAGGCTGACATCCTCTTGCTTGATGAGCCTACTAACCATCTTGATGTTGTCAACGTCGCCTGGTTGGAGAGTTATCTGACCAACCTCACCACTTGCACCTCCAGTATGTTATCTTCCTTTTGTTACTGATAGACTATTCATTTTCCATGTGCAGTTATTGTCTCCCATGACTCCAGCTTTTTGAACAACACCATTACCGACGTTCTCCACTTGAACCGCTTCAAGCTCAGGAGATACCGCGGTAACCTCGAGAAGTTTGTCCAGGCTGTACCGGAGGCCAAGTCGTACTACACTCTTGAGGCTGCGGAGGACTACAAATTCAAGCTCCCTGACCCTCCTCTTCTTGAGGGTGTCAAGACCAAGGAGAAGAGTTTGCTGAAGATGTGAGTCGTACTCAATATGTTACATGCACTCTCTTGACCTAACCTTGTCCCAAGGCGTAAGGTTGGCTTCCAGTATCCTACACAGCCCGTCCAGCAGCTGTACGACATCACCCTTCAAGTTTCGCTGTCCTCTCGTGTCGCTGTACTCGGACCCAACGGTTCCGGAAAGTCCACCCTTGTTAAGCTTCTCATCGGTGACATGGAGCCCAATAAGGGAGGTGAAATCTGGAAACACCCCAATTTGGTCATTGGCTATGTCGCCCAACACGCTTTCCACCACATCGATAACCACCTCGACAAGACCCCACTCGAGTACATGCTATGGCGTTATCAGACTGGTGAAGATTTGGAGGAGATGACAAAAGCCAACCGACAAATATCCGAAGAGGAGGCGCAGAAAATGAAGGAGGGAGGTGTTATTGTCATCGAGGGCCAGAAGAGGCTTATTGATGAGATCGTGGCAAGGAAGAAGTTGAAGCAGTCGTATGAGTATGAGGTCTCTTTCAAGGCCTTGTCGTCGTCCGAGAATATCTGGCTGCCTCGTGATGAACTCATCAAGCGTGGTTTCGAGAAGGTATGTCCCTGTCCCCATGGTTCGGCCCGTCTCTGATCAGATTTTTTTCGGTCGTTCACAGAAAGTCATCGAAGTTGACACCCGTGAAGCTCAACGTCTTGGTCTCCTCCGTCCTCTTGTTCGTCGGGAGATTGAGAAGCATTTTGCTGACTTTGGTCTCGAGCCCGAGTTCGTTTCACACAACACCATGAGAGGTCTATCTGGTGGTCAGAAGGTCAAGATTGTTCTCGGTGCTGCCACCTGGCGTCGCCCTCACGTTATGTGTTTGGATGAACCCACTAGTATGTGCTTTTTTCCCCACCATCCTGTTCTTCATTTTGATATCCCTTCTAGACTACCTGGACCGAGAGTCGCTCGCAGCTCTCATCGAAGCGCTCAAGGTATTCGAAGGTGGTGTCCTAGTCATCACCCACAACCGAGACTTCTCCGAATCCCTCTGCAAGGAAGTATGGGCGATGCGTGACGGTCGTCTCGAAGCTTCAGGTCACAACTGGGTTGAAGGCCAGGGTTCCGGACCTCGTATCGATAAGAATGACGGTGAGGAAGACGTGCAGTACGACGCGATGGGTAACAAGATTGAGAACAAGAAGGCAAAGAAGATTACTTCATCGGAGGCACGGAAACTGAAGAAGGAGCGTATGGCACGGAAGAAGAGGGGTGAAGATGTCACAGATGATGAGCTCTGATCATCCAGAATTTCTTTCACTATGCCCCTTTTTCTCCTCTCCATCATCGAACAATCTTCTCTCTTCCTTTCGTGTTCCAACGCACTGGTGCATATGCTAAAGTCTGTCCATGTATGTTTTATGTGTACCTTTCCTGCCTCTGTTAGTGTCTGTCCATATGTGCGTCTATGATTTACGATTAGTACGGCTTCGCCTCGTTTGTCCTTATATTGTTACTACGGCTCTCATAATCTATCTATCTACTTCATTCAGAACCTTGCTTGGTTTTCACCAATTCAGTAGTGGAAATTGATTGAATCCGTGACATTTTTGAACAACAAAGCAAGCTCAAGTTCATGGGTCTCTTAATCGCGCTCAATGCTGTGGTTGATTTGAATTCAAACATTGCAGACACTGATACTAATGTGGCAATCTGTATTCTCTTATGAAAACGCAACGCACATGGGGGTGTCGTTGGAAGCAATAGGCAGCTTTGATATGCGCAAAATTCGGATATCAAAGCTCGACGAGAGTTTAGAATGCTAGAGATACCAGAAGAGTTCACCTGAGTTCACATTTTCAAAAGATCAGATTTATCCAACTGGTAACCCGTGTCTATAAAATGTCTAAACGAAGTTCGTTACTTCTCTCCTCTGAGAGCTTTCATATCTTGCCCATCTGCCAGATGAACAGGTTCATGATCGTCTTTCGGAGGTTCCCCCATGACCTGGCGCATGGCAGCCGTATTGAGGAGTTTGGCGTATTTCGGTTGAACAAACATAGCCCTGTTCATATGGTTGAGAGTTGTGGATTGAGAACAACAGAGGAAATTCTTACGCGGCCTCGACCAGCAACGTCCCTTTCATATCTTCTACTCGGGCAACAACATTAGCCTTTCGGCCTTTCACCTCTCCGAGCTTGGTCTTGATGACAATAAACTGATCAGCCTTTGTCGGAGCGCGATAGTTCAGATTGAGCGTTGCAGTCACTCCTATTCGTTCAGGAAGGTTATTGATAGCCTGAAAAGTCGCGAAGTAAGCACGATATCCAGAATCATACGGCAGCAGGAAGGAAAACCCACCGTGCGCGCCATGGTTTCATCTAACAGCGTGGCAAGCATTCCACCGTGCACAATCCCATCATGGCCGCAGAGTCCCCTGCCAACGTGTATGAAAACAAAACTCTCCGACTCGTCACGACGAACCCATACCACGGGCGGTACAGCCAATTTACCAGGTCCACGAAGCGCACCGGCAGTGAGATTGTTTACGCGACGTTCCTCGGGGAAGTTTTTATAGGGACGAGCTTCGTACCATTGTTTCGCATCGGGAGCAGTTCTGAGGGACTGGAGTAGAGGTAATGAGAGTAATTCCTTCTCTAAGGAAGCTGTATACTCCAGAGATTCGAATGAAGTAGGATCTGGAGGCGCAGGGGCTGGTGATGGAAATAAGAGAGAAAGTGGGGGCGGTGGGTATATTGAGCCGACGGTGTAGGCAGTTAAACTGGCGAAAGCAGTCAGTGTTAATGTCAGCAGGTTTCGACGGAAATGCGAAGGTGATGGCGGTTTCAGGACGGTTGTTTCCGATGAGGTAGAATAACAGTGTCTAGAAGGGTATAAGAGTGCTTTTGAATGTAAAGGCAGTCTAAGCCTCCTAATCAGCACAGAGGACATTGTGGCTTGTCGCAAACGCCGGCTTTCGGTAACGTTGTGCCGGACCGCGTTGTTTGTTTCTAAAGATTTAACCAAACATCGCGTCTCTCTTTTGTCTTTTCCCTTTTGTCTTTTCGGTTTATGACTTCCTTTCGTTGCCCAATCGTTTTATTGTCTTTTTTCGCGGTTAATTGTTATTCTGGTATGATGAATTGGCAGAAAGGAAGCTTTGGTGACGCAAAGGCCACTTTTCTCCCTTTCATAATGTCGAAATCTTTCCGAAGCGAAAGTTCTTTCCAGATTCCTCTTAGTGCGATGGCCATGTTTTATTGTATTATCTTGTGCACACCCCAAGGAACGATCCTCTTAGATGAACATTCCTCAAGGCCTTCTTAGACGTATAAAAGCCGTGCAACAAAGTGGAAGGTAAGGCAAGCCTGATTCCGGTTCCAGTCCCACCCATTTGAAACGGACTACGTTTCTTATCCTTTCGAGCCCCTCCTTGGCACCTTTCGCACTTGTCATAATGGCTTTCGGCTCTTCCAAATCGAAATCGAAATCGTCTTCCTCCCTAGATCCTCAACAACAGGCTGCACTCGCAGCGGAACTCGTCGCCTCGGAACTCCTCATGAGACAACTTCTGGGTGGAGGTTCTATGCAGAGAAATACTAAATATCTCATGGAGGAGCAAGAGCGATCTGCTTTTGTCCCTTCCCTTCCCTCTGACATGCACCACCGAAGTGGAAAGTCAAAGACTTCAGCTCATTCCTCGCTGGCACTTCCGCCTCTGACTCATGTTATCCCTTCATCAGCGATGCCGCCTATGCCAGCAGACGCTATCTACGATAATTATGACCATCATCGTCAATATGGTCCTCATTACCATGGGCATCTCCGTTCGGAACCACGTCGTAGGCACCCCAGTGATTCTTCATCATCGTCATCCAGCTCGTTGACCCCCAGCCCGACCTCGTCTACATTTGACGCTGATGAGACCTCATCCTATATGGCATATCCCGCTTCCTCTGACCACCAATATATTGCCAATATTGGAATTGGTCACCAGTCGACCGTGAAAGCCACAAAGGGCTTGAGTTTGAAGGAGAGAGCGAAGGCTTTATTCCATGGACATTGATGAACTTACTTCTTCCCTTTCATTTTCTGTTTTGTAATATTTTTATTTATCGGCAGGTCTGTTCTGGCTATGTATCCTGGCTTATATCCTGTATTTTAGTACCCAAATGTCCTTCCAGTATCACCCTATTACACTATTCTTTCATTATCACATCCCTTTTATTCCCATTTGTCTTTGGACAGTGCCATGTATCTATCTATCCACTATGCTGAAGTGAGGTCATTGGAGGATGTTAGATTACATTTGATCCCGCTATCTTGATTATTGTACACTGAAACATGACGAGCAGCTCTTGTTTTTTTGTTGGTCCTATAACTTTAAGCGAAATGAACACCGTACATAGACCGTGTCATCTTTTGGCATGAACATACAATCATTGCCTACAGAATACTCGTTCGTGGCCCTTTCTCTCAACCCTGAGGCGACAGTTTCCAGTTTGGAGAACGAGGAGCTCACTGCAGCTTGTCGGCGACTGCAGAGAAAGACATTTGTCGCGTTGGTTGGCGAGGTACGTGGGTTGGCTCGATAAATATTCACTGATGACTTTCTCCTCAGCGACGCCAGTTTTTCATGCCATGGGAGCCATACCATTCTTGGCAATTTTATTTGGTATTCCAAGGTCTTAGAGAGGAGGATGCAGCGCGAGGAATCGAGCCCGAAATGTCCGTTCCCATCCTCCCTAACACGACCCATCCTTTGTGCCGCCAAGCGCTAGATCCAGGATATGCATTACCGTGGAACGACTGTTACTTCTCTGAATCCATACAGTTCGATGCTCGCGTAGCTACGTGTGTGACTGGAGAAGAGCCGGTATATTACGCCACTTCGGAAGAAGTAGAGCGGATCCAGAGATATTTCGAGGAGGATGTACAACGTAGACGGGTGTTGATGCCGCAAATAGTGGCAGTTAGAGCTATCACGGGAAATGCTAGGGACATTGAACACAACCACGCGGAGTCGGAAGCGCCCTGGGCTTCGAGCTTCGTAGGGGAGAGTGGTTCAATGGATAGAGCACGAGGCGAAAATTCTGCCAGTGCATCGTCGAGAAAAGGCAGTGGAAGTGATGCAAGAATAATGCTTGACGAGATGACTGCTCGGCCACATAGCAATCTAGTCGTTGTTGAAGTATCTTTCGACCTTTCGTCCACCGCTCAGATACATTGTCCAGATGAATTCTTCAAAGAAATCGCGTCGCTAAAAAGGTGAATTGGTTTCTTGATTAATCAATTAATTGTAACTCTGACTATAAACGCACTACTACGAAGACTCACAATCGAATTGGAGAACACAAGAATGCAACGCGAGGTTGAGAATGCTCAGCGTATTGACCAAGAGTACTTTGCAGCTGTGCAGGCACGAAATAAACACCCACGAGCCTGTAAGTATAGAAATCGCCTTTTCCAGCAAAGCATATAGGATTAAACATCTTGTAGCAGACAGCGCGCGCAAATGGCACGTTAGGATTATGGCGAGCATGAAGAACATGTTTTTGAGATAGCATACCCCTTGTATCATGCTAAGTTATGTGTATACGCCTGCCCTCACTCCGGTTACATTGGACATTGGCATCGTCATAATAACAACTCAACCATTACCTTCTATTGCCAGTATAAAAACGGGAGCTTGCCTCGTAACTTCTTTTACTGGTGTGTCTGTGTGGTTAAAATAATATTGATTTTGAGTTTGATACACAATCGCTGTATGCAGACAGAAAATAACTGGTTCGAAGGTAAACAGTGCAACTGTACCACTATCAAAGACTATCAAGTTCAAGAAGGTCAAAGATAGTTCAATCAAATGTCGACATGCAGCAGTTGTAAACTTTTCCCTGAACACCTGACTGAACCAGACTGAAGCTAGATTTTGAACTTATTCTTCAATCCACTGTCGGCACATTGGGACACTCCGCCGCCGCTACATACCACTAACCTGTCAATCGTCACATATCATAACATGGGAATGCTTAATGGAAGTATATATAGCTATTTCTGCTATCCTGCCGCTGTGATGGACGTTCTATGAATTGACAATATGAGCACTGTTTTACTTCTTACCCTCGGATTATTACGAAGGCCTTCCTTGCGGAAATCACTCGACGACAATCTAGCTTCAAGACAGACCTCGACGTAATTGGCGTATCTGATGCCTTCATCGATCGCAGAGTAAAGCTAGTGTCTTCTCGCTGCGCCTGTGTTGCCTTCTTCCTTCAGAAGTTCAATAATCTTCTTCTGTTCGGACTCCAGTCCTGGGTATACCTTACCTTCTCTTCCCTCAACACATCTGTCGTTTCCCTTGCCATTGCTGTATTTCATATGCCGCTTCCCAACACTCGTCCCGACTTCGATATCGATGCACGCCCTCACATATTTCGTTCTTCCACCGAATGGGCTTCATTTTGGCATGGTCTAGCACCTTGGTTTGAGCGTCGTGGCTACGCACTTCATACTCCTGGGTCGAAAACTTCCATCGGGCTTTCTGACGGATTCACGGTTCCCGTACGCGATACGTGTCAGCAGCAGCATCCACCTTTTGCCTATACGAATGCGTCTGCCGGACCAGGATTTATATATGACTCACATCCACGCGAACGCATTTCTACAATACCCCAACAAAGTCGTTCTGCGTATCGTTCTCAGACAAAGTCCCTTGTCTCTGTTCAGGTCCCGCCATACGTCGCAACAAGCAATACAGGACGAGTGTATGCCGCGCAAGACTCTCTTGGTCGGCATGTCTACATAAAGATCTTGAAAAAGGATTCAGAGCAGCTTCGAGTCGTTGAATTGTTGCGACGACAGAAAGAAACGCCGGGGGTCTTGCCGATTGTAGATGTGCTGGAATACGACGAAGAATATGCGTTTCTAGTGATGCCAAGATGGGCAGATATTCCTGGACCCAGTAATCTTTTGCGGTCGGTAAAGGACGTGGGTGAATTCGTCGTAGATATTTTGAAAGTGAGTGCCTATACAGCTCTCCGGTGTCCGGTTGTACTTATGTATATCTAGGGTCTCGATACGTTGCATTCACTGCGCATCGCGCATCGAGACATCAAAATGAACAATATGGTCATGAATCATCTCTTCCCGCTCCCTGTCAGAGCGCTGCGGCCTCTAAAGCACCTCGATATTCATTCCAGTCCAGGTGGTACCTTCAAAATAATCACCGATTCCCGCGAAGCAGTCTTTCACCGTCTAGAGTTTGCCATCATCGATTTTGATTTCTCTATGATAATACCAGGAAATAAAAACGGCAAGGATAGACTACCTTCAACGTTGGCATGGATGCAAGAATACAGCGCGTTGGACGTTTCGCAAGGGGAGTTGGTATATGATCCATTTAAATACGATGTAGGTGTGCTGGGCGTGATGTTTTGTGAAATGCTGCAGGTTAGCTTCTTACGAGGATCATTGATCTTTTTTTTCTTACGATGTCTATGTTCTTCCACTTTCATCGTATAGAAATTTACGCCTATGATACCACATCTCGCTCCTTTGCTCGATCGTATGACGACGCACGAGTTGGCCAAACGATTTACTGCGCGTCAGGCTCATGCTTTTGCGGAGACGTATCTCCTCCGTGAACTTAATGAAAAACAGCTTCAACAGTGCCTTACTGTCTCGTCACATCAATTGCCCTCCTTCCTCAACTCATTTGACCACACGCGTCTGTTGAATAGTCCCTGGAAGTCTTATGATCGCTGGGCGAACCTCCCTCCGTCGTTTTTCCTGGAATTTCCTCAGTGGTCAGAGTATGTGACTCCAGCGCTACCAAGGTGGAAGTTGTGGCTGAGAAGAATATGTGAGACTGAAGAAGGGCGAAGCCGAGTGAGGAAATTACGGAAGGCCTTAGTAGCTGTGGGAATTGGAGAAGGGTGGGTGCGACATCGATGACGGACAATGGCTCGATACTTCTTTACTTCACTGTATCATAATGGCGTTCTTTACTCGCCAAAACAAAGGGTCAAATATGCTCTCTAGGAATGAATTCGATCTCTGACTTCGAGTTTACCCTTCCCTCCGTGTCCATTGGTTCTCCTGCTATGGGTGCACATAGATTACATTTTGCTTAGGTCTTAGTTCGGATATGAATAAGTTGGATCACCAGGAAGCTTACGCTCTCAGACTATCCGTGTATGCGAAAATGTCAATATATTTAAAGACATTCGGAGCACGTTCGATGTGCGGATGGTTCAACAGAACGTCGTTCAGAAATTAGAGTACAATCTGCTCATACATTCACCCCGAATTCACTCTATGTAGTGAACCCCAATGTGTGGGGGAACACTACGACTTAGTCTCACGATGAGAACATTGGTATCAGAAGTTGAATGCTTTACGGAGTAGCAGTCCCAGTTCTTAGGAACTCATTGCCCTCGTTCAATCGTACATGTGTTCCACCATAACAGAATTGACATAACCTGGGCCCGGGGATTGAATGCGTGTCTGCAAATCTCTCGAATTCTGATAAGATTAGGGAAGTTAGGACCCAGAATCATATCAGTTAACATTTACTTCGATACTTGGATATCACCTGGACCTGTAGTATTTACTAGTTGCATGTACACTACATTACGTTTGACTAGAAGCGTCCCAAAGGATACCAAAGGAGCTGAATATGACCATAGTTGTTGAAGAATATAGCGAGGCGAAATTAAAATAAGGAAGAGGCTGAACTATTATTGTCCTCCACGATGCTGGATGAATCCACCATTCGGATAATGATACTCTACTAAGTAGAGTGGTGACGCACTGACAGCGCTGTCGTTCTATCAATTTTTGGAATAATGTAGAAGGCATGGCTTCGCTGAAAAGCAGACACCGAATGTAGTGCAGAATTGATTATCTTCCATCGCGAACCATTGGCACCATGTGTATGCTCATGTCCTGAGCGAGCCGATCCGCATTCCACGCGAGCTCTAGGAGGAGAGATAGCGATGTTGAACACGGATACTCGCGAAGATTCCGAGTGTTACGGGATAGTAAAGACTTCCGGTGAACACTCTTTAACGCCCCGGGTCCACCCAGTGTAATCGGATCGACAGGTCGATATATATGTTGCAACCGTGGTCTGCGTTAAATGGAAGACAAAATCAAAGCGCGTTCTTGTTCAATTCTCCTGGCGTGTTCACCTAACAACTATTGTCAGAAAGTCGGAAAGTACGGTCGAGAAAAGACATTGAAGTTCACCTGCTAGTGGGAAAAACGCGCTCAATGTTTTCATTGCATCAACAAGAACATCCAGTTCCTGATCCACAGAGAAGACAGGAAGCGCATTTGCAACCGCACTACCTGAAAGTGAAAGGATCTGAAGATATAATTTGGCGACAGTCATCCAGCAAGCCTGAAGGAACGAAGAGGTCATATAAGCCATATTCGAGGGAGAGAAGATATTCACTGACACTTATCAAAGGATCCAACCACTCATAATCGGTTTGTCCCAGCTGTCTGATGAGAGTGAGGACGTAGTTTGCCGCCTGTAGATTTTCCATCTCTAGATTATTCTTGTTGATGTGTATAGTGCAAACGTTTGCAACAGTATGTATTGTGAGCAGTTCCACATCGAGAAATGGAGCCTGATTTCTCCACGGTTCGAAGCCAAGAAATAACGGAAGGGATGTAAGAAACCGTTGAAGAGCGTTGGATGTAGCAGCAAGCTCTGCCCAATTCGGTTGTACAGCTTATGAATGTTATCAAGTCAGGTAGCTATTCATTGACCCCCCCAAAAAACTACTCACAAGAAGAAAGCCGAAATGTCCTCTCGTACAGAGCAGCAGCCTTTGCCTTCAATGAAGGCATATAAACAGGGTTCCCCAATGGATCAAACACTCCTGTGGTGGTAACTACATCATCCTATAGAGATACATGGCGGTATCGATCTATCAGTTACGCAGATCTTCGAGACAGAAAGCGGAAATCACTGACCAGTGCTGCATCAGGCCAGGGCGTTTTGATTCTACCTTGGTGATGTTCTCCATCGGGCAAGGCCACTGGGAGCCCGTTAGCCACGCTCCAACACCGATCCACCATGAAGACTTGCCAAAACGTAGATATTCGTTCCCGCAGTTCTGAATGATCTTTTGGAGGAGAGGACGCTATAGAAGAAGGAGAACCGGTAGCAGTCAAGTTCATGACTCCCGTAGGACTTGAACGTTCCGCAGAAGAGGAGCTGCTAGGTCGAGCAAGATCAGTAAATTGGATTTGATGCAATCCAAGGCCTACTGCGAGTCTTGCCGCAGAGAATGAATGACAATACCCCTCGAGAATTCGGCTGTTAGCGTAAAAGTATATCGCCAATAGACTAGACGCCTGTACGACATCAACAAGACGATCCTGATTGTCCAACGCGACGGTGATTTCACGTAAAGCCCTTGTTAAAAACGTGGATTCGAGTTCAGAAAAGTAAGGTGAGCGGGAAAAGTGGCAGGCAAGGAGGTACAATGCATTCATTAAAGCCGGATGAGGTTCCGGGACCCCAACTATGGATTCCCCATTGGAAAGAATGTCGAGCCGTGTAGTGTCAGAAAAGAACCAACATTGGTGTCGATGCGCAATAAAAAGTTCCAGACTGAAATATGTAAATGAGTTCAGTTCTTGATAAACACATGGATCAGAAAGATACTGACAGGATCTTCTTATTCTCGAATGGCAACGGCGTTGTAGGATCCCAATGAGGCATGTCTGGAAACATGGAGCTACTCATTCCTGTAAATGGTGAAATTTCGAAAGCCTGCTCGCCTCCACCGCTCGTATCTCCCCAAACCATGCCCATCGCCGAAGCGAATGGACTACCTGATGCGGACAGTAATGAGGAGGAGGAAGAATTCGAGCTTGGCTCTGCAGAGTTTGCGGGCCAGGCGTTGTTAAGAGAGATCTGATTTTGATCCACATCGTCCAGAGTATTGGTACCACTCAAGTCAAAGGTATCGGGAGAGCCGGAATGAGAGGATGAGGCGTCGCCCGAAGTTGTTTGTTCTGTTCCCTCTAGTTCCTTAATTCTATCCTCAAGCATCGCCAGCTTTTCTTTTAGCTTCTGAGTCCTACTTTTCTGCCTCCTGTCCTCGTACTCGCATTCGTCTGCCCTTTTCATTTTGATGCATGGTGTACAGACAGGTTTTTGGCCGTCACATTTCTATGAATGAATGAATGATCTTCGTATACACACAATACAACAAATGCTCACCAGTTTCCTCTTCCTAAATAAGCCAAAAAAAAGGCACGATGAGAACGCGGAAGGTTTAGTTTTCCAAGGATAAGCTGCTCACCGACAAGACAGACAGGCCAGACCTCGCTGAAGAGGCGTATGCCCACTGGAAGATTTCTTCGTTGGCATAGATGATGAAGAACTGAGAAGAACATTCCACTAGGCGACTAGTCTTTGATATAAATAGTGAAATCGCGATTTACCTAGGCGTTATGGCATGGAGATTGTTTTTTTGATCCTGACATGCCTTATCGGGAATCACAACCTCCGCGAACGCCGTGGAGTAATTATAACTGCAACTTGAACTGTGCTAGATTGTGCTGTGTTCGTCGACGCTCGCCAACTAAATAAATATCAAGGGTGGTACTTGTACGTAGGACCTTAAAGAGTATAGCACACTCATCGCTGTTTCAGCCCCTTATCTTTTTCAACCTCGAACAAGTTTGCTGATTGCTCTTTGTTCTAGGATAGGTAATTTTAAATAATTCTTCGAAGATTCATACTACGGTCCGTTCAATGGAGCAAGGTGTACGAGTGTGTACGTGTAAGGATCGAACGAAGTGTGAAGTTATCGGAGGTCGCGTCGAGCTCAATTACCATTGTCATGTGGTACTTGGGTCTTGGGACAGACTAGGACAGGCCTCGCTGAGAAGAATTTACCGAGGGATGCTTCCAGCTGCTTTCGCGGATTTATCATACTGCTGTCGTGGTAACGAGTCAGGGTCGCCACGAAAAAGGAAAAGCGGGCAAGCCGTACACTTCGGTAATTCAGCGGGAAGCTCGAACAAACATAGGACTGTACAACTACCAGAGCAAAATCGCTTGTAGATTCTTTCCCATACAGTTGCACCCGAACTGAACGCTTGCGGGAGAGTTTCATCGTGTTTGCTTACTGCCTTTGATGTGGGGAAGACGGAAGGAATAAGACCATCAGACGTGTTATCTGTGGAACACATCCGAGTACGGAGATGAAGGGATTTGAAGATGCTGACTCCAAGGTTGGGTCGGAAGTCACAGGGGTAACAAGATTTTCATAGCTTCTTAAACTTTGAAAGAGTATTTAGCCCGGGGTTCACGAAGATGTGGGTTGAGTGCTTGAGACTCGACGATAAAATTTCCTCACTTCTCCGCCAGTTATTAGGTCGACCTCTGATAGTGCTCCCTGAATTCATCAGCCTCTGTCAGCCTCCGCCCTCTTCGTCGCAATCCAGGTTGAAGAGATCCCCTCCACCATCGGAACAGTGGCGCGCGATGATAGAGACCTGACCCTGTTCGTCAATGAGTCTGATGCATATAGCGGATTGGGGTAAGGTTGGTAGATTCCATGAAAGATACAGCCATTGTTATACCGTGATGGTTGAGAAAGCGAGCTGCTTGCGTCGTTGACAAGGACTCTGTAGAAGCAGAGATTCGGGCGAAGCTTTGTAAGTCCCTTACTTATATGACACAGCCTATGGGCTCCTCTAGGCTCGAGTGGGAAGTTGTGGGAGGAGTAGACTAAGACTAAGAGGTAAGACTCGTAAGAGGAAGTAACCAACTCACACGTGACCTGTGACAGTTCGTGCGACATCCTTTTTCAAATCGCTCGTATCTGCTCGTATTGACAGAGCTCTGGAGCTGTTCTCAGTCAACAAGTCCGCTGCTAATAAATTCTAACAAAGAGGACAGTCACTGCTTGTTGGAAAGATTCAGTGCTTGAAATCTTTGAGCAATACTAAGCTCGGTTCGTCAGTTTTAAGATCCTATGACCAGTACGTACTTTACTTACTCCCGATGGGCTCTCAGGTAATCTGCTTGACTTAATAGATATTCCAGTTACTCGTTATTATACCAGTATCTCCTGCTTCGCCATCATCTGTCCCTCAAGGTTATACAGTTTGAGCGCCTAGAAAGGATCCCGGGAGCAAAACGCCGGGCCCACGTGTTTTCCCCAACCTGATCGATTCTTATACATCTTCAAAGTTCAGGACCTCAAATTTCGAAGCTTCGAGCTTTAACTCGGACCAACTTGAATTTTGGACTTGAGGTGGTTGCTTCCGGCATTCGCAAAGCTCTTTGAAGTAAATCTTGCTGTCATCTATACAATCCTTGGACTAGAACCACAAATCACTACCACCATCCGTCAACGTTCTAATCGTCTTTGGAAAGAGCGTGTTTGAGTTCTCGAGGAATTCGTGAGTAATTAAAATCATGGTCGTGGTATTGAATGTGATGTGACTCTTCTCTTCGTAGACTGTTTGAACTCAGCTACCTCTTTTTGGAAAAAGACTCGGGTCGAGTCATTTCCTAGTCTGAGAATCAATCATGGCCAGTGAAATGTTCATTCCTCCTCTTGGAACACCGCAACCTTCTCCACGTAATCCACCTGTCCTGCCTGGTGCGACTAGCGCTGCTCCACCCGCATGGGCAATGTCGCCAGCAACGGGAGGCCAATACCCAATGTTTAACAGTCCAATGAGTGGCAATCCTTTCATTCCGCCACACTTTACTCCCGCTTCCGCCGCTCCGCCAATGTTACCCAGAGGAACGCCATATAGTGCCGCTCAATCCTTGCCACATCCTGGGTACTCTGCTGATTACACAGGATATCCACAACTCGCTCCGACACCTCAATGGGGGCCGACACCTCTGTCTTCCGCCCAACCATCGCCTTGGGCTCAACCTCAAAATCTACAACATTGGGGAATGCCAAACTCTGCGCCAGTGATGGGAACTCCTTGGCCGGGTATGAATAATGTACTTCCAGGGGGACCGCCTCCACCCGGGATGCCTCCACCTGGAATGTCGCCTCATGGTGCATGGGGTATGCCTCCGATGATGCACCAAGGATTCGGTCCTCCGCAGATGCATATGGGCCCGCCAATGATGCCTCCAGCCGCTGCTCCTATGATGGGGATGATGGGCGGCGGTTCAGGTCCTTGGGATATGTCCGGCATGGGTCAAGCGTTACCTCAGCCTTCTGCGCCATTACCCAGAGCAACGGGAGTCCTAGGCGACAGGATGGATGTCATTGACGAGTTTGCCGCCGGTGCACATTGTACGTTTTTCCCGCTCACTGTCTAGTACCGAAAATCCAAACGTTTGTTCATCGATAGATGGACCGGTCCTCCAACCATTCCTTACTAGCGTCCTCAAAGTGGTTCCCAAGTTAAATCCCCTCATCAAACCTGCACCACTTGAAGTTGATGACCCCGATCATGATCATCTTAAATGGAACATGCTCTGGGCGTCAAATATGGTTCAGCGGTCCAGCGACAGTCCACAAACGTCCTGGTCAAATGGACGTGGCAGCCCGGCCACGTTTCCTCGTATCACCTCCTTGCGACTTTTACCCAACTTACTTCCATTCACAATCGACGTCCTAGCTCGAAATCCCGATATTGGCGTTACCTGCGGGGACGTCATTGATGCCATATCCGACTCGATGCGCAAGCATAGTGGACAGTCGGATTTCGACAGCCTTCCTGCCGACCGAAAGCGAAAGGTGTCGGAAGCCTATCGCCACAATCGTAGTCGGGCACCTGGAGTACCCGGTGGAAGTCTTGGTGATGGTTTACGCCGAATGGACTTCTTAGGTACCGAAACCATGTTTGGAGGGATCAGGGAAGATCCCACAGCTGTTAAGAGGATTTGCGGAGAGGTGTTGCCGTGCACTTGGATATTGGATTGTGCGACTCGATATCCAATGACAAGGGAGGAGATGGCAGCACACACTGCTAGAGAAGAGGCTCTGAGGCTAGAAGCGGAACAACGAGAGCATGGGAGGGAGGATGAGGCTCGTAGACGTAGTCGGAGAAGTAGCAGGGCCCCCACTGTTGTAAGTATTTCCGATGAGGGCGACACTGTGCGAGGTTGAATGGACCTGATATTTATCCATTCCCTTATTCGACTCGAGGTCATTGTTTCCAGCTCTGTGTATATATGCTGTGCTTCTCTATGTGTCGCTTCTGTACTTTGCCTTCCTTCGTATGTATCCCTACCTCACACTGTGCTAATATCCTGCATTGCACCCCGATACAATGAAGAGTTATTCCCATTCTCAACTTGACCTTCAACAACCTTCAAGATTCAAAAATTAAGATACATGTTCTCTATTGTATCGGTAGGGTATGTATAGACACAAAAACAAAAATACACGAGACAATCCAAAGTTTGAGTAAGTAAAGATTCACCAAGCAGTTGTCCATAACATAGATAGTGAGAAACAAACAGAAAGGGCACGATATGACAAGATTGTAAGACAAGGATGGCTAATAGAACATGATATGCAATGCGAGAGGTGTGAACACGATGTACATGGGACATGAATCTGCTGAGAGAAAAGTCAGAATGAGAGTCAAAAAATTTTTAGGGAGGATGGAAAATCAGAATAAAAAAGGCAATATCGGTTGTCCTCATATGAGTCGGAACAGGTCTGATAGGTTGTTCATCTTTGAAGGAGCAAGGTGTGAGAAATAAAAACATCAACTCACATTTTACAGGATTGAGGATGAGAATAATCGATGAAATATCCAGGAGAGGGCGATACTGAATGTAAAATCAGTAAGGTAAAATTGATGAGGAGAGGAGGATAAATCAGATATAAAATGCAATAACTTTGTCCTCATTCATATTCGGAACAGGTCTGTATATTTTATCATCACGAAAAGTAGAGTGTAACCAAAAGACTACAGAGATTTTGGAAAACTCACCAAGAAAAGGGCCTAAATCATTAACGCCGCCCGCATGGGAGGCATTGCCGTTACGGGCTTCCACTTGCTCCTTGCGGGAGCAGTTTGACCGTATACCCAATCCTCGTCTTCGATTTCAATATCGACTGGCGCAGCACCGTTATCACAATCCTCGACATAGACGCCAACGCCGGAACCCCCGTCCTCAGGATGGAGGAGGATTTCAGGCCCTTGATTACCCTCGCGATCGCGTTCCTGTATCTGAAGTTTCTGAAGCGCAGCCATTAGATCACCCGCAAGAGGTGCGGCATTCGGCGGGTCCTCTTTGATAGGCTCCCAGCCTACTGGAGGGGATCCAGGTGGGGATATGAGGAAATTTTTCTCCAGTGCAGGAGGGCGAAGATAGTTGGCGGCAGGTATATAGGATGCATCCGCAAAAGCAGAATGGGGTATGATCGGATTGGGGTCAGCACGGAATACGCGTAATGTTGCTGCGGACCTGTATTGATGAGTTCCATGAGAAGACATGATATAGGAAGACTTCACCGACCTGTCTTGGGTTCCACTAAGGACGATTGGATCGCAGGATCTTTTCGCGTGTTCCGCTGCTTCTTCTTCGGTGTAGACAACCAATATGCGACCAAAAGCACTCAAAGGAACCCATTGATTGATTTCCCCATACAAGTCAAAATGTTCACGAAGGACACCAAGAACCACAGGATGGAAAAATTCCTTGGGAACCTGAGTTATTGCAAGCGAATTTGTCGGTTTACTAGGAGGGGCTGAGAAGGTAGAGTACGGTGCAGATGGCATAGAAACAACAAAAGAAGAGAAGTTGGACATCATCTCCAAGCACGTCGTCGTCGGTGTATGGAAGGAGGCTAAGAAAATTGTGTGCGATTATAAACTCTTTCCAAAATTAGATAATCATGGGAAATACTTACCGCATGTAGACTTCGCATAGCCGCTTGAATGTAAACACCGGAATCAAAGATACACGTAGACCTTTGTTACTCAAGATGCGGCGTCTTGTGAATAATCTCTACAGCTTCTTATCTCGGTATAATGCATGTCATATTCTGTGTTGGTAGTGAAAACATAGGATTTGCCGTCAAAATCTTTCGGTGATGTTTGTGCCAGTATAAATAGTGCGTTTATTTCATCGACCGCTTTAGTTACAACAAGTATCTACGAGATTTATTGCGCCCTTCCAACTCTTCAGCTTTTCAAGTCTTCCCGCCGCTCCTCCCGACATCGCGGGTCCACAGCGGCTCTGATACATAGTATGATAACTGCACCGAGAGAACACAAAACACATTTGGGTAAGCGGCGCGCCGAAAGCTGTGAATTACCCACTGCGCTTGCCAAGTCATTGTCTTCCCCGGTCTCTCGTGCAAGCACCTGACGAAAGCGCAGTCTCCAGAGCCCACGATACCTGCGTGGAAGGATCGTCGCGGTGCCCTTCCAGTAAATAAATTCTGAGCGCCCTTCTCAATACTCCCTCAAACGATCCTCGACCTGCGCCTTCTTTGCGTTCAGCACTTGGATCTTCTCTTCCTTTGAAGCGTCGTATGAGACGGTGGCTTGATTAAACCTACCCATAGGTAAAACACGATGAGCTAATGGAAGGGAAGCCGATATCACAGAAGCGACCCACGGATTTTCTGGAGATTTCTGGAATTGCTTGTATAACAAATCCTGTACAAAAAAAAGTCTCGGCGACTTGAGCGAACTAGGATTGAATGATCGTTACGAACCTTGTATTGCTGTAACCTGAGACCGGGATGCTAGAGATCAAACGACAGTTGAAAAAATCGTACGGTACGATTTGATAACAACGAATTAAAAGAATGGATAATTGTGCGCCGATACGTTAGAAAAACAAACACGAAAGCTGTAGAACGTGAAACTCATACCTCTTTCCTAACGATGGGCAACTCGCGATCTTGATAAGCTTCAAAGGCAGCCTAAACAGAAACAGCTCAGGATATGTTTGGACTACTCAACCTCCAAAAAGGCTGACCTTGAATCGACGCTTGTGATGTCATGATGGATGGTCAGATTATTGTCCTTACCCCATTTACCGATGACATTACCTCTGGATGCCTTTCGATACCTGCAGCCTGACTACCAACACTGGCCTTGTCCATCTTTGCAGTGACCACATCCAGAAGATCCAGTGCATTGTCAATGCCGGTAGCAGAGAAGCTCTCGATTTCCTTAGGTTCTTCGCCTTGTCCCTTACTACCGCTTTTCTCGTCATCAGCACTCACCAGCCCACCTCCAGCTGCGATAGCGCCTGGCCCAGCAGGCTTGGGCTGAGGCTTAACCGCCTTCTTGGCTCCCGCTTTTGGAGCAACTTTGGCCTTGGGAGGAGGTGAGGCTTCTTCTTCCGCTAAAAGCCTAGCGTTCTCTGCCTTTCGAGCTAAATCAGCTTTGCGCTTTTCCTCTTTGGCAGCCTTGTCTTTTCCCGCCTTCGCGCCATCGTCCCAAGCTGCGGCTTCTTTCTTCTCCTAGCAGAAATATAAGCAGCGCTGAAGGAGATCTACAAAAATTCTTACCTTTTCGGCAAGAGCAGCGTCTTGTTTCTTGGCCTCGTTTTCTGCCTTCTTCGCACGTCCACTTTCTTTCTTTGCGTTGCCTCCTTTAGGTGCCATGACTTGAGTGATTCTGATGAAGATCTGAGAGTACTGAGCTATCAGATCAACGACGATGGTGCAAGTTAGCAAATAAGAGGGCATGCGTACGCGCAATCTAATCTCATTCAAGGCACCACGTGCGTGATCGATTATCAGGATTCAGAACCTCTGCCTCCGCCACACTCTCCTCGTGTTCGCGTGGTTAATTAAGAATCACGTTGACTAACTCTCAAAGAAGGCGGCGTCTTTCGATTCCTTCGACCTGACCCTTTAATTTCTACATCTGTGTGTCGACTATGGACTCAATTAACAAGTGGGCGGCAGGGTCTGCTTGTAAGTGATAGCCAATTTCCCCTTCCAACACAAGCTAATGTTTTCTCCATTCAGATGGACCAGTGCTTTCGCAAACAGATTTGTATCTTCTCCAGTCGGATCTACTGCTCAATCCAATTCTTGCCGGTTCAAATTCTGATTTCCATCTCCTATTCAACATTGCCACAGGTTCCTCTCGTCGTTGAGCTTCTTCTTCTACAATCGAGCTAACTATCCATTCAGGCCAAACCGGCGGATTCAACCCTGACGCAAGGGATAGAGACTTGGCTTTCACTGCTAAAGATGAACCTGCTACCCTGCCACGAGTTAGCCAGCTTATTATCATTACTGAGATATCGCCATGGTGTACAATCGTGAAGAACGAGCGAGGTGTTAATCTTGGAGATGTTTGTTCGCAGATCTGGAAAGAGTGTTTAACTACCTGTTTTACTTCCCGTAGGAGGCAGACTGATTCCGTTCCAATAGTTACTCCGATCACCATGTCACCGACGCTGAGTTCGCGTCGCTACCTCCACGACTTCAAGACCAAGTAAAACGTACTGCTACAATGAGAGGGACGGGAGGAAACTGGTCAGCGTATTACACACCTGCAGCACCACCTGCGAGGTTCAAACGATTCGGTAAGGCGTTTAACGGTTCCAATGAGTTATTAATTGACGAAAAACTGTGCGCAAAGACTGGCTTCGCGAGCGGACTTTCTTTGATAGGCTGCAACGGAAAGACACGTATGCAGCTCAAAGACTCGGTTTCAAGGCTCCAAATATTTTTGTGATGGAGTTGACAGCATGAGAGGCGCTGATAGTTTGGTATACTTTTTGTTCGGTGTTCGACATTGTACTTGCATACGCTATGTCTGTCTGTACTTATATGATCCTTGTTATATGTAATGATTTGTGAATACCCATCCTCTTCAGAGTCAATGTGTACATCATATCTAATCTAATCACCTAAGCCGACTCGAACAATCGTTTCCTTCCATCTCTCATCATGCTCTTCTGCCCTACATGTGCCAACATTCTTGTTATTTCATCTGAGACAGGGTACAATAAATGGTCCTGCAATACCTGCCCTTATGAATTTCCGATCACGAAGCAGGTTTGCTTGCTTTCCTTTTCGGCTTGAGAAAGAAATATCGACTACAGATCCATTTTCCCTTTTCTATCGCCCCTAACGCTATCTCCAAACGTCGGTGGACTACAAATGTCAACTCAAGATGACTTCACGAACAAAGCTCGAACGAAAGACTGTAGATGATGTATTAGGTGGAGACGAGATGTGGAAGCATGCTGATTCGACCCTGGGTGAGTTTTTTGGCCCTCTTATTTATATCTTAGGCTGATAGATTTTCGGTGTAGCTTCTTGCGAAAAATGTAATAACAACAAGGCCTATTTCTATCAGCTACAAATTCGATCTGCGGACGAACCTATGACAACTTGTGCGCTGTTTTGCTGAGTATCCCCACTTTCACTAATTGTCACTTGTATCCATGCTAGTCTATCGGTCAGATTTACGAGATTTTATCTGAAAACTGCGAGTTAAACATCTTCTATTCTAGCTGTACTTCGTGCGCGCATCGTTGGAGGGAAAATTAAGGATCCAAGGCTTAATAACATGCTATATGATTAACATATTTACACTGTGAAATCCATTAATCACTCGTGAAATCATTTACAAAGTACCTGCTACATTACACTAGAAACATAATCTTACACATGAAGACATCATACAGGAGAGCGGCATCCAAAAGATGTAGCTGCACCTTCCAATTGGAACGTAGCTTTGATTGCAGTTCCGGATCCATACATGCCTAATGTAGGAGATTATTGAGAATTGTGTGGAAAGCAATATAACGAAGAGAAAACTCACCTAAGCATGCCATGGAGAGACTTGCCAAAAACAAAATGAGGTTGAACAAGTTGTAATACCATGTGCCACCAAAGAAACCCCTCTTCCACCTCGACCACTGCATCCAAGTGTCTCCGGGATCCTTTGAAGGGGTGTTTGCATCTATAACATCACCAATGGCAAGCGAGTCCTCTGCAATTAAACCAGCAGCTGCGATTTTCATCTTGTAGCCCAACATCATGAGAGGCGGGAACGTATATGAAAATTGCATGATACAAATGGCCGCAACAACGCCAGAAACTGATGCTACCTGAGGAATAGCGGAACCGACAACGAAAGCTGAAATTGAAAATCCAGAGATCTTTAGTAAACGATGGCGGAAATAGTCATTATTAATTACCAAGGGACCAGTATATGAAGACCATGACTGAAAGACATAATGAGCAAAACATGCGCAAATATTATACACTTGCTTTTACTCACCTGTCCAGATGAAACGGCCAGTACGACTAGTAAGGGCCGGTCCTTTGAACCAATCTTCAATGATACTGTAGTATGCCACCTCTATTTCGCGGTTCAACATCCTATTCTAATGAATGGTACGAAAGATACTCAACTGATTCCGATATTCCCATATAGACCGGCAGCGATGATTCCGGTAATTAAGGCGAATACGTTTCCGACGTCTTGCCAGGATTGTTTGCTGACCCCTTGGTATGCCAAAGGAAGAGTAAACTGGCCTTGGAAGGAATATACGAACAAGCCGTACATTAAGTACGCAGTGCAAATCAGCAGTTGGGCACAGATCTATTGTGGGATGGTTATCGGGAAGTAAACCGACTATTGGCAAAAGTACCTACCATTCCCTTCCAGAAATCCATTGGCCTTCTCATCTCAGCCAGAAATTCGGGGAAGATCATGGCACCTCCGTATGCAAAGACCATCTGCATTATACCGTTGACCTTTGATGGTGTCAGAACTATCACTGATAAACTCAACTGAATCTTACTTTATCAAATAGAGGTAAAGAAACGAATTTAGCAGTCTGCACCGGTCCTTCGGATTGACCGAGCGACGTTAAAGCGGCTGCAAAATTTGGAGGCGAATGGGCGACGAAGCCCATCGACGTGAAGATGATCAACAGATTGAGCCAGACAGCACTAAGGTGGTATTAAGTTTGGACAAGGTGAACGAGCAGATAAGCAGAAACAGAAGAATATCTCACGAGTTGGCGAAGAATCCATATTTTTGCAACGACCTGACTTGACCAAGACACATGCCAACGATGGCCCAGATCAAGACAGATACGGAGAAACAGAACTGGTGATTTGCTGCTAACTGCTCCAATGATTGTGCGTTAGAAAGGCAGATAACGCCGACCTACAACTGTGATTAGACCAATGTGGGCACCCAGCAAAATATCGACTAACGTTGATAATCAGCTGTAACGATTGCAATACCGTGCAAAAATGTTTGAACTCTTTCCCAAAGATACGTTCTCCAAGATCGCCATAGGTCTTCACAGGGAACTCGTGCGAGTCTAGCCGACAAAACAGCTTCCACAACTGAAGACCGGTAAAACAAGCAACGCCACCCACTAGAGGAGAGATTAGCATGGTCGTCCATCCGTGCGCGAGGAAGATGCACTCACTAACAACGTACAAGACGGCACCGGGGACATACCCGACCTGGGAAAAAGCGAAGGGGGCGTTGAAAGGACCAAGGATATCCGTTGTGATCAAGAAGAAGACGGAGACCCAAGTGGCCGTTCGGAGAGCTCGACGGGCTTGATCAAGTTCCCGCTGGTGTTCGGTCTTTCTTGCATGTTCCACCTCTCTATAGGACGTTGAGCATTCGCCAGTGACGCAAGCCCAGAAAGTACGAACATTTGAGCATCAGAAGGCTTGGTCTCATTTGAGCGAGATACAGAAGCGTATATGAGATAGTCTCGAAGGGTGGGTTCAGTAACTAATAAAGATCGGAGGAAAGTTCTTATCGGTTCCTTTTTTCAAGTGGACGATGAAGACTTACGTGAAATTGGCTCTGTCTTAAGTTCCGGAGCAAAATCGGTGCTACCCTCTGAGCTAGATTTTTCGTCTATCTTGTGTACCGACATCGTAAGAGCAATGAAGGGTCCTGTTGAAGACGGGGGAAGAAAGGGCGTTCACACAGGGGATAGGTTACTGTCGAAGCCGAGGACAGTCTTTAATACTTCTGCCTATTCGGTAGTGACGGTCCCATATGCCAGATAAGAGAAGCAATAGAAGCTATTATTATAAAAGAAAGCCCGAAAGATGAATACATTTCAGAAAAGGAGCACATGCTGATTTCGCATGTATAGTGGAGTTTTTCAGCGTCCCATTGTGACAGTTGAATTGGCCATTGAGCTTCTAATCCCAGGTACCCAGACGCCTTCCAGGTGAGAGGAAGTTTAGACTCGGAGTCGATGTTATCGTTAACGCTGTTAACATTAGGGATCATCACTTGAAAAGTTTACCGTAGACACCCTTTGAGGGATCCTTGAGACAGCAAGATTCGTCGTGACCATTTTTTTGGCTTGTGCCTTGAAACCGTATGATGTACATCCAGACGTTAGGAACCCGTATCGTATGGCTTCTCACACAGCCAAAGAACTAACGACCGCGCTATAGGTTTAAAGTTGTGACAGCGATATCGTTGTACATCGAGATTGAAATTCTAGGAGATCTTGCTTGAAGTCCATGGGCGTATTCTTTATCATAGACGTTGATTTTGTTGGTCCTCCTACGAGCCACTTCAGGAACGTTCTCATGGTAGCGAGATTCATATAGTAGTCGCTCACTTACTTTGGGACGTCAAACACACAGAAAGTGCCTTGAAAGAACCTTGGACTTTAACATCTTCGTTGAATATATCTCCTTCGGAAGCTGCCTAATGAAAAACTCTCATGGATTGAGTCTCGAGGAGCCGGACGGTCCTGGCTGATAGAGAAATCCTGCATGACATCAACCAATGAGAAAAGAAGAAAATGAAATTTATTTCCAAATTCACCGATGCGGCAAATCACATCCGCACACATTCAGTAGACCGTCTGGGCACATTCGTATGTCCGACATCTGGATTCGTCCTAGCCTGATGATACACGAGTAAAACGGTCTGTCCAGTGTCGAGTAACTCAAGTTTGTTGTATCTCCAAGTACCGTCCAGACGTCGACTTGATCAAGGATTATTGTCATGACATTGGCAGGGCACACTTATTGAGGGGCTCTTGCAACACAGGCTGCAAACGATTTATTATTTGAGCCTGTGGTGCAGTCCGGTAGCTTCTTGCTCCTGTATACGCTTGTAATGTATACACACTGTGTATACATAAGCACCGTATGCACCCGAGGCCATCGCGGATCAAGCATCATGTCGTAGTTGACTGTCCGAAAAATCCGTTATTCAACTTATTGAGGCGGAGCTTAAGCATGCAGTATGTTGGTTGGGAGAAAGCTGAGACGGCGCCTAGACGACGCGTATGGGCTCGGAGAGTTATCGTGAGCAGGAGACACAGGTATGAGATACCAAACCCAAGCTCCGTCCATATTGAGCTCTAGTTTGACGGCGGTTTGAGTTACCGTGCGTGATAGATAATATGTTTTGTGGTATTTTTAGAGGCTGTGTGTGGACAAAGCAAAGAAGAATCATAGATTTACAGGTCCATTGATTTACAAGTCCACATGAAGCTATCGTTTTTCTGAGATCTGCAGCATCAATTAGTGCTTCAAAAGGAGTAGACCAGACTTACTTTCGAATTAGCGTACCTCTTCTAGAACTAGACAGGACATACGCATCAAAGACCCGGGATGTTAGGATTTCTTACAAGCCCAGAAGCCCCCTGTATAGAAAAATCTTGATAAAGATTGTTGTGTCTTTTAGTGGGCTTGGTCACCAAGAAGAAAGGTCGAGACAAGGTACGTAGAAATTCCTCTGCCTGAGAAATTCAGTCGGCCTTGCATCGGTCCGGCTGTCCGAGAAAAAGATTTGCAGGAGTGAAGTGAAAACATCATCGCTGCCTACTTTTACTGTTCAGCGCTCAGCGCTCAGCTTTACGAAGTAAGGCTACGTACAGAAAAATATTTTACAACTACAACTGGAGAAATATCATTCTACTAGCATACAAAGGTTTACGCTGTAATCATTGACCAATCATTTCGATAGATACATGCATGGGCGCCTTGGAAGCATTTAATGGGCCACAAAGCCTTGCGCAGACATGAGTTCAAAACGCACTTCATTGTTGAGAAATCGGTGCAGTGTTCGGACGATGGACCTCACGTTCGGAGGTCAGATCCCCTCCCCCTCCTTCACCCTCTGTACCATCCCCACCATCCATAGCGATATCGTCTTGCACTTTAGGACTCTCTTCCTGAGCTGGGTGAGGCGACGGCGATTCCGCCGAAGTACGGGATTTCCCTAAATTTCGCCTGGAGTCATAAGACAAATTTTCCTCCGGTTCGCGATGAACATTGTAGACACGGTCAAAAGCATGCAGATCGAATTCGCGCTGATGCACGGCCTGATTGGACTCGAGCATCGAGGGAGCTGTGATGGGACGTTCGTCTAGTGCGGGCTGTTGTCGGTACGGATAACCTTGTTGAGGGTATGGTTCGTGAATATAGTTTGACCTGCGTTCATACTGACGAGGGCTGACAGGACGTTGACCTTGGCCTCGTCCATCAGATACGACTGGTACGAATGAATCAGATAGGTTTCGCTCCAAAGAGATATAGCGCACAAGTAGCATTCCTAAAGTTGACATCGTACCGTTGAGATTGGTACTCCCGGTTGTCATCTATAGCGCAGAACAGTAAGATGAATCCATATGTCCTGATGCACGAACGACACACTATAAGCACCACTATGATTATTCGCAAGGTTTCCAGAACCGCTGAAATCGTTGCCGTACGAGTTATCAAAGTTACTCCGAGTCGAATAGTCGCTCCGGATAGTTTTGTAAACGTTTCCAGCAGTATGTGAGAATTCACCACCGTATATGTCAAAGTTGTGAGCACCTGCGAAAAAGGCTCCACTGATAGTAGTCGTGGCAGCAGGTCGTGGTGGTCGGACATTGTCCGGTTTCGTTTGGTATCCAGCAGAATATGGACGGTAAGGGTTGTTCGACTTGGGAGGGGAAATAGAGGGTTGATTCGAATCAGACGACATCGCGGAGGGCTCGAGACCTGGAAGACGAAGGTAAAGAAGCTCGATATATACGCAACAGCTCTACAACTGTAAATCACGAGTACAAAGCTTTACAAGGCATTGGAAGGCAGTGCAATACGTGTTGAATGCAAAGAAAGAAAACATTCCTTTCCAAAGACAAAAGTATAGTAGATTTGGAAGAAGATAATGAAACTTTTTGAATGCCGGCGACCACTGAACGCCAGTTTGCACAGGAACTAAAGTTATACGTGCGTTGATAATTTATCGAGACTGACAATGAGATCGGAAAACACGAAAGCCTCAAGGAAGGATGAATACTTGAAGCTGTTGAGGAAGGATAGACATGATGAACATTGGAATGGTATACACAGCTTGAACATCGCACAGGACCTGAGATCGGTGATGCAACTTTCTCAATATTCCTGTAAATATTGGTTCGAGCGCATAGCATGAATTTAGTTTAGACTGAGACGAGTAAAGTAAATGAGATACCCACGAGAGTTACATAATGTATCCTCGAACCGGTTCGAGCCGGAGCGGAGTCACGTGGTCGGAGCAACGTACGCGTTCCGAGTTTGGTCCGCGACTCTATTGAAGTTTACCCTTTCCTTATCGTTACCCCGCTGAACATTCGACACTGCTGACTTCCAGCTTCTTTCTGAACTACCTCTTGGCACACTTAGAGGTTTGCCGTACTTAAACCCGAAATTTCCAGACCTACAAGGATCAGGCACATCTGCGGCACAGAAAGGAATATTGGACTAGTCACAGCCAAAATATACATTGGGGACATTAATGCTGCTACGGAAACCAACTCATGCCGGGGGATCGCCTACACCGTCATCCGCACGCCTTTTTTCTGAACTCGACGGCTTTTCTTCTGTACCATCACCTTCGATATCTCCACCTCCAGTCCCAGTCAGCCCGCAGAGCAAGACTCACGCATTCTTTTCCTCGCCATTTTCTACTACCCCGCCCAGTCCTTTATTACCACCAAGAAAAGTACCGGTCGATGAAAGAAACGGATCTGCCTCCAATGTCAATCGATACCCTGAAAGGTTGATTGCTACTATCTCTATCTGTAATGAAATTGACCAGTAATCCCAGAGCGACACCTCCAAGATCTCTTACAGCCGACTTTTTCTCTACCAGTCCTTCTCTTGCTGCTGCTCCTCCAAAGTCATCCCCCGCACCCAGGCGAAAGTTTCTTAATCTGCAGCTGAACGGGGAGGAAGTTCGACACATGACTCCCGTTACATTGGCAGGAGCTTTTGCATCTACACCCACACCTACAGAAAGCCGAGATCAATTTGATTTCATAGGAGATAAACCCTCATTCAACTCAGAGACCCGTAGCCATTCGTCTTCATGGTCTGAACATCTGAACGAGCCAACACCAAAACCTCCCCCAAAATCGCCTTCGCTTGTACACTATCATGGACGAGGCCCAAACGGATCTTCATTCGATGTTCAGCAACTTCCATCTTTCGTCATTCCCACTTTGGGTGCAGAACCTGACGCAGAGGTTCTTTCCACGTCCCCTTCATTTTCGCACCTTCCTTCATTAGGCTTGACGGCAGCACAAGGGTTATCAGCTTATCCATCTCGACCCACGTCATCACATTCCCTTCATTCTGCTGTATCGCAAGTCTCGCAAGAACTAAACACCAGTATGACGCATTCTCTAGGCGAACCGGATCTCGGCGAAGGTATTTTTTACCCAGCAGGAGAGGAGGAGCTTGCCTCGGGGATGATTATTCGGTCATTTCTACCTTCCCAAAGTGAATCAAAGAAACTTTCTGGTGTGATGCAGCCTTTATCTGTATCCACTGCATCATCGAATTCATCTGCATACTCCAAAAACATGGCTTCTGTTCCCGTAACGTTACGGCTCAGCCGTGCCTTAGGCCAGGGAACATTCTCTTCCGTCTGGTTGGCCGAAGATTTGTCTCCTACCTCGCTTCTGTTGAGATCAAGGAAAAGCTTGAAGAATCTTAAAAGAAAGAGTACGATGGATCTGAAGGCGAACTTGGACTATGGTGGTACCAGTAGAAGCAATCAACCTGCAGACCCCCTGTGGGAGAAAACAAACGCACAAACGGAAAACTTCAATCTTCATTGGGCTCTACCTCGAGTCTCATGAGGCGCCTGCGAGGAGGAGTCAGTGGAACCCGACCTGGAGGGGCCTCTGCGTCATCTAGTCAAGGTAGCACTGACGATGCTATACATGTCTCTATAGCCATGGGTAGACAAGGGACTCTGATGCCTTCTCCTGCACCGCCGTCGACGTCCACAGTTCCTTCTCCGAATACCGCAACTAATAGTCTTTCACTTGATTTGCCCCCTGCGCTTATTCCTGGCCACCCAAGCTATTCAATGTCTCCACCTCTAGTGTCATCATCGCGACTAGGGCTAGGTCTCCCGTTCGAACAAGATCGTATCTCCTCCGCGTCTTCCGCACGCAGCGTGTATCTCGAGTTCCAAGATGAACACATCGGGTTGAAGTCGCCTGATTTATACAGCGATAGACTGTCTATCATCGGTCTAGATGTTCCTCATCATGATTATCAGAACAACTCTGTGTCCCGCGCTTCCAGTGTATCGTGGAAGTCGTCTGTCTCGTCCGATGAAGGGCAGGACGGGGGCGCAGAGGATGGTTCGGTTTGTCGGTCCAGCTCGACTCGTTCGAATTTGAGCACGCGGAGCTATCAGAATGGGGGTCGCCATGGCTTAGCGTCGCGCCGGAGTTCTACGAAGTCGTCTGTGAGACGCGACCGGTCGAGATTAAGGTCTAGGTTGGTTGCTGTCAAGTTGACATCGAGGGGTGTCATCGAGGAACGAGAGAGAGTACCTGGTCAGGTGTTGAGCCGTCAAGAGAAAATGGAAGAAGAGGAAAGAGCAAGGGAAAGAGATCGAACCAGGGTTAGTTTTGTTAGAGAGGTTGAGGTTATGAAGGTGAGATCCTCGAAATCCTGCAGATTTAATTCCTTGGTATGCTAATCATTACATCTGTAGCATATCTCTCACCCGAACATAACGCCGTTACTATCGCACCTTACGACTCGCACACATCACGTCCTTGTGCTTCCATACCTTCCTGGAGGTGATCTTTTGGGGTTAGTCAACGATGAAACTACCTGGAATAACCTCGGTAAGTGAGAATAAAATATCCATTGAGGGCATTTGGGGCTTACGGAAAATAGGTGAAAATACATTGCGAAGAATATTTTCGGAGCTTTGTAAGGCCGTAGGATGGTTACATGGTGTCGGTCTAGTTCATAGAGATATTAAATTAGAAAGTGAGTACCTACCGAAGCACAGTACGTGGCAGAACTAACTTTTGTATTCAAGATATTTTATTAACCGTATCATTGAGTCCTCAGCCATTAGATACACCCGGATCGGGGTCAACAATGAACGGGGTAATGCTGACAGAAGGAAATACGACTGCCTCACCCACAAATTACTCGTTCTCTGCCTCCTCGCAGTCAACACCATCATCACCAACATCTGACTTTCACAGTTCGTCAGTGCCTCCATCTTCCGCAACAAAACTTCCCACGCCTCCTCAACCGCTCATCAAATTGACTGATTTCGGCTTATCAAGGTTCATCGATCCCGCCAATCCCTTACTAACTACACGTTGTGGGAGCGAGGCATATGCTGCTCCAGAGCTTGTAGTTAGCGGTGGTCGAGCCGGTGTAGCGAGCAGCACCAAATCACCTTGGTTCATGGAGGACGAGGCTGCTGGGTATGCACACGAGACTGACTCTGAGAGCGAAAATGCAGGCGGGTACGACGCCCGCGAAACCGATGCCTGGGCGTGTGGTGTTGTCCTATATGCACTTGTTGCAAGGAGGCTTCCATTTGGGGAAGGACCCGGGGAGACTTTGGGTGCAGGACAGATCACCGGTGAAGGTGGGCTTATCAGAGGGTTCAGTCCGATGGAAAGGAGACAGTGGTTGATGAAGATCGCGAGAGGCGAATGGCATTGGCCAGGGATGGAGATGAACTCGAAAGCTATGATGAGTTCTGAACTTCATGGTTCTGACCTTGTTCGTAGTGTCGGTGCAAAGCGTGCTGTTGCAAAATTGCTGGTGAGAGATCCTAGTCGACGAGCAAGGATCAAGGACTTCTGGAATGATGAATGGGTCCAAAATTTTCCCGTCGACGGAAGGGATAGTATTGATGGATTACCATCGGATTCGGATTTCTACTCACCCTATATCCCCGACGTTCCCAGCATCCCCAGTCTGCATGAATTTACGAATGTATCATCACAATTTTCTTCTGGCCATCCAAATCTATATTCAACAAGTTTGTCAGGCCTTCCTCCTCAGTTCGGAAGGCCTTCTGTTTCCGATAACGTCTTTGCCAGTACTCACGAAGATGATGATGATGAATTTGACAACGACCGCAGGGAGAATCAAGAGGTCGAAGTCAATGGTGATGATGATCCAGGGAGCGCAACCGCAGATGAAGATGACGAGCTTGAGGAAGAAGAAGATGGAGAGGGTTGGTTGGTGGACAAGGACAGCATCAACCACATTGCAAGATCTGAAGTGCCTAGATGATGAATCTAAATCAGTGTCGATGGTTTCAGAGGCGCGCATTCGACTGAACCCAAGCCATTTATATCCCAGCCGATATCAGGCAACAAGCGATCTCGAGGCTCATGCTAATACTACTCTGTGACTGCGCGGATTGCCCAAGACGATCGCCCAGATCAATATTCTTATCGTCAACTGTTTACCCAATCGCTCCCGTTTTCCATCCACATCCTATATCTATTCGTAAATCTATTTAGTTGTTTTTTGTGTAACCTTCTCTTTAGCTGTTCATACCACCTACAGGTATCCTCTAGTATATAGCACCATATACTATGTATGTATCACTCTGTCAGTCCTTTCATGTATCCGCATAGACCAATTTTTATCTACCCAGAACGAAGCAATAATCAAGTTTGATCAGTGACAGCAGCGCCTAATTTAATACTAACTTGATAAAAGCGACTCCGGTATTCTGCTCGTGTTCAACCGTCGTTCATCGACAGAGTGGGCCTGGAGTGGACGCACACCGCATATTTCCTGGCCAAGTAGCATGCTGACTCTTGAAAATACTGTGGACAATGTCCAAAGCGTCAAGTGGCTCCAGAGCAACTCAAACAGTATTTACCGTAATTTGTCCCAGGTGAGAGCTTTCTGTATTCGAAAATGTTCAGTAACATGTATCCTCAGTCCATTGAACTTTCATAGGAGTTTCGTCGATTTTGAGATCGATAGCCCACTTATCTTGAAGGATTTTCCTATCTGGTTCAGTCTCTCACAGCCTTGTACAAGTTCTTCCAATGATGTTTGAGCTTCAAAGAATGTCAGCGTGATTCGCGTGCCAGTGGCACTGTCAAGACAACGTTTTCTTTTTTCCCTTTGTTCTTCAGAAGAAAGACCATGTTAAAAGCCTGGAACTACTCGTTCTTTATTCTTTGCCCTCGTCCTGGCTGGGCGTCTGCATTCTTTTCCCCTCCTCTTCATGTCTGTTCCTGCGTTCGACAATTTCAGCAGAGCGAGGGCGTCGCGTTATTCCTACAACTCCCCGCCTTCGAAACCATGCGCAGGGTTTGATTACAATGGGCATGAGTGCTGCCAGCTCGCGTCTGGAGATGGATTTTGCTTCTCTCATAAGGGCCAGAAGTCCTGGAGCATAGCTGGCTCAGTATCTCTGGAAGAAAGGCGCCGACACGCAAATGGGGGACGTTGCAACGGAGTGGCTGCCAGCACGGGCAACCTTTGCAATCGGAAAATCTGGGGTTTCACCTTTTGCCACTCGCATAGGGATCAGCAACCTCCTGCTAAATTCTTCGAAGATGTCTTCGATTATTTCGCTACGCCTAATCGAGGCTCGGAACTCGCCACAAGAAGTGCTACCGTGAAGGAGAATATGATGGCTTTCTGTCTAGTGAAAGAAGAATGGTCGCAGAATGGGCGCAATGCCCGAAGGCGAGCGGAAGAGGAAGCCGAAAAGAGAAGGAATGCCGCAGAGGAAGCTCAGCGTGCATGGCAACGACAGCAGGAACAGGAGGCCGCAGAAAGGAGGAAGAAGGCCGAAGAGGAGAAGAAGAAAGCGCATGCATTTGCAGAGAAGCTTCGTCAAGAGTACGCACGACAAAAAGCAGCTGAAGAAGAGCGCCAACGAAAATACGAACGAAATAGGGAGGAACAAAAGAGAAAGGAGGAGGAAAAGCAAAGAGAAGCGGAGGAGTTAGCCAAGGCTAAGCGGATGAAAGATACAAAGGACAAGCAGGATATCGTCACTCGTTACCGTCGTTCGTGCATCGAGTTCGACAAAGTCAGTCGATTCTCAGACATGCGTCGTGCATCCTTTACTACAATTCCCTGGCCGGTGCTTCGTACCCAAGACGCCATTACACCTAGTGAAATCAGTTGGGAGTTCGTCGAGAAATTCTTCCACTTTGTGAAGGATTTTTTGGGTCCTGCGGTACATCGATCCCTACTCGAAGATGCGAGAAAGCGCTACCACCCTAATCGATGGGCTGCCAAGAACGTTGTCAACTCTGTGGTTTCAAAGGTGGAACGAGAGCAGCTCGAAAGTGCTGGCAATACCGTATCCCAAGCGATCAACTCCATCTTCAGTACTTCCTTCCTCTGAAGTCTACGCCTGCTATCGAGGACTTCTTTTTTCATTACTCGTCTTCATGCCACCTTGTGTTCTGTCTTCACATCCCCGTTTGAATTCTTCGAATCATTGCACTCGCCGACGACTGAGGCCATTAGTGATTGGTGATACATCGACGCACGTCCAACCTGTTACGCGGTAATGCGGAGGTGCTCACTCAGAACGACAACTCGAGTATGGTGTTGCGATATGATGGTCTTTAGATCTACGATCAGAGTTATGCCGCATGTGCTATGAGTCAACATGGACAATATGCGAACAAATCCTCTTCGCTGTTTATCCACCTTCCTGAACACCGTCTCTTCTGTCATTAACCCGAATCCTTGCCCCTTCTTTATGTAAATTTCCTTTTGCTTTATATCCTCGTGTTCGGCAGGCTCACCATGGAAGCTGCATCGAGAGCAAGTTGTTAAACTGGTAAACGACTTTTTATTTTCAAAAATGTTTGAGCTCATGAAATTCCGTATCCATATTGCAGAGAGATCGAGGAGAAATGTATTTGTAACATTATATGCGAGCAACAGTACGTCTCATTCCAAGAGTTTGCGCAAACGGACATTAAAATAACAGTGATGTTTTTTCTTTCTAGATTGTTCAAGTTACTTTTGGGTTGGAGTCGGAATTAATCCATTCACCTCACATTCATTTTATGCCTTGGAACCGTACATGTTTGAACTGTGTACAACTGTGATCTCGTCTTATCCTTTCTATTCATTGTATTTTTCCCCACAAGCAGCGTCCTCAGATTCGGTGAAGCGCAGCTTACTACAATGTGCAGTAAATAATGCGGAGGACGTTCAGCTAGCCCGGCACCCGAGCGAAGGGGTATACCTCTGTGAAGGCGTTTGTATCCCGTCAATTCACTCGCCCTCGGAACTGACCTAGAGAATGAAAAAAAAATCGGTTCGAATTATCAAAATTCATGAAGAATTCTCTTTCCGTTTTCTGTTGAGCGTTCTTTCGGGGCAGGTCGGCTTGTCTCGGTCTCCAGAGCTCCAAATCCCAGGTATCGTTCCGACTGTAAAGCGGGCTTTACGCTTACATACGCACTTCAACTGAAGCAAGCACTCACTGTATCACACGTCTGTCGTAGCCTACTGGTCCCGCGATGTAAAAAATGGTTGTAAAAAGAGCTTGCATCATTAATCGACGAAGCTAAGAATGTAGCACGAACATCTGACTTTGGTCAGAAGAGCAAGCCTTCGTGAATCTGTACACTTTCGAAAGATCTGGAAGACTACTAAGGAATGTTGGACACTTGTTTGGAACACAGAAGGAATAAATCCGCGAGGAATCTCCTAATTGACCCAGTCTTTTATTGGCAGAGAGTTCAGAAGCAAGGCTGTGAATCATCTTTGTCCCCCAACCGGTATCATCATGAAGCTTTCCGTCTTCGTCCCTATCCTTACAGCAGCCACTACTTTGGCTGATCAGCTCCGTTTTGACACCACCTATGACAACGCCAACCAATCTCTTAGCACCGTAGCATGCTCAGACGGTGTAAACGGTCTCCTTACAAAAGGTTTTACAACCTTCGGCTCTTTACCTACTTTCCCCAACATTGGAGGTGCAAGCGCTGTCACAGGATTTAACTCGCCCAACTGTGGGTCATGCTGGAACGTTACTTTTACCAACTCTACGACAGGGGACTCGACTACCTTGAGCATTCTGGCGATTGATGTGGGCAGCGGATTCGTTGTTTCGCAGGAGGCGATGGACAACTTGACGAATGACAATGCAGTTGCATTGGGTGTTGTGAATGTTGATTCGGTTCAAGTAAATGCATCGGTATGCGGGCTCTGAATCGCAGAGCTAGGTAAGAGTGCCGAAGACAACTTGGTGGGAGTTCACTTACGATGCTTGTAGTTCACGATTGAAGAACATTCATTCGGACGCGGAGATTTAAATGATCGTATTTCGGACCAGTTGGTCACATATGTAAATATAGCAAGATGAGTAGGGTGCATTCGTTTGGCAGGAGGGTCTATCCAGATTATCTAGGTCCAGTCAATGCTTTCGGTTCAACATAATCATAATTTGAACCCCAAACTACGCATGCAAGCTAGATGGTTCTGTACGAGTTCTTGGCAGTTTTCGTCTGCGTCAGGCCCGTATTTGAGAAAGCAATCATCCCTAGCTGACTTAGTTTGAGGGCATGCGCAGCACCTGTATGATATACAAGAGAGGTCAAAGGTAGATGTAAAGCTAAGAAGAGTGCATACGACTTGAGTCCTTCGGGATTTAACGGGTTCATTTTGGGGTTGGTAGGGTCATACTTAACTTCGGATACAGGTTCTTGGGGTGAAGACCATAAAGAGGATATCTGCAATGTACCGATTAAACGCGAGTTAAGGGCACAGGCGATAGACGTACTACCTTCTGGAACATGGTGGTGTGAGCAAGCAAGGTACGGCCTCGGACTTTGTCATGAGGTGACAGAAGGTGACCTAAGGTGACTTCCCAGATGTGACTGGTTGTGACTGCACGAATCCTCGCAATCATCAATGCCGGCAGAACAGGGCAGAATGTAGACAGAATGGTCGACGGAAGCATACTAATAGTAACAGTTTTGCAGGGGCTCTGGCTTTGTCTCACCACTTTCAATGAATCGCCATGTTCTCTACCACAATATTCTTCTTTGCTGTGATATTCTTCTCTGCGTCGAGCGTTCACTCCCAGACTTGCGAGAATTTCGGTCAGCTCAATGGCACCAGCTGTGAATGTCCGACAGGAACTGGTGGTTCGACTTGCTCAGAATTAGCTTGTGGGGGAAACATCTTTGAAGGCTCGCAAAGACCTTTAACATCAACCTCATCTGGAGGATTTGCCAACCTCACTTCATCTGGATGCTCTTGTCAAAGCGGATGGACTGGAACAGGCTGCAACGTTTGCCAGACTGCTTCGGCCTGCCAGAGCGCGGCGAATTCATTGGAAAGTTCAGATTCGTCCTTGACCGGCGACGATGATGGACAGAATAACACCCTCGTTTGCAATACTTCTCCAAAAGTTTGGGCATCTAGCCAAATGAGCTGTAGTGTTGATGTGAGTAATTCATTGATTCTCAATCGATCCTTTATTGACATATTCACAATGTAGAACCCCACACTGCAAGCATTATATCCACTGTCCTCGACGCTCAATATCATCCGTACTCTCAATCCTTCTCTTAGTCCTTTGCCCAACGTCACATCATTCGGATCTGCGGGATCTTTATACGCTCAACTTTTCTACGAAGGCGAAGAACAATTCTATTGCAAATCCGATTCATGTGACCAGGACAGCAATAATTGGAGCTGCCAGGACCTTGAATGTATCTGTCGACCGAATACAACATTTTGTGGAGGTGTTCCCGCTACAAATCTCACTGGGGCTATCAATACCCTGACTGGGACACTAAACATAGACTGTGGCGATGTAGACAATTCTACTCAGCAGGCAACCTGCAGTTTTAAACAAGCAACAATAGATAGTCTTTTTGGCTCCTCCGGATTGGTACTAAATGGCTGCTCGTTCGGCGAATGTCTTCGACAGAGCGTACTCGACAGTAATGGGACCACATCCACTGCCTCATCTACGTCTAGCCAAGCCTCCCTTAGTGGAGGCGTCATCGCTGGATTAGCAGTCGTAGGAGGACTCTTACTGACTGCAGCTGTGTTCTTGTTATTGGGTTATTTCTCTCAAAGACGAGCACGAAAGTCTGGCTATAATCAATTCGGATCCGGGAACGTCACTGTCGAGTGGTCGAACATCAGTTATATTGTGCAAAACGTGCAAAACTCGACTAGGACTTTGTGGAGGAAGCGCAAGTCGTCATCAGAATACAATGATGATAAGGTCATACTTGATTCCATTAGTGGACGTGTTCTGCCTGGACAAATGATGGCCATTCTTGGTCCTAGTGGTGAGTGACTTATCCGTTCAAACTTATCCAAACTCATTTTAGGTAGGCGCCGGAAAAACAACCCTTGTTGAAATTCTCGCTGGAAAACACAAATCCGGGTCTGTCCTTGGTCAGGTTTCCTTCCCATCTGTCTCTCAGTCCAGCCCTCGCATCGGCTTTGTTCCTCAGCAAGACGTTCTGCCTTCAACATTAACGGTCCATGAGGCCCTTCTTTTCGCAGCTCGATTGCGTCTCCCGGAGAACATTCCAGATGCTGAAAAACATGCCAGGGTAGACTCGATTCTTCAAAAACTTGGTATTGAAGGTTTGAAGAATGTGAGGATTGGTGACAATACGAACGGACGAGCTCGAGGTATTAGTGGAGGCGAGATGAGAAGAGTTAGTATCGGGCTGGAGCTCATCGCTAGTCCAGATATTTTGATTCTGGATGAACCTACATCTGGTAAACGCTTCCTGCCCATCCTTTCTCACACACAAATGACGTTTCTCTGTAACAGGTTTGGATTCGGTTTCAGCTGCTCGAGTAGCCAATGTGTTGCATGCAATTGCTCATGATTCATCATCGCCGACCGCCGTGATTGCCTCCATCCATCAACCTAGGTATGTCATCTCTTCTCCTTCCACGGTCACCTTTCACTCAAAGTCTTTCTCTCAGCTCACAACTTTACCAAACATTTGATACTATCCTTGTTCTTTCTCACGGACGCTCGTTGTATCTCGGTCCTGGATCTTTCGCTCCAGTAGATCATCTCACTCGCACTGGCTTAACTCAGCCTTATCAACAAGGTTATAATGTAGCGGACTATTTATTGGAAGTGGCCAGTGATCCACCTCTAGCGTTACTTCAATCCCCAAAACATGCTATACCTGCCTCCGGGAGTGATCAGGTAGAACTATCCAATAATATGTCGATGGAGAAGGTTGAGGATGAGAATAGTACTAGTATTGATTTCAGAGTTAACAATCGTAGTAAAGTTGCGATCAGGGAAGGTGCTATGCTTGGGTTCGGAAAATCAAAGTATGCGACGACGTTCTTGACGCAGTTGGAGTATCTTTCGGGAAGGGAATGGAAAATCTTGCGAAGGTGAATCCATTGTTTCTCCAACCTCCTAACATTTTCTAACGCACTTGTAGGGACAAAACACTGTTCTTCACCCATGTTGCTGTTGCTGCCGTGCTTGGAGTATTTTGTGGTACGTGTCAAACCTATTTTCAAACATAGTCTAATTACAAGGATCCGGAAATCAGGCGGTTTATACTTCAATATCGACACTACCATCGCCGGTTTTCAGTCTCGGGTTGGTTGCTTGTTCTTCCTTGTAAGTTCTAACATACATTCTGGAAATTATAATATTCATCTTTTCTAGGGAGCTTTGATAGCGTTTTCGTCCTTGAGCGCGCTATATAATATTGTCGAAATCAGACCATTGTTTCTTCGCGAAAGATCTGCGTTCTACTACAGGTCAGTACTACATGGATTCTGCAAAGCGATGAAGTTGACGGTTAGAACGATAGTCCGACTGCTTGGCTGTTATCGCGATTTTTTTTCGACGTGGTTCCGTTACGGATCGTACCTACCATCATCGTGTCCACGATGTACGTATCTTGTCCTAACCTCATTTGTTGATTTTTTAACTCACACAGGTCTACAGAACGTACTGGATGGCAGGTCTCGCACCCGACGCTGCCCATTTTTTCAAGTTTCTTTTCATCCTCGTGTTGTATACACTTGCATTGACACTTTTCGTCAGTATATGTCACCTCGCTCTATCTTTTACTTGGAACTCAATTCTGACTCACAGAATTTCCTCCTTGGAACTTTATTCCGAAATGGTGGCATCGCCATACTACTTTCTGCCTTGACTGCCCTCTATCAAATGACCTACGCCGGGTTTTTCGTTCACCTCAACTCGATACCTCCCGTCCTTCGTTGGCTACAGTGGCTTTGTCCACTCAAATATTGCTTGGAGGCTCTGTCTGTGAACGAAGTAGGCTCAGGGCTTATGATTCAGGATTCATTGCAGGGTGTACCTGTCGACGTGTCGGCGAGTCTGATCATGAATCTTGTATGTTGAAATGTGTTCTCTTGCCGTGAAACCATCACACTGAATCTGCCCATGATAGTTGTTTGGATTCGGTCAAAATAATTACTACAGAGATGTTCTTGTTCTGTTTGCGTTCATTGCCGGGTTTGGGTTGTCTGTGATTGGTGTTGTTTGGACCAAGGTTCGCGAGCGACGTTAGTGGGTGGTAACATGGCATACAGAGTGCTATGCAATATGGTATTTATTCTCTATATGTAAATGCTCTCAGTTCCGCAGAAAAGAGCTTTAAAACACTAGCCGATACGGAGTCTCACACCTTCACAAACTCTTCAAAACAATCCCATCTGGTACTTCTATACACACATTCTTATCTTGCTGCTATTCTGTTTTGATCTACAGTATCTGACGACAGGTGAATTGATTAGAAGTACTTGGTCACAATTTTTTTCCAGCCTTATTCCACAATCCAAGCAAGGTGAAGAGATTGCTGTTTGCCATCTGTTTCCTCTGAGATGACCACTTCTTGGTTTGCTCGTTTGAGTATTCCACCTAACATCGCATACGGATTTAGGATCGTTGCATAGCGAATCAGTTTGTTTGTCTTTCGGGGCGTACTATGTACATAGAGGGTTAGATCAAGAATGTAGCATGCAAATCAAATATGATAATACGTACTAGATATAACTCTCCTTGACCGTCTTTCCTCCACATGGGTCGAGTGCTGAAGCAGTCAACCGCCGCATCGCCACCTGAACATCCCTGGCGACCGCCATACAAACCGGGTAGCTTGCCCCCCATCAAAAGCTTGCGGGAAAAATACACTATACTCCAGGGTGACGATCTTCGCATCCTTCAATTCCAATGGAGCGGCGTAGAATTCAGCTCCTCCTTGAGGTTTTTTTGCGCCGGGTCAATTGAGTTTTTGGGAGACAAGATTTGCAAAGCCGACCGTTGCATTGGTCCAGACGGTCGAAGAATCGTTGTTCGAGCTGTGATCACTGGAGACTTCGAAAGTGACAACTTCGGCGGGTGCAGAAGAGTTACTGAACTCTGTACTTGAGTTCGCGGAGAGATTGTTTACGATGAGGTCTTGTGAGCCACCAGCGAAATTGGTTATGTTCAATGCTGAAAGATCGGTCATTTGCGCAGGTGCCGTCCAGTTTGTCGGCTTTGAAGGGGAAGGAACGACAGTGACAGTGACAATGTCTACGGTGGTGGTCGCTGGAAGGGCAATATTTGGTGTTACCGTATCAGTAACGACAACTTCGACAGTAGATGTAGAAGTAGAGATTAGCAGCACAGTGACAATCACTGTAACGAATTTCGTAACTGTTGAAGTCGTTTCTGGTGGGAGTGCAAGAATCTTCCCATCTATAATTTCGACAGTTGGATCAGGGTATGTTGTAGAACTTGTCGGCGTCGGAGAAAACATAGTATTTTGTACAGTCTCCGTTGTGAAGATCGTGGCGGTTTCATAGACAGTTTCAGCGGACAGATTAGATATAGGATAAGAACTGATAATCGGAGCAGAAAGAGAAGGAGGACATGAGATTACAATAAAAACGCCCAGCGTTGCGAGGAAGAGCGAGGTCATCAAGACCGTGGCGGTAGGAAAGCAGGCACGGGTGTAGAAATGTGCGCACGGACCGGTCAAAGCTGCATCTACGAACTCTCGATGAGTTCAATGTCGTCTTCCTGATCTACCGTGCATGCCTTTCGACTTTGCTTTTTATGAATCCAAAGCGAAGACATGAAGGCTTAGATCAAATTCATCATGACTTGACAATTTTACGCAGGTCAACCTGTAGCTGTGAAAAAGGTGTAATAGTAAACAATCCACATCGGTCATCATTGGGCAGCTTTACTCAGGCCACCCATATATAGGAAGGCGTGATAATTGATTCACATCAGTCAAAGAGTCTGAGGAGGTTATATGAGTTCACTACGGTTCTACAGTATGTAAGTATTTTGAGTTTAGTAGTAGTAGGTAGTAGTAGTACACAGTTAAAAGCGAAAAAAAAAGTTAAACACATAAAGATAGGACAACATAATATTGCGGGTTTGTATATGATACACCCACTTCGTGCAGTGTGTATCCATCCGCAAAAGGAAATATGAAGCATTAAAAGTTAATACCAAAAGTCTATAGTGCCCTCGATGAGAGAGAAGATCCCAAGGATGTGTGAACTACGAAAAGGTGTCACCTTCAACGCTTCAGTTGCTTCTGGTGGCCGCGACTGTGTACGGCTGGAGTTCGTGGTAGAACCTGCAGCGGAAGAGCGCGCATCCAAATCAGTATGAATACTCCCGGCCGAGAATGGACGACCGACAGCGTTAGAGAGCTTTAGAAAGAGAGAGGCTCCTCTGGTCTCTCTTTGACTTGAGAAGGGTATCCCAGGCGCAGGAGAGTGTTTCCCATGGAGAAATGTATTGACAGGAGAATTATCGGTAGAACGTAGGAGAGCCTTGGATGTGTTCCCAGCTTGCATTGGTCGGAATGCTAGGCGAAGAAGGGTGTCCAACCTCGACTGTAACAGGTGAAAATATGGACCTGATCTCTCCTAAGAAGCTAGGTCGAGGGGGATCTAAAGAGGACGATGGAGGATGAGAAAAGGACGTCGGGATAGTCTGTGAGGATTTAGACCTAAACTGCAAAAACGTAAGAAATAGCGACAGGAGTCTCTTCCACTATGGTCTCGTTTGACGTTCTTCTCTTATCCGTTTTGTGCCTCGAGGCAGATCTAGTCCTAAGACCATTGAAAAATCTTCTCGTTGGACGACGAGTTGGTATGGGCGACGTGGAATACGACGATGGTAAAGCAGGCGGCTTCGCTGCGCTTGTAAAGCCATTACATAAGCAAATTCCCCGATGCATCGCAGCGCGCTATTCAATCTCTCCCTAAACCTATACTTCCTAACTTTTCATTAACTTTCAGACCCCAAGTTGTGCAGTGCTTCACCACAAGTTCAGCAACGTGCCCAGGCACAAACAATAGTGGTGTTCAGGTGTTTCCGCCTCCGGAAACCGACGGACTCCTCAGGGTTGCGTTTCTGGCTAAACCAAGGCTAAACTACAGCGCTCAACTACTCATGAAGAAGACTAATACGAAATACGAAAGAACGGAAAAATCGGGGAATTTCTAACCGCAAAACGACCTTCATGCTCGTTCATGTTCATGTTTACAAGTTTACAAGATGATATTCATCTGTGTCGTGGATCCAATATATCGATGAAGATTGTGCCCCAATAATCCCAATCGAAAAAACAGTATAAAGGAATGTATCCCACTTCCGGAAATCGCAACTTCGACTTTCTTATCGTGATTCCATGGCTGAACAGAAGGCTCTACAATTGGAGAAAGCTAAAGGCTCATTCGTGATATCCACTGTACCTATCTTGAAACCTGGTCCCGGACAGCTCTCCGTCAAAGTCATTACTGCTGCTCTAAACCCCGCCGACTGGAAACTCCAGACATTGGGTGTTTTTATACAAAAATACCCTGCCGTCCTCGGTACAGATATTGCAGGCGATGTTGAAGACGTCGGGGAAGGTGTTGAAGGCTTCTCTAAAGGCGACAAGGTGTATGTTCCAAAGACCTCGTCCTATCTGAATCTTTGGAAGCCGATATACATCCTAGATTTGGCCAGGGCTTTTTAGTGAATGAGATGGGCGGCTTTCAGCAATACATTCTGATTCCTGCTGATATCGTTGGAAAGGTCATTTGATTCTTCCTGTGGCTCGCGGTAATTGAGCTCAATAAATACATTGCTTAGATTCCTTCCAACATCGACTATGCTCAGGCTGCTACCATTCCTTTGGGATTCACCTCTGCCGCTGTTGGTCTCTTGCGCGAACAACCAGGAGGAGCAGGTCTGAACCCCAACTTTGACCTCAAAGTCAATCTTTCCGGACAATCTGCGATTGTGGTAGGTGGAAGCACATCGGTCGGTCAATATGGTACGTGATTTCGTCGTATGTTTCCTGAAACAACGCGTTTCCTTATCACTGATTCCGTTCGCAGCCATTCAATTACTGAAATTACTTGGCTACAGCACTATCATCGCATACGCCTCTGCTCGTCACACCGACTACTTGAAATCAATCGGTGCTACGCATGTCATTGACCGTGCAGAGGTACCTGCTGATAGTTTGGCTGATGCCGCGAAGAAGATTGCAAACGTACCTATCAAGATAGCTTTTAACGCAGTCGGTGATAAGGATTCCCGAGCAGCTTGCATCGATGCTATCGTCGAAGGTGGACAGGTAGCTGATGTGAACCCTCAGTCTAAGGATGTAGACCCTGGGAATGGGAAGAGAATTTTCCCCATTTTTGGGGGTTCGCACCATCCCCCTCACAGAGACTTCAATCGCATTTTATGGAAGACCCTTCCAAAGCTTGTTCAAGAAGGAAAGATTGTGGTGGGTGGAGAATTGTTGTTACTTTCCTCATAGTGACTCGCATTTCTTGTAGCCTAACCGGGTGGAGAAGCTTCCCAACGGCCTTGCAGGAATCGATGAGGGTTTGCAGAGACTGAAAGCTGGCAAAGTTAGCGGTGTAAAATTGGTTGCATTCCCTCAGGAAACGGCGCAAGATATTTGAAAGAGCCTTTCTTTGATTTTCAATGTACATATATACTTGAAGTCGTTCGGATTCGGAAGCGGTTGAAGATCACAGCGAAAGAGGGTTTCGGACTACTGCCGGGCCTTAAGGGGACCTGCGCTCATTCGTTTTCTGCTTGTTTGTTGAGCTTTGTTGAGCATGTGTCCAAGTTATTACGATTTGGTGTTACGTGGACCAGTGTGGGCCCTGCGGAAGTCTTGGGCATCAGTCAAAGACTGAGAGATAAAGCTTGCGCAAGAAAGGCGACATTGGTTGCTACATACTATCACACTGGAGAAATTGAAAAAATGCCGACTGTTACTGTACGGTCGTCGGTGCGCGCCCAAAGTTTAGTCATGTTCGATCAGATATGATAAGGACTGCGATTAAGTTTTACTAGTCACACTCCAGCTGCTGATTCGAGTCTATTCAAGTTCCTACTGAAAGTTATGTCTCAACAAAAGGCCCTGATACTGGAGAAAGCCAAAGGCAAATTCATTGTGTCCGCAGTACCTATATTAAACCCTGGTCCTGGACAGCTCTCCATCAAAGTCATTGCTACTGCTTTAAACCCGGTCGATTGGAAAATCCAGGCTTGGGACTTTATTGTACAGAAATATCCAGCCATTCTTGGTATAGATATTGCAGGCGATGTAGAAGAGGTTGGTGACGGTGTTCAAGGCTTCTCTAAAGGCGACAAAGTGTACGTTCGTAGTCCTCGCCTAGGCTTCCCTTTTGAAGCTCATATAAATCGTAGATTTTGCCAGGGCTATTTTTCAAATGAGATGGCTAGCTTTCAGCAATATACATTAATTCCTGCAGACATAGTTGGCAAGGTCATTTGATCCTTCTTATACCCCACGATCTTCCAGCTTGAAAACAAAACACATTTCCTAGATTCCTTCCAACATCAGCTACGCTCAAGCTGCAACCATTCCCCTAGCACTCACCACTGCCGCGGTTGGTCTCCTACACGCAAAACCCGAAGGAGGAGGTCTGAACCCCACCTTTGATCCCAAGATTAACTTTTCCGGACAATCTGCAATTGTTGTCGGTGGAGGGACATCAGTCGGTCAATATGGTGTGCGATTTTGACTCATGTTTCCTCAAAATAAAGTGTTTCCTTATGCTTGCTCTTACCCACAGCCATTCAACTCCTGAAGCTGCTCGGTTATAGCACGATCATCGTGTATGCCTCTGCTCGTCACACCAACATCCTGACAGCAATCGGTGCAACGCATGTCATTGACCGTGCAAAGGTGCCTGTCAGTAGTTTGGCGGAGGTTGCGAAGGATATTGTGAACGTGCCCATCACAATAGCTTTTAATGCAGTCGGGAATAAGGATTCTCGAATGGCTTGCATCGATGCTATTGTGGAAGGTGGCCAGATAGCTGATGTGGACCCTGAGGCCAAGAATGATGCCCCAGAGAATGAGAAGAGAGTGTTTCCCATTATTGGGAGTTCGCACGTTCACAAAGAATTTGGTCGTATCCTATGGAAAAACCTTCCAAACCTACTTCAAGAAGGAAAGATTGTGGTGTGTTAAAGAAACATTGCTGCTTTTCATCAATCTGATATATGTTTGCACTACTTGTAGCCCAATCAGGTGGAGGAACTTCCCAATGGCCTTGCAGGAATTGACGAAGGTTTGCAGAAATTGAAAGCAGACAAAGTTAGCGGTGTGAAATTGGTTGCCTTCCCTCAGGAAACAGTGTAAGATATTCGAAGAAACCTCTTTTTGTAATTTTTGGTGTACATGAAATCATTCAAATACGGAATCGGTTCGCGATAGCGAAGGAACTCTTTGGGGCTTGGTGAGCTTTCTTTTTTATTAAGTTCTTTAACGAGCAGGTGGTGCTAGACGGGCCAGCGTAGGACCTAGGTGGGCCCTGGGTAGCCTTAAGTCTTGGGTAGGTTTGAGGCATCAGTGCACTTCCATTCCTTTGCCGAAACCTCCCCTTAAGTTAGGGTTACTCCAGATTACTTCGAATAACGACAGAAGTATAATGCGCAAGAAAGGCGACATTGTTTGGGCTAACAAACACCGTATATAGGGTAGAGGGAAATCGAAACTTTCGTTAGATTATGTGTCATCAAAAGGCCCTCATACTGGAGAAGGCGAGGGGGTCATTCGTGGTGTCTGCAGCGCAGCCTATCTTAAAGCCAGGTCCTGGACAACTTTCTGTCAAGGTCATTGCTGTTGCTTTGAACCCGGTTGATTGGAAAGTTCAGGCATGGGATTTCTTCATAAAGGAATACCCAGCGATCCTTGGTCTAGATATTGCAGGGGATGTAGAAGAAATTGGTGAGGGTGTCGAAGGCTTCTCTAGAGGCGATAAGGTGTATGTTCATAAAATCTCACCTCCCCTGAACTTTCGAAGGCTGATATACACACTAGATTCTGCCAGGGCTTTCTTGGTAATGATATGGCTGGCTTTCAGCAATACACATTAATTCCTGCTGACATCGTTGGAAAGGTCTGTCTATTCAGTGCCCATGACCCGGAATAACTCCATAGAACAGACTGCATTACTACATTAGATCCCATCCAACATTGATTATGCTCAGGCGGCCACTATCCCTGGTGCATTCACCACAGCTGCGATAAGTCTTTTCAAGGCCCAACCTGAAGGGGCAGGTCTTAACCCCACCTTTGACCTCGATATCAAATTCGCTGGACGTTCAGCTGTCATAGTTGGAGGAAGCACGTCAGTCGGTCAATACGGTATGCAAAATTTGACTCGAAATTCAATTTATCTTCGTTTAGAAGACTAATGCTATTGGAAGTCATACAGTTATTCAAACTGCTGGGCTACAGTACAATCATTGCATACGCCTCTGCTCGCCACACTGACTATCTAAAATCAATCGGCGCAACACATGTTATTGACCGTGGAGAGGTACCTGTCAGTAACTTGGCCGAGGCCGCAAAGAAGATTGCAAATGCACCCATTGAAATTGCTTACAATGCAGTTGGGGACAAGGATTTTCGAGCAGCTTGCATCGATGCTATCATCGAAGGTGGGCAGGTACCTGATGTGAACCCACAAGCCAAGAATGAAGACCCAGAAAATGGCAAAAGAGTGTTCACTATCTTTGGGAGTCCGCACCATCCCCCTCACAGAGAATTCTGCCGTATCCTTTGGAAAACTCTTCCAAACTTGGTACAAAAAGGAGCTATAGTTGTGAGCAAAATCTCATTTCATCTGTGCTATTATCAAGCTAATTTGCGATAGCCCAACCGGGTGGAGAAACTTCCCAATGGTCTCGCTGGAATCGACCAAGGGTTGCAGAAGCTGAAAGTGAATGAAGTCAGCGGTGTAAAGCTGATTGCATTCCCCCAAGAGACGGCTTGAATTAGCGTATTGGTGGGTATTAGTTCGTCTACGGTACTTACAATATAGTATGTGAGTCATCTGTCAATGGATGAATAAGATACAGACGGTCCACTGTGTTGCTGCAGTGAGGGGCCAAACGAAAGCTTGCTGGCCAGTAATGCAGTCGGGTACATGCCCTTTAATTATATATGTTGGTACGTAGGCAGTATTCGCTGATAACTGTCTGATTTATTGTTGTTAGTATCCAAAGGGAAACTGCTCGACAAGTCGTCTGTGGCAGAGGCGGGAGCTCTGATTGTTGCTCCTCTTATTCCAATAAATAGTACGAGCAAAGTTTCTTACGTGAAAGAAATTCAAATTGTAACGTCTTGGATGCACCAGCCCTTGGAAGAGAGCTGGGGCTGCAGTTTCGGTACGGAACAGAGTGAGAAAATTATTGAGTAGGCGCTCAGAACCTCGGGCACTTTACAAACACTGTTTTCAGTGCTCATGCAACCGTTCCGTCAACTCTAGAGTGTGTTCCCAAACAATTTCTACAGTTTCTTCTTCTGCAGGCTTGTATTGCATTAATTTTCCTTTTGGGTTGTAGGAGTGGAATCCGGGAGGAGACTCCAACAAAGCAGCAAAGTGGATGTCACCGGAAACCTAAGAATTGAATCAAAAGGTAAATCACAATTCCATTGGCATCTCAGATTAAAGCAGCTCACCTCTGGCGTCACAGATATGAATGAAAATATAGGATACACAAGATAATAGGGGATTTTCCAATACCATGTCGACGGCGTAAGCATCGGGGAACGAACAAAACCAGGGAATGCATGGTTGAACGACATGTTGGGTTCCTCCTTTGCGAATTTCTGTTCCAAGAGATTTATCTTGTCCAAGATATGGTCATAGGTTAAGAGATTCACCTGAAATGCGACGTGTGTATAGGTCGTGAGTGCAGCCGTCATTTTCCCAAACGTATGATTCTTCCTCAAATCCAGATTATCTTATTCGCACCTGCCGCAAGGATCGAATACACCTTAGCACCCCGCTCAGACTTTTGCATAAGAGGTATCAAGTCATGGATAAACGTCCAACGAGAGTAATAGCTCAAAGCCATTTTATCATCTAGACCTTCGCTTGTTTCATTCCTCCCAGCGAAAATGAGTATGCCAGAAGATAGAACAAGGTAGTCAATTCGTTGAAGGCGTCGTGCAAGTTCTGAAGTTGTGTTATGGACGTTCGTTATCAGGGATACATCACATGGGATGAATTCGTGAATAGCATTGGTGTCGGCTTTAGGAAACGAAGCAATGAGTTCTGCTGCTGCAATTTTGTTGCGGCCAATGATAACGATGTGAGCATTGCCGTTCGTATGGCGAGCAAACGCTTGGGCCATGGCGCGCCCTATGCCAGATGTTCCACCAACAAACACACCGGTAATCATGGTTATGGCTTTCAGGTTTGGTGGCAATGACCAGAGGATGTTTATTGCTTCTCGGAATCGGCAGACAGATAGGTACAACGTGCTGCGCACTATCCCACGCCGGTCAAAGCTGTTCTTCCCATCCCTAAATGTGCACCGACTCAAACTTCAGAGCTAAAATTGGAAACGAGCGCCTCCCTTACTATGATGGTAAGACAACGATCGTCGCTTTTTTATAAGGCCCACGAAGCAACCCCGGGACGATCATATAGCAAGTATGATCTATAAATTACTGTAAACAAATCTTTCAACTTGAACGTCCATCTTCCTCCATTTACGAGTTCTATAGGTGACACGCTCCTGAATATTAGGCAAGTTACAATAACAAATACAACACAGCCCAAGAATTGGCCAGAAGTCAATAATTATCAATAACAAAAGTCGGCGTTTCCATAACCTCAAAGTCCAGCTATCGTTTTGCCCTGATCCCAGTGATACATGCAAAGTAGTTCATAGTCATACAGACTCGTACTTCTTGTCGGGAGTACTGTCAATGGTCCAGTTTCCGCCGCGGGATATATCAAAGGTGTCCATCTCCGTGTGGACCGACACTGCCATACCGGTTGCAAGAGTCCTGCTGCGATTCTAAAGGCGAATTATTAAGCATCTGAGCTCACAGTGGCTGAGGGAGGGTATTAATGTTTACCGTAACGGGGCCACTAGTGCCCGAAACTTCAACGGAGGTTTGCATGGTGCGCAGAGAAGCTCGCGAATTCATGCTGAACGGGGCCGATGGATTAATGTAGTTCGCAATAATGCCAGATGTTGTTCTCTCACTTTGCTAATAATGTGTTGGAGAACACTATGAAAGAAACAAGACTTCAGATTTGCTGCATCAGAAATATCTAATGACAATCGTACCTTTCGGAAGTACCATGAAGAGCGCGAGCCAGGCGACTATGAAGGCGAAGCCCGTCAATTTCGGTACCCTTCAGGTGAGCTTTAAGAGGTACGCACAATTCTCTTTGGCGGTAAGGTACTATGCCAGGTGAAAAATAGTAAGCATAGAATTACAGGTATCGTCTGAGACGCTACTTACTGATATCACCAATATAATACCAAGCATGCTGCAAAGATGGAGGCGTTCAGGCAATGCTTTACCCGCGATCGCAATATATAATAGATACCTTGTCACAACGCCCGTTTCTAAATGAAAAACATTGATAAATTACCAAAGGAAAGCATACGGCCGAATATACTCACCGATAGTCCAGCGGATTAATCGGTCGACGACCAAGACCGTGCTCTTGTAGGCGTTATCTCGTTGTCGGTACAAGAAGAACACCAACGACGATGAGATTGTGAGGTCTGCAGCCACACGCAGCCAGAGTGTAGTCAAAAGCAGCCATTCCCACTTCTCGAGATAGAGACCCAAGCTAATTTGGGCAACCTTTATTGCCTCAGCACTCAACGTTGTAACAGCAAGTAGTTGGGCAAACATCAAGAAAGTGCTGAAAATCGGAATAAGGTAGGGCTTCTTCGAAAAGCGGAAAATCCGGTAAGTGAAATATGCTTGAACTGTAAGTGATGGGTAAAATTCAGCACCGCATAAAACTAGAGCGGAAGAGAAGAGCTCGCCTAGGATGGTTGTTATCCCGTGTAAGACTACGGCTATACCTAATGTGACGGGGGCGACCAGGAGCGCTTTGGGGTCCCCATAGTTGGCTACAGTGTAGAAGTAGATAGCATGAAAGATGCACATCGTATGTCCGAGCTCGATGAGCCTAAAGATGAACAGTGAGCTAGCACTTCCTTGAGAATGACGTTGGAATATAAGTACCACATGCCATCAACCTAGTATCCGATACGATCCCATGAGCTACTAATCGTGAAGAGCACCAGCAGAGAGACGTACTAAACCGAGTTGAAGCCAGAGCGAATCTTTGGGGAAGTTCTTGTGATAGACATAGACTTGGGTAGTGACGACACCAAACAACACCCCGGATATCAAGATACCTATCTCGAGAACACCTAGATAAATAGCAATGTAAGAACATACCCTGTCGATACTCAAAACGAGAACATATTTTACCCAGCGTCGAGTTCAAGGAAGACATCTGAGCCTGTTTAACAAAAAGGAAGGGAAGGATTGAAAACGATAATCGCTTTGTGCTTTCTTCTGTTAAATAAAGCTAGTGCCGGAGCTCATCAAAACTGGTCATATTCATAGAAGGGGATAACCAGGGGATAACCACATGTCAGCGGGTTTCGCAGAGAACTTGATTGATGCTAACAAAGTTCTTAGAGGACCTTGAAATTATCGTGATCATCACAGAAACAATGAATCAAATGCATTGAACAAACTTAAAACTGCCGCTGGGTGTTTTGATAGACTTCCACGGTATGTTGATCGCGATGAATCGTCGCAAGAGATATCAGTTAACGGGCAAACACATTATCTTCAAATAAATGCGGTGTATCGGTAGCCTGGACCATAGGCTTCAACTGTTCATACGGTGCGGTGATCCTCTTCACGTTTCCTTCCTTATTGAGGACGGAATGAAGCCAGCAAGAAAACCGAGGAAATAAACACATTCAGGAAAATGGAGTCAAATTTCAAGTGCTATCAAAAATTCGTGTGGAAATAGAAAGCCCATCAGCTATCATTGACAGCCTACCAGCAAACACTCGCAGAGGCCCAAAGGGAGCCTACCATATTATATTTGCCCGTAGATTGTGAATCTCCTCCTGAATAGAGTCACGATGATCATCAAAGAGAGAAGAGGTCGCATCGTTCATGTGAATCTGCTATCGGTTGTGGAAGTCGAAAGTGCGTAATTATCTTCCGACTATCGAAAGCGCTTGCTAAAGACGTTCAAAACGAGTTTGTTGGTAGGGATGGGATATGCGCATATGGCGCTATGTACATGTATTTTTGTTCGGGAACTCGTTCCTTGACAAGCTGTACACATTGAAAACTCGTTTCAATTGATTGGTCTTGATTGAAACGAGAATTCCTTACCTATTACCCGCGGTTTATACATAAAGGATACTAGAGGATACTGCGATAGTTCTCTAAACTGTACGCCGACCAACGAATGCCTCTGACTGAATAGTAGAGCAAGTACTGTGGCCTGGCTGGGAGTCAAGTCGCTATACCCTGCTCATTCACTAGTCCTCCCGAATCCCCTTGAAGTAACTTAGTAAGGTATTTGAAAAGTCCACAAAACCTCCCAGGCCCTTTCTTACAGGAACGATCCGACCGATGAAACCACAGGTGTTCCTTGAAAATTTCACCATTGACCCATTCATTTTGTTCGTTCCTCTTTGAACGCATAATGAGCTCGCCAAAAATGTATCTCTTTTTTTGTGAGACTGTAAGCCAACCAGATCTAGAGGGAGTGCAATCTCACTTTACAGTTAAACGAGAAACGCATACCAAAAAGCATATGTAGAGCTGACTTTTCAACTTTCAACTTTGAACTGCTCCCTATGAAGACTATACGTCAGTATGGCTGATCTTATGAATACCGAGTGGATCCTGGGTGAATCTAATGAGATCCAACACAATTACATGTTCTACATCTACCGCTGTTTATACCACTCACCCTATATACATTTTCGTCAAGTCCATCGCATTTGCCGTGATGACCCAGAGTCTTCGGAAGACTGGGGCAGGGCAAGGCCTATCGAGGCACGACTAAAGGACTGGAGCCAGAAGAAGTGATGACCTAGTTGTTTGAGCAGAAAATCATTGGAAAGTCATCTGGAAAGGAAAACCGACACGGTCCCATTGAGGAACAGCCGATTTGGAAAGGACCATGACACATTGACAAGGCTATGCGAGATGTCGACTTCCATCTGTCAAAAGATAGCTTGTAATCCACATTGTCACATTGAGTGATACAAGAATCCATGTACAAAACAAGTGTCCTCTTGATACATTGGAAGCTTGGAAACATTGCTCCAAATTCAGAGCACCTCGACATTCCCAGAGTCTGCCCATTCACCGAACAGGAGACTGATACTTTCTCCATTGTGAGTACGCCGAATACTTTCGGCAATTGTGGGGCTGATGTCAATGACAGTGAGCTTAGAGCAACCGTCCTTATGTTTATCTTGAGGGATAGTATTTGTCACCTGTTAGGGGTAGAAGCGCGCAAGGTCATGAATGACTTCTCGACGAAAGTACAAAACGACATTGACGTACGACAAGATGATCAATGGGTAACCGCTCTATTACACTCAAATTGATTTCGGAGAGTAATCCTGCGGAACAGCGAAATACGTCAATGCCATGTCTCTCTTGGAGCTGAAAGCTTACCATGGGTGATCAGAGCATATATAGCTTTAGCACCTTTCTCGTGTAACGTCTTCGTGGCGAGTGAAAGAGTTGCGCCGGTGTCAATCATATCATCAACCAGGATAGCAACCTGCGAAGTGCCGAATGAGACATAGAATCATACTTTTATGAGTGCGACGCACCTTGTCTTTTACATCTCCAACCAGAATTTCCATTCTCTCCGGCGCATCAACCTCTTTACCATCTCGTTTTCGATGAATGAGAGCAAATTCCACTCCAAGCTTGTCCGCGATGGCTGTCACTCTGCAACGCACAGGGGTAAGTGAAAATTCAACTGGCAAGAGTCTGTACTCACCGCTTCGCTCCTCCAGCATCTGGACTGACTATGATTCCATTCTTCCAACCTTCAATTGACCTCTTAATGTACGACAATACCAGAGGTTCTGAGAACAGGTTGTCCACAGGAATGTCGAAGAAACCTTGTATTTGACTGGCGTGAAGATCCATAGTGATGACATGGTCACAGCCAGCAACAACGAGCATGTTCGCGACGAGTTTTGCCGTGATGGGCGCCCTAGACTTGTCCTTCTTGTCCATCCGAGCATAGGGAAAGGAAGGAATGACGGCTGTTATCCGTCTGGCGGAGGCCGTTTTACAGGCCGAAATGAGGATGAGGAGTTCCATGAGGTTGTCATTGGCATCCTGACAGCCAGATTGGATGATGAAAACATCTTCATCTCGTACGGATTCAGAAATTTTGACATTGATTTCGCCGTTGGAAAACTTCTTGACAGTGCATGGTACGAGTGGAACGTTGAGTCTAAGGGATGACAAATGTCGAGTCTCGAAGAGTGCTTTGAGCCGCAACTTGGGAAAGCAACAGCTTACCGCTCAGTCACTGCTTGAGCAAGTTCAGGATGACTGTTTCCTGAGAGAAAGATAGTGAGTAAAGAGACGTGGTGTCAAGGTATAGGGATGTGGAAGCTCACCGGTCAAGATGCGGATGGAATTGTTGTGGTACATGATATAATAGAATGAGAATTTACACTATTGCATGAGATGAGACTGAAGGAAAGGTGTATGAAGGTAGGTAATGTCGGTGTAGTGGGAGGAAGATCGAATGGAGGAAAATTTGCAATCGATCAACATAGCCACGGGCCGAGATTCGGAATTGTTCCGCAGTGAACGACTTACGAACGTGCGTGCGGCTGTACTGACGACCTATTATGCAGGGAATTGGAGGTCGCAAGCTGTCTGGTTTCGTTTTCATGGATATCGGTCCACCACAAGCAAAGAACCAAAAAATATCGTCACTTCTCCGAAGTTGAGCGAGGAGGTACACGAATAGTAATATTTTCTACGACATACTCCGAGTCAGCGTAGCCCAGAACCTGGACTAATTGGGAACTGAAAAGGATATTCAGCATCAATCAACAAACTTCAGAAACCCAAACACCAACCTGTTCAAACCTCGTACTCTGGATATTTGTGCATAGTTATACATAGCTAACCCCCTCCCGACCTCGATCACATCGTGTTCGCTGAATTGCGGTGAAGCCGCCTCAACATTGAGAGATTTATTTGTTTCAAGGTTTCCGGATGAGCTGGACCGGGACAACGTTCCCATAGCGATCGGGGACAAACGTCGAGGAGATGCGGGTCGACTGGACTGCGCACTGAGCATATCTGTCTCTTCATGCGAAACTCGGATGACTATCCGAACAGCCTGGCCAGAGGCAAATGCACCCATAACGCCAATCACACCAGCTGCAAGTAGACGACCGCCAGATTCTCTTTTGGATAACACGCGATGAGCACCGGAATCGATTACCACACTGCCCGCAGGAAACAAGGTATGGCTTGTCCATGCCTTCAAATCCCGCATTGGAACGAGAGAAGGCATAAATACGGTATGTGGAGGTCGAGTTAAAGGGATCAAGGTTTTTTCGTTCGATGGTTCTGAACTTAACGCAGTGCTTTTGAGCGAGTCATGGTATTCGAGGATAGCGAAAATATTCTCAGGCCTTTTGCTGGATGTGATCACAGTGGTGACACCGGCACCTGTCGCCATCTCGGCAGCGATTATCTTGGTTTCCATTCCACCAGTCCCAAGGCTAGAACCTAACGTAGTAGTGCTAACTAACACACTAGTCAATGGTAAGTCATTTATGAATACGACGAAGATTTACCTTGAGACCTAATGGCAGAGATAGATGTGACAATTTCGATCTGTTTCGCTTTTGAATCTTTCCTCGGATTCGCCGTGTATAGACCATCCACATCAGTTAAGAGGAACAAGTAATCGGCATGTATCATAGATGATGTTATCGCAGATAACGTATCATTATCTCCAAATTTGATTTCCTGTTGATCAAAAAACGCCTCAGCATACAGCAGACTCAAACTAAGTTCGCTGAAATACGTACGCTCACGGAGATGGTATCGTTTTCATTCACAATGGGTACTACGCCCATGGATAAGAGCTCATTGAGTGTGTTCACTGCGTTCAGATATCGCGTTCGCTAAAACATATTAGATAGCTGAGTATCGAAATCGACATAGGACATACATCCGAGATGTCTCCACGAGTTAACAAAACTTGAGCTATGGGTTGCTCCAAGTGCCCGAAGAGTTCATCATACAATGCAATCAATCTACCTTGTCCAATCGCTGCTAAAGCCTTACAAGTGATTTGATCAGTCTGCATGTTCAGTGCGAGTTTCATACTGGTCGCACCTGCGTCCCAGATAAATTCTTTGGTCTACTTGCGATATTCATTCGCCTTAGGCCAACGCCAATGGCACCTGAGCTTACGAGCACGACTTTGTGTCCTTGCTTTCGCAGATGCACAACAGTCTCAACTACAGATGAGAGAGTTGATAACAATGGCTGATGGGTCTCTTCATGGACGATTGATGAAGTCCCTGTAATTCAAGATAAGTGCAAGCTCCTGAACGATTACAAATTTACACACCGAGCTTAATGACAATGATACATGGAGTGCTCTTTGTGCGAGACATGCTAAGGATCTGGACTGAGAACGGAGAAGGTGCATGATTGAACACGATGAAACAAGCGCCGGGCATCGAGTCATGACAAAGTAAATAACGCGTAAATAATTGCACTGCCACCGTATCCTCTCAGTAAATTACATACAAGTTCAAAGTTCGCCCTCTTGTTTTCCAGTCTCTCTTCTGAGAAACATACTAGCCCTCTCATTGAATTCCGACCATAAATGACGCGTGCAGACTGTGTGCTCCCAAATGCCACTTGGGAAAATCAGAATCACACACTGGTGTTCGAACTGAAATCGTTTAGGATCTCTGTACTTTTTTAATAGAAGCTTCCGCTCAAACCCAGCGGCTTTTACGTCTTGATTCCACCAGTTTGTGCTTTCCTTTTGACCACGATGTTGATTTTTTGGCTGACTATCTTTACTAGCCTCTTGCAGAGCTCTTTAGCTGTCTATCAACAGTCGCTCTCAGCCGCATCGACCTTTGTTCCGACAGAATTACAAAGTAGCGATGATGATTGGGACTTGAACAAGCCGCTTACATCTAACTCAACCGCAAATCTCGTTTTCGCAACGATCAGTTCCTTGTTGCAATCAGCTCCCAACTTGCGGTATCGAAATGGTTGGCTTGTCTGCACTCTTGGTTTGATTGTCTCATTTTCTTCCAGGACACACACTCGTTCCAGGTATAATTCGTTCAGGAACTTTGCTCTATCATGGTCGGGGTGACTCAAACATTCCAACTATGGAGTGGGTGGCATTTGATCCGGAGGCCTCTTATATTTTCTGCAAGCTGTACGGTCAATCTCAGAGCTGTTGGTTACATACCTTCAAAGTCGAGCGGTTTCTCCGGATTCTGTACTTCGATGGATCTAGCGCGGCGAAAATCGGCGACGGTGCAATGGATAGCCAGGACATTCTCACTTGGGGCGAAATTAAACCTGACCTTGTACGTGAAGAAGGAATGAGGATACAGAAATTATGCGAGTGGGGGGCGAAAGTAGGATTGGATGGGTTCGTTAGGTACATAAATTTCCGTTCAATCTCCGGTTGAAATATTGATGGTTGTGGATCTTCTGCAGAACCGCCAGTATCTCGCAAGTTGAATCATTTATTCCATACCTACTGGTTGTTCTTACTGTAGCGATTTTAGTGAAATCATGTTGTGCGATTTCAGTCCGCTCCAATTGATCTCTTCTCGACATCAAATCGACTCCACTGGTAATTCCTCCAAAAGACATATCCCCAGTTCCAACCCCACGAACACCAATCGGACCATTACCCATTACTTCCGACTCTATCGACTTTCTGAGGATTTCTGGACGATTTGACCATTATCCAGGTATGACGCAGGTCCAACTAGACCTCGCACACTTGGTCTCTCTCTATGACGAAAAGCTGGCTCCATCGCTGTCCACCGTCCGGGAGGGGAAACCTAGGCTGCGGCATCGCCTGCTCGGAATGTCACAGGAGGACATCTCACGAGTCAAAGTGCATCTGGAAGGACAAATTGCAGAGGTTGCATGGTCTTCTCTCGAGTGCGCTGGAAACCATCTCGATTGGTCGACCCACTTACATTCGATTGTGGATTTATACGGAGACACGTTTGAGGATCTATGGGATATCATCAACTCTACCACCATTTCTCTTGCACCAGCAAATGTACGGGCAGAGAAAAATGTTTGGGCAGAGAATGCTTTCCGCATGATTGAATCCATCGTTCGACCATTCGTCTTGCATTCGGTTTCACCTACTGGAACGTCGCCCGATATAGCTTGGGCTTCTTCTGTATACAAGGAATGTGCATTATCACACACTTCCGCCGTCTCCGCCATTTCGCTCACAAACTCTGAAGAGCTGTTACGCAACGCGATAGAGGGGACTACTCGCGAACTATGTAGAGTCATGACCAAAATGTGGACAGATGGAGTCCACGAAGGCATGAGTCCGCTTTTTGGATCGACACACAAACCAGAAGACGCTACCTTCCTTTTGTATACATGGAAAGTAGATCTTGGGAACTTGATGGTTTGGCTAGATTGGGGTACCTGGATGCGATGCAAGCCTGCTTGTAAACAACTGGTAAGTACTCGTTTCTTGACCTTTTATACAAAGACATATATGTTGACCACCCACCATTGCGAATTGTAGGAATTTTGTTATCTTCCAGCATGGCCATTTGGTGTAGGAAATTCATCACACCCAGCTGCAGGATGGCGCGAACATGATCCACAACCGAGATGCCTTAGGAAAATTCCTCCCTTTATCTATGCCGATGATTTTTTGAGATTATGATGTCCCCATCCATTCTGTCACTTTTCAGTATCTCCATAGACATGTATGTAAAGATACGCTATGCATTTTCAAGATTGTCGAGCTTCAAGCTTCAAATGTCAGTGTTAAATGAATAATGCAGCAATGCTTATGTACAGTAGATGTGGGAAGAATTGTCTTTCAAAGTTTGCCCGCCACCACCCTAGCGCGCGCTTCAGTATGGATATCGATACAAAACCTTCAAACAATCTTCAAGATGTTCTGGAAACTGAAATTAAGTATGCCCTGTAACTGCATCTATTGCCTGGGCCTGAGTTGAAAGACTTTGGGGCTCCTAGAGAATGGCATTTCCGTGAGTGGCGAAGAGTCCCTTGTTATCTCCGGTTGAAAGAACACACCTAGACATATATTTTGCACAAAAGAATGCCGATCAACATTACGCAGCCCTTGAACTTCGTGATGCAGTCCTACGTCTAAGACGAGACGGAGCGTTTGTCGCTGTTCCCCTCTTTCGTGTAAACACAGAACCTATGGGTCCGCATCCTATTGGTGAGCATCGAACCGCAAATCTGTGGCACCGTGGCTCAATCACCGCACTACAGGCTCATACGAAATATGGGTTCCCGCAGAAACGTTCTCATCCGTATTTTCCTATCTCTGTATGAACCGTGGCAATTTGAGGTAACAGCAAGCTGCTTGAGCCTTTGACACTTTCATGAATCTCCACCTCAGTGTTTTGGTCCATCCCCTTACAAGAGATGAAGTAAGCAGAGCTGTCCGAATGCCTTCGTCGTAGACTGACGATTTCTCATAGCGTCTGTATGTATCTTGTCTCCATTTTAATGTTGAATACCACACCAATCCGTCCAAGTGACCACGAATTACGCTCTGCGTGGCTCGGCCCCTCCCTCCCTCTAGATTTGTCTACTCTTCCATTGAGATCGGATGAAATACCTTTACAATATCCCAGCCTCCGTATGTTCCTTCAACACCATGCCTTGCTGTCGGTGAGCGCTGACTCTTATATAGGGCTTGGTTATTCTTCAGCGACGACTCCGTTGAGCTTGGATGACAGACGAAGACTGGGCGCAAATGTCGAAAACCTACTGAAGAATGAGAAAGGAGCCGCTCGAGCTCCTTCGGATTGAATCACTTGCTTCCTTCAAGGATGCCTTCACAGTTTACTCCTAGGCTTTAGTATGGCAGATTTAGCGAATTGAATTAAGTACAGTAACAATGTTGCAGCTTTTGTAGGATCTAGCGGGAAATCAACCTGAATCAACTCGTGTGTCTGTCCAACGGAGGAATACTTACCGCCGGGGACGCTGTGATGGTGCCCTGATGGCGGTGAAGGCGATGAAAAGCATTTTTCTGAATGTTCGCACATTCTCAGAACTCCCTCTTTTGTTTTGTTCTGTCGTTTGGGCTTCGGTTCTCCACTCAGTGACCTTTCGATACATTCATTCTTCGTCTTTCCTTTCACACTCACTTACGATGGAGTTCCTCCGCACAACCTTACGTAACATTCTTTTCTTGATTTTCATAGGTGTCAGCCACGCTAGTACCAGCGCTAATTGCTCTTGCGGTTACATCGACGATCAAGGTCACGTATGGAGGGAGTCTATTGTCACGAATTTCACAAAGACCTCGGGTGCCCTCGCTGCTCTTGGTAACGACTGGATCGTATCAACAGACAACGAGGTTCAATCTTCGCCCGCTACTGCCAATATTCAATATGTTACCGCGAATGTATTAGATCATAACAGTGTGCTTGGGATCCAGGCCAGTGCAGTGAGTGTTCATTCTACACGTACTACCTTCATAATCTCAATCTTGCATTCTCAAATTTCCCAGTATACCAGTGGCAGTAGCAACGTTGACTGTGGAGAGATCTTCACGGAAAGATCAGATATTCTGTATGGTACTTTCCGTATGCGTGCGTCTGTCCCGTCTGTTCCCGGTGTTGTTTTTGGTAAAAATCTTCCTTTTTCTGGACTACGGAGCAACTCACGAAATCCTATAGGTTTCTTTTCTTACGAATCGGACACGCAAGAACAGGACATCGAATTTCTCTCTTCGGGTAGCAATGCCCAACAACAAATTCAGTACACAAATCAACCTGGAACAGTCAACGGAAAAGTAGACGAGGTCTCGTATAGAGATGTCGAAGTTGAAAGTGCGAATTTTACGTGGGTATCGTCATTCGAGGCTTTTCAATCTTTTGAGTTGAAATTTATGTAGTACGTTTGGCGAACACCGTTTTGACTGGCTCAAGACCGCGACAGAGTATTATTACAACTCAAACTTGACAGCGGTGTGTCTATTTACTTACCTATCCGGGACGTCGTCTAATATTCATCGTTCTATGTGTCCTAAAGACAATAACCAAGAATGTCCCCACTTCAGCATCGGAGATCGTCGTCAATGTATGGTCCAATGGTGACCCAGAATTCTCACAAGGGCCTCCAACCTCCAATGCAATTGCGTCTGTGGAATATGTCAAGCTGTACTTTAATTCGACGAGTTTGAGTGAAGCAAAGTTTATTGAAACTTGCAGTGGGGCTGGAAACATTGCGAGGTGTACTATCTAGAATCTGGTCACATTGTTCCAGCTGGTGCTGGCAAGTCAATATTGTGGCGAGGATGTATTTATCTTTTGAACCCACCCAAGGGCGAGTCCTGGTAAAAGATCACAGCTGCTTGATGAATTTATGAACAATTATATGCCTACGCAATTCAACAAGAATTTACGTAGGAAAGGTAAATGCCAAATGAATATAGTCCAAAACAATGCTATCGATGAAGTCCAAAATGCTATAAAGTATGTGTCCGTGTGGCGTTGCGCAAAATGTCATTCAAGAACGTAACCCAGTGTAACCGCAGGGATAACCCGAGGAAAACGAAAGTATCATCTACGGTGTATGCAAATTAGTACGTATGTCGAGCGTGTGATGCAGACTGACTGACCAGCGGGATCACAATCCGCAAGCAGAGGAATCGACTTGCACCGAAGTGACTGTGACTGCCCCAAGCGCGACAGCATTCCCATTCGTCAAAGTGTTCATGGCCTCTTCCGAAACATTGATCAAGCCATCTCCAGCATGATCCACGGCAAGCACATTCACAGTTGTGGAGACGCCATTGGAGGAGTACGTGACTTGCCAGCATGTTCCACAATTTGCCGAGTTCCATCCTTCTACGGCACCAAAAGCACCGATGTTTGGGAACGAAGGAAGCGAACCAAAAGTCGGAAACCCTCTGGTGAGGAGTCCGTTAGAGCCATCAGAGCAGGCGACAGTGCTCAGCGAGGCGCTTGCATCGTCGTAAGCAGTGTCGTACTGGAGTGTGTCTGCCGCAACGAGGGTAGCGAAGGCAGCAACAACAAGAGTGACGAAGAACGTGAAGAAGTTCATGATAACAAGCACTTGACGGGGGTTGTTAGAGGATTGGGTATGGGATGATCTTGGAGGGACTGGATGTTAGACCCTTATTCGTTCTGCTTCTATAAAGGCGAGTCAGATGGGCACAAATGACCGCAAACGCGTGACGTTTTTGAGAGTAAAACTTTAAGAATACCGGGAGAACACAGTCTCAGACAAACTCCGATATAATCGCCTACTAATAGCCGTACACAAACCACACAATCTTCGAAAAAAGTTCAAAAGTTCCGTCGCCTACCCTGCCAGCCAAGAGCATTGCATGAACGCGCACTGCTAGAAATTAAGCAGAAACGGTGAAAGAAGGCCTTTGGAGGATGATTCACGGCGGGTTTACAGAAATATGTTATTGAGATCTCGGAAGACCTTGAGAAAGAAGATTTAATGTTGACGAGAAGCGGTGTCGTTTACAGTGTCCAGTGATCGGGTCCAAGGTTCTTTATTCGATGAAAGTATGAAGTTAGTTTTTACGGAAAATTCTCGAGCTTTCGTGAGAAATCCTCCAATTGTATTGATTATCTCTGCTTCAAGCTTCAATCACCATCAAATCCTCCAACCTCCGTCCTCAAGCGTCCAAAATTTCATTGAATTGCATCCACCATCTTGCAGATGCTCAGCCTTGCCTATGACACTATAACTATACTGTGCATATAGGCTGTCTCTCTTGATTAGTTTCTCATTGCACAATTAATTTAACTTCAGTTGTGTACTACACCAACTGAGAATTCATTCAGAATTGAGTCTTAATAGCAGTGTAAGTGTTGATGTAAATTGCAGAGATATTACTATAAGTACTACTAGATCCATAGTTTTTTGAATAACTTTAATAATTTTATTTCCATGGGTAACCACTTATAGTAAGTATCAAAGCAGAAAGTCCCCCTGAGAGTAGAAGCTCAAGAACATCCATGTAAATGGGGGAGGTATAGAGCACATTCAGAGGCAGTTGTTGCAATATTAGACCCATTTTCCTTGAAACACTACACAAAGTTGCTTGAGGTTCGACGTCGGACGCTTGACAACTCATCAATTGAAACTCCGGAATTTTCCGTGAAATCTGCCGTCATATGAAAGACTGATATTGATCGATTTGGGGTGGAATTTGCTTCGGACTTGGGTCTTCCAGACAAGCAAGGACTAACGTTCGGATGGTAAGTTAGCAGGATCGTTGGGTAGCATAAATCCTTCCTTATGGTCATGGCTCCCCTAGTGACACTTCCCTTAATGCAGTACCTGAGGCTAAGTAAATTTCGCGAGTCATAGCATGGTCGATGTATGATCGGTAAAACCAGATCCATCCAACTGGGAAAGAGGAAATGACCGGTTTCTCCAAAGCAAGAATATCGCCGTCTGAGGCCGTGTGGCCACAAGCTCTCCACAAGCTCCTCTGTTCTTCCCAGGTTCTTCCTTGCCAACCACTGTGGGGATGAGCCAATGTCTTCGCGGTGAAAATGTAGAGAAAATGCAAGGATTTTTACCAAAATTCATCAAAAATCCTGGGCACGAATTTTAAAACTTTTCGTGTGGCGATTATTGTGAAGCTATCGTGAATTTGGCGGGGGGCCGTGCTTATTTTAAATTATCTTTTCATAATTTTACCATAACCTCAGCTCAATTCCTTCAAAATATCTGCTGCCATATTTTTGTACATAACCTCGAGATAAAACCCACATTTTCGCCTCGAGGAAATCGGCTCATCCCCGCAGTGAACGTGGTTGAAAACATAAACTTGATGAGTCATCACAATGAGCCCATACCACGGGCAGTAACCATTATTCCTTGTCCTCGAAATGCACCGGCAGTGAGGTTGCTTACATGGAACTTTTGAGGTTCTAGATGCTATCGAGCAAAGCCCTCACAGTGCAAAGGCCAAGGAGATCAATGTAGCTGACTTTAATCCTCAGTTGGATTGGCACCAAGACCAGGAGCATCATCGTGATAAACCAAACTCGATTGAACTTACATCAAAACATGGAAATGAAGGTAAGTCACAGCTGTGGGTGAGGATTAGAATGCAGAAAGGGTATCAACAGGTTATGTGTTTGAGTCAAAGTGCAAGAGGATTTGGATGAGGAGATTGAGCAAGAAGGTGAACCCGAGGAAGACATGCAATGGGTATGGCAATTGGAGCTCTGTCAAAAAATTATAAACAAGTATAATCATTACATATCTTTGTAAATGTCTTAAAATTTGAGGTTTATAAGCGACTACAATGGAAGTAAGTGGAAGTAAGAGTGAACAAAACTCGTGTACCATCAAAAATCAAAGGTTGGCAGATAAACCAAAGCGACACTGATTTCACAGGCATTGCCAGTCTGTGTACATGGCAAATATATGTCCCATGGCAAAGAATGGTACAATAGCAGATTCCCGCTACCTATTTAGAGCTATGTAGAAGGATTTCGAAGAGCGAGCTTTTCGATTTTGCGAGTAAGCTATTCGAGTGTCTTCATATATAATATCCTATAATGTATGTAGTAGTCAGTATTAGTTTTGCCTGGGGTCCAGGTGGGCAACACACCGCTACACGATCTAATGCCCGGAGAGTCTGAGCTAGGATAAACTTACCAAAGTAATATGAAGGGTAGGAAGGTGGGTCATGACGAAAGATGAAGCGGTAGGAGATCTAGCGGTGAGTGTCTCGAGTGAGCACGAATAGGCGCCCAGTAGCACTCATCGCCACTGCTTATCTTATCCTAATATTATGATCAAGCTACTCATCACGTGCAGATTATTCCGCACTTCCATTTATTTCAAATTCCTGCGGGAGGAGCGAAGAACGAAGTTCTGATCTCGCAGAAGGGCCAAGGCTTTTCACAAATATTGGACTCGTATAATTATCAAGGTAGCGGGCCCTACCGCTGTTCGGCACTGTTTGGACATTGAATAATATAGCAACATGAAGTGAGAGGCAAGGTAGGTCAAGAAAAAACTGCAGAAGTGCACCGTTGAGCTTACATGCTAGGAAGACCGAGGTATACCCTGAGTACCGTTGGAGGAGATAGGCCGCCGTCGGCGATGAACGAAACTAATTGGAATACATGGGGCTGTGTGATATCTCTCATATAATGAAACCCTCTTAGTACGAGGTACCCGTATCATCTTCTCTGCTGGTCAGAGCAATCCAGTATGCGCATCTTCTGTCCCACTATCGTTTTAATTCTCTCAATCCTCTCAATATGTACACATGCTGCCCCAGTTAATCAGAATCTGGATTCAAGAGAGAACTTGGTGATTATGTTCGCGCGTTCAGTGCATATAGGTTTCACTTACTCTCTTTACAGCCAGCTTGGATACAGGGCGAAGTCGATAACCCAGCATTCTTTACCAAGAAAGATAGGCAAGCTTACGGTGAGTCCTAAAGTACACTTTCGTGCTCCGTCTCCCATAAAGCAATCTTCAGCGAAGAAATTGTGGGGTGTCAAGCTTGGTGCAAAATTACAAGTTGCTGGATCGCACAATTTCGCTATATATTCCTTGACTGGATACGGGCTACGCTTCAAAAGTAGTTCATTGATCATGAAGGTGTTCAATGCCGTCGACAATGCTGCTATTGGAGAAGCGAAGGCACTCAGAGCCGTAGGCGATCTCGTCGCTTCTGGCACTGTCAGTGCATTGGGCTCAAAACCTGCCATTATCATAAAGAGGAAGGCTGGTCAACCATTACAGGAGACGGAGGCCTACAAGAATGCTAGAGAAATAGTGAGAGAAAGGATGCGGAACCAAACTTTTACGTTGATGTGCGACAAAATGGCCATTGTAGCTACCGAGAAGTATGTTCTGCACGGGTAAGTCATTCGTCGTCCTATGCACTTCTATCATTATATTTATAAGGCAATCTCTGCTACAGCGATAACCATCCCTCTCACTCAAATATCCTAGTGACCTTGGATAAGAACACCGTGAAATCCGTTGAGTTAGTAGACTACGGCCCTCCGAAAACCTATTTTTTGACCAAGTCTGTCACGAAGGCGGAAGTGGTAAGTGACATTTCAACTCGCCCGTTTCTTTTTACTGATTCTGGGCTGATAGTGCGTTTACTGTGGATGTGAATATCCAAGTACAAAACGACACTTGTGGGAACAGGAGTTTCCTTATGTTTCCCCTCCTTCTAGTCCTATGAAGAGTCCCAAGCTTGGAATGTAGAATTTACCGTGTATAGAGTCCCACTACGTATCATTATTTATATCGTTATTCCCGCCACCTCTTTAGAGGTTGAAGGGTTTCATAGACGGCGATAGACCTAAATGTCCTCATTCAATTTTAGTCATTAAATATTGCATAATACAAAATATTCATCTTGTAATTATCATCTCCATCGGCCTAGACGCGTCTGAATCCAATCGTTGGTATACAATATTCCTTAGCTTGATGCCAATGGCCGACGCGTCTTCCCCCCGCTCTCTTAGTTTTCGACAAAGACTTCTACCGCTCATAAACCTCTCTTCTCATGTCAGCGCACCATTCATAACTACCTTTCTGCTCATACATCTTAGCGCCCCAGCCTTGGCCAACGTTGGAGGATCTTCGCTTTCTTCTCAAGTCATGGTGTGTCATAAACATTTTAAATAATGTCCAACTCTCAGGCTGACCTTGCCGATTCATAGCTTCTTGGAAGGGAATATTACCAGACGAGTCTCGCGGAACCGTACCTTGTACTAGGTCCTTTGGTTGTTCACGCTTTGTCTGGTGTCATCAGGCGCGCCCTCATCATGTATCCAAAAATAAAATCACCATCTATCACAGATGGGAACACCTCCAAGCCTTTGACGTTCTCTCAACGAATTCGCGGTGCCCTTCCCACTACGACTCTCTCTTTCACCGCCTACACCGTCCTCCTACTTCTTCCAATCCATCTTGGTATTCACCGAATACTACCTCAGACTACTTCTCCGCCTGTTCTTTCTCTTGGACCATCTGAGTTGGAATACTCTTTTGTTCAGTATGGACTTCAGCGTTGGCCAGCTCGAACTTGGGCCATGTATGCGGTTCTTGTTGGTGCTGCTATTACACATGCTGTAGAGGGTTCACGAGTCCTTATGGGAAACTTCGGTTTCAAAAGTTCTGTCAAAAAAACGTCCAGCAACTCTGTCGTTCCAAAGAACTCGAAAGTTCGTCGCAAGATACTGGCAGCCGCCCTCGCTCTTCCCATACTCTCAGGACTATATGTATTATATAAGGAGCCGCTGTATTTGTTTGCTGATATGGGACGACGCTTAGAGGGTGTGTATCGATTGTCTTGGATCTACAATACGCAATAAACAGCCCTAAGTAATTGTATTATCATTGACCTCGTTACTATCTAAGCTGGGAGCCATTATTATCAATGTTTCGACCGCATACTCATTGTGCGCATCGTAGGGACTGTAAAGAAAATAAGAGGGGCGTCACCTTGTAAATGAGTTGACTTACACATCATCAATCCTTTTATGTCCTTCACTCTTGAGCTCTGAATGCTCTTTCTTAGTAACACCACTCGAATAGATGTCCAGACAAGAAGCAAGCAACCGAAAGCGACAGGGATCAGCCAGTACAGTGGCGATAGGTGAACCGATCCACCGAAGACGACATGCAACGGGGGAGTGTACACGATGAACATGCCCAAACAGGCCCCACTGCAGTTTGATGTCAACAAATGCTACATAGGAAGGAAAGAAATTCCATACCCTAAGATACCCGCGAAATTCCATTTGTTTCCCAGTATACGTTTCCCAAACGGAAAAGAGAATTTGGCTTTTACAGCAAAGACCTGCGAAGTACCTAGTGAGGTGGCAAGTCTATACACAGAAAGAGGACTTACATTAAAACATTGCATAATAAAAATAGAAAGATATACTGAAGAGATACTGTTCAGCCGGCCATATAACTGATACGAAAGAATATTTAATATTCACCAATGGATTGGGCTTGGCCTAATGCGTCAATCTGTTGAGCATCGTTGATCGTTTGTCCTCGACTATTGATAAAATCTGGAGCGCCTTTGACGAAATACACTAAAAAGCGATTGAGCATGCAGTCCACAGTTCTCAAAGGTTTAGGATTATTGCACCTGTAGCTTGTTGAGCCCTCCTCAGATCGCTAGGGCTGAAACCATTTTTGAAGAAGACAACGAAGTATGCTACCAGCCTATATGGACACTTGACTTCAGTTTCCTGCGAGTAAACGACAAATCTCACTCACCCGCCGAGTGTTTCAATCAAACCAGCTTCCAGATATGAGTAACTCAACAGCTTCAGATCGACCAAGTCCTCGTTGTCTGTGGGTTCCATGACATCCTCCCAGTATTCTCTGGTGAATGGCTTGGTAAATTTTGTGGCTAGCTTGGAAAGCTTGCTCGGGGGTATGATATTCTGAGTTTCCGAGTCCCGGCGAAGGGTTTTTGTGCGACGTAGAGCCCGTCTCTTGAGCGAGGCAATAGACCCTTCATTCACTGATAGAAAGTACCTAATAAGACGGGAATAGTTTCCAATAGGGAAAAACACACCTGGTTTACGAGGGGTCATACGCATCAAACCATCTACAGTTTCTGGCTTATCCCAAGCAAACGACAGCTGAAAGAGCAAATGTAATCAAAACCAAAAAGATTGGTTGATACAACTTACAGCAACGAACAGCTCAAATCCGAGATCTGAAGATACTCAAATCAGTGCTACAGGGCATTACTTACGATTCAAAGGAGGCTTACCAATGACTAGAATCAAAATCGCCGATAAAGGGAGAGGGATGGGAACGATAACGTCTAGACAGAAATTTGCCGCATACAAAGCTGTGACAAGACAAGACCTACAAAGTAGTTGGGGAATGACCTCAGGTGTACTATGCGAAATGGTGTATCTGGGGAATGTGATGGATACTGGGGAAAGGGTTTAGAAGATGAAGAGCACTGACTGAATTGAACGTTTTAGATTGACAAAAATTTGTCGTCCTTCGGCCACACCTTTCACTGTAGACGCAAAGTTGTCGTCTGGAGATAACCGTCAACGGGCATTGATGATTGAAGCATAAGTTACGAACCTAACAGTATCATTTTTGCAGCCTCCTTTGACACATCAGAGCCGGATATGTTCATCGCAATCCCGAGGTCTGCCTACAAAAGCATTCGTTGCAGTGCTTCCTAATAGCCGGCGTATCGCTTACCCGTTTGAGAGCAGGAGAGTCATTGACGCCATCACCCGTCCTATCATGTAAGTGAGTCTAAGATCTGGCAGATAACAACTACCTACACTCCGACGATATGACCCAAAGCTTGAGCACGCTTGACTAGATGGATAAACTGAGTGTTAATTCAGGCGCGAGAGAGAATTTTGACCGACCAATTTCGAGTTTGTGCTTGGGAGATGTACGAGCAAAAACAATCTCGTCCTTAGAAAAGACTAGTGAAGTCATAAGTGACTTTTATACCTGTGGTGAGGATATACGAACTTTGATCCCATTGCCACCCTTGCAGATTATCAATGTCATCCCCATGTACGACCACCGCAGAAACTTCATCCTCGTAAACCTCTTCAATCGATCGCCCAGTTTTTGCTGCTAAAGTTTCTCTTGTATGACCAAGGATCAGATTGATCTTGCGTGCAATAGCTTCAGCGGTCTTTGGGTGATCACCTGAACATCATGTCTATGAAATATGTGAAGCTGAAAGATTTAACCAACACTAACCTGTAACCATCATGACCTTGATTCCAGCCAGACGGAGAGTGCCAATAGCCTCGCGAACGCCATGTTTCGGAGGATCCTCCAGAGACACCAGTCCCACAAAGCAGTAACCCTCGCTAGGATAGTTTGCATCACTTCTTGAAAATGTGAAATCAACGGGATATTGCTCTTCATCGAGTAACGACCGGGCACAAGCAATGACACGATGGCCACGGGAAGCCATATACTATTATCAAAATTCAGATTAAGCCCACTCTCAATTAGAAAGTACACACGTTGTAAGCAGCATCATAGGCAGCCTTGAATTCATCTGTGATAGGGACTTCTACATCGTCTTTCAAGTAGGTCGAGCATTTGGCGAGAACTCGTTCCGGGGCTCCTTTGATGAGTGAAGTCATAAGCCCAGTCTTGTGGGGTTTTTCGACCTTGAGGCATAGGTGTTACAGGAGGTGATGTCGTTATAATAATATAGTACTTACAATGACCAATGCCCATTTGTTAGTAGAGTTGAAAGGGACTTAAGAGAGAGCGATCGTCAAATCGGTCCTTCCAGGATCAACGATGCAAACCGCACCTTCGAATACTTTGGGAAACTTCTTTTGGTATTCATCGTACATGGTACCAAGATATTTGCCAGAAAAACGAGTTAATCCAGTTTCAGTGGCGTCACCAAGAATTTCTCGTTTGTCGAAAGGAACATCGGTTTTGTCAAATTTGACGCGAGAATTCAAGGCCGCGATGTCGACCATTTCCGACATCCCTGGAGCATTCAGATCAAATTGGGTAGTTTCCGTATCATCGTTATTAGACTATGGTGCAATTAAATGGGAAAATAGGTAAGCAGAAGAAGAAAGACACATACCTGGAATGCAGAGAACATTCGTAAACCACTCCATAGATTGGTGACAGTCATTTGATTTCGAGTAAGCGTTCCCGTTTTGTCGGTAGCGAGCATCGTAAGCTAAAATTATGGTGTCAGTTCACTTCTCGCGATACAGTTGTCTAATATCCTACAGAGCCTAAAAGGGATCAGTTTCAACATAGCCCTGTAGTTTATGGGTGTAAGTACATGCCTAACGTTTCAACACCTTGCAAGTCCTTCACAAGAACATTCTGATTCGCCATGCGTTTTGCCGCGATTGACAGAAGCAGTGTTACCACAGATGGTAGTCCTTCTGGGACGAACGCAACAAGCACCGAGACCGCAAAGGTCACAGTGAGGTCGGGATGACCCTTGTACACAGTAGTAAGCCCAACAAGAAGAAAAACTATAGCAAATATGATGGCAATGCAGGATATTTGAATCACAAAGCGAGCACTGAAACGGGATGGTTAGCACAGAGGCAGAGCCGAAGTGAGTGTGCGTTTACATTTCTTTTGCCAGAGGTGCTTCCTTTCCTTCTTCCCCAGACGTGAGTTTAGCAACCTGACCTAAGTCCAATCAATTAGCGCAGCGAAGGTAAGACCAAGCAACGCGTACCGATGATAGTGTGGTCACCAGTCCGCACAACAACTGACCATAGATTTCAGAAATGAAGCGACAGTGAGAAAAATGATTGATACTCACTACCCCACCCCTCGCCATTAACGACTAGAGTTGAATTGAAAACCTGTTCCAAAAAAGAGTAAGTCTACTTTTTAAAAATCATTATAACCTTGTAGCGAGTTTACCAAGTTCTCGGCTTCCACAGGCCGATTTGAGGATCCAGTGGATAGCGCCATACGTTCCTGGGGCTCTGACTCTCCCGTCAAGCTACTGTTATCTACCTTGAGGTCGATAGCAGAAAAAATAATCATGTCAGCCGGAGTCTTGTCGCCCACGCGCTGAGGAACGAATCGAGATTAACGGCGAGAACGCGACTATGAGAAGGTCTGGATTACCAGTAGGACGACGTCGCCTGTAACCAAGTCGGCCGCAGGTATTGTCTGAATGGTTGCATCCCGAAGTACGCGGCACGAAGGGGGGATCATAGCGAGAAAGGAAGCCAGGATAGCTTCCGACTTCTGAACCTGATACCAATCGATAAACGCATTAAGAAATGCTACCGCTATCAAAATTCCCCCAAGATAAGTGTTTTGGAAGTTCTCCTGGAGGTGCAGATATATAAATAACTCTTTTCACGAAGGCTGAGAGGACATTACAAACTTTGAAATTCACTCCAAGCAAGATATATTCCAGTATTCCCGAGAGAATTAAAAGGATGTTAAACATAGTAAGTAGTCTATCCATGTACTATGAAGAAGGATCAGAATTAGGTTGAGAAAATTTAAATGACGGAACCTTGCGCAGGGCCGATTTTTTCTTAGGGGGAGTAAGAATATTTGGTCCGTTCTTAGCGAGACGCTGTTTGGCCTCGTCGGTGGTTAAACCATTCGAATTTCCCGGATCCTTGACATCGACTGAGGTTGATAGCTTGTTATTCAAGTCATTGAGAGGAATCGCATGCTCAGTGATGTCGACGTGACCTAGATCCTGGTCAGCATGGATAGCTTTTTGCTCTTCGAGACGCCCGTATCCAGCGTCAGCAAGCTCCTTCTCCTCCTTTGTCAAGGTCCTGTTCATCTCCACGCCCTTGGGGCGAATGCCACCGGTGGGCAACTTCTCCTCGAAGGGGGTTGCTTCATCGGGAAAAGCAATAGCACGAGGAGGATTTCCGTCACTCTGACCATCTGGACTGAGCGAGACGACAGAAGTCTCGATTTTTGCGCCAGAGTTCACCTCTGCCATGGGGTAAGATATATGAAGCAAGGGAGAAAAGGAGTTGGAAAACTAAAATCATATAATCGCCGGGGATTCAAATTTTTTCAGCTTCCGATTGCAAGCAATATTCGAAGCTCAACATGCGTGTCATGATTGGTTCTTGTACGGAAACGTCGACTAACGAACGGCTAAAAACCCTCAAAGCGCGCGCGCACACAAAGCCGCCGATCACGTGATTATGAGGGGAAAGGTCGAAGATACCATCTACCAACTTCGCAGGAAAGTAACATTGCGGCCTGGGAAGAGTATCTCGAGAAAGGAGATAATGTCATAGATAGCGGGAACGAATTATTGGAGAAGAAACGAAAATAGAACGACGATATCTTGCATGTTTGAACAGTGAGAAATTTGTCTTGTTGTGGGTCCAGCTAAATGGTTTTGGTTTTGGAACGTTTCCTACTGTAATCAGTCAGTATAGTAGGTCTCCGATAAGAATACGAAAAGAACACGAACATTGACGTACATACCATAGTATAAGGTTTACAAGTAGTGTCATGGCGTTCTTGACCTCACGCGTAAGTTAGTTGACATTCTGAACAGAAATTCCGATTGACGAGTGATGCCGAATTGTTCATGAGGCTCTCTAGCTTAGAAAGATTTACATTCCTCGATGATTACTGCTAATCCTTGAATGAAGTGTTCAGGTACAGACCATATCGTGTAACAACTTGAATGGTTCCCTTTGAGTTCATTCCTCGGATTGCGAATTGCTATGAGACAGCGTTCAGGTGGAAGAGCGACAAGAATAACCCTGTAGATAATGAGCACGAAAATCTATGCCCGCAGGAATTCTGACATGGACCGTGATGCTACTTATTATGTGTCAACTTGTAGAGTATACTGTTTGCTATGTTTGAAGGCGGAATGCTTGAGGGTTTGATTTCTAGCCGGACTCAATCGCATTGTTCTGAGGAAACGCGCGCAGTTCGTGAATTATCTGGATGAACGTCTTGAATTTGTAATGGTGGTCATTAGAAAAGGACGACGAAGCCGCTTACGAAATCTGCTTCCAAATTATTGCCAGTGGTGACTCAGGCCCCCAGAATCTCCTGCAGAACCTCACCCGAAATAGCGTCATTTTGGGCCCGATTTTGACGATTTCCTGGTCCTAAAATAGCGTCATTTTCAGTCAAAATCCTTAGTCCTTGTCCGTTTATAGCGTCATTTGAGTCGGCAGGAGTCGGCGCACCAGCACCAAACCAAAAAAAATTTTAAGCACCGGAAAAAAATGGAAAAAGAACACCAACATTTGAATTTTGAAAAAAATTTTGGAAAATTTTTCGATTTCACGTGACGATCCTGGTCCGAAATAGCGTCAATCATGGCAAAATCATAGCGTCAATTAGGGCGTCAGGCCGGGTGGGGTTCTGCAGGAGATTCTGGGGGCCTGGTGACTCAGTACTCAGTGACAGTCAGTGACGGAGACCTGGTGGGATTGATTATCGGTGTTCAAGTTCCACTTCGCACCTCACAATCTTTGCCCCTGAAATTTCAATATGAAGTTGCTTTAACAGCCAGAATTTGCCATTCAGCCTCTCGGTGGCCATTTCAGCACAAGATAACGATCTTGCATTGTATGGCTAATAAGGTCGAATCACTCGCAGTCTTCCTACAATAACATTGAGGAGAACTCTGGACATCACCGAATTCAGGTAGCTTGCCAATGGGTGATTCTTGGTCTTATCGTAAAGCTCAGTGATTCCTATTCCCTCCCAGAATTCCCTTCGCGAATATTGAATGATATTTTCCTCGCTGCATCTTTCGTCGTCGATTTTGAGATGGGTTTCATGATCAAGGAATGGTATCGTCACTCGATGAGTACCTGAGAATCTGAATGCCCATCTTCAGACAACAGTCACCGGTTGTCCCACACTATGGCAACCTTCCACAACGCGGCGTCTCTCATGTATGACCTTCCGTCCACCACTGGCATTGGTTTTTACCAGGTCAGAAGAACAGAGTGATCATGAGGGTAATCTTTCCCCTGGACTCGCTACAATCCTCGACCTTCTTTTCGTCATCATCTTCATTCCTCAATTCCTCGTCAGCTCCCACAAAGCAGAATGGACCTTCGGTCAAACTTTCCAATATGAAGGTGTTGTGCTTCAGTGGTGATATCAGTCGATCCTGTACCAGTTCAAAGTTGTGATGGTGGAAGACGAGGCCAAAGAGCATGACGGAATCCTTTATTACTCTCCATGTTCAACTTGTGATCATTTATTTTTCACTGGCGTGCTCCTTACTTACAGGCGGAAAATAACGTCTTTTTCGCAAAGACGGAACAAAGTACGAAGTCTCAATACCTGGTACTCCAGATTCCAGAAGCAGGTTGATTCATCATTGACAGACCGCCTCCGAAGCTCTGAAGCCCGAACCCAAAGGCAGCGGTATCGTCAACAAAACAAACCAACCCCTAGCTCTTGAAATGGAGAACGTGTTTATTCGTGGTATGCAAAGTAATAATAAAGATATGTAAGTATAGGTACCGTATGCAAAGCGTATGTATATGCAAATCGCAAGCGACCTTCTTTGGCTCGCGAACGAGTTCCAGATCAGCCGCAAGCAGTGAGAGTAAACAAATTTTGGGACGTTGAAGATCGTTATACACAAGAGCTTCGAGGGAGCTCGCAAAGGAAACTATCGCACAAACAAACCCAGAGATGGTACAACGGAGGACGTTTGAAAGGACTGACGAGGTTTGAAAGATGGGGTAAAAGGTATTTGATGGACGAAACGAGACGGAAAGGGCCTACTGAGATAAACGTAGGTAGGAAAGGGCTGTCCATCAAGCAAAACCTGTGTTTTGAAACCTAAGCCATCTGATAGAATAAAAGAATAAATAGATCCAAAGGGGAAAAAATCAAGACAACGGTTAGCGCCAGCTCGGAGTGACAGACCTAGTCAGCGACAGATTTATCTCGCCAATGGGGTGACAGATCGTGATTCCGATTCGAAATATGGGTCTTGCATAGATAACCCGGAACTAGTTCGTAAAGATATATCATCGCGGGTCTGAGTGACAGGCTGGGGAGCAAAAATACGGAACGCTGGGTCAAACAAGCGGGGTGAAGATAAAAAGTCATCCATGCTCGAGGTAGATGAAGAGCGAGATATCGTCTCCGTTGCAGATTCGTCCGAGCTGGTACCACCACTGTCAGAGCCAGTAAAGAAGCAAAACCTGAAAATAGATTTAATACGACGTCCGTTATGAAATGATTGAATATACCTGTCCAGAAATTGATTATAATTGGTTCCAGGCGCTGATTCCAGAGGGCTCGTCACAAAAGGGGGAGAATCGGTAGGCGTCGTCGAATTGGAAAGGGGAGGCGAAATCAACGAGGACACGCCATCCATCGCTTCAACTAGAGCAGCACTTTTGGGGGAGAGAGCGAAACCAAAATGAGGTGAGTGGAAGGGCGATACCGGCCTCATCGAGGGTAGAGAGTTGAATCGCGGACTGGCTAGCGGGGTCGAATCATTTAGGGACCACGAGCGAGGAGTACCAGGAGGTGTCATTTTTACACTTGACGAGGAGCTCAATGGACTCATGTCAAAATACCCGCGTTGGTGATGCCTGCTCGTATGCTCCGGACCTTCTTCAGAGTCGGACGGAACAAAAGGTGCTGGTCGGAAACTGTCCCCCAAGTCTCGTGGGGAGCCCAGAACTGGTTTCTCTTTCGGTAAAGAACGGTGCTTTCTGGGCCACGAAACTGTATCCAAAGAATGGTTAGCGATGATAGGATAAGAATGCATTCGCGTATGTTCTCGGGGAGAAACGTCCGATGTGGATTTCCTAGAATTTTTTAAAGAAACGCCAAAGTCGTAGCGTGAAGCTAGAGATGTATCTGTTTTGAAATCAGATGGAATGGATGTTGGCCGTGTATACAAAGGTGTGGATATCGCGGCGTTGTCAGCATCCATTTTCTTCACCACCTTTTCCAAACGACTGTGCAAATCAGAAATGTCACTGCCGGACGAAATGGTGTCTTTGTCAGAGGCTGTCGTGGTAACCATAGCTGAATCGACTGGTTTATTCGGCAATTCTTTTGAGAATTTGGCTATGTAGTTCCGGCCAAAATTGTTGTCCCAAATTTCTCTCCCATTGACGTTATAACGAATTGCAAGGACTAACGTCTTTTCCTCGATACGCGCGATCAGGTCGCTGAGCCTGATCAAGAATCCAAACACGTCGAACTCCGAGTTGGGGGACTCGATGTGCTTGGCAGTGACCTCGCTCGTGGTTTGCCAGTCGTCGAAGGTGAAGCGCACAGCGATCCATTTTTGGAACGAGAGGTTCCGCACTCTAACACGTCCGACGATGCTCGCTTCGTCCAACCCGAGTTTCATTTCCTCCAAGACCAGATCAGCGTTTTCATTGAGAGAAGGAGGCATGTTGGTGACGACCATTTTCAAAACTTTGTTCTTTCTGTCTCCAAAAATGAAAGAAGGGAAATCGCTTTCTGTTCCACTGGTATCATCCGTGGGGCTACCATCCCTGGAAACTGCCAATGGGCGTTGTTCAGCAAGGAAGAGTTTAACATGCTCCAGACGCGAGTCGAATTTGACAGCTTTCGGCACAGTCGGTGTAGCCGGTTCACTTTTGGTGAAGCCACCAGGGGTGACATTCAATGAACTTTTGAATGCCGACTTGGATGTTTTGAGCGATGGTTTGACAAGCTGCCCGGATTTCTTTCGGACGACAATCACGGGTGCCACGGGTGCGGATTTGTAAGTGCTTTGTTCGACAGAAGGAAATTCGACAAGCGTCTTCGGGAGGCCCTCTAGAGAAAGTGTAAGAGGAGGTGCTCCAATTCCGAAGTCCGAAGTCGATGATTTCCTTTCGGTTTGTTCCCTTGGTTTCTCCGGTTGACTCGGCGCACGCCCCTTCTTTGCCCTAGGAACAGCGAGCGTAGGTGAAGTCGGGTCTATCTGTAGGACTTTCCGAGGGCCTCTGTTGCTTCTGACTCGGACGGGAGAAAGACGCTCATTAGAGGAACTTGATGATGATGATGAGGAACTGCTCGCAGAATCCGAAACATTTCCTGATGTGTAAGCAGCAGCTCTATCGTCTTCGGGAGGGGTAGCCTGTTGAACCATGATCTTTACTGAACTAGGAGTAACCTTGGGCGGCGAGATGATACCGCTGGCATTGGGCCTAACGTATACGCGCGAAGCGGAGGATCTTCTCGGTAAGAGAGGAAGAGCAGATCCCGCCGTATTAGAAGTGAGCGAGCCAGAAGGCGAAATAGTCATAGAGGTCAAACTATGCGAGTGAGGCGTCATAGTCGCAAGCATAGTAGTCGACGATTCTAAGTAGAAAGATAAGTAATATTTATGTCACCAAACAGATGTTAAATACACACTGGGGGGGCTGAGGCCTTTCCGGGCGATCTGTGAGCGTCGCAAAGATCCAGAAAACTCGCCGAAATTTCAAGGCTGTCGCTGAGCACCCGGCAGAAATGTCGATACGCGAAAGAAGATGGTGGCTTAAGCAAGATCCTACGAACAAGATGGTAGCTTGGTAACCTCCGTAGGCTTCCCGTCAGAAGTCTTGAACAGGCCTGTAAAAGGGTAATAACAATACTTTGTGCTGATTATACGGATATCTCGCGTCAGCATGTATCAAAGAAGGTAGTTTGAGACTCACAAGGAAAGAGAATAGCCAGAAAAGCGTAAAAGACGAGTATACACAGTAAAGGCTTAAGAAAGAAAAAGATTAACAGCCCGAGGAGCGTTCCCGAAACCTCCTCTTCGCGTTTGAGATGGATAATATATACTAGGGGTCAAGTCCGTGGGAAAAAGAGATATGTAAACATCGCTTATCAATTTCCCGTTCTATCAGCTATCGGGATTCGGTTGGGTACCTGCACTGTGGTCAGGTTTTAACTTCTTGTACGCTACGTTGTCCGTTGTTCTACGACGCCTTGGGTATATTTAATCCCACAAAAGAACCTCTTTGCTACAAGCTTTCAAGAACCAAACTGGATCGTAGATTCATACGCGTTGATGAAGGCAAAACTGTTAATCGTAAGCAGACTCCACTAAGCAGACCCGGTTGCCAGGATCTGGCGTTATCTATTACCGGACTAATCTTCGTCATATACCAGCGTTGGTCGATTTTATTTCTTCCCACATCCGGGAACGCACCAACCACAGCTAGGACTCGAATATGGGAATAATCCAGACAGATTCTTCACATAAGAAATCATCCTTTTCTTTTGCATTCGCGAAGTTGTTTGGTACTGAGTACTAAGCGCTTGAACAGGCGCCTGTCCGTTCCCTGCGAACGCCACCCCCACCCCCATTAACTCCCCCGATTTATTCCAAAGGTTCAAACGTTTCATGTTCTTCCCGCCAACCCCGTCATTGATGATGCAATAGGCTGCATCTTGACGCCAAGGAGGTGAGTATATAGGCTTACACAGGTAGCAGCTTCCGTAGGTACATAGCATTGAAGTGGTAATGTTTTCGCCGGTGGATCATTTCTTGTCAATGCAATCCAAATGCTCCCAAATGACATTACTTACGGTACATAAGTATTGCCTGGTGCGTATGCCTCAATATTTCCTTGATCATTGTTTTTTATACCTCTTCTTACCAGTAACTACGCACTCAGAGCGCCCAACCTGCTCCCGGAGTCTGGAGGAGGTATCAACAGCTAGCAACTTCCGATTCAATTTCCCCATCAATCAATCCCGAGTCCATCCCGCTCATCTCCGCTCATAAGTTACAACTCAAAGGTAAGTGGCATAGCCAACTCACAGCCTGAAATCTTCGTTAGACTCAACATCTGTGCATAGGCGCACCTAAGTTTCAGGTTATCCATGTTGTTGTCAGGGATGTTGAATGGTGATAGGTATTAATTAAATGACAGGGAACATAAACGAACGTCGGGATATCTGTTGTGGCTTTACTTTCTCTGCAATCCCAATACTACATATGCTTTTGATCGTAGGGAGAACCAAGACAATTCGGAATTGCTTCGAAGTAAGCCCTTAAAATTGTTCCAGGCGTTGCATTATCGGAATTTGATGCATCATTTCTGCCAGTGCTCGCTCCGGACCCATTGTTGACCTGCGATGGACAAAAAACCCTACTTCATCTGCAGGGATAATGTGTACCGCCAATACCCTCACGGTGGGAAGTAACGGGCAATGCGACTTGTGAATGATAACGGGGGTGAGTAAGGTAAATTGAAAGTTATCAGCAACGGAGATGCTATATCCTTTCCCCCCTCCGATATCCCTGTGTTTTGAAGTAATGCATTACTACATCCATCTCCTGTCTAAGACGACAGAGGAATATGTTGGGCATCATAAATATCCTACTATTTGATTTCTCCTTATGTGTGTCAGCGACGGACAACGAGAGACAACAGTTTACACCCCGAAAATGGTGAGAGCAATATTCTTTCTCTGCGTAAATCTTGCAGACGTAAGTACTGGTTTATTCCGACTCCGTTTTCCTGACTGACTTTTGTGCCGACTTACAACTTGCGGGGTTTATGTATGTAGGTTTTCATCATACTTCGTCATTTCCTTTCTCTCCAATAAACTTGGGGTGAACTTTGCCCATCCGTACTATCATCACTGCATGCCAGTATCTGGTCTCATACATACTGGTGATAGCTGATACACGAGCCTTGCAATTTCGCATTGGGTTCTCTTGGTTAGATTGCTGACGTTCAACAACGCATCATGGCTTATCCTTCACATTAGAATATCAACATTAACGTTCCAACCTTGAGAATAGACTTCCAGCACTCTCAAAGCTGCATTGAAGTTATGGAATCAATGTATGTAGACCAATCAGCAACACAGATTAGACTTATCAGTGGGAGTTGTTGATTCCCTTTGTACTCAACCATACTATCAATACACATTACAGATGAAGAGAATGTAGCAGAGATAAGCAAGAGAATCAAAAAGATCAAGAGAGTGGACAGCAGATGATGTCCCAAAAACACCCAGAAGGATAACTGTGGTCAGGGGGTGGGCACCGGAGTTTTCCACAAAATCAACTGGTACATACCCCCATGCAAAATTCAGGTTGCCGCGCTAATGAGCTTGCCTTGTTTTTGTGTGAAAGAGAAAAGAAGGAATCAAATGGGCACTCCAACCAACCAATCTAATACACAATTGTAAGACCTGGGTCAAAATAGGTCTTAGGGTAGGTTTTGGTATATGGAGGTTTATGTTGTAGCGTGCTAAGAGCAGGCTGGAGCTCGAAGGGAGCTACGAGAACCGTGACCGAGGACGGGAATGACCTAGTAGTGGCTGGAACGACAAGATGATGACCCTTGAGGGGGTTCCTAGGAGGTCCAGGGAGGTTAAGGAAGAGTGCGGGACCGTACGATATTGCGTAGTAGGAGTTGTACTCGCTAGAACGTCAATATAGGATCGAATAGGTCGTATATGTAACTGGATCTCGAGGGTATAAGCTCCCGAGAAGGGATATGCCAGGGAGGGTAGGTCCCTGGGGGCTGGGCTTGAGGATGGACGTCCTCGAGTGGGGGAGGTGGTAACGGAGAAGCAGTACGTAGTTCAACGTAAGGGGTAGCTTCGACGTTACCTAGATCGAGGTTCCGAAGCTTACAAAGTAGCTAGGGAGCTCTGGGAGGTTTGGGAAAAGGTAGCTCACCAAAGCGTGTAGGCGTTGGGGAGCTTTAGTAATGTTCGAGGGAGCTCGGGGACTCACTCGGAAGGCTTAGACTTGAAGTAAAAGCGTATATTCGATTGTATAGACGATCAGAGAGACAATAGACAAGAGTAAGGAGAAACAGAGGTAGTGAAACAGAGAGTAAAGAGAAATCCGTATGGTTAGCAGGTACAAAGGGACAGGGACTGGACCTATGCAAAAGGGTGTGTGTTCAAAATATACCAAGCTGGGGCTTCAGGACATTGCGGCGTTACTTAAATAGGTACGGGAAGTGAACAAGAGAACATCTGGAGGCATGAGGTAGCTAATCGGAGGGAGGGAGGTAATCGAGATTAATACTTAAAGGGGTTATCGGCTAGGGGGGCTTTCGTACGCGTGTCGGAGTGAAGGACGTTTGGGTAGCTGCGTCAGAAATACTTGGGGAGGTGTCTGGTGGTACTTGGGGAGGTGCAGAGGGCATACAGGAGGTGGGTAGGACGTATGGCAACGTGTGGTGGGTACTGGGACTGGTCTGGTTGTAGCCAGGGCATGACAACAATATGCAAGTTCACTGCTATCAAATTTATTTAATAGCAAGGGGTAGCATTGACAAAGGTTCTGCAAAGGTTCTGAGAGCTGAGGAAAAGCTTCAATTAATCAATTTGAATTGTTCTAAGGATTCAATATATTCCTCTGATCAAGGTAGATTCAGCACTATTTGTCCAAGGATCCCAAGCACTTTAAACTCCGTGAGGAGCAGGCTTGACATTTGTATCCTGGGAGGGGAGCAGAATTGGCTTCCAAGTCCCCTCGAGCAAGTGCCGAAACACAAGCCTGACTGGGGAGGGAAGGCTACATAAATTGAAACATGTTAGCAATTAAATTAATTAAAACGTCAGAATAAAACCTACATCGCGAATCACCCGGTTCACCTGCATTAGATCCTGCATAGTAAAATGAGCATTTTGGGTCTCCAAGATGGAGCCCAGCTCAAGGAACTCAGGATTAATGGCAAGAAGGGGATTCTCGCGATTCAAGGCAGTGCTATTCTATTAAATTAATAGAATTAGTATTAACTAAATTAAATTGAATCACTGTGACTTACCCTGGCATGTGCAAACTTTGGAAAAGGTATGAAGGCACCAGTTGACTGCTCTGGAAGTCGTAAGCGTCCTTGAGCATCCGCCAAGAGTACCGGTTGGAAGGTACTCTCTGGGGAACGCTCAGGAGTGGACTTTGTGGCAGCCTTGGAAACTCGTTTAGGAACGGACACTCGTTTAACTGAACGACGTGGCACTGAAGCTGTAATCAAATTGAATTAATAAGAGGAAACAAAAGGAAGAATGAAGTCTTACAGGAAATGGAAGATGTCGTTTTTAGGCATTTTGGAGGAGGCACAGAGTCCTCCTCCTCATCTTCAGACTCTACTTCGTTGGAAGCAGAGTCGTCATCAGAAACAACTACTTGTTGGGATTTGCCTTTTGCAGTAATTGGCGCGATTTTCCTCGAACGAGGAGGAAGTCGAACCCTTTTGTAAGCCATACCAGCAGGAGGGGAATTGGAGGCTTTAGAATCTTCAACTACCTTGATGGTAGTTTTGGATTTAGGCTCCTTCCTGCCCACAGGAACCTTGGTAGACGAAGAAGCTCGAGGAGCTGCGTCTACTAAAGGGAAGCCGCTCATAAGCTCGTTATCGGAGTCTTTTGAATGAGTGGACCGGGGAGAAGCAACTGAAGAAAAATAAAATGAATAAACAAAATGAAATTGAGAAATTAAAGTAAAAACTCACGAAACGAGGAAGCGTCAGCCTTGAGGCTTTCGATCTCCCAATTCCTTCGAAGTGCCCTGGGGGGCACAGCTGGTGCTTTACTGGCAGGGGAAGGCAAGATTATGTCAGAAACCTTGGGAGGGGAAACCGTTTTCGGAACCCCAGGAAGAACACTTTGGCCACTTTGGCCTCGAAGTGAGGCAAAGGGATCCAAATCCTTAGACGAAACCATATGCATCATTGCGCTTCCCTCACGAAAGCGTAAACAAAACGGAATGGGAATGGCAGGGAATCGTTCGAATTTGAGAACACCCTGTAAATTAAATTAAATGAGAATAAAGTGAATTCAATAGAAAAGAACACTTACTTCAGCTGAAGAACGATGCTCAGGGGGAATGCCCCATTGCTGCGTCAAATCGTCGCGAAGAAAAGCGGGTAGGCTGAGGGAAAGCGATTCAGCAGACAATAAGACCTGTTCCGCGAATAAAGGGCAATTTGCCCATCTAGGAGAAACTATTAATACCAGTAATAAGAAAACGAGTAAAGGTGGCTACATACCAAAAAGGGAGCAGCCTCCTCAAAAACATTGTAAATCTCCGACTCCGTTGGAGGTGAATCATCTACCAAATCCTGCAAAGTTTGAACCGTCATTTGTGCCGAACAAAACAAATCCAATCCGGAAGCCACGGACAATGGACGCGATGTGTTGGAAGGGAAACAGAAAGGGACGAGAGAACGGGGATAGGAAAAGGCAGGGAAGGTTCCAGAGCCATCGTAGTCCGGAGAATTTGTGGAATCAACTACCGGAGGAGAGTAGTCTCCCTCCAAAAGATGCTTGAAAACAGCACTCTCGAAGAAGAGAGGAAGTGTTGATTTAGATGGAATACCCGCCAACATAATTTGAGCCTCAATAAGAGAGGTAGGAAGGAGAGTAGTGGAATCAACAGCTCGAGTTTGACTCGAAGTGGAAGCCATTTTTGAATTAATGAGATGGAAGAAGAAAAGGAAAAGGAAGAAAACGGACTTCAACGGGAAAAATTGTTGAACCCCGTGCCCCGAACCAAATAAACGTATACACTGAATCAAAGTGTGCGTCAGAGCAGCTCTCCGTGAAATGGAAGCTCGTTCTGTGACTAGATGATGAAAAGATTGTGAATTAAAATTTCGAAATGTGATACGAATACCGAAAAAGTATTCAATTCAAATTGAGCGCTAAACTGTTACGATTCGTAGCAAGCGTGTGAAATTCGAGTCATTCTCCAAAACAATTAAATTAAATGAATAACGAAGTACCTACCTATGTTTGGAGGTATACTTGAATCTTGGAACCATTATGGACCAAATAAGGACATGTAGATTCAAATTAAATGGTATCTGACCGAGTGTAGAAGTTTCCTTGCGGTTCCAAACGTTTATTGTATTAAATTAATTGTACTGTGCGACTCTATATTCTGTATGTATAAATAGCGATCCGATGTATCTGGAATACAAGTGATTTTGGGATAACGTTGCAGTGCTAATCCATAAAAAGGAAAGACACACTCCTGCCAGACTGAAACCTCTTCGCTAGCAGCCATTCAGGCCCGGCACTTGTGAGTATAGGAACATTGTGTTCTGCTCCTTGTGACTGCGAGAAGTATATCCAGTTGTTGGGTATTCTTCGAACTTAGGATCAGTTGTTGGTCTTAAGGGCAAATCACACTGTGTGGTTGTGCCAGCACATAGTTCTAGCCCTCTGTAGGGGTCTGTGTGTTCCGGTTTTTAATTTACTTTGATTCCAACCCCCAATTCTTGATATACCCATATCAATACAATCAAAGCACAAATTGTGCTGAATCTACCTTAATCAAAGAAATATACCGAATCCTTAAAACAATTCAAATTGATTGATCAAAGCTTCTTACTTAGCTCTCAAAGCTTTGCGGAACCTTTGCCAACGCTACCCCTTGCTATTAAATAAATTTGATAGCAGTGAACTCGCATATTGTGTATTAGATTGGTTGGTTGGAGTGCCCATTAGATTCCTTCCTTTCTCTTTCACACAAAAACAAGGCAAGCTTGTTAGCGTGGATCCATCGGGTGATGCAGTGCAGTCCCTAAAGGGGACCTGTCATTACGCATCAGGTCACATCTCGTTATGATCCGTCACAAGATGTGACGGAGTTGTGCATAGTATTCATTTAGTTGTATTCTTCAATGTTTTCCATGTCAAAATTCTTTGACATTCATTTGATATGTCTTCTGAGCCTTGTAGTACTTTGATCATCTTCCTAGTCATTTTCCTCAACCATACAACCTGATTGGTCTATTAGACTAAATCACAGTCTTTGAAATTAATGCATGATCTTGCTCTAGAATATGTATTTGACAATTCTTGAATTCTAGAAAGTCATTTTGAGTCAATTCTTGGCTCATAGTCACTTGAGTAAGTTCTTCCAAACTCCTGCCAGTGTAAGGTCCAATAACAATACCCTTGGTATGTCATATGTGAATGGTCATTCTTTGGATGTAGTCCGAGTCTGGTATAATCCTGCTTGATGAACAGGTAGACTTTTATCTGAAGCTAGTATTAGGGATGGGTAAACTAACCAACTCATGGTAGTATGGCTATAGGGTCTCTTCGACTATTAGACTCATTCAGTATTGATTTTGACTGTCAGTCTGGGTCTCAATCACAGTTCTGTTGATACAAATCTACATGTAAAAGAGCCACAATTCACTGCAGAGACATCTAGCCAAAATTTAGGCATGTCAGCACGGGGAACCCAGCATCAGACAAACAATTCATCCTCAACCACTCGAGCCTAACGACGAACAAATACCCTTGCTTGGCATGTGCACAGAACAGATCAGGGATTATGACCGCAGTCAAAGACAGCACTACTACCTACAAAAAGATAGGCTATAACACTATAACTTACTCCCACTCTATTCCCTATGCCACTGACCGATTCGTTGGCTCCTCTGAGCCCATTGCAGTTTTACATTTATCTACATTGTATTATGAATAGTACAGCTCAATTCCTCCAGCCCTAGGCAAAGGTAGACATCAAAAACAACTCTAGGACAAGTTGGACCAGAGGGGGATATAGATCCGTCTGTGGGGCTTTCATACCTGAAGGATTTAGAGCAGGCCAGGGGCCATATAGATAGACTATGTGCATCATGAGATCCACCTCCGCGCACAATAAAATGATATTTAAAAAAAAAAAAACCCAGCATCAGCCCACGGCATGTCTTACAAACAAAGTATAAGCACAATCTGAGTGTGATGATAGGAGCAATTTTTCAAACCATATTCAGCTGAGTCATGAAAAGGCATAAGATTTTGAGATATTATGCACAAGATAGTATCATTATTATATTGAGCAGAGGTAGAATAGCACATCTTGGCATTAATATGCACTGTGTTGAGGAATACTCCATATACAGGATATATGTACAACATTCCCAATTTAGTGACAGTGTTATTAGTATATACTGTACAGTTCAACATAGATCATGCCTGCAGCGTCTTCAAGTCCCTCAGTTGCTTTACAGTCAACTGAGGTGAGCTCCCTAGTATATTTGCACAGTACTATATACTGACTTGCTATAGTTATACATTAACACGCTGCACTAACGATAATGGGTAGCATCCTGAATTGATGAGAGATAGAAGATTGCAACGATTTGATGCAAACGCTTGCACAGCCGTACCACCGAGGATGGCAATCTTCAAATTCACACGAAAAACAAGCCTGCCCAAATATTAAATAAGCCTTAGTCATGTTTGTAATCCAGTGCTTACTTCCTCTCTAAGCGCATATGCTTGCACCAAATATGGGATTTGGCGTGCCGTTGAAAGATTTAGATCTGGAATACTTCTATTTTCATATTTTGTACTTCTTGGGGCTCTTGGCTCTGAATAATCCATGGCCTCAATGCTTCAATTGAAAAATTTTTTGAAGCCCTCACCTATAAAAGGATTTGAACACCGTTTTTTCTACCCCTTCTCCTCCTGCCCCAAAATCATCATTCTGCTCTTATGTCACCTCTCATTCAGCAAAAATTCCATCTCGAGGCTGATCCTGCCTGCATCCCAACCTTTGATCATGGCCTGCTCCAACAGGTATATGTTGAACTGTAAGTCTTACTTTCAAAGCCCTCGAAGTCAGACTAGCTCTAAGTTTGCCTAGGCCTCGTGATCGGTATGGGCAACAGATCCCCCTCAAACAGTTCTGGTGTCTCCGGAAGCCAGGGGGGCTCAAATGGGAATATTACTGCCCATGTACCCCCTTGCAAACACTCCCGGAATCCCTGCGCGTTGTTACGAGGTAAAAAAACAAGGCTCTCGCTACTTTGGGCGTGTCTATCTCGGCTGTGGCAAGACGAGACAGCGCTGCCAGTGGAAAGGTAGGTGTAGGGTCGGAGTTGTTTATCTATCTCTCTTAACTCCTTCCAAGTCCGCCTTGACCTGGTCTTCTCTGCTGCAGCTGCAGCCTGCCACCCGGTATCTTCAGAAGAATTGGAGTTCCCCGACCCCAAAGAGTTTGACGAGTTGTTCAACAAAGAATTTGCTCAGCTTATAGACAAACTCCACATCGGAGACAAAGGGTCGGCTCTGCAGGTGATCACAAGGAAAGCTCCTGGTTCCAAAGTTGGCGAAGATTTTGCCAAGCTTTTTGGTAGTTTGGATCTCAGTGAGGACGAGTATAAGTACGCTGAATCCTGCAGGTCTGTTTTACGCTGAAATTGGCTTTTTAGGTGCATTTCTTCAAGCAAGCATGGCAACCTCACCTTAACTCACGGAAGAAGAGGTGGCCCAAATCTTAAGCGGGCTTACCCTCAATGAAAGCGGCAGTAAGTGGCCTCAACTCCCCTCTCCCTGACCCTGGCTAATTGCGATTTCTTAGGCTCTTCCATACAAGCCAACCCTGCAACTATGGTATGAAATGAGGAAGATGGGGAATGGCAACTTTCTACGGCGGTTTATGAAGGTAAGTAACACAGCTCTTCTGTGTACGCCGGTGACACACCTAAATTTTGGCTAGACGTCTATGCTGTGAATTGTGACATTTTCACGTATAGATTTGTATCAAGAGGACTGTAATTGAGACCCAGATTGACAGTCAAAGTCGATACTGAATCAGTCTAATAAGTTGAAGGGACCATATACCCATACTACCACAAGTTGGTTAGTTTACCCATCCCCGATACTACCTACGGATAGCAGTCTACCTGTTTGTCAAGCAGGATTATACCAGACTCGGACTACATCCGAAGGATGACCATTCACGTATGACATACCAAGGGTATTCTTATTGGACCTTACACTGGCAGGAGTTTGGAAGAACTTACTCAAGTGACCATGAACCGAGGATTGACTCGAAATGACTTTCTAGAACTCAGGAATTATCAAATACTCCTTCTAGAACAAGATCATGCATTAATCTAAAGGACTGCGATTTAGTCTAATAGACCAATCAAGTTGCATGGTTGAGGAAAATGACTAGAAGAACGATCGAAGTACTGCGAGGCTCCGAAGACATATCAAATGAATGTCAAAGAGTCCTGACGTAGAAAATATTGAAGAATGCAATTAAATGAATACTATGTGTAACTCCCTTGATTGAGTATAGGCACAATGGGTGTCTATTGAAAGAGAGAAGCAATTAGTTTAATCCAGATGAATCAGATTGATAGGATTAGAATCAAGGAGAGCTGATTTGCCTCCGGACGAGGTGACAAACGATCGAAGTAAGTGTTGAACAGCAATGACAGTTGAACACCATTCGAGTCATCCTCCAAAAACAATTAAATTAAATGAATATCGAAGTACCTACCTATGTTTGGAGGTATACTAGAATCTTGGAACCAATACGGGCCAAATAAGGACATGAAGATTCAAATTAAATGGTATCTGACCGAGTGTAGAAGTTTCCTGGCGGTTCCGAACGTTTATTGTATTAAATTAATTGTACTGTGCGACTCTATATCCTGTATGTATAAATAGCGATCCGATGTATCTGGAATACAAGTGATTTTGGGACGACGTTGCAGTGCTAATCCGTAAAAAGGAAAGACACACTCCCGCCAGACTGAAACCTCTTCGCTAGCAGCCATTCAGGCCCGGCACTTGTGAGTATAGGAACGTCGTGTTCTGCTCCTTGTGACTGCGAGAAGTCTATCCAGTTGTTGGGTATTCTTCGAACTTAGGATCAATCGTTGGTCTTAAGGGCAAATCACGCTGTGTGGTTGTGCCAGCACATAGTTCTAGCCCTCCGTAGGGGTCTGTGTGTTTCGGTTTTAATTTACTTTGATTCAAACCCCCAATTCTTGATATACCCAAATCAATACAAACCAAAGTACAAATCGTGCTGAATCTACCTTGATCAAAGGAATATATCAAATCCTTAGAACGATTCAAATTGATTGATCAAAGCTTCGTACTTAGCTCTCAAAGCTTTGCGGAACCTTTGCCAACGCTACCCCTTGCTATTAAATAAATTTGATAGCAGTGAACTCGCATATTGTGTATTAGATTGGTTGGTTGGAGTGCCCATTAGATTCCTTCCTTTCTCTTTCACACAAAAACGAGGCAAGCTCGTTATCTGGAGCCCACCGCGAGGGGTGGTTTTGAAGCTACATTTAGCTTGATAAATTAAATTGAACGTTTGTTTGGATTATATTCGATTATTTGGTAGAAGTGTGTTGATCTTTGTGATACCATTTCTGTGAACTGTCAACATTAGTTCATCAGGAAAACCGCGTACTTCGAAGAATTCGGAGAAAGCAGGAGTTTTGACACCGGAAGAATATCGTAAAGCAGGAGTTGTATTTGGGAGATCTACGTTCGGCACATCAGCTCGAACATCCCTATTAAATCCTACGAACGAATCCAGTCGTCCATCCTCTTCTCAAATACCGACAGAAGAATCGCGTGGAAGTTCTGTTTCTAGAGGAACAGGATCATCTATATCTCGAGGAAGACTTACATCTTTGCCGAGGAATTTGAAGAAATCTAATCTCAATCCGAAAAGGAAGAGAAAAGAAATTAATCCGATTGATTTAGAAAAAGATAGAATTGAATTGATTGCTCCAGAGTCAATTTCAACATCTTCTACGTCGATTGAATCAACTAGATTGATAGATACGTTACATCAGACTATCTCTCAAACAAGTAATACGATTGAACCAGTCAAAATGACTACCAATAATTATGGAATGCCTGCGTTGTCAGCTGAAGCTAAGGCTGAGATTGATAAAGCCAGTGCGAAACTTCCAAGAAAGTATAAGACAGCACCATTATTCGATATAACTGATCCAAGTCAAATGATACCATGGTTCGAAGCTACTGAAAGCATATTTGAACATGGAGGAATTACATCTGACGAGGCTAAAGTGAGATTAGCTTTAGAATGGACGTCTTATAAAACGAGACAAGCATTAAGAGTCTTTGATTCGGCGAAGAAACCGAATTGGGATCAATTTAAAAAGGATCTAAAGAATATGTTTCCGCAATCTGTAGGAGACGAAAGAGGATCTAGATTATTACTTGAACAATTGGTCCATCAATTTAATCCAATTGATGCAGGTGAACAGGAGAAGATGAGAATCTTCAGACTCCTCTTCGATGCTGAAATGAAAAAGCTGATGGATGAACCGAAAATGATCACAAATAGTGATGCAGTAAGATTGTTCTTGGCACCTATGACTCCCGAAGTAAGGAGAGGCGTGCTAGAAACAGTGGTGAAAGATGTATCAGTTACTTCTATGTCAGATAGACGAAAGGAAGACCCTTTTAAGATTGACGAAGTAATGAATGCGGCCGAGAAGTATATGATTGGGAGTTCATTTGATAACTACTATCAAACACTTTCCATTGCTTCTTCGAGCCCACCAATTAATAACCCTAATTCATTTAGTAGGGGCCACATTAATTTACCGTTTGCTGCAGATGTTCCCAAGACAGATAGGAACTATCTTCAGGCATTGAAACCCAAAGTAGAAGACGAATTTAAGGATCTTCTGGGAATTAAATTAGAAAGTTTGATCCCAAGGGAATTGACGGAGGAACAACAGCAAATGGTTGCGTTGAATAAAGACCTCATGGAGGCAAACATGAAAGAAATTAGAGCTGTGAAGTCATTACAGTCGCACTTCAAAGAAGGAGCAGACATTATGACGCAGTTAACAGCAGTAATGGCACAGATGGCCAAAGAAAATGCTAAAGGAATGATTAATTCGATACCACCGAGTGGTCCCTCGAATCAATCTAATAGATTTGAAAGAAATACGACACCGAGAAGTTCGAATGGAACTCAGTGGGCATGTTTCTTGTGCAAGTCGACAGATCATTTTATGAATGAATGTCCACACTTGCTGGAATTTACGAAAAGAGGTTGGATGATGCCTGAAGGAGGTGACTCGAAGCGTTACAAATTAAGAGACAACGCTAGAATGCCTCGAGACGATCCAAATGTACCTCGTTACAAGAAAATTGAACAAATGGCGAAAGACTTGGGATGGGATCGTGCTGAATCCTATTTTGCAAACATGGAAGATGACGAAGATGATAAAGTCATGGACCAGCAGATGAATCCTAACGTCAATCTAGCTGTTTGGATGACAAGAATAGAGGAACTATCAGATAGACTTGGGAATTTAGAAGCACACCGAGAAGATGATGTCCGTGTGTTCAACCAAGATAGTTCAAATGGAAAAAAATAAGTACTCCAATGAAGGAGCAGGATCGGTCCATGAGAACTTTAAGATCCAATGCTGTAGCTCCGGAGGAAAGTGAGAAAGCAAAACGAAATCAATTTAATGAAAATACGAAAAGATTAGTATTTGATGGGGTGCATATACCCAAGAAACCAGGTTTAATACCAGGGAAATTGGTTGAAACGACCAACGGAAATCAGAAAACAGTGAGATTTGAGGCTCCAAAGTCCATAGATCGGCCTTTGAAGAAGCCTTCAGTCACGATCGAAGATGTTGATGAACCTGATGACGAGGATACTATTAAATTAATTCCTTCGTCAAGACCAACGAATCAAATTAATAACGAACATAGACCATATGATCATGTTCAACCTAGGACGTATTGTCCTATTCAAATTAATACACCTACGAAGGTACCAAGAGACCAGACGAATCAAATTGATAGTCATGGATATACTCCAGCCTATAAAATTAGAAATGAAGTCTCGAGACCAGGTGTAGAAGAAGATATAGCAAAGAAGATATTCGATGCTAAAGTTGATTTGAGTACAGAAGAATTAGCAGCTTTATCACCTGCTATCAGAAAGATTATTATGCGCAAGATACGCAATAGGAGAGTCCGACCAAGGACTAAAACGAATAACTATGTATCAACTTTATCCGAAGATGGAGAAACTGAAATTTTGGACGAACCTTCTAGGGTACAGATGATTGATACATGCATTAGAATTGAGGATCTTTGGCAGGATCAGACGGATATGTTTGAAGTCCTGACTGAAAGTCGTAATGACATTCCTGTGGGATCTATAGTGCAGAAAGACATTGTGGAAAGTTTTCTACGAGACCTTTCCATTGATGATGAACGAAGGAACATTGCCATAGTTGCTAATCAAAGCGTGGCATATGAAGACCATAGTGATCATCCAGTGGTAGTAGCGAATCAATCAAATGGATTACGTGCTGTTACTCCTGAAATCAATAATAAAGATGAAGAGATTGAAAGTGTATTGGACCAAGGTTCACAGATTGTTGTGATAGACCGATTGATAGCTATAGGTCTAGGAATTACTTGGGATCCAGAATTCACGATCAGAATGCAAGATGCAAGTGGAAAATTAAACCAAACTC